CGTTTTGCTATTTTGCACTTCATCGACTACTTAAGTATTTTCTATTTTTTCGAGAGCTGGCCACTGCGAGTCGGCCAGGAAATCTTGTAGTTGCACGCATTTTTAACCACGAGTGGGGGTCATGCCCATGATCTTCACCCATCGACTGCAATGGAATCGCTTCTTCGATTGGGTATTATGCGGCACAAAAAGAACTATAAAAGTTTAATATCACGCCGGTTTGATGATTTTATATGTACCACATGGCACAACCACAAGCAGCTGACTTCATATTGATACACAGTAGACCACGTGCGTCGTTTCATTATGCTTACATCTACCTTTTCAAACCGAAACGTCGTTCTCGTGCGGTATCTGTGGATTTTTGGCCAGGACTTTAGTTCGCCACAGAATTCACCAACCGACAGTAAACTGAAATGTCATATTGTATACTAGCCTTATCCCGCTTCCCGTGTCCAGTAGCCTGCAGACTTAATAGTATTCCGCTAGATGAATAATAGCCCTCAGCGTTTCTCTGTGGAAAATCGTCGTCGGCGCTTCAGCACAGGCAGGCCCATCTGCCTGCTATTTTCAAAGCGCCAGAACGGCATGGCCACGATCCGGCACCGGCGCGGCTGGCAGGTTGGCCCTTGCCGCCATCTTGCATGCTGGCACTGGCGGGGCCGCGATCTGGCGGCGGGGGGCGGGCATGATCGGGCACCGGCTTGGCCAGGGTCTGGCACCGGCTTAGCCAGGGCCTGAAACCGGCGTGGCCAGGGTCCGGCACCGGCTTGGGCATGATCGGGCACCGGCATGGCCATGATCTGGCACCGCCTACCTTCGCCGTGATTTGGCACCGGCTTGGCGATGCTCTGACACCGGCAGGCAGGCTTGGCCATGATCCATCCGGCACCGGCTTGGCCATGATCTGGCGCAAGGGCTTGGCCTTGCCATGATCTGGCAGGCACCGGCTTGGTGGCTGGCCTGGCCATGATTTGGCACCGGCTGCGGCTCAGCCACGACCCGGAACCAGCTTGGCTTGGCCATGACCTGGCACCGGCTTGGGCATGGGCGAGCACCGGCCTTGCTGTGATCTGGCACCGGCCGGCCTGGCCATGATCTGGCACCGGAAGGCCGGCAGGCTTGGCCGTGTATGATCTGGCACCGGCTCGGCTACAACCTGGCACCGGCTTGGCCATGATCTGGCGCCGGCTTGTCCACGACCTGGCACTGGCTTGGCCACGACCCGGGGCCGGCTTGGGCGTGATCTGGCGCCGGCTTGGCCATGATCTGCCTGGCACCGCCTTGGCCGCGACCCGGCACCGGCTTGCCTGGCAACGACCTGGCACCGGCGTGGCCATGATTTGGCACCGGCTTGGCCATGATCTGGCACCGGCTCGCTTGGACGCGACCTGTCTGGCACCGGTTCGGCGATGATATGGCGCCGGCTTGGTAACGACCCACCTGGCACCGGCATGGCCATGATCTGGCAACGGCCTTGCCGCTTCCTGGCACCGGCTTGGGCGTGATCTGGCAGCGGGCTGGCCATGTTCCGGCACCGGCGGGCCTGGCCACCAGAATCACTCGGAACCGGCCTGGCCATGATCTGGCGCCGGCGGGCAGGGTGGCAGACGGTGGCAGGCGAGGGCATGATCTGGCACCGGTTTGGCCACGGCCTGGCGCCGGCACGCAGGCTTGTTTGGCCTGGCGGTTCGGACCGCGCGCGACCTGGCGCCAGCGACCCGGGCCATGATCTGGCACGCACCGGCAGGCTTGGACACGGACGACCTGGCGTCGGCTTGGCCACGCCATGATCTGGGTGGCTCAGGCTCGCCCATGATCTGGCACCGGCTTTGTCATGATCTGCCGGGCACCGGCCGGGGGGGGGGCTTTGCATGCCCCGATCTGGCACCGGCCGGCTAGGCTTGGCCGTGTATGATCTGGCACGCATCCATCGGCAGGCTTGGTTTGGCCATGATCTGCCACCGACCGGCCTGGCCACGACCGGGCACCGGCAGGCTTCGCCAGGAAGGATCTGGCACCGGCTTGGCCACGGCCTTGCATTGGCTTGGCCAAGATCTGGCACCGGCTCGGCAATTATGAATGACGTGGCGTTGGCTGGTAGGCTTGGCTGGCAGGCCATTGGCCCGGCACCGGCTTGGCCATGACCTGGCACCGGCAGGCTTCGCCACGACCTGGAACCGGCCCCCCCGACCCTGATCTGGCACCGGCGCGGCCACGACCTGGCTCCGCTGCGGCTTCGCTGCGGCGTTGTTACTTCGAGGCCGCGTTGCTTCGAGGTTTTGTTGCGGCTTCGAGCGGCCTGCGCTGCGGCTTCGAGGCTTCGCTGCGTCTTCGGGGCTTCGCTGCGGCTTCTAGGCTTCGCTGCGGCTTCGAGCCGTCGCTGAGGCTTCGGGGCTTTGCTGCGGCTTCGGGGCGTCGCTGCGGCTTCGAGGCCTCGCTACGGCTTCGAGGCTTCGCCGCGGCTTCGAGACTTCGTTCGCTGCGGCTTCGAGGCTTCTATCTTCGCTTCTATCCTCGCCTCGGGGCTCCTTTGCTTCGGGGCGCCTCTCTTCGCTTCGGGGCATCTCTCTTCGCTTCGCGGCTTCTTTGCTTCGGGGCTTTTATCTTCGCTTCGGGTCTTGGCCATGGTTCGGCTTGGCCATGCTGAATGGCCCGGCACCGGCTCGCCTCGGCCATGGTCCGGCACCTTCTCGGCTTGGCCATGCATGCTCCGGCACCGGCTCGGCTTGGCCATGCATCGTCCGGCACCCACCGGCTCGGCTTGGCCATGCATGGTCCGGCACCGGCTCGGCTTGGCCATGCATAGTCCGGCTCGGCTCGGCCATGGTCCGGCACCGGCTTGGCCTTGCCAGGGTCCGGCACGCACCGGCCCGGCCTTGCCATCCATGGTCCGGCATGCACCGGCTCGGTCTGCTCATGGCCCGGCACCGGCTCGCCTTGCTTGGCCATGGTCCGGCAGGCACGCACCGGCTCGGCTTGGCCATGGTCCGGCACCGGCCGGCGCGGCTTCGTCGAGGCTTTACTGCTTCGGGGCCCCGCGGCTTCGGGGCTTCGCGCGTTGTTTCGTACGTTGTTGCGCCGTGGCTTCGTGCGTTCGTTGCTGCTTCGAGGTTTCGTACGTTGCTGCCTCGGGGTTTCGTACGTTGCTGCCCCGAGGCGTCGCGCGCTGCTGCTTCGGGGCCTCGCACGCTGCTGCCTCGAGGTTTCTCACGCTGCTGCCTCGAGGTTTCGCGCGTTGCCGCCTCGAGGTTTCTCACGCTGTTGCCTCGAGGTTTCGCACGTTGCTGACCCGAGGCTTCGCACGCTGCTGCCTCGAGGCTTCAGACGCCGCTTCGAGGCTTCAGGCGCTGCTTCGAGGCCTCAGGCGCTGCTTCGAGGCCTGAGGCGGTGCTTCGGGGCTTTGCTGCTTCGACGCTTCGCTGCTTCGAGGCTTCGCTGTGTGCTTCGAGGCTTCGCCGCGTGCTTCGAGGTTTCGCCGCGTGCTTCGAGGCTTCGCCGCGTGCTTCGAGGCTTCGCCGCGTGCTTCGAGGCTTCGCTGCGTGCTTCGAGGCTTCGTCGCGTGCTTCGAGGCTTCGCTGCGTGCTTCGAGGCTTCGCTGCGTGCTTCGAGGCTTCGCTGCGCGCTTCGAGGCTTCGCGGCGCGCTTCGAGGCTTCGATCGCTGCGCGCTTCGAGCTTCGCCGCTTCGAGGCTTCGAGGCGTCGCTGCTTCGAGGCGTCGCTGCTTCGCTGCTCCCTTCGAGGCCTCGCCGCTTCGAGGCTTCGCTGCTTCGAGGCCTCGCTGCTTCGAGGCTTCGCTGCTTCGAGGCTTCGCTGCTTCGAGGCTTTGCTGCTTCGAGGCTTCCTTCGAGGCTTCGTTGCTCCCTTCGAGGCTTCGCTGCCCCCTCCGAGGCTTCGCTGCTCCCCTCGCGGCTTCGCTGCTCCCCTCGCGGCTTCGCTGCTCCCTTCGCGGCTTCGCTGCTCCCTTCGAGGCTTCGCTGCTTCCTTCGAGGCTTCGCTGCTTCCTTCGAGGCTTCGCTGCTTCCTTCGAGGCTTCGCTGCTTCGAGGCTTCGCGGCTTCGCCGCTCTTCGAGGCTTTGCGGCTCTTCGAGGCTTCGCGGCCCTTCGAGGCTTTGCAGCTCTTCGAGGCTTCGCGGCTCTTCGAGGCTTCTTCGTTGCTTCGAGGCTTCGCTGCTTCGGCGTTTCGAGGCCCCTTCGTTTCGAGGCTTCGTCGCTTAGAAGCTTGGGCGCTTTGTCAGCATTTCGTTGTTGTTGTTTTTCGTTTCTATTCTTTGTTTTCGTTTTTTGTTTTCATTCTTTGTTTTCGTTTTTCGTTTTTATTCTTTGTTTTCGTTTTTTGTTTCCATTGTTTGTTGTCGTTTCTCGTTTCCATTCTTTGTTTTTGTTTTTCGTTTCTGTTCTTTGTTTCTATTGCGGAATACTATTAAATAATGGGTTTTCTCACCTTTCGCTAGTCATTGTAGAGATTGATTGTTCGCTTGAAATGGTGACCTTGCCCTTTCTTGTTAAAATCTGGAGGAGGTGCGAAACTCATCCCCATGATGTGTGGTTTGCAGCAAATGAACGAGAATAGGAAAACTTCTTGGAAGCATGAATATCTTCTATTTATTGCTTCGAATTCGAAAAATGAAAATGTACAATGAGTAATTTTCCTTTTCCTTCGCTGTCGCTTTCAATCCAACGTGAGCACACTTCTTTCAGTGCTGACAGCGAATGTCCGGCAGTTCCAGTTGTATGGGTCTGGTGATGTAGCTCAACTTTTGCTTGAGCCTAGTTTTGTCGTGCTTCACAAGTTTTTCCTTTCGTTTATGCTCCGCCTTTTCGTGGTCTTTTGCACAAGTACCAAGAACTATGATCTCTGGTAAGTGATGCTTCAGCATCGTCGTAATTTCCGATGGATGATTTTCAAACACCCGATTCATCATTGGGATGCTTGTACTAGGTAACGCGACTCATGTGCACATGAGGGCTGCCAGCTGCGTAGTGTCATACTATCCATTCTTCAGTATAAGTCCGTATCCATTTTCGCTCAAAGATTCATCATGCAGTGGCCAAAGCAACAGCAAGTACCTGGCGTGATTAGCAACATGATCATGATAGTACTTCACGCAATTTAAAGTCAACAAATGCGATGCCGTTTCTTTGTGTGCGCGGAATCTTCTGCATGCGACTCATGCGAAGTCGGTGTTGAACTTGAAGAAGACCAGACGAGCGCCGACGTTCCCGCAGTGGACGAGTACCATCGCACGAGCAACAGTGTTCAAAGCGAAATCGAAACCGTCCCGAAGATGAAACTACGAACGCGGCCGGTACTAGATCAGGACGTGTATCTGTATAGCCCCAACGTGGCCTACGATATCATCCCAGACGGGCCTCCGGACGACGTCGGAGATCATATATATCTGTATAGCCCTAACGGAGCAGGCGGAGGCGCCCTAAAGAGCGCTTGCACAGGAACAAGTGAAGCTGGACTTCTGATGTCGCCGCTAGATGCACGCGCACGAAACGGAGGCGGCGCGGCTGAAGCATCAAGTGATAAATATCCTGCTCTACACGCAGATAAAATACTCGTGCAACAGGAACAAGTGGCGAACTTTCAGCCACGATCTTCAGGTCCTCCGGAAGTTGTAGATTCAAAGGGTCCACTGTCCTTCATGCCGAGGATCGACGACTCTTCATCCATTTTAACCCGTATGTTGCCTTCACCTGCTGACTCTGTCGCCGTAGTACTAGACGAGGCGGACACGAGTACAGTAACCACAACTGCTTCGCCAGGATCGCTACGCCTTGATGACGGGATGTCTGAAGAATCCCCGAGTCTAGCTTTTCCGGAACACGAAAAGAGAACAAAGACTTTGGAAGAGCAGTACATCGACGCGTATAGGGAGCTCTTTGGAGACACAGATTTGTGGCAAGAGTGGAACAAGCCAGCGGAAACACAAAACGACACTCAACGCGAACCCGGAACACCACGCGGCGACGCAACTAAAAATACCCCGCGCTACTCTTATACACCGCGCTACGGTTATACACCGCGCTATAATTCTACAACTACTACTTTTGGAGGAATTTCAAGTACCAGGGCCACCTCCAATGACAGCAGCAGCGATAAAACTGACCAGGCCCAAGATCGTCACGACTGGAATAAAAGAAGCCGGAGTCAAGGTAGGTCCCGATCTCGATCCCGGCCATCAACGTGTGCCGAGCCTCATCATGGCAACTATTCTCTTCGAAGCATGTACCGGTCTCAATCCAGCAGGCGGTCACCGCAAAGGAGCCGTGGAGGTACAGCCTCCCCCTCTGAAATTGAGCAAAGATCGCGATACTCTTGTCGTTCTCAGAAACAAAGACCACGCACAAACTTCCGATCGCGGTCAAGGAGCCGCTCCCTATCCCGCTCGCGTTCGAGGGGAAGAAATTGCTGCTGCGAAGACCACTTTCACCCGGGGCGAGCGAGTGAGACGAGCTTCTCCGCCAATGGTGGCGGGAGGGCGCCAGCGACTTCGTGGCACAAAAGCAACCAGTCCGACGAAAGATCTCGTGGCAGTCAGTATGACAACCACTGGCGCGGGGGCCCTCTGCAAGAACAGTCGTGCTGGAGCTGGCGCGGCCAAAAACACAACTCTCACGGGTGGAGCTCTGAGAATCACTGGCGCGGCCAAAAGTACGGACAGAATCACAACCACTGGCGCGGCCAAAAGTACAATTTTCGTGGGTGGAACTCTGAGAACCACTGGCGTGGCCAAAAGTACAATTTTCGTGGGTGGAACTCTCAGAACCACTGGCACGGCCAAAAGTGCAATTTTCGTGGGTGGAACTCTGAGAACCAGTGGCGCGGCCAAAAATACAATTTTCACGGGTGGAACTCTGAGAACCACTGGCGTGGCCGAAAGTACAATTTTCGTGGGTGGAACTCTGAGCACCACTGGCGTGGCCAAAAGTGCGACCAGTATGACGACCACTACACCCAGTATGACGAGTGGAACTCTGAGAACCACTACAACCAGTATGACAAACACTGGCGCGGCCAAAGGTACAATTTTCACGAGTGGAATCACCTCAGCGGGGAGACGAGCAGCGGCTTCTTCGTGGAGAATTCTGAACGGCCCTCAGCTCAAGAGATGAACACGCAGACGGGTTGCATGAGCCAAGCGTCCACTGCAAGTGGCAAGACCTTTACGACCGAGACCAATGCCTTTGCGTGTTCTCTTTCTGCAGGCTTCGGTGAAAGAACTGGACTTCAGACGAACAACAGGCGAATGTCATCTGTCGTGACATCTGCTTCTACCGATGAACAACCTGCAGGAAATGTACTCAATCGCAGGCTGAGTGGTGCGACGGCAGCAGTGCTCGAGCGGCCAGAAAGTAACGGACCACGATTGATCACGCCGCTGCGGGGTATCGCTTCCGGTCTGGGCCTGTACAAGATCAACGCGTGGAAACCCGAGGGAATCACCGCGCACGAGCTTGCCGAGCTGGAGCGCATGACGAGGGAGAAGATGAGCAGTCTGAAGCACGACTTCGCTGTGCCTCCGGGGGGGCTCCGGTGGTGGGAAACCTTCGACGAGGGTGCGCCGCGGGCGGCGGCGCAGCTCGAGGCGAAGTTACTCGAGGCCAATGCGACGCGGGACACGGTGCGCGACACCGGAACTACCAAGGGCACCTACTCCAGGATGGGCATGAAGCAGTATAAGACAGCCGCCGCTGCGATTTTGCAAGACGACGCGCCGCCTTGGGGCTACGCAAAGCACGCGACTCTCGTGCTCGCTGCTCTGCGTTTCCAAACGCCTGCGCTGCGGAAGCTGTGGAGCGCTAGCAGCGAAGTAGTCCGAAACGCAGGGGCCGCGGCCCACCGGATAAAGGCCGCAGTCGTGCCGGATTTCCTGCCCCGATATGCGGACGACCTGAATGCCGCCCACCTGAACATAAAAACTCTGGTCACCATCTTCGTGCGTTGGGAAGTGGTGTCAGCGATGGCTTGCCTGCTGGAAGTGGCAGAGCCGGACCAGCAAGCGGCCGCGCAGCAGCAAAGACGCCAGGAGCAGCAGCGCGCGCGAGATCAAAAAGCCGCAGAGAAGGAGGCGGCGCGAGCAAGCTTGAAGGCCCGGAGGGAAGCGGAAAAGCAGGCAAGGCTAGACGAGAAGAAGCGGAAGGAAGACGAAAAGGAGGCCAAGCGACTCCAGGAGATCTTCAGTGGGCGAGCCGAACCGAAGACCATTTTGGACATCATCAAGCGGGATGAGTGGCGCCGTCAAGCGGCGTTGGGGCGCAAGGGAAAACGCAGGTCCAAGTGCAATCCTTGATCGTCGAAAGTGCTTCCTCCCTGGGAGCGGGTGTCCACCACACGATGATGTATGATGAAGACGAATAATTTTTCACAGATCACCAACAAAGTCTAACACTTTTCTCTACTTTCCGCTCATCTGGGACAGAAGAAGCTGCGCAGTCGTGTTGTTAAATCGAAAATGAAGCAGAAGATCGCGCGAGACCACGTTCAAGCCTAGGAGATCCCGTAATGTGTTTCGTGCCGCACAAGGTTGATCACGGCGCAGCGGAGATGATACTCAACTCTGAATCAACGTCGTTGCAAGCACCGCGGCAATGACAATATTTCTACACCTTAGCTTTGCCTCCTGCTGGAACGAAGACCACCCCTGCATGATCGATCATCGTACTTATTTGCTTGTATTTTCTGTCAGTCAAGGATAGTCGTGCCTCGTCCTCAATGATGTCCAGGAGTATACAACTTATCTCTTTGCCCCAGCAACGTAAAAAAAGCAAAATGCACCAATCTAAACGGTATTCGACGTCTGGATCCTCCTTGAGCTGTACTAGATCACGCTACTTGCCAAGCATTTTGTGATTTTTTCTTGCTTGTGCAGCTCCTTCTTCTGTCTGCTCTTGAAAAACTGAATATGGACGTCGTAGCCAGGTTGTCCACGTCTCGGAGTCGCTCACGATCTCCGACATTTCCGAGCACCAATGGCGACATGATTTTCAACCCGTCCCCCTGCTCGGTTGTTGCATCAGTGTCCTCGCAAGCACAAGGTCGTGTTGACGCAAAGAACTACAACCAGAGCACGGCCACGACTTTCAGGGCAAATACTAACGAGACTACTTCCAGTAAAAAGACTAGAAGAAATAAACTTCTGCCTTTTACCGACTACAAACCCAGCGTGGAAGACTACGAGCGATTAACGATCTTCAGCATACAGCAGCAAGAAGAGCGCGAAGATTTACATAATCAGCGCGAAGTATTGCAGACGGCCCTAATTCCATACACGGAGGACCTGATTCCCTGTTACCACCAATGGATGACGGACCCCTACCTTCAACAGATGACGTGTTCCGAGCCCCTGTCGCAGCAGGAAGAACGCGAGGCCTGGCGCGGTTGGGTAACAGATCCCTGTAAATTAACATTTCTGATTGCCGTCCCGGATTCTGGGCGGGAGTATGATTGTCATGATTCATCTGGTGCTTTGCCTGAAGACACGGTAAATGGTGGCGTCCTAAAAGAGCACATCGCGCCGTCTGAACCTGAAGATAAGGACGCGCATGATAGTGAAGATGCTCATGGTCATGCCACTACATCAAAGCTCAGTCGACGTCCTGGATGCGCACACGTGAGCCGCAAGAAGAGCCCTGTTCATAAAGGTGGCGACCAGTCCGATGATCTTGCTGTGCAACTTGATGAATCGCTGCAGCTTCCAAAAATAGCCCTTCCCGCACTACCCGGTGAGCAGCCAGTGAAGATGTCAGCCAGCAGCAAGGAAACAGGTGCCGAAGCTGCAAGTTTCCTGGCCAACAAAGCCATTGCGGGAAGGTTTCCGTTTCCATGCCTAAGTCGTCACGAACAGATTGAGAAGCTTAACGAGCGCTTCAAGAGCAACAGGTTGGCGAGCAGCTCCGATCAGGTCTCAGCAACGGTCGTATCCTGCGCAACTGCATCTTCTGCTTCTTCGAGTTCATCAAGTTCATCATGTTACTTGTTGGATCACTGTGCGTCCCTCCTCCCGTCCTGTCCGCAGCTGCTTCCCTTTCTGAATATTCAAGGTGTCGTCCCAGCTGGTGCCGCCGTCATAGAGCAGCGGTCGCCCGCGATAACGCCAGGCGATTATCCGCGAAAGGGCTACAACGCCCCAGAAGTGGATGAGCAGATTGGGAAAATACTACAGCGGCTCAATTTTCAGCCTCAAGGACAAGACACAGAGCCTCAGACAGAAGCCCCCCCGAGGACAGTGGCGCCTTTCTATTTGCTCGACGGAACATCAAACTATATGCGCCATGATGAGCTGGAAATCGGAGCGGCAAGAAGGCCTCTGACAGCTTCTACAGCAGCTCCGCGCCTCGCTCTGTGCACGAAAAACCTCGTACCATGCGGGGACGTTAATTTGTTTTGGGATGCGGAAGAGCAGATCGCCGAGCTGAATGTAATGATAGCTCACGAGAAATTTCGGAAAAAGGGTGTCGCGCGCCAAGCGGTGCGGCTGCTGATGTTATCCATCGCAATAAATACGTCTAGGTCTGGAAGATTGCAAGATTTGTCATGGAATTTTTCCATCAAGACCCACAAAATGAAAATCTGGAAAAATGCGAGGCTTAGCATTATATATAATTAGGTCCTGCAGCCCCCTGTTGGTAATGCCTTTGTATTCTGCCGCAGAAATTGCCCCCTTGCAGCATGGTCAGATATGAGCATCTTTTGCAAGTCATGCAGCACAGATTTTTATGTAAGCCTATAATTCCCCAGGCCCAGCACGCTCACGCATCAGCATCACTTCCACAACTAGAGTAGCCAGACATATTTGCATTCCATAGGTGTCTTACGCTCACCATGCGCTGCACGTCAACCATTTTCGGGCAAAGATCTTGGAAGATAATGCTGCTTCGATTCGATTTTTCGAGGACAAGCTAGGATTTGTCCTGCACTCGCGCAAGCCAGTATTTAACGAGGTTTGGTATGACCTGCGAATAAAATAAGTACTCCACTAGACCACGTAGAATGAATTTTGCCGATAGTACAACTACCGCCCTGATGCAGCTCAGTTTAGGATTGATGACGTTGTTCTATCTTCGTGCCTAGTCTTCGCAGCTCCTTGCAGGCCCGGTTTCTTTCTGGTGTGGCGGGGACGCTTGCGCTTCCAAATTCGACATAGTGTATGCACTAGAGTTTTTGAAACTAGGAGGCCTTGTGGGAAGCAAGACGTGGCAGCACTTGCAATGGAATGCGTTGCACATTGTCATTGATGTAAGTAAAAAGGTAGTACTAAGGAAGTGTAGGAATTTTTCACAAGCTGACGCTACTGGCGGGAGGTCATTATACGGGACTAATACATAGCCATGTACTCTGTCAGTATCGTGCTCAGAGAAGCACCCGAGCCATTCCTATTGTGATGGAAGTCACTCCTCGCTTCTCTTTGTCTTTCGACTTATAAAATATTTTGCAGCAGCACCGATCCTCGGGGTTTTCTTTATTTCCAAAATGCGTACGCGTGGATCTAACCGTCTACGTCGTGCGACACACACACATAGAAAATGCGAACCACAGTACTAGACCAATGATCTGTACGTTGTAGAGACAAAAATTAAAAGAGAATCAATATCATTCCTTCTGGGATCCTGAAAAAGTAAATCGAAATGGACCTTACGCTTACCCTGTTCCACAAGCGCATTCCTTCGAAATAAAAAAACATAACATGCTTCAAGGAGGAGGACCACACCAATTCCAATGTCCGTTCCATCTGTTCAAGTAGAGTTGAAGATCCCGATCCAAAACATATTTATAGGTATTGTAATTGTTTCAAGAATTCATACATTGCATTGCTTATTGGGCGGGTGGGAGATCAGCATCAGCAAATTTGGTGCGGCTACATAAATACTTTTTAGAAGAACGAAGCATTGACACATGTTGTATCCCAGTTATTTCTTGGTCTTAGTGTGAATGTGATGTGGATGATATTTCTCTCGTTTCTGTTTCTCTCTCAACAGGTCACAGTGGTGTGGGAAGTAGAATTCTTTGTTCCATTTCAACTCCTCGACGAGTATAAGAATCCTCCTCCGGCGTAGTACTTACTTACAAAACAACAAGGCTTCTTGGCAGAATTTCTAGAAGAAGTTTTAGTGCATCGTGGTGGTAGAGCGAACAACACCCAGCGGCGCCTAAGTTTAGTATTTCGCAGGATCATCTTCAAGACAGAGTTCGTTGCTTGTTGTGTAGAAATATCCTGTGATGATTTTGAATTCTGTAGTTGAAGTTCTTGCTGTGATCCCTCACATGAATGACATAGTAGAAACCTGAATGGTGGAATTCCCGAAGTGAAGACGAGCCGAGAGGATGTATGCGACGAAGACGTATCCGGGCATACAGCCCATCTACTCCCAGAATTTTTTGTGCCGAGCCACCCTTTCTGCCTGCGCAGGCATCGCGCTTGGGATCACCATCTCCTTGATCGTCAATTGTACCCTTCTGGAGATATCCCTGAACGCTTTTTTCGCGACCTACTTCGGCGTGTTGTTCTGCTGTGTGGGTTGCATTATTCTCTGGCGGCTGAAGCAGCAGGAGGTGAATACCGCCCACCCGTCCGCGAGCGACGAGGCCGACGCGCGAAGGAAATTCCACCTGACGCTCTTTAGCTACCTCATCATCGCGAGCGGCGTCTTGTGCTTCATGCTCGAGAAGGACTGGTACTTCAAGCTTTCTCCGCTAACGAAGGTGCCGCTCTACAGCGTGCTCGGGATCAGTGTCAGCTTCGCGCTCACCTTCTCGGTAATCGACCTGGTCAACTACACAGTCGGCTTCGTCCAGGGGAACACCATCGCGCGCCCCATCGTGGAGTCGCCAAACCAGGTGCACGTCGTCCTGCTGTTGGCCTTCTTCATGGGCGCCATTTTTGGTTGCATTTTCGGCCTCCTACAAGTCGCGGACGAAAGCAAGTACAAGATCCGCCTGTCCCTGCTGCGAGTAGAGCACTACTGCTACCAGATCGGCGGACTGCTCGGCGCCATCGGGGGCGTCGCGAACGAGTACCTGCGGCACATTGAGGTCGTTTACTCGCCCGTGTCCCTGGAATTCGACGACGACATTTAATACAGGGGTGAAGGTTTTTTTGATTATCAACATCAAAAGGAAAAAATCTTCACCGATCGAGGCGACATCCTTGCGACTAGACGACACACGACCATCCAGCATGATTTTCACATATCAACATAGCGATCGACAACGTGGAACAATTCTTGCTCATATTTGTCCCCACGACCCACCCTGGAAATACGGTCCCACTCCAAGCCACCCGGTACCGATTGTACATTGCACACTATTTTTCAGGTACCTGTATTTGCATTCGTTTTCCTTTTCACTTATTTTTGCAGTTACTTACTGGACCCGGAGTGAACAAGATCGATGCAGTCAGTGCTGTGTCCACCGGCGTCCTCGTCCTCAACATTTCCTATATCATTTGCATGCTTGGGGAACAATTGTCGAGAAGTCAGTGATTCTTGAGTAGATTTGATGCTGGAGGGGAGGCACTAAAAAACTTTATGATGATGTTCTTATCATCGACATCCTGATCATGCTACTACCTGACGTGTCCTCGTTGTGTGTCTATTATGGTTCGAAGCTGCATTCGAACAAGAAGCGAAACTACACGCTTCGATGAAAGAGAAAGTATAAGGGAAAAAAGCTGGCCATATTCAATTTTCAAACAGAGCTTCCAAGAAGAACGAACATCAAGTGGTTGCCGCACCGTGTTGATTCGTCTGCCGGGGGCGGGGATGAAGAAATAGTGACGGAGCTGCAGTAGAAGCACCACCGACCACCAGCAACGGCCAGCTGCGGTTGCTGTCACGAGCAGGACGAGTGCAGCATTGAGATACGCACCAGGTACGGACAGAGACGGGATTTGCGATAATTATATGACCATAATTCTGTTCCTGTGCGCAAACGACCGAAACGCGAGCGCGACGAGTTGAATTCGACGCCTTTTCCAGTGGCAACAGTTCTGCGATGTTGTCTACTGTGCGTGGTCAACATGCGGGTCATATGGATAAGCAGTGCTAGCCCTCGTCCCGCGCGCGCACCGAAGCGGTTTATTAAATTGCACTAGTACGGCTCCACTCCGACCAACTGCAAGCTGTGGCTCGGCTTCGATGCCGCTCCGTAGCGGCGCTCTACATAATATCGTCTGTTCGCTTTGATGAAGCAAAGTTCCGGTTCTTGACGGGAGTTGGGGCCCTTTTACGCGTACTTCGAGCAGAAGTAGGTGACTGGATTCCAACGTAATAAATTAAACGTCCTCCTTCTCGATGACGTGAAACGAAAGTCGTGCTTGCGCGGCCCCGATATTCTTGGAGCGCATCAACAGCAGGTTTCGATATAAGTAGATACGTCACTATTTCTGACGACGTCCCCAGCAGGACTTCAAGTTTTCCCCAATAAGAATGCAGCAGCAACAAAAACTCAACTTTTCCCACCCCCGTTCTATCGTCCTTTTTACCACCTACGCATTTCTACTGGCACTTCTTTGCGCAATGAAAGCCAATGGCAGCAGCTTGATTTTTGTCCACTTGCGGGAGCCAGTAGATAGATACTACCCCGAACCTTGTGTGCATCTTGTTCCAACGTCGACCCGTCGTGCTGTTCGACTCGTTAGTTCTACTTGTTTCTCGAGTCGCACAGTAGTGCATCATTTTGATCAAAATTACAGAAGTTTTGGTTTTTTTTTCACAACGGCGGGAAAGCCATCAGATCATGTAATTCTCAGCACATACATGATAGTTAGGTGCTGGTGTAACCAGCAAATGGCAAGCGTCATGCCTCGCAGATCAATGCTTGTTTTCGTTTTTGCCATGTTTGCATTTTTTCTTCTATTGTAGCGCTACCGCTGCCTTTGTTGCCTTTTGGAGGTATTCTGTTGACGATGATCTTCTATTATTCTCATCACATAGAGGATCTAGAAGAGATTTTCAGCTACGTAAGGCGTGGATTTTGATTTGAAACTTTCAGCGACTGGAAGTGAATGGAAAAAGTGGTAGGTTGTGTATCCATATCGGCATGTCGTGCTTGGTGTTACGTTGTAGAGGTAAATCGAAGTATCTATCACAGCGCATCAATTTCACCTGATTTCGCTATGCATGAGACATGATGCGTTTTGATTTTGACCAAAGACGGGCTCACTTTCCGCAAGTGCCTACTCTACGTGCGTAGCTTATTGTTATTTCGTATTTATTGTCCTCGTGTTTATGATTGATGTCTCTATAATATTTTTGTAGGCGGAAGTCGAGGAATGGCCGCCGATGCCACGGATCACGACGGAGGCCGCCTGTTGCCCCAGGACACGGGTCTCGTTGAGGCCTGGTTGCGCGGCTACATCCACCGCCTATCAGCAGTTGAGGTTTTGGAGTCCGACTTACGCAGCGTTGTGTTGAATTATTTCCTTGTCACCTATGAAAGCCTCAGGCTGGAAATCCTCAAAGTGAATAATAATTTGTAATGCAGAAAAACGACTTCAGTTGGAGCACCATTTATAGTCGGCGCATGACAAATTTCCCGAGCACTCAAAACGTGTCTGTCATGCTAGTTAGGCAAAGGGGTGCCCTTCTCTCATGCTAATCAGAAGCACAATAGTCTGTACCCGTAGAAGCACAATAGTCGGCCTCCATTGCGTTCTCTGCAATACAGTCTCTTTGGTGTCGCATTTCATGCATCACAAATTATTTCCACTTTGAGGATTTCATCCATTCTGAGGGTGTCATATCACCGGCAACCAAGAGGCGGCCGAGGCTTGGGAGGAAGAAGCCGGACTCCGTGTTATGCATTGCAAATATGTCTGGGTCTGGAAGGATGTACTGACTTGTGATGCTGCATTTGGATACTCCTAAAATCTGTGTTGCATGAACAGCAGAAGAGGTCAGCGTTCGCCACGGGGTCGAGAGGGCATTTCCCATGCAGTATGGGCAACATCAGGAAGCCCTCGCAAAATCTGTGATGCTAGAGCGTGCATCCCAGACGTCCAGAGTCATGCAAAATGTGCAAGACACCCTCTAGACCCAGACATATTTGCATTTCATACGTGTGGCCTGCTCCAATTCAAATGCTACATCAAATGGCCCGACTAGTGGTTCATCAGCCTCGTCCTCGTCTTCATCAAAATTTGTTCCGCGATCACGCGAAGATCATCATGATCAAGATGTCTCTCGAGGTTGTACTAGACACAACAAGAACTTTAAAGCGAACTACAACGGGAGGTCGCGTTTCTTCCAGCCACAGGGAGACGATGAAAAGGGAGTTGATGCTGCAGCCTTTGGGTTTGGCAGCATCTGCCCAGCCGGGCTATCATCGCTGCTGGAGATGGGCAGCAGCACCACGACGTCCTATGAAAAGAATACCAAAGGAAAAAATATTACTACAACATCCGCAGATCGCGCTAGTACACTTCCCGTCGCGAAAATGCACCTGAGGAAGAATGTGCGCAACGCGCTTTTGCGAAACAACCACACTGAGGCCATCCGCCTTCTGGACGATATCTCGCCGAGGATTCTAGGGCTGCGGCCGCGCGTGCACTTCACGCTGCTCCGGAGGCAATTTCTGCAGCTTCTGTTGGACACGAACACAACGAAAAGTGTGACCACCACGGCGCTGCAGTTTGCTTATGAGAAGTATACGCTACGATGAACTCATTTTTAATATTGCAAGAATTGCTCGACCGAGTTGTTACATGACGTGTTGTAGTCGCTCGTTTGTCTTGAACATGATGAACCACAGCTGCAAATATAAGCCAATCGAACAACTCACCAGTCTGACGCCGTTCGTGGAACGCCACCCGGAGTTATCACAACAGGAAAAAGTGTTTTTAACGTTAACGGAATTTGTGATGCAGCAATGCATCACTGAACGCAACGTGCCTAAATTTGTCACGCATAGCATGCTTATTGGGCTACATTTGTGATGCATGGTTGCAATCTGTGAAAACCGTTAACGTTAGCACCTTTGTGCTGGATAGGAGTTGCTGGAGAAGCTCGAGGCCTCGATGAAGTTCTATCGCGTGGTCAAGCGTTACATTCTCAGATGTTAAATGAATTTGTCACGCAAGAGCCGCAACAGTCAAAGGCGCAAGCTTGCTGCTTGTTTTGCATCACAGATTTGGCACGGATTTAGATGCTGCGTAGCCCTTGTTCGGAGATTTGTCATGCGAAGCAGCTTGATCATCTATTCTACCGGCGCAAGATAGTTCTGCATGGCAAATTCATGCAACAGTTCAGAATGTAATGTTTGAGAACGCCATAAGTTCCTGACCTATGATCCAACCGCAGCAGGCAGCAAGAGTGCGCAGAACAACGCCCTTCGCGAGGGCATCAAGGAGCAGCTTGAAACGGACAACGAAGAGATCGCGGACCGGATCGACCATTTGATCCTGCAGCATTTTCACCTTTCGCCGGTGTCGCAGCTCGAGTTTCTGTGTCGAAACGTACTATGGTCCGACCGATCGCTCTACTCGCAGTTCGAATCCGACCAGGTGATGATCGTTCGGGGGCTGAGTACTGGGCTGGAGGAAGGAGCAAAGGAGAAACTGGGAAGCAGCAAGATGAACGCGAGCACGAGTACAAGATGTAAGACAACTACTGGTAATGCGGTGATGCTGCAACCATCCCCAACTGAAGAAAGATGCATGGAGACCGAAACGGGCGATGCGGAAGATCGCGCGGAAGCGGCAGGTGCAGATGTAGAATCAAGGACGACACCAGCAGCAGGTGGCGCGACGACCACTCCAAAAGTTGTACTATCATCGAAGATGATAAAACTGACAAAGAGGAATGGTCGAGATGGGAATCGGCAACTGGACGACCATTCATGCGCGGGAAGATCAGGTGCAGCTACTGCAGAGATGAAACTGATATTGACAGACACTGTTCCAAAACTGGATACGCATTGCTTAGCGCGCCCTTGTGTATTGCTTGGCACAACTTCAACCACGGACCGTGTCCTGCCCAATAAGTCTTGAAGCTGAAGATGCAAGAAGCGCGTCAATCGACAGCATTGCGTTTCCTCCCATTTTAGAAATATAATACGAAACGCCTGGCATGCTTGTGTCCCTGCATCCTAGCACGGCGCAATCTTCTTTATTTTCGTGCAGTTTCGACGGAGGGCTCCTGGCAGCGCGTGTTCTACTCACGATGAGGTCGCGAGGATCAACTTCTTTGATGCAGCACCAGTTGTAACAGAGCCAGAAGTTAGCGTGACGCTGATGACCACGATGAACACGACAAGAGAAGATCTCGCTCTGAAGTTCAAGCAGTTGACCAGTTCGATTTAATGTATCGACTTCTAAAAACCAGTTCGATTTAATGTATGAAAATTTGTTGACCAGTTCGATTTAATGTATCGACTTCCAAAAATGAATCGACGACAAGAGATCTAATTGCCATGGTGGATCTACTTCAGAATATCTTTGCTATGGACGTCGTGGCTCCTACAGCTCCTCATTTATTTGCTAAAATTGAAATTCTTTGGGGCCACAGAGCAATTCTGAAAAACAACAGCGCTTTCTACAGAGCAATTCTGAGTTCGATTTCGAAAACATCCTACATGAAACAGATCATAAGTGGATTTCCGCAGCAGTGAACGACCAATATTGTAGTGTCATCTTTTTCGACGATCTTCATCAATGTTAAACAATACCCACAATCGAATCACGACCAGGTTTCTTAGGACGCTCACGACCAGACATTTGTATTATTTTATTGGTCAGCTTTTTTTCCCTTAATACTAAGAAATCCTAACGCTCATTTCATCTGTGTTGTGTAAAATTTTGATGAAGTGAAGAAGGAGATTGCTTGGTTATAAGAGGAGCTGGCAAGATCAAGGAAGACGGCGACTCTAACTCTGATTGGAACCTGATCGCCTTCGAAGCAAGAAGAATTTGATGTTGTTGTGAGACACTACTTAAAGAGTCAGCATCTACGTGCAAACATTGCAACAAGAACAGGGCAAGCGACTAGTAACCGGGACTGTGTCATGATCACCTCCGGCGGGCCGGGATCCTCACAGCTTCACCTCAGCGGCGCGCGACTTTTCTTGTAAGCCAGAGACGGTTTCCCCCAATTCCGTGTTTCATCTCCGTGGCCTTTGTACTACGTGTTCATCACTTAAAACATCCTGGTTTTTAGCGAAAGTACCACAACCAAAAAAATCAAGATGGGCGGAAAGGCAAAACAGAAAAATAAAAAGAAAGGAAACCAAGGCAAAAAGAAACAGACCAACGAGCAGCAAGAGAGTAAGAATGCGAACAACGGCGCGAAGGAGCAAGAGGTACTAGACAGCGACTTCTCTGACGTCAACCTCTCAGAACAAGATAATGAGCAACAACTTCATGGACGAAAACGAGTGGGGCAGCCCTCGTCTAGCAGCACCAACAATGGAGATGAAGCGCAAGCGGATAAGAGCATCAACAAGCAGAAAAAGAAGAAAAATGCTGCCGGCAGCAAGCAGACGAGTGCGCCCGGAGGTGCTGCTGTGGAGCAGGTGGACGAAATTGATCTTGTCACCGGGGTATGCATTGCGAATATCGATCTGGGTCTGGAAAGTAAAGATGCGAACTTAAGTGGCAGTGGCTCTCTGCTAGAGACGCGAATAAAATCTGTCTCATGCATCCAGAGTTAGCAAAAGACGCCCATTTGTGGTCGCGCTGAGAGCGGACGACTTCTCATGCAAACAAAGCACCGCACGGCTGGGGCTGCCGCAGAAGTAATAGTAAAGAACCACCTGTTATACTTGTCCCTGCGCGCCACGCAAAAGTTACACTGGATCGATCTGCAATCTACTTTCCGACTCGGACTACATGTTTGCATTTGATACGGGGAGATCGTAACAAAAACCTATCGACGGGACAGCAACGGCTCGTCCGTACTGTCCTCGCAGAACGAGCTGCGCAGCGAGCGCGACCAGGGGGAGCCCGACAGCTCCGACTTCCAGTCGCAGCAAAGCTACGAACGATCTGACTACGACCCAAACAGTGAGGAAGGGGGGCGGTACAGAGAGGATCGAAGTTGCTCCCAGTCGGAAGATGATATCCACTGCAAAAAGTGTGTCTGGGCTAGGGAGGATCATGCCACCAGGCTCGTGGTCGTGATGCAGCTTTTGCATAACCCAGTAGATGAACATAGAGAAATTAGATGCGAGCTGTACAACTATTTTGCATTTTAGACCTGCATGAGAAATGTAGTCATCTTCAGGTGACCAGAAGGTGCCTGCTAATATCTCTGCCCATACGCTGCAGATCATATTATTTGTGTCGACCTGCCACAGCATCCTTACAAACTCGGGCTCTTAATACAGATGATTCAGACACATGATTTGCAATTCATAGACGAGGAGGACTATTCCGATTCAGATCGATCGTCTCGCAGCGGGTCGTCTCGTAGCGGTTCGCAATACACAAGCTCTAAGTGCTCTCACAGTGGGGACGAGGATAACCCCAAAGCCTACAAGAAAGGGGGCTATCACCCGGTAATCAATGATTTCTCATTTTTGCATGATCGTGAAGAAATTTCGTCATGATTCGCGTGGTCGTTTCTGTTTCAATAATATCCGCATACGAACTTCTGTAGAAGGTCATCTACACCGCAGATTGACTGACATGGAAAAGTATCCTCGTCTACAATTGTTATTCGTAGAAAGAAGTGCGAACGCGAACCACAACTACGAAATACATAGGTTGTTCTTGGGCAGCAGTACGGGGGGCGGTACCGAATCCTGAGCAAGTTGGGAGCAGGCGCCTTTTCCACCGTGTGGTTGTGTGCGGACGAACGAAACAGTGACGCGCTGGTGGCTATGAAAATTTGCAAAAGCAAAGCATCGGTATAGATTTGAGAAATTGATAGAGCAGCTACAGCAGCGAGGCGTATTTATTAATCACAGTCCTCACCCTTGTTTTATTTTTACCGCATGCCTTTTACAAAGTATGAGCAACTGAGGACCACATGAAGCGGAGGTCTGCTGCTGCTCTTGAAAGAATTAATATAGAATGAATACTTACACACCAGGTCTGTGAGCAAGCCCTGGACGATATCCCCCAGAAAAAGACCGACAGGTCATATTTGTAATGCAAAAATAAATAGACAAAAAAATCTGTATTGCATGCCCTAAACAGGATGCTATGGCCTCGCCCATGACAGATTTTCCTGTGTATTTATTTTTGCATTACAAATATGACCTGTCGGTCTTTTTCTGTGGGATAGACGAAGTGAAGCTGCTGCGGTGCATAAATCCGCAGGACCAAGTCGCTGCTACGGATCCAATATCAAGTGTAAAAATGTCTGGGTCTGGAAGAATGCGAACTTGTGATGCGAATTCCACTACACGCGCAAATCTCTCATGCAAAGGCAGCAAAAGGTTCCTATTTCCTGTCACCAAAAACAGGGACTTGTCATGCGGATTAAGCATTGCGGAACGTTCGCGAAATCTGTGATGCTAGGGCTTCCATAACAGACCTTCTCTGTCATGCAAAAACAACATGACAAAAATCTGCATTCTTCCAGACCCAGACATTTTTACACTTGATATCCAAAATATGAGGGCCGGCACTACTGCATGCCGATGCGTCACCATTTTTGGCACGTTGGACCGAACGGAAAACACATGTGCCTTATCTTTGACCTGCTCGGCGAAAACCTTCTGGCGCTTGTGAAGCACACGGCTTATCAGGGCTTGCCCCTCCCATGGGTCCGAAAAATTGCCCGCCAAGTCTTGCAGGTATATATATTTTTTCTTCCCAGTGCTTGTGCTGTCCGTCGGTGGAGACGAGCGGGAACGTCTTGTAGCGTCTCTTCACATGGTGCACACGGTCGTGAAGTACGAAGCGCATCGACGTCCCTTGTTCACTATATTTCCTCACTGATCGATAATATCGATTGCAATTCATCTATGCCTATGCGTCTTCGACGCATGAACCTGCAATATGTTGTTCTACTACCAGAAGTAGCCCACCCTACTTCTTTCCGATATTCATTGAATCCCTTGGCGCGCAAGATCATGATGAATGTGAATCCCCTGTCAATATAAGTGATTCTCGGCAACCTTCGGCTCCACCAGGATCGTCGAAGAATGAAGATGATGAAAACTAAAAAAAACATCATTATCATCTACTCTCGTATTCATTTAACATTCACGACAGGCTTGCTGGCACATGGAGAAGGTGGGCGTAATTCACACGGATATCAAGCTAGAAAATGTTTGCGTGCATCGCCACGACATGAAAGAAGTGAAAGAAGAAGCATACGCCGTTCTGCGCTCGCTGAAACAGGCAGAGAAGCAGTACCAGGATTACGAATTGCGCAGGAAACAGCTCAACAGCGGGGAGGCCGGGAAAGAAATGCCCACCAAGCTAACCAAAGCGCAGAAAAAAAAGATGAACCAGAAAAAGAAAAAGATTCTGGCCGAGACCGCCGGCGTCAACTTGGCGCACGCGGGAAGTGGAGCTGCACTCAGGGTACTGCTACTGCAAACATTTTCGACAAACAGCTCTAGGTGGATGATTTTCGAATATTCTTATTCTAGCCTCGCAGAACAGCTGTTAATGATGCACAGATGAAATCGAAATATTCTTTCTTGTGTCGCTGGGTACTAGCGCGAACATGTTTATTGAGCAGCTGTACAACCAGCGGCATCTAGGAGCAGGAGGTAGAATTGTGATCTCGTTTTAATATCGCGTAGATAGGCCGTGAATAAATCGAAATATTCCTCGCAGGGCCTTACCTATTCTATTGCAAAAGTAGCTGAATAATGTATCTATATATAAGGCTGCTAGACGTAGCCGATTTCTTGTTACAATTCTACTGCTATAAAACACGACAAACAGAACATTCACGAAATTTCGCACCCCGACGTCCCTGAGGAGGAGAAAATAGTACTGCCTGACCCGCCCGCGCGGCAGCGGACGCGGTTCGAAACCTTTGCACTCTCGGATCTGCAGTGCGTTCTGTCCGACTTTGGAAATGGGTGCTGGGTCGACAAACATTTCACGGAGGAAATCCAGACGCGACAGTACCGAGCTCCGGAAATTCTGATCGGTGCAGACTACGATACCACCACCGACTTGTGGTCGTCGGCCTGCATGTTTTTCGAGTTGCTCACCGGAGACTTCCTTTTCGACCCGAAGAGCACTGACAGTACCATAAATGATATCTTTTTATTTTGCTAATACCAAATGCAGTAAATAACCAGCCTGCGCTACAACTGTAGTACTGCTGAGTTGTCAAAAGCAATTTGAGTGGGCCTTTGGAGTTTCTGAATTGGCCGCCCTTCCGTGCGGCATAACGTTATCCACGACGGCACGGCGAGCCCACAAAAAGCAAAGCCTCGGCCAAGGCGACGATCGGCAACGCAAGAAGACGGCAGTCACTTCACCACCCCCGCCGTGGCGGCAGCTATATTTCTCATCTACCAAAAGTGAAGTAATTATACTAAATGTAAAAACAACAGAATGGTCAACCGACGAGGACCAGTTGGCGTTAATGATAGAGCTTCTTGGTGGTTTTCCGCCGAAAGATTGGCTCGATACAGGCGAATACTCCGGGGACTTCTTTACAGAAAATTGCAAGCACATGCTGAACATCAAAAAACTGCACTACTGGCCCCTGGAGAAAGTGCTGTCAGAGAAGTATATAAATGGTTTCCTAAGTAATTCTTTCAGCTGCTTTTACTGTTTTCATCTTTATGTGGAAGTAGATGTAGTGACGCGACAACGTATGAATAAGTACTGCATTTTAACGCTTGTATCGAAATATAATACATACTTTTGTGTTTTTGCATCTTTCACGCCTGCACGCATAATTGCTGAGAGTTTGATTCTGTGGAGACGTCACGCATGAGTGCATCTTTTACTGCAAAGGCCTAAAATTGTCCAACACTCATTTCTATGGATTATCTTCATTAGAATCAACAACCCGTCGATAGGTATAAAGTAGAACAAGAGGAGGCAGTGCTTTTTGCAGATTTTCTGCTTTCTATGCTACGCTGGCGACCCGCAGACCGAGTTTCGGCAAAAGAAGCTTTGGAGCACCCCTGGATTTCGCGGGTGGACGAGATCGATGAGCACGACGAGTACATGCCGGTCTATTCGAGCGAAGACGAGCAAGACTATGACGGTACTTCTGTAGAAGCAAGTGCTACTTAGATGATTTTTTATCATTCTCGACCCTGAAGTGTATCAAGTGCGCGACTACGTGCAACATTTTTGCAAAGGTGAAAAAACAAGCTCCTGAAATTCATTTTTTATCTTAGCCGCAAATTAAAAGAGTTGACTGTAGTTACAAGACGCGAGCACTTGGATGATGACACCAGATGCATAGACACGACATGCGCAAGTTCTCAAAAATTATAATTATGCAGACGAAGAGGAAGACGACGAAGATTCTGAGTACACCCATTCTGGTTCCGACGAGCCGCAGGGCGATGAGGAGCGCGAAGAGGAACAGTACAGCGAGGACGGGAGGCGGAAAGCGCGGTCGTGTCCGACGAACGTGCACCTAACGTTCAAAGAGGACCAGGACCGGCGGGTGGTATGCGGAGAACACGGGCGGATGTACCAAAAGGTGGGCCGCAGTAGAAACAAACGAAGGAGCCGCGGTTACCACTACGGGGACGAGCAAACGTCGCAGTCCAGTCCTGAGTATGGAGGGATGTCCTCCAACTACGCGGCCGGGTCGTACTACGCAGGTGGCTCGTCAAACAATAACTTTGCGTGCAGTCGCCTCTCGTCTCACTCCACGTCGTCCGACTCAAGTTGCCACGAATATGTTGGTCCTTGCGGCAGCGGGATGAACCTCCGTCTTGTCGACCACACACCCGGAATGATATCTTCTCCCTCCGGCTCCGGAAGAACTGCTGGCGGCACAAGAACCGTGGCGGCAATACGAACCAAGATAAAAAACGAAAGGGAGCTGGGCAACCACCGCGAGGACTACGGAAGCAGTAATGTGGCCAAGCGCAAGCGCGAGGAGAAGCAGAAACACAAAATAGCAGACACTTGGCGAGACAAAAACGCCCTCCGGTTGGAAGTAGATGACACCACGATTACGGGTGAGCCACTCGAGGACAATGACGCCGGTCGTGTGAGTGGCGCAGCACGAGCACCAGACGGGGAAAGGGGAGCTTCTTGGAGTGAAAATCTTGAAACTTACCAGTCAGAGGCATTCAGTGCAGGTGGCGTTTCCCCGGAACAGCAGAAATATGAAAAGGCAACAGCCAGCTCTGCGAATTATACTACAGGAAACCGAAGTAACACAATGGACCCATCAAACCAGCACCAACGAGCAGAGACGACGGGCGGTGGTGGGTCTTCGATCGAGGCCCGCCGAGATTCGTCGATAGGCAGCAACCCACCGACACTGAACGACCAGCATTACCGGGTAGAGGACGAGACTGGAGCACAAAGTGACGCACCTTATGATCTCTCAGAGGCAGACCTCGCGCTCGTGGGCCATTCAGAGGCCGTTGCACCAGAGGCTTCCGGTGAGACCACTACGACCACCGCGGCCATGGATAAGCATCCGCACTACAACACGAGAGCGACGACTCCTATGGACGTAGACGAGGTCGAGGAGGAAAGCGCAGGTCCTCAGCATCAGGCCTCTACGCGAGTTGCTGCACCGCCCGCCGGCATGGTAATACTGAATAAAGATCGACGGCCACCAGCAGCCCAGCTGGATCTGCTAGATACGTCAGCCAGCTACCCTGCTAGCCCAGACCGGCACGCCTAGCGGATTCAGCGCCGTCTAATGTGCAATAGCAAAACCAAAAGCATAAGCAATGGCGAACAAATTATTATATTCAAGATGAACTTCAACTCAATTTTCAAGCAATTGCGCGATTTAGCACTTCGTCTAGACGTGCAACGGAAAATGAAGGCGACCTCTTCCTGTTGATTTTTATATTGCTGCGAAACGCGGAATGACAAGTATATCCTACAGCAACCGGTACCCGGACCGCGAACCAGTATGGCGTTGATTCATATACACATAAATTTGACGACAGCACAAGACATTGCGCTGCTTCTGTCCTCTCGCCTTTCCCGCCCCGGGAAGGAGATGCGCGAGCGCGACCTTCTATAGCTACGAATGACTTCTTCGATTAGCTTCGTTGTGAATGCGAAGACTATTGACATCTCATGATCGCATCATGATCCACACGAATAAAAAAAACGCTCTGCAATTATGAAGATCCTAAGTGTGTACACGAACAACCTCGACTACATTGATTTTTGAGTGGGGGCTGCTGCTCTATGTATCACGGAAGACGTATCATTAAGAATCAGTCTGCTGGTCTTTGAGAATACAGTTTAGTTTTGGTTTTTCCCTACGCAATAAAGAACGAAAACGAAGTCGCGAACTCGAGGCCTCCCTGCAGTTCGTAGTTGCGCAACTACAGCTGGAACGCAGGAAGTCGCAACAGCACAACACAACGCGGAAAGATGTTCTTCTCTGTTGAAGATTTTGCAGAGCAGCATCTTTTTCCGTACGCGATCCGTATTGATTCAAAAGTAAAATGACGAAGTGCATAGGACGAAACCGGGGAAAAAAAGTGCGTCGCAATCACAGCAGATCCTTTAAATCCGATCGACGAACGCAAGAGATACCCTAGAAGGTGCCTCACAGAGATGATCACGCGCGTTTTTTTTTATTTTTGCGGCCAGAGCTGAAAAAGAAAATGAAAATCCTCACAACGCAAATTTTTTGCACCAGACACGATCTGACCGGCTGACAACTCGAGCCTGTTGTAGTAGATCTCAGGAGGCTCAGGCGCGGCCGCGCATTTCAGGACGAGTACAAAAAGATGAGTCTAATTTGTAGTTGTGAAGATGAAGGATTAAATTGATCCAATTGATTCAGCGAGACTCATTATCATTTGGCAATCCTTTCCAGAGTTCCACCTCACAAGACAAAAAGATCTTTCTCCCTGTCGCCGTGCTGAGTTGGATTTGCTACTCTTGAAAAATGTTATAACAGGCGACACGATCGACTGCGATCTTGAATACAAAGATGCACCGCGGCGAAGGGCCCGACGAGGCAACAAGGATTCACGTTTTCATATAGTTTTCCGCGCACCGTCACATCACAACTTCTCGGTTTACGGTTTCTTAGAAAGACACTATAAACAAATATCTTTTCGACGAGGTGAACTTGATGGTGCCACCTCACTGCTTGTCCTAAGGAAGGTTGTCCAGTTTCACTTTTTTTCATCATAGTTTCTATCTGTTCGTCTTCGTAGTTATCGATATCGTCGTTACCGCAACTCCTTTGAAAAAAATGGCAGCTCCACCATCGAAATTGGCGGCGCAGCGGCAGAGCTGCGCACCTTTTCTGAAGCAAGTCGAAGGTGTGGGCTTACCTCACGGCAGTCCCAATCGACAACGGTGGTCCCGAGAGAGCGCAAAAGTTCCTTCTCACACTGTGTATGAGATCCTCGCGAAGTTGTGGTATGCCGATACTGGGGATTGGGACTTTGGCCTGATGACAGACGTGGATGACAGGTATCTGCAGGAGTTTATCGAGGATCTGAGGCGCTGCCTTTCCGAGTTGGAAACGAAAGAAGTTCCCGAGGAGCAGGAAAGGGCGAAGCAGAACGCTGTGGCTTTGTACAAGCGTGACCTCCTCCCGATCGTTGAAGAAGCCCTGCAACGGCAACGAGACAATTTGTCGGATTCCTTTTCCAGTGACATGGATTGGCTCTCTGCACTGTTGGTAAACCGCCTTCGGGAAAATCCGTTTGTGCCCACGACCGTGGACGAAGTGTTGGGATCTGGATCTGCAAAGGTACTTAGGGCATCGTGCTGCTCTACCTTTATTTTCAACTGGTTGCGAAGCTCCTGCATCATGGCCGTACTACTTCTCTTGACTCTCTGATTCAAGATTTCTATAATCAACGTAGAAGTTGTGTGTGAGCGCTCGTATAGTAGCAGTAGGGCAATCGCATTTGTTTGCGTCTGCGATGAATACTCTCTCTCACCCACTCGGATCAACAACGATCAATCAGGAAAACGATCTCGGAACGACGGCCAAGACTGTGCCACCGCACCACCCGCTGTGGAAAAACAAGCCAGTCTTCGTATCCTAAGTAAATACGTACCTATGAGTACTTCGCGCCCTCATTTGTCATGAAAACCTTCGTGCTGAAAACCTCCCACCGTGTGGAGACAATTTTCTGATGGTGTTGTTTGGAATTCTGTTTCTGTAGTAGCGGTTTGATCAGGGTAGGAAAGACGGTTTTTGGTCGTACGGCTGTCCTATTTAGTAGCTCAGCACCCCTACGCTACGGATCTAGACTCATAATTGATATTGCACCGCCTGTCTATGTCATCATGCGCAAATTCTCAACATCGAAACTCTTGCAAAAGTTCCACACTTGTTAACTGCGGACGAACAGGTAAGTACGCTTTTACTCAGGATACTTGGTAAAAAACCAGAGTGGAAAGGGTAGCGGACTTTATTTCGGCCGTGACGAAGCTCGTAATGGGTCCAGTTCAACATCGTCTTCAACCGGCACTAGGTGTTCGGGAAAATTGACTTCTGACGAGGATTCTTATCGTGGGTGCGGAGAAAAAGTGATTCAACCCGGCGAACTGATTTTCAAAGACTCCTCGCTGATCACGAGGATCGAGAAGAAGGAGAACTTCGCTGCTGACAACGTTAATAAGAACTGCTCTGCTCGGTCGGCGTCTTCTGTCGAAGGACAACGACCCGAGGATGACCGTGCAAAAAAGCGGCGCAGAGCTTTGTGCCGGTACCAACTTCGGACACTCTTTCCCGATTTCGAAAATTTGGTCGCGTTTCTATCGCTGTCAAACTGCTTGCTTCCCGACGTAGTCCGTACTAGTACTACCACGGCCGCAGATGATACCGCAGATGCTCGTGGTGGTGGTGGTTCTGGAGGCGTGGAGCACCACAACAGAGCGGCCCCCTCCGAGGTTGTACAGCAGAACCAGGAACACCCTCTGGAGAGATCTTGTTTTGAGATGAGCATGGCAGAGCATATCGAAGGTATCTACGTCACGAACGCCATCACTGTCGCCGACTTAGACAATCCCTTTGAGCTCTGTGGCACCGCCCTTTTTCCTCTCGTGGCTCGAATGCAGCTTATCCCACGCAAAAATCCATTTCAGTCTGGAACTGGAAGACCACGACAACGTGAAGTGCTGCAAGGTTATTTGTCATGCCCCAGGCTGGGTGGCGCGCGGGTGACCAACTCGTCCCCAGCTGTCGTGTGATCTAGATGGTGCGTGTTGATGCTTCATCCGGTAGCGGTAGAGTCGCTTTGTTTACATATTGCAGATTGGTGACATGCAAATTGTCATCATGTAGTTGACCAGCTCGCGAACTGCGTAAACACGACGGATTTGTCAATAAATAAAATGCTCTAGTAGGACTTGATTGAACAAGGACAAGCGTCGCGCTCCTTAAAATGAAACCGTGGTCTTGCAGTATCTAGAACGTCGTAGACTGAGACACGTTTGCAATGCATGCGGCACAGTGACACTCCAAACTGTGACGTGCAGGTCCGGCGCGTGCCGTGCCCGAAAGGAGCGCGGAAGCTGCGAGGCGCGAATCTCCAGAAAGCTCTGCACGAACGCATTGACTCGAAAACTCTGGCAGCACGGCAAAGAGGTGAGCCTACCGCCGGGCGGTGCCACCAGGAAAACACAAACAAAAGTGACGGCAGGGGCAGCTCCTTGTCCTGCTCCCTCCAAACCAATAAAGACGACAAGAGAGTAAAAAGCACTTCGACAATTGCATTTCACTTCACCGCCGAAACGGATGCTATCCAGGGCTTCAACACCCATCACCGGTACTGCCTGCGACAGGATCATGTTGCTTGCGGTGATGATTACGACGGAAGGAGTAGAAGCGTGGCCGCCGGTGATGAACAAAGGGAAGAGCAAAGGGATGAACACCAGGCGCCGCTGGCGCACACCTGGGAGGCCTTCGTCGTCGCGCTCCGTCCGATACCCCCCGGGGAGGAGTTGACCATTGATTATGTCGGACTGCACTGGTTTCTCGACCGCCGGCGCACTCTTTTGCGCGACTACCGTTTCTGCTTGCCGGGTCTAACGATGGGGCCGAAGAAACACATTAGCACGACGGCACCAGACGGCAGTGTTGCGTTCGACGACCGCACAACTTGTTTGATTCCCGCGACCCACCGCCCCGGAATCGCTGCGTTGGAACGCGGCCTCCTTGAAGGAAAAGTACGAAAGCGCTTTCGAAAAGTCTTTTGGATGGAGCACGATAAAGGCCTCGTGGATAACATTACTCCGTCGCTGAGACTCAGTTGGCGAGAAGATTTGTGCAAGCCGTTCAGCTTCGCGAAACGCACCTACGAAGCGGGACGAACGGAGCAAACTGTTGCGCACTGCTTCGACGTCGAGACTGGTGAAATCAAACCGGTGGACTCGGCAAGAGCACGCATGGCCGACCTGCGCCCGGGGTTCCAGCAAAATTTGGTGATGTGTCAGACCTTAGAGGAGTTCAGGGAGCGGGTTTCCACGCATTGGGCGTGGATTCGGGAACAGTACCTCTTCGAACGACCACGCGTAGTGACCACACGTCTTCCCCCACGACACGGACAAGAGCAGTCTATGGACGTCACACTGTTTCCGACCAGAAGTGTCGCAGCGGCGTCTATTTCGCACCACCAGCTGAATGCCTACGCCGAGTGCGAGATGGAGGACTACAACGAGGAAGACCACCCCCGAGACATGCTTGCACATCCCGGAAACACCATCTTTCTTCTGCGGCAGGTGCAGAAAAAGAAGGACGGCATCACGCGTGACTTGACCGTCGCGTCCTGGAGCTACACGGGCGGGGGGCTCGTGGCAAGTTTGAACGGCCGCATCCTCTTTCCCAACGAGCGCGACTTTGTCATGGCGACGCATGGCAGAGGGCGGGTGCGCGACCCAGGACTGGACCTGGACTTGTGGCTGAGTCAAAGCCAGCATGTTGCTGCTCCTGCTTGTCCGGACCGTCATAATTCGTCAGGGGACGAGGACGAGCAGCGGGCAGCGGTACACGCTCAGCTTCGAGAGGACCTGTTGGAGCGGCGGGACTTCTCTCTCCGCGAGTACATTCTCGACCGGTCTTGCGACGAGGATCTTGGGCGCGGAAGCAGCAAGACCACCTACATGTGGAGTTTTTGGCGCGATGCCCCGCTCGCAACGCAGTATCTGGCGTACCACTGTCACGACAAAGCTACCTACGACCGAATTGTCTACACGCGTGAACATCACCAGTGGTTTGTGAACCACCTGCAGCTCGACTTAGATAAGCTAATGGAGGAGTTCCTGCGTTCTCTGACGCACAAAAATAACGGGGAGGACGGCCCTGCCCCAGACGGGAACGAAAGTTGGCGACCTTGGATCGCACTTTTTGCGCGTCCATCGGAAAGCAGGGAAAGACTGCAAGCCAGGGTCGCTACGCTACTGGCGAAAGTGCAAGACTTCGTGCGCTTTGAGTCAGAGCGAGGGCTTCTCGGCGACGATTTCGCGCAGTATGAGTCTGTCCTGTGGGAAGTTTTCAGAATGGAAATGGTAGAAATGTTGAACAGGTGCCATGATGCAGATGCATTTTTATTCATTCCTTGAAAAAATAAAAGACAATAGAGTCAATAAATATGTATCAGTTCTTGTTGGGCCCGCACTTTCACAGCACTCGACTTCGTGGCGGTGCATGTTTTGTTAAATCTTCTGCCACTGTAGACGAATCAAGTATCTGTTGAGATCATCCAGTAGAGTAGAAGTAGCCCGAAGTTTTTACAGTCTCCAGGCTTCATCAAAAACATCCAAGCGACAAGTTCTATTCTCGTTTTGCCGATTTCCCGCAGGTCTCTACTTCCATAAGCATTTATCGAGTACCAGTACGGGCACGTCGAGCGGCCAGTTAAATCAGCAACTTTTTCCGTCAACCGCGCCTCCGGCTCCGGTGACGTTGCATCTTGAAGGAACCGGCGCACCGGAAGCAGGCTTGGGAGCCGGAACATCGTCGCAACTACCCCACAGAACCGACTGCACCACGAGCAGAGGACTTAATTTTAGCCCAGGTAGTTGTTTTGCTCAAGGAGCGCAGGAGATCAGCGTCGAGGAATCTTCCCCCGCAGAGTCACTCGAAGAAACTGTGGCCTCCGCTGGCGATGCCAGTCGTGACCTTCCTGTCGACGGCACGACGAGCGGGGAGGAACAAAAGGGCAAGAAAAAGGACGGGAAGATGATTTCTCGTCGCGCAAACCCAAACGGGAATAACTGTGCTGCGAACTCATCCGCATCTTCTGTGTCCTCCTCGACACCTTCTAATGTTTCCCCGACTTGGTCCTCATCTTCACGCCGCCTGTTCGACGAGGACATGCAAAAGCTGCTCAGCGAAACCCTGCGAAAAAGCGCGGACGCACTGTCGCTCGGCGACATAGTGTTCCTGTTTCACCAAGGCCTGCACGCGGCGGAGTTCGTCATGGATGCGACCGAGCTGACGAACCCGGTGCTGCGGGCTCGCATTGCCTTTTGGAAGTGGTCCCTTTGTGGACATAGACGCGAAGACTTGGAAATGACGGAGCGGTTTCTCAAGCTCCATGAACAAACTGGGTTCGTGTTAAACGTTCCATGCAAGAAGAATACAGCTCCGGCTCCTGCGCAGGATGCGGATCTTGCTCATGCAGACCAGGAGCAGGCGAAACAGGATGTTGCGCCGCAGGAAGACGATCCTGCTATGGACATTCAGGATCGCACAACCGCATCGAACTTGGCAAGCCGTATGGGAATGACCTTGCACACCGCCCAACTCTGCCCCAACTGGTTCCCCTTGACTCATTCTTTGGGAGCAGCAGAGAACACAACCGATCCGACGAAGATCTACCTGCCTCCGCTGGGTCGACGCCGAGGGGACCGAAGTATGAACGATAGCACGAACAAAGAACAGCCGCGCGAGGTCGGACTCGTCTTGGCAAAGGGGTGCGAAACTTTGCTGCAGATTCCGCTAGACGCGCGCTACGACACCGAAAGCATCAAGGAAGGCCTCAAGCTTGACGTCCATGTGCGCAAGAATGATGGCATGGAGACATCCGATCCGGAGTACTTTGGAGTCCTCCTTGACCAAGCAGAAAAAGAGCCTCTTTTATAAAAAAAAATCAAGGCCTCCCCCAACTTCCCCTCAGTTGATCATGTTGGCGATCCAGAGTACTAGACACAAACCGAAAAAGGAGGTAGCCTGGCTGTAAGAAATGATAGAACCCAAATTTGTATGGTTGCGCTTTTTGTAATTTATTTGGCTTGTTCCGTGGTGCCTCGGCGTCGGCCTTAACACACAGAACCAAGTACTGCCATACTCCACCGGTAGGCTTTTTATTCATTTTCTTGCCTCATAGATCGATGGGGAAGACAAGGAGATGGCGTAGTTGCCCGCTATCATATGATTCGGAAGCCAGCAGCGACGAAAATGAAGAAGAGAATGAAGAAGAGTGGAGCTCTTATGATACGGCGGGTTCCGATTGATTTTTTCCTATGTTTTCAGAGAAGAGCACCAAAATCGGCGACAGAAAATTATCCTCAGAGAATTACATCAAAAAAACGAGAACACTGATAACGACGACCCTGGACCAAATTAGACTCGGATGTGAAAGCTCCGCAGTCTCCTGAGCCCGGCAATCTTCAAGAATGTGAATGTATGTTCTTGCTACTGTTCGAATTTATATTCTTGTTACTCTTCGCGTAAACGTCTTTATGAAACCCAAAAAAGTCACGAACACGAAATGAGGGGGACGCTGAGCATCAGCAGTGACAATGTCGGTATGTAGTTGACACATTTTACTTGTATTTCTACACGATTGTGGCACTCTGCCCTGCCACCTCGAGAGTACGGGCCGCCTTGGAAACGACGAACTTCCAACATGGTCTGGTCAATCGAATCATCTGTAGTTTAGCAAGCGTGTAGTTGTCGGTATTTCAAAGATTTGAATAACAAGGCAAAAGGTGAAGCAAAGATGGCTATCCTCGACCCGTTGGGCAGCTGGCCCCCCCTCATCCTGATGGTGCCGGGCGTGCCCTGGCTCAACTTTCGTTTTTTCTCCTTTCTTTTGGTGGCTTTGCTGCTCTGCCAGCGAGTCAGTTGTTTTCTTGTGTACAAGGGAACCTTCGACACGCGCGAGAGCAGCGAGACCCCTTTGGTAAGCTACGTGCTTGGTGAAATATGGATTACCTGGTGCGTGTTCGCGCTGATCCTGTTTCCCCCCGCGCTCGCCGGCATTCTGTACGATTGTGAGAAGCCCGTTCGTGCCGCCTACTATCTGCAGCTCCTAACGTTCTGGCTCATTCTGCTCCTCGCGGCCTTAGTGCAGGTATTCGCCTACTTTCACGTTGCCGGAACCGTCGCTCCCAAGCAGAGCGGAGAGGGCGGCAGCTCGGGCGACGGTACCGGCGTCAACGCAGCTATGAGAGTGCACAACTCCCTCTCACCGCCCTCATTTGTCATGCAAAATGCCAAGCCCGCCCTTTGCTCCGTGGCACTGCTTGCGTGACAGATTCATCCCGAAGCCGAAACATCACAATAAGACTCGGTCGTGAATTTGTCATGCAAAAGCTGCATCTGTGCCAGCACCACTTGTGTTGCTGTGGGTGCCATCCAAGTGAGGGGGTACTTAGGGGACCACGACGAGTTGTGCACTTTCATAACAGCTGGCGTTCCTACGGGTACGGAACTCGTCGTGGCTGCGATCGCGGATGAGGACAATGCCGCAGTCGTGGCGAAGCTGCAAGAGAGCAAGGTCAAGGACCCCATCGAGGTGATGGCGGACGGCTTGTTCGGCGTGCTCGACTCCATCGGTTCGGCCTTGTTGACTTTGGTGATGGCGCCCTTCGGCTTCGCGTTCCCGGACTCGAGCTGGGTATTCATCATCATCTACAACCTGATTCTCTCCGGTGGGCACCTATTCTATCCACACCGCATCTTCAAAAGGATCGACGCACAATTAATACATCGCCCTCCAACAGCAAATACAAAAGAAGAGCACAGCTCTACTAAACGATCATAGAGGTGGAACGTAAAAAGAATTACTACGTCTACGAACATAATTTCTACGAAAGTGAAAGGAACAGTGCGAGTTGTGCTGTCATGCAGTACGGTTACATTTCGTAGTCGTACCATACGCGTGCGTGGTAGTGTGCGAAGTTGAAGATACCTTTGCGCATAATACGGGTGCAGCGTGGACGATTCGGTCCGCAGCTGACGAAATTCGGGAGGATATCCTGTGCAAATATGTCTCCGCGCTTGACGAGTCCTCGCCCGACGAGAACTCTAAGAAAATGCGTGGATTTGCTCCCGTAGAAGTACCAGTAGCATCAGAGATTTTGTAACCAGAAGTACGTGACTCGTCGCAGAAGTTGTAGTCCACCTTTTTGATTTGCACAGCAGAGCTCAACACACAGTAACTTGGGGACGTGGAGACAACTTTTGCCCAGGATTGAGGGTTTTTTTCGCGAATTTTGGGATTACAAGAAGAGGTTCGCTCGCGTCCGTGGAACCGACGGGCCGGGCGAAGATCCATTACTAGATAAGTTTGGCCGCTGCGCGCACCAGAGTCACATACTCGCGGTGCCAATGGAACAGGCCCGGAAGATACGGGATTTGCCGCGGGAATTCCCAATCGAGCACATGGTAGACACGATGATGTTCCAGGAGCGAACGGCGGAAGCGCAGCGCGCCGCCCAGAACGCCAAAATTGACAACACCGATCGGGAATCCGACCTCACAAGCGCGGAGCTCTGGACAAAATTCTACGTGCAAGAGAACTCCATCGCCAGACGACTCATACCCACAATATAATTTTTGCCCGACTGCTTTTGTATGATTATGTATAGGCTGTAACGGCTGCTAATTTGAAGTTGTCTCAAAGTCTGAAGCAAAGCAGGTTTTGCTCTTCATCTTCTGGTGCCGAGTGCGAATCCGAAAGTAGAACTGGAAGAACAAGAACTGCAATACTTTCCAAGAAAGCAGGCTACTTACTGTGGTGCACCCCTCGTGGCTCTGTACTTCTTCTGTAATTGTATGATAGCAGCGAATTAAGGTTGACGGCTTGGTCCGAATGCGAATGAAATACAATTTAATAAAAAGGACTAGATCATTCATCAATCATTGCTTTTGCTTCCGACCGAAGAAGGCAGGGGCGAACAGAGTACTTACGTCCTTGCTTGTGCTTGTCGTCCGGCAGCAGGCGCATTTCAGTCAGGACAGAGTGTTCCGTCCAGCAACACGATCTTGGTGCAGGAGAAAAGAGAAACACACCTAAAAAGGGCAACTCTTCAATGACAATGAAGCGTCGCGATAGAAGAAAAGCAAATGGGAGCGAGTATGAGTAGTTGCTAGTTCTTAGACGTATGATTTTTACCAGCACTGTTTATTCATTGAGCCTCTCAATTATCACCGAGGCACGCAAAGGCAAACAAGAGGCTCAATCACGTGTGAGTTCGTTTTTTGAATTCCAAGTTTTGGAATATGATTGTGACTCGGACTACCTCTATTGAATGCGGTACTGGCAGCCTTTTACTACTATGCACGAAAAGCTTTAGATGATGACGAGGACGAGGAGCCCTCGAATATCATCACAAGAAAACAGTAGATAAAGGCTGCCGAAAGTTCAAGTTTCCGTGGTCGATGAAGGTTTTTGAATCATTTTACGAGAAGACATCACAATCACTGAAAAACAAATAGACTTCTTTATTTTGTTTTCCCCTGAACAAGACACCTTCAAATAATGTGTATAAAAAAGACCACCTCCTGTTCCTGGGTTGGAGGTGTCGCTTTCTTTACTGGTGGTCGAGAAAAAAGTTGTTTGAACTTCAACTCCCAGAGCGCAGCGGAACGCTAAAGCCTGTCACTGTTCCCTTCCTGCGACAAAAGAACAAAGCCGGAATAGGGTCTTCACTGTGTCGAGCCTGGGAATAAAATGGAGGGGCTGGACGATCATCTGTCTGCGCTGAAGACGGAATGGGTCGTGCTGAAGGAAAAGTATTTCTACGGAGAGCAAATTGACCCGGTGTTTGAGGGGACGGTGCGGGATTTTTGTGAATTCGACCAAGTGATGCAGGAATTGTACAAAAACATCGAACAGTTTATGCGCAGCTGCGAGAACCTGTGCACGGGGATTCTCAAGGTAGCGGAAACCGTGGTCCAGGGGATGGGCAAAGAGAAAGACCCCCAGATTGCGGCCGAATCCTGCAAGCTGAAGGAAGCGGCCAACCAGATCACGCGCGTGGATGCCCCCCACAGTGCTATAGCGAAGCTGCGCCGAGACATGGACTTCAACATTCTCAATCCGATGCGGCAGCACTTACTGAACAACCGTACTACTTGCTCGTCGACATGTTGAGGACGTCATAGTCATTGATTCCACTTTACAATTTCGCAGATTTTTGTCATATGGTTATATCGCCATATGTACCGTGCAAAAAACCCTCTTGCAGGGAGCAACATCATGATTTAATTAGAGGAGGGTCACAAACCTAATCCTTAGGTCCGCACCGGACTTATGGACCACCCGGCCGGATGGTCCTTAGGTCCGGTGCCCCAAAAGTTACTTTGCGTAACTGCAACAGCTCAGTCCTACTCTGACGGCCGAGCTCTTCCGTGAGATTCCGCATATATTCAAGGGCAGAGCCACACTAATGCTTGCGCGAGCTATACTTCTCAGAAGGCTTGCACTCGCGCGGTGGAATTGATGAATGCAATTTCTTGAAAAGCAAAAGGCGGCCTCTATATGTTTTTACTGACGCACACTACGTTAGAGAAAACTGTCCCCACTACCCCGGTTTTCCCCAAATCAAAAATTTTTTTATGAACTGATGCAACAACACGGCCACCGGCCGCGCAGCCCGCCCGGATAGTGTCCGCTAGTGGATCTTCTTCACGGATACTTTCTGAGGCTGTTACGTATGCAATGGAGCAAGCGGGATAGCGGCGCGCAAAAGTCGGCGCATGAGCTGACGGGGCAGCAAGCTTTGTGGATGTGTGTAGCTACTTCGGCCCCATCCGCGCGTGGGCTACTGCAACGCGGCCCCGCCACACTGGCCGCGCCCAACTTCTGAGGCTCCGGCCTCACCGTTTCCCTGGGGGTCGTGCATGCGTACCTTTTCGGGAGGTTTCTGGTGCTCGTTTTGGTGGCCGAAAGTGCGTAGATAGCTGCTTAGGGCCGAAATCCCCAGCATACGTTTTTTTTCTCGCCAGCGTGTCCGAACATGCACTCAGGGAAACGGTGCCGGCCAGCCTCAAGCGGAGAAGACAGGTCCGCGGCAAGGGGCATTGCGTTCAGCCTTAGGTGGCCGGGGGGCGGGTCTGGCATGGGCGCCTTGCCCAGGGCGCTGCCTCGCGGGCCCCGAGCTGCTTGCGCCCCAAAAAGCCGGGCAAGGCGTGCAGTGTCTTTGAGTCCAGCAACACACCTGGGGGAGCGGGCTTCGGTCTGGCCATTCGCGGCGCAGGTCGCTTGCGAAGGGCCCGCCCTGCTTACAATTGGATCGAAAAAAAAAAATTGTCTTTGGGGAAAACCGGGGTAGTGGGGACAGTTTTCCCTACCGTACACACGCAATGCCATAGGCAGTTCTGGATTGATGCAGTGCACGAAGTTTGTTCTTTTCTATGTATTTGTGGGACTTTCTATATTCCCTTTCCGCTAAAAACATCACCCGTTGGCCGACGTCGATCGCGCAGGCACAGTCACAATCATGTCGGGAGCGGCGCCGCAAGAAAACAGCCAGTACAGCGCCAACAATTGCCCATCACTAGTATTGTTCATCATCACCGCCATCACCTCTACCTCCAATCAATCCGGAAACGCCGCCCCGGCGACGGTTGCGACGGCGGCATCGGCGTTGGTTGCGTTGACACGGAGGAGGGAGAGGTGGTGGTGGTGACGACGCTGACGCTGCGCCGGCTGTTTTTCCTGCGGCACCGCTCCCGATACGATTGTGGCTGTGCCTGCGCGAACGACGTCGGTGTGCCTGCACGAACGACGTCGGCCAACGGGTGACGTTTCATTTTAGCGGAAGACGAATATAGAAAGTCCTATAAATGCATACACTGCAATGCAAAATCAAAAGCGAAACTTTCCAAATAGCTTCAAAAACCAAATAGAAAGTCCTTCCTAGTGCATATAAAGAAACTTCTTGCACTATCTACGTCAAAACTGCCTATGGCATAGTGCCGCCTCTTCGTGCAGAAATTGAATAACATGCAGAATCTCGCGTAAGAGTTCTGCCGTCAGAGTGGGGCTCAGCTGCTGCAACTCCTCCTCATGCAGTTACGTAAAGCAACTTTTGGGGCACCGGACCTAAGGACCACCCGGCCGGGTGGTCCGTAAGTCCGGTGCGGACCTAAGGATTAGGTTTGTGACCCTCCTCTTATTGTTGTTCGCCTATAAATATTGGACGAAATAAGTAGTGTGGTCTATCATGCTCCTCAGCATCGACACTGGAGGAAATTCTTCAAAAAGTATATCTTTAAAGAAACATTACCAACTCCCGATCGCACCGCCTCAGGCAACCTGAAGAGCAACCTGGAGCAGCGTCGGCGGCTATGGATGTGTCAGAGTTGAAATCGACAAAGTTGAAATAATTTGTAATGCATAAAATGCGACACAGAGACTGACTCTATTGCTGAAGGCGCAAGGGAGGCAGATTCTAGTGCTGGTAAGGGTCAAGCATTGGGCTGCTGACTAGCATGACAGGGAGCAGCCATCTTGCCCTAAACAGCATGACAGACTTGCTTCAGAGGCCAGGAAAATTTGTCATGCGCCGATTGGAAACTGCGGGTCCAACTGGTATAGATTTTATGCATCACAAACTATTTCAACTTTGTTAATTTCAATCCTGACAGTTCCATAGCGGAAGCTGATGGAGTACAAGAGCGCGAAAAAGCAGGTAGAGGAGCTGGGTAAGAAAAACCTGGTATCAAGTGCAAAAATGTCTGGGTCTGGAAGAATGCAAGTTTGTCATGCTTGTCTCGCATGACTCTTAAATTTGTCATGCACATTACCCAAGAGCCCCATTTTTGTGGCATGCAGAAACGCAGTTTGTCATGCAGAATAGGCAACACCTAGAAGCTCAGAAACTTGTCATGCTGAGCCAGCATTTGTGGCCTCTTCGTAATACGCTACCCAGCATCACAAGTTTCCAGACCCAGACATTTTTGCATTTGATACCTGGGAAAAACGGACAAAAAGGTGATGCAGGCGGACGCCGCCCTCACAGCTGCCAAGGCACAGTTTGTCGAGTGCGACCGAAACGTGTTTGAGTGGCTCTACATCCTGGATGAGTACAAGGGCGACATCTTGGATAGCACCATCCAGACCATAAAATACCTCCAGTACGAGTTTTTTGCCTCGTCCGCCCACGCGCTAAGCGGCGTGCTTCCGAAGCGGATGGAATTTCGCCCCATGGTCGAAATGACGCCGGAGCACCTAGAAAACCAGGTCGACATAGAGCTGCAGGAGACCGACCCAAACGAGGAATATCCTGTTGTATAAGGAGTATCGTACTCGTGGCATCTATGCCTGGCACGACACATGATGTGGTCCTGCTTTTATTTTACCGTAATCATAAGGTGCGTGACAACTTCGACTTCCATGCTTGTTGGTGGAAAAATCAGACTTTGATCTTGATGTCAACATTCTAGCGCGTGCGCGATACAATACTTCTTTGTTTCGCAATTTATACGGAACAAGAGGAGCCCATAACAGATTTTGGAATCAAGCTCATTACCAAGCTCGAACGGGACGGCCGTGCGGTAGAAGAGGAGCCGGTACATCATCTTTTCTGAGGTTATTTTCGCTTTCATCTCGAACTCGATTCTTACTCCGGTGTTTTCAGAAAAGAGTCGTATATATGACAAAAGAATGTATTTTTTCTTCTTGCAAAGCTATATGCAAGTAGTCGTGCACCAAGGCACCACTCGTTCATGTTTTCACAGAAAGTCGCCGTCGATCCCCTGTCGCTTTCGAGCTTGCTCAGCCAGGGATTTGACGAAGCTGACGCCCGCCGAGCACTTCGGCTACACAACAACGACACCCAGAGTGCCATGGAGTGGATTCTGAACGGGGGCAAAACCGCGAGTTCGGCCTCTGATGCCCAAGACGGCGTGCGCATGCCCACCACGATTCGAAGGATACAAAAGCTGCGAAAAAAGAGAAAGGATGAACGCGAAAAGCAGCGCGCTGAGAAGGCTGCGCGCGAAGGCGGTAAGAAGTTCTTGCTCCTCATCGTGTCCGTCTTCGTATGAACTATGATATATGAATTACGTATCATTTGACCTTACTTCTCTAACTCTATGAGGACTAGCTCAGGAATGCCACTGCTGCATTCACCAAGAAGTAAACACAACTGGGCTGCTGGACGAAGACATGCGTTTTTGCTATATGTTGCTTCTTTATCATCTTTTGTTTCTTTATTATCTGCTGCAAGCACATGATGCAACAAACAGTTGACAACGTCCGCCAGCCTACATTGGAAGAAATGGCTCAGAAGCAACCGGCTGCGCCCCCTGTGGACTTGCTCTCGTAGAACTTTTGCTCTCGTGCTTTTCTCGTTTTTATTTGCTCTTGAAGAGCCAGAATATATTGCTCAACTATAGATGTTCATGCTGTTGTTGGTACCCACCTCCTCGTCAATTTTTGACGAGCCAGATACTCATACTGTTATTCTTTTGGACCATTGAACAAAACTACATGCTCGTGACCAACACCCTGAGAATGAATTTACAGATTGGATACCACGCCGCCGACCACTTCCGCCTCTAGTACGTCACCGCCGAGCGGTGGGCCCCCGCCGGATCTTCTTTCGCTGGATTCCGTCACAGATTTTTCAAAGCCGGTCACACGGCAATCTGTGCCCGAACAGCGCAGCTTCGACCCAAACGACTGCGAGCTCCGCGGGCCCGGTGCGGGATCGTCCTCTCCAAACACGCCTGCAGCAGCGACTGCTTCAGGAGGAGCCGCAACCGAAATGTCGCGGGAGCAGCTCATGGGTCTGTTGGCATCGGGTTCGCAGCTCACCCCGACCCAGCTCGCACAGGCTCAGAAACTGCTTGCTGCACCTTCCACTGCACCAGGTGCGGTCGCAAGCGGAGCACAGTCAAGCAACGTGGCAGCGCCGGCTCCGGTCGCGGCGAGCGGCGGGCAGAATGTTTCCACTGCCAGACCCGCCGCACCAACCGTCGCCTCCTCAATCGATGACCTGTTCTCCTAGCAGTAGCAGGGTGGTTTTCATCCTCTCCACAGGAGCTGTCTACATCACAGTGCCAGTGCCAGTGGATAAGTTGAGCTACCTTCCTCCAGTTCTTGTGCAAATAAGCTACGGTTGAGAGTCTTCATCGTAGCTAGGCAATAGCTGTCGGTCAGCGTTGCTCCAGCTGCAGCGTTCAATGTTGCGAGTGGAAACTGGAATACTAGTGCTCCTTGTCGCAGGAACGGACGAGGATGAAAAAGAAAAACGTATTTATAAAATTTTCGCACAGAAATGTAGAAGATGCGGCTTGTGGTCACCCGCGCCGGTTGTGCCACCTACTTTGAATGTACACAGTCAGCGCAGGAGAAACAGCTTCGATTCTTATTCGGTGGTCGCTGTGGCGGTGCCCTCGTCCTCGAACCGCTAATGTATGATGCTGAGAGGGTAACAATTCACTACGCACCGGGGGGTCCTCTCTCTGGGTCTGATTCGTGCGTCATCCTTTCTGGTGAAAACATCGCAGCAAAAAAACCGCAAAACCACTTCTGAGGTTGAGGAGCTTGAGCTTCATTACTTTTTTACAAAACGTGCAACGCATCGAGGAAAATGTCAAAATCAAAATAACCCGTCTGCGTGTAGTAGCGCCTTAATTGTGCATTGTGGTCAACACTTCGCCACTGTTTGCGGTGTTGAGCAGTTTCTCTTTTTTCTAGACGTGCATCGTGACAATAGCGAAAGCTGTCGAGGATCATGTACGCAATGCAGATGGGTCATTCGTAGACTTAAATACTGTATTCTAAAAATGATCAAGAGTCGTGTCACCGCCATCAGTCACGATTAGATCTCAAAGTTGGGAGCGTCTATGTCATGTTGAACAAGCAGCAACTTGTGATGGTTTGGCAGTTCGAGCAAGCCCTGGCGAGTGTTGCATCAATCATTGGGCTTGAAGAGTGTGAGCGCAATAACAGGAGTCTACTTCGCACATATGCTGAGAGGATGATCAGGTGCAGATCAGTCACATCGGTTTCCGTGATCCCTTTGCAGCCTGCTGTCCCAGTCAAAACGTCATCCAGGTCCTTACTAACACACCAGCACTACAAGATCATGTAGTATAGCATATATACTCAGCTACATCAACCTTATACATAGTAATGTTGTCGACTACTACGTTTATTTCTTTCTTTGTTTTTCCGATGAAAAGGTGATAAATATGGTTTCCACCACAGTGTCAGGGGGTCTGCATCCTGCCAATCCTGTATGATGTTTCTTAAGAAGTTCTTCGGTATTCATTTTCTTAACCAGTGAAAGTAATTCGCGTCGAAGTCGATCTCCTTCTGCTCGTCCTCGTCTTCGTGATAAGTAGTAGTTCACCAGGCAATTATGAACAAAAGATGCGCATTGTCAGTTGTAGAAACGTTGTTGCAACCAGACGTCTTCGGCTTCGCCGCCTATGAAGTAGATGTTGTCACTTTTTACACCACCTGAGGATCAGGCCATGCGTCGCCTTGTCCCGCTAATTGCAACGGCGCAAGAAGAGCTACAGCTTGGCTGCACAACGGGGACAACAAGTATCAAGGCAACCGCTTTGGTAGTTATTTGCGAAGATTTCTATGACTGGTACCCGGCACCACACCCTCTCGCTCCGTCACGGTCATTCGAAAGCGGCCATCGACCTTGAGTTGGTTCTTGACATGTCAGGGTCATCCGATCGCCGCAAAAAGTTTGATTTTGGTTTTGTTCGGGCGAGTTCCAGTGTCGTAGCTGCTCTGTTTTGGAGGTGGTCCTTTAGTATCGTACTCGTCGGTCAGCACGTAGAACTACGCCCGCCCCGTGTAGCGTTTGCAACTACAAACGTGGACCCAAACAATGTGGGACCGACGGGCGTGCCGACGGAGCAAGACTATGCTTGCATCTTTGAGTGCGCAGAGCGCGAAAATTTTGCGAGCCGTGTACCGGAGACGACGGACACGGCACGGCTCTACGGCTGGAACTCGTCCTGGAAAGAGCCACTACGCGGGCAAACGACTGCAGAATCGCTGCGCAATTGCTGGAATCCCTTCTACCGGGCTGAATGCTGCGACAGTGGCGCACTTGCGCTGAGTTACTGCTACGAAAACAAATATCAGGGCTGCCGCGACAACGCTACAGAGCGCACATTCCCCGTCTCGCATCTGACAGCGTCGTGCGGCTTCGAGCCGGAGGGGGTTCGAGAAAACGTCGACGTGGAAGTGCAATTGCAGTTGGTAGCGACGCATCCCCGTGAAGAGCTCTCCGTGGTGCACTTGCGAAAGTTTTTCGATGCACTCGGCCTAGTTGTGAGCAGGAACAGCAGTACTTCTAGTAGCACGACGGGGGCAACTAGTGGCTCGTCCACGACCAGCCCGACGTCCTCCTTCCTCACACTTCGCGAAGACGCGGACTATTGTAGTCTTGGGAAAACGCACGTGGATTGCCTCCGGCTGGGTTGCCAGTGGCTTGATGGCGGGGATGGGGTCCCCTATGCCCAGACCTTTCGGCGCTGGACGCCCTTGAATCGTTGCCGCCCCTGTCTGGATGACCCGTTCCTCTTGCATGCCGAGCCCTGGAGCGCCGTGCCCGGCTTCAACTGCTACGGGGATCCTGCAAACGCGTGCACGTGCGTCAAAAACCAGCACCCGGGCCTATGTTCCACAAACCAACACATGCAGGTTGCATGCCCGCGGACCTGCGCGGCCGAAGTTGCGGGAGCGAGCGGTGCTGTTCTTGCCCTTGCCAGTACCGTCATGTGTTCGGTCGTCAACGCGTCTTCTGTGGTGCGCGGCCTTGTCGGCACGGCAAAAGGAGGTGGCGGGTCGAACTCAAATCCTGGAAATGTTCTCAGTGGCACTACGACGACTTCTACCCTAACAGAACCTTCGACGTTCGACGGGGTTGGCAGTGCAGGCTTTGTTGACTTCTTGCGCAAAGCCTTTGTCAACATTACCGGACCCGTTTCCGTAGGTAGCACTACAGCCACGACGCTGCAGGCGGATGCAGTAGAGGACAGCACCAATGAAACTTACCAGCCGCTCGCTGGAGGCCTCGCCTTGCCCTACGGATTCGAGCTAACCGACACACGTTCGCCGGTTCAACGGGGAGTCGCTGCTTTGGCCAACTACGTGTCGACAGACTGTCGCCAAAAGATTGATCGCGCCCTGGCGTACGTCCGGACGAAATACGGCACGGTTGACTATGCCTGTGGCGCCGTGGATGGCGGTGTCAACCTCTGCAGTCTCACGGACGTGCAGATCGGCGTGAGCCCGCGAAGCGCCACGTTCGGTGACCTGCAGCGGTTTTTCTGGTGTCAAGACACAGCCCAGTGCCAGAGCCAGCAGGGCCTGACTGCGCCACCCTACTGCAGCTCGCCACCATGCGACTCCTGTGCGACCCTCACAGTGTCGGCGCCAGTATCCAGAGTGAAAACGCACCTGGCGGTAGTCGTGACCCTGATTTGTGACCACAGAGCACACCTACAATGACTAGCGCAGGCCTAAAAGAAATATATGCGGCTCTTCATGCACAGCCCCGCGACTATTAGTGTTTTCTCATGCTGTTAGCTGGGGCGGCTCAATTTGTGACGCTACTGCGCGGCGCCTCGCCAAGAACAATGAATGAGAGCAATATACATAGATAGACCTAGCAAGAAAGCCATTCACCTCACACATAAGAGCGGGAGCCTTTGACTTGTGTAGCAAAACTGACTGAAGCTGAAGCTCTGCGGGTACATAGTTTTCACTCAGGATAGGGAGTCGGCGGCTGTGTGGGCTGGGTCGATACGCACTTCAACAAGCGAGCGGCCACTCGCGACGACTCCGCCCCGCTGGCCACGCGCGCCATCTCGGAGTGGGCAGCTCACAACAAGGGGCTTTGTCAGGGACCCTGTGCCGGGGATGCGGATTGTATGCACGGGCTCAAGTGCTTCAGCGATCTGCCGGCCGGAGTGGTCACCCCGGGTTGCGTGCTGGCGCAGCACCTAGACGCGTCGACTGCGTTTTCCGTGTGCGCGCCACCCGCAGGAGAAGACCTGCCAAACTTCTCGGTGGTCACCGGGGTCCCGGTGCTGGACGCCACCCGGGAGGACGTCTGGCGTTACGCCTACTGCAGCTACCGACACAACTCCAGCGCGGCTTGCCACAACGTGCCGGCCCCTACAGGGTGCTCCCGGCCGCCCTGCGACGTTTGCCCCGTCGCGAAAGAGGAAGAGCCTGCGTGCGAGTACGGACCTCTGAACGACACGCAACTGGTAGATGCAGAATGCTTGGCGGAAGTAAACCGGGTGCGTCTCGGGCAAGACGTGTCCTACCTCGGAAACGAGTCCGTCTGGCGCAATGTGACTGGGGTTTCGCAGAACAGCAGCACGTGGGCCGACGTGGCGCGGCGCTTGCGCTGCCACTACCTGTCGGCGGGAACAACAAATAATGCGAATAGCGTTAATACGCAAGAAAACACGAACTGCAGCAAGATTGAGCTTTTCTCGTGCTCTCACCCGCCCTGTGACACGTGCAACGCTTCGCTCGGGATGCAGTACGCGCCACCGGAAGCGCAATGCGCGCTACGGAATAACTTTCTCGCTGAAAACGCGACTACACTAGTCGATGTGGTCCTCGCAACACCATTGGATCTCGTGGTGACTACTTCGCCGCAGCAAGCGGAACAGAACGGTCCCCGAAATTTGCATGAGCATGCACAAGGACAGCAACCGTCAACTAGAAGAACCGAGATCAACTACCAAGAAAATCTACATCGCGGAGCTGTGGTTTTGCTGCCCGATACGAGGAACGCGGCTGACCAGCACGATGCACAAACTTTGCAAAATTCGAAGAGAGCTCTGGACGCCTCACACACAACGACACAGTCTGCGGCCGAACCATGGTTCACCTGCTTGCGGAAAGATGTTGGCATGGCGGAGGCCGATCCCAGCGGGCTGTATTTAGACGTGGAAGAAAATGCGATTTTATGCAACCTAGCTGATCTGCAAAAGGGGGGCAACGACGAGGAAGACCACGATCATGCTCACGGCGTCGACCAGCAGTCCACGGCACAACCACCACGACGGCGCGCAAGGGCGTTGAGTGGCTACCAGTGCTGGGCCCAAACGCCTGCAGACGAGAGCTTCTGTGAAGACGCATCACAACCGAAATTTACCGACCAAATGCTGTGCGACCAGGAGCCGCAGTGTCACTGGGGCCCGGTGGGCAACGACGAGGAAGAGGACCAGGGCCACTGCTTCGCGATTGCTGCAAGTGATCAAGCGTTCTGCGAGGATTCCGGCGCACCGCACTAGTATCCTGTGTAAAAGTATCGTGGACCTCCACGTACATGCGAATATTAGCATTGGTAATAGCCAAAAGTATTTTTGTGCACGGTAGCCCATTTGCTTTTGCAATTCGCTCCAAATCCAATTTTGAGGTTTCTAATTTGTTGTCAGTGCGATTCTTAGAATTTGCGATACTTTTACAATGAATGACCACCATGACGAAGCCATGTGTAACAGCGAGCCGCAGTGCGAATACCGCCAGGACAGCAGCAATGCTGGAGACTCGAGCTCCTCGCCTGCGCCTAGCGGCGATGGAGGCGGCAGCTGCTATGGCCGCTCCAGCATGCATCAGCAGTATTGCGAAAGTTTTAGTCACAGCCAAGCTGATTGCAATAATAATGCGCAATGCGAGTACCGATATACGACCACAGATTCCTCCTCTTCGACCGAGCCGCCGGCAACGGCAGGCGGATCGGGATCCAGCACACCACATTGCTTTGCGATTAACCCCGGGAATACCATGGACCAAAGCTTTTGCGAGGATCCGCAGGCTGCTCACTACCACGACGAGGCTATGTGCAACAGCCAAACAGGCAGGTGCGAATTCCGAGCAAACGACGGAGGGACAACCGCCTCGAGCTCTTCCGCCCCAGCGCCCCCAGGTGGGGCAGGTAGCTGCTACGGAATTCAGAGCATTGATCAGACGCACTGCGACGGTTTTAGCCACAGTGAGTCCGCGTGCAACAGCGAAAATCTGTGCGAGTACCGTTACACAACTGGGACTGCTTCCTCGACGCAGGCCCCGCATAGCGGCGGTGAAGCGCATTGCTTTGCGATAGATGGCACGGCGAACCCAGCGGACCAAACTTTTTGTGAGGATCCCCAAGCCGCCCACTTTCACGACGAGGCTATGTGCAACAGCCAAACAGGCAGGTGCGAATTCCGAGCGAGTGACGCCGGGACAACCGCCTCGACCTCTTCCGCCCCCACAACTCCGAGCAGCGGGAGCTGCTACGGTATCGCTGCAGTGGATCAACAGTACTGCGACAGCTTCAGTCAGAGTGCAGCGGAGTGTAACAACCATCCTGCTCAGTGCGAGTTTCGCTACGCAGGAGCTTCGACGTCCGGCCCGACCTCATCGACGACCACAACCACGACCCCAATACCGGGGCCGCAGCTTCCCGATAATCCGCACTGTCGCTGTCGCGCGAACCCCGGCACCAGCCGCATCGAGTGTCAGACCTTTCCCGTCCGTCGCGTCGAGGACTGCGCCGAACTTTGCTACATGCGCTCTGCCGCCGTGGGAGTTTCGCCTGCCCAGGCGTGCGGGGGTTGGGCTGCTAGCGTGAACGTGACAGACACGGAGTTTGCGTCATTCGGAAAGCAGCACAATGCTAGCGACCAGGTCAATGTCATGTGCTCTTTGTATCGAGCCTACAACACGACAGCGCTGACCCGGTTCACCGGTAAGGTGCCCTCGACAGGACCTGCTTCTTCTAGTGCAACACCTAGCCAACAGCAGTACCGGAGGGTAATATCCGGCCCAGCAAACTGCACGCCCCCGGAGTTCGCGTGGCGCGGGCGGACGGGCGTGTGCGACGCGACGCAAGCGGGCTATTTTCAAGAAAACACAAAGGAGGTTGTGTACATGTCCGGGTTTCCCTTGATGGGCCACGTAAGTATCCCCGACTTTCTGCTGCCTGACTACCCGGAAGCGCACCACGGCTGTGAGAACCAGGATTGCAGCTCCACGAGAACGTTTTACGCCACCAAGCCGGAAGATTGCGCGTTCGCTTGCAACCTGTTTGGTGGTTGCATGCGCTACATGGTGCGGACCGCGTCGAAGGCAGACTTCGCGCACGACGGCAACGTGACCTGCAGTCTGCTGGGAAGCGCGACCACTTCCTCCGAGTTTTCCCTCGATGTTTTTGTCGCGGACAAGCGGTGTTACCCGCCGAGCGTGGGCTGGGAGCTATGCATTTTTGCAAAAGTATTGTATTAGTCAGTTGTAGAACTAGAAGTTGTTGCATAATTATGCCGTTTCCAGCTTCTTCTTGCGGTTGCGAGAACGAGCAGAAACAATGCATATGTATGCGGCAGATTTATCTAAGAGCCGAGATTTGCGTTTGTCATGAATCAAGATGTTCGAAAATTTTACACCTGACTACTACGATACTTGTTTTGCAGTGGATAGAGGCTGGCGTACGGTGATTTTGCGCGGCTGCACGGAAACAATCGGCACGACCGGGACGTGCTCGGCGTGTACAATCTGACATTCGCGGTCGGGTTGAATCGCCTGTCCTCTGCGGAGGTGGAGTCGTTCTGCTCCGGGACGGACCCTGGCCGCTTCTGGGCGGACCAGATTTTGGACAAGTTTGGTGGCGCCATACAAAGTCCAATCCCGGAGATTACAGACGGTCGCTCAAGCCTCGCGTGCCCGCTGCGCTCGACGAACTACGAAGTTATGAACAGTAGCAGCGTGGTGGGTGGACAGTCGGCCACGGATGGCGGCCAGCAGCAGGAGCAGCACCACAGCAGTGAATCCGCGTTCCTGCGGGAGGTTGAATTTTTGCGCGTGCGCCACCAGAGCATCGCTTCAGCGCAGAAGTTCCTCATCGCAGGGGGAACCACTAGCACCACCACCACTTCGCACTGGCCCTGCGTTCTGCGCCGCGGAGCCTTGGAGCCTCGAAGACACACGTGGCCGGGCATCGTCCCGTCGTACTTCTGGACGCTGTTCCTTTCTCCCTTCGGGCTGAATGCAACTCTAGATCATGATGAAACGGGTAGTACTAGCGCTACACCTACAAGCAGCTCTCCTTCTCCAACACAAACCTCAAGCACCAGTTCGAGCGCGGAGGACCGCGACAGCCAGCTGTATCGAAACATTTCGAAGAGCTTCGAACTTTGCCGGCCGCGCATGGCGGCTCCGTTTTGCGAGCGCGTCCGCATCGGCGATAGCCCCGGGAAATCCGTGAAGACGGTCTACCTCCCGGACTCCTTTGCGGCAACAAGTTGCGATCCAAGCCAGGTTTTTGACGCTGTGTACGGTCCGGAGCAGCCCGCCAGTGGCACGTGGGCTCTAAACCAGTACGGGCGCTATCTGACGGTCAATCGCACAGACAGGACAAACGGGTGGAGCCAACACTATTCAGTGCAGTGCTGCTACCCCACCCACTGGTCTAGCACGACACCCAACGAAACCTTGCATACAGAGCAAGTTCCGGGCCAACACCTCTACCGTGCTGTGCTGGACTCGTTCGCACAGGATACCGTGTACGCTGATCAGCGAGTGACGCCCACCACCACCAACGCTGACCTGCTCGGCACGACGCCTAAGCTTCCGGCGAAGCTGACCTGGAAGTTCGGCGTGCAGATCTACAACGGCGTCAGAAAAGCCATGTTCACACTGAGGCTCGCGGAGATCAAAGCCTATGCCTACGACAATCCAGAAGAGGAAATTCCTTTGGTCTTCACGGAGGCGCGGCCGAGTTTGCTCTACAACCAGGGCGACTACGCCGTGGATTCAAACCAGCAATCGAGCGCAGAAGTGCCTCCCACTTTTGGCTACATGGAGGAGGACGGGATTTTTCTGGAATATCGGGGGGAACTTTCCTACCACGGGCAGCTGTTGGGTTCGCTGGTTTTGCTGTTCTCGGAGCTCCCCGTCAACGTGAAGGTCAGGGTCTTTGACGCCCTGAACCGGCCCGCGGATTTGATGGGACAAACGAGCTCACCATCGACGTACCAGGCGACGGGTCCTTTTTTTCCCGAAAAAGCTTTTACCTCCTCTTGGCCGTCGACTTCGATCAGTGGGCAGCGGGTCCCGCACACGGACGCGTATCTCCGGAGATTAGCGGACGGTAAAAACGCCCAGTACGTGGAGCTCAGCCTCAAGCTACGTGCGCGATCTGTCCCAGCACAGATCTTCTTTCTGAAGGCTGTCGCGGGCGGCGGAACTGAGCCTCTCCTTGCCGTGCGGCTCCGGGAGGCGAGCATGGAGCTCGTAGATCCCAGCAGCGGGGCGGTTTTGGAGCCCAGTTCTCTTCTCGAAGATGAGGAAAATCAAAATGCGGGAATGAACTACAAACTGAACTTCTACGAATTCACAGAATTTTATTTCCTCTTCACAACGACGACGGATGAGGATGACGGTGGAGGGTCCTCCACCTCGTCCACGACAGGTGGCTCAACGACTAAGGCGAAGTTTCAGATAGGCCGGGGAAAAAGCGCTGTCTTCACAAGAACGCATATTGTTTCGAAAGCCTACGAGCTGAACGATCTCGATTTGCAAAGCACAGCGCTGCTGTTCGAGGTGGCCAGTGTGGCCGTGCGGCTGGATGATCCGGAGCCTTGCTGCGAGCCGTGGTTCGCTAACCACGTGTTATACGAGGGTCTCTATCACGAAAGGGACGCGACCACTGTCCTCCATGATCCCTTCACCCAAAAGCGGTGGCAGTACGACGGCTGCGCTGACGAGGCGCGATGGCACGCAAGCGATCGGTGGTACTTCCGTGACACCTACTTTCACCTGCCACTCTACGCCCGCGCGTGTGGAATCGGGTTTCCCCGAGACGCGTACCATTTGATGAGGAATTTCCGAGAGCACAACCTCGTGCACCTGGACTACGACGTGGTCACCAGCGACCCGTGGGCTGGTACGGTATCGGAAAGCTTTGAAACTCGGGTGCTCGACACGCAAAGCGGTACGGTTTTCGAAGGCCCCGCGGCGTCGTTGAACTTGACAAATTATCTGGAGAATGTTGATGCCACGTCTGGCGTCACGCTTGTCACGTTGGGCAACCAGGGGAAGTGGAATGATCCCTCCGCGAACAGTCCTTTCCGCGTTAGCGTTTCGGTTCCGCAAGACATGCTGAACCTCCAGAGACCAGTATGCAGCGAAGCCGTAATTTTACCGCACACAACGACGTCGTACTAGAGAAATGAATTTACCTACTTGCATCCATAGTATGGCCCTTCTTGCTGGGACGACGAGCAAAATATATTCTCAATGTCATACAACAGGAGAAGTGGAAGTTTTCCACCTTTCCGTGCGCTGTAGTCGTGTGTCGTCGCGTGTGGTAAATCTAAATTTCTATTGCATAACAGCAGGAGAGCAACTACAAGTCTACCTTCCGATTGACCTACAATACTTCCAATTACGGCGACGGCTGGCAGACCGTGGAGAGAGGCGACTTCTTGGGCTATGTGCTCGCCGCCGCTTTGAAACGCGCGTTGCAGGACGCTGCGAACTTTACCGCGGCCCAGCACTTCCTGTCCGCGGTGAAAGCCTCGCTTTACAACGACTCGCTCGCTGCCGGGCAGTTTCTCCCGAGTGCGGAAAAGCAACTTGCTTCCATCACGCACGAGCGCTCGGTGTACTACGACCCGCAGGGCACCACGTGCCTCCACGACTGCCTGCACAGGTACGAAACCACCGTCGAGGAGCAACTTTACGGCGGGTACTCGAAGCCGACCTTTCCGTACACGGTCGGGAACCACACGGCGCACAACCGGGCAGAGTTTTTTCGGTACTGCCTCCCGGAAGTTGCAAACTTGAACGAGAACCTGACGCTCGCGACAGTGCCGCCCCAATTTGAAATGGACTCGCAGAACAGCACGCTGCGGGGTCTCTGCTGCCAAAACGGGTACTTGGCGGAGGTGATGCAGTGCTTTCGGCGCCGGTGCGATCCGGCTGGGGACGCGTTCTTCAACCGAGGAAATCCAAATCGGTACCCCTACTCCGCACCGTACGACAGCCTGTGGCGCCGCGCGTCCACGCGGACGTTCGAGGACCGCGATCTGGAGCGCAGCTTCTCCGCCTATATCCAGGAAAAAACACCCATCCCCATCCATTTTTTGCATAACAGATAGTGCATTTTATGCATGTTTTCCATGACAAATTGGATGGGGATGGGTGTTTTTTCCTGGATAGCCTACCACGCGATCGAACGGGGCTGCGACATCACGTACCAAGACCTTCTATCAAATGCAAAAATGTCTGGGTCTGGAAACTTGTGATGCTGTGTGGCGTATCATGAGGAGGCGACAATTGCTGGCTCAGCATGACAAGTTTCTGAGCTTCTAGGTGTTGCCTATTCTGCATGACAAACTACGTTTCTGCTTGACAGAAAAGTGGGGCTCTTTGGTAATGTGCATGACAGATTTAAGAGTCATGCCAGACACGCATGACAAACTTGCATTCTTCCAGACCCAGACATTTTTACGTTTGATACCTTCGGGAAACGAGCAACGTCACGCTTCTGGCGGCCAGTGGCGGACAGGGGATGACGGGCGTGGTGAAAATTAGGGTAAGCCGGGTCTTGGCGGAGAACCGGTTGCTCAACGTACAGGTGAACGGTGCCACGGAAATTTTCACGCAAGGGCATCTGGATTTCATGCGACTGTCCATCTGGGACACACTGGTGAAAAAGTACCCGGCTTGGTACGACGACGGCGTGTTTGACGTCAGAGTCGACAACCCGCTGAATCACGTGGAGCTTGGACTCGAGTACGGCGGCGCGAGCGAGACGAGTGACCAGAACGGCTTCTCGGAGACTGTGTTGGATTACAACCTCAAGACGTTGATACTCGGCCGGCTGCCAAGTCAGGCCGCCGCACAGCTGAAGATAGACTACGCGACGAACGAGCACGGCTTCCACCTGCGCAGCGAGTGGAGCTCCCTCGGGTGCTTCCTCTCCGAGGTGGTTGAAAACTGGCTTGCTCCTCCGGCTGGTGCGGCAGCAGCCTCATCTGGACCACGGCAGCGAACACTGCAGGCGAGGGTTTTGACACAACAAGCCGAGGAGACTGGTGCGGAGGACGTTTCCGCGGAAAATGCGTGTGCTCTGGCGTGCGCTAACTTTCGGTACTTTGCGCTGAGAGGCAGCAGCACGTGTGTGTGCGGCGATGCGTTTGGATCTGCTTTCGCCGGATCGGCGTCGGTGCTGAGTGTCAACCACACAGAGTGCGCGTGTCGCGCGCCGCAGCACACGCCCGCGACTGACAGCAGCGCTTCTTGTTTGTACCGCACCGGTTTCGGAGCGGATCAGGGTGCGCTGCGCTGGAACTTCACGTTTCCGCAAAGTAGCGCCGGATACTCCACCCTGTACCACACCGCGCAGAGCCGCCAACTGTTTGTTCCCCGAACCACGGACACGAGCTGCCTGCAGGAGCAGTGTTCTGCGGAGCTCTGGCACGGATTTGCGCGCCTTGGGATCGGAGACATCCAGGGCCACGGGGGAAGGATATACAATTTTTCAGCGTATGCAGGTGGCGTCACGCTTCTGGACACCAGCCAGCGTGCGCTTTTTGACCACCCCGACCTGTTCCAGTTTTTCGACCAGGCCAGCGCCTTCCCGCTGTCGTACCACTCCGAGGGGAGCAGTGCAATGTCTACCGCTCTGGGCACGGTGATGTCGCCGGACCATTTCTTCCGCAACCTCGATGTTTGTCTGAACGTGACGAACACCACGGCCCCGGTACGATTCGAGAACTGTTGTCCTTTGCTATCCGCGTACAGCGGATGCGTTCTCGCAAAGTGTCGGCCCAATGCGACCTGGCGCTATGGGTATGACACGACGACCTTTGACGCCGAGGCGCAAGAAACTACACCGGGTGTCGGTGCAGTCACGTGGCCCGCAATCTGGCCCGGGATCGCCAGGCAGTGCCAGTTTTCCACCCCGGAAAACATGACCAAGCTGCAGAACCACACCTACCTCGGCTTTCGCGAGCGATTTGGCTTCTTCCCGCCGCGAGTAGACGTGGACGTGAGCCGGCGGTCCCGCGAAGAGTACCGACGGATCTTCACGGGCTTGTTCGCACAGGAACTGCTGGAAAGCAACCAGCTGCAGCTGTGGCAGAGTGTCTACGTCAAGAACGTTGGCGTCACCGCGTACGCGCGTCCCGTTTCCGGGTTGAGCTACAACCAAAACGGCACGGCCACCGGCTCCGCGCCACTCACCGCGGAGTATCTGCTGGTCGACGCCCGAACTTTTGCGCGAGACCCGGGCGAGTTTGTGGTAGATGGGGCGGAGGGGGATGAAATGGCCCAGCACGGAATGCGGTGCGACGGGGGGGCGTTTCCGGGTGTGCAGCTGGAACCGCTCTCGGAGCTGGAGTGTGCGCTGCCCGCCGTGCGCAATTTCGCAGACCGCGCCATTCCTGAGCTGGTTCCAGAAAGTGGGGTAAGTGTCACGTCGCCAACAATGACGCTGTTTCGTGTGAAGCACTTCGCATGCGAGTCGTGGTCGCTGGAGCTCATATCGGACGCCGAGCACTGCATTGGCGAGGCTAGCGCAGCAAAAAGTTGGGCGTCGTCAAACAACCTGCAGGTGGTGGGCGGTCGCGGCGTCACGGAAACGGACCCGAGGAACCCGCGGGGCTGCTATTGGGACGAGGAGGGGGAGCAGTTCCGCTACAACCTCGCGCCACGCACGCCCTATGACTTTCGGCTGACAACCCCACAAAAGTGGGTCCTGTGTAGTTCATCCTCGTCGCCAGGTGACAAAACTTGGCCAACGGCAGTCACCGACGACGGCAGCCCCATGCCCGCCAACCCCCAAGACTACCGCCCACAGGGTTGCCTGGTGACGCATCATCAAGACACGGTCACTATGTGGTACAACCAGTTCGTGGGCAACGCGCCCCAGAACAGCATGCGGCCCTCCTTTCCGGAATGGGTGATCTGCCGCGTGAAGAACGACCAGTTTCTGCAGCAGGTCGTTGACGTCGGGTCCGACGGATCCGTCAACGAGTTGCCACGGCAGGCGCTGACTGTGTCCAAAGACTACGGCGCGGTCACGCTCAACCGCACGCGGTTCGGAAGTCACGGACGCTCCGACGCCGCCTGGAACTTGACGGTTGAATGGTACTACGGGCCGTTTCGCGAGCCCTTCAGCCCGACCGCGCAAGAAGCTTTGAACGTGCTCGCATCCGATCGCGCCGCGTTGTTGTCCAGGTTGAGCAGCGCCACAACTAGTACTTCGTCATCCTCGAACAACAACCCGGAGGTGTACAAAGATTTTCTCCCCTACACAGCCCAAAGCAACAGCGGCGCTTGCTTCGCGCCCAACTTTGTATCAAGAGCGGAGACGTGGGTGACGAGTCTGTCGGACGAAGTGCTGGTCCAGGTGCTTCGTGGTGATGCGGAAGTGCCATCTCTCACAACCTGCGAGCAGCGTTGCTCTGAACAGCATCGTTGCCGGTACCTTTCTTACTTCAACGAAAACGACGAGGCCCCCGCTGGAACTACGACCACAGGGGGAGCCACGCTGTGGCTTGCGCCGGGGCCCCTCTGCCTCTTGTGGGCCAGGTGCAATAGTACCGCGCTTTTCCGCGAATCGCCCGCCGATCTGATGGTGACGAGGCGCAAGCACTCGGCGGTCGTTCCATTGCCGCGCAACGCGACAATCTTCAGTGACAGCCCAAGCAGTGGTGCCAGTACTAGAAAAGCGTGGTTTACGCTGAACACCGAAGATCAGGAGACGCAGGAAATTTTTCTCTGGCGGGAACTGGTTCCAGAGGACACGTGGGTGGTCCCAACCACGAGCACGTCGACCACCACAACCACGACGCAGCCGTACCATTGTCTGCTGGTGCACTGCCTGTACAGCACTTCGCCCGATGCGGTAGACTGGGTGCAGGTCTTTCCCGAATTCAGCAACCACTATACAGAGAGCGTGACTTACACAGGCTTCTACGAGCGCCGGTGGCATCTTGATGAAGATGATGCCTCGTCATCCTCGTCGAGCACGACTCTGATGCCTCCTGGAGGCGCTCCTGCCAGTGGTGCTCCACCACGACGGGAGCTCGGCCTCCCAACAACGACAACTAGCGCGCCCCCGCCAGCGAATCTTGAGCTACTCAGCCTCCAAGACGCAAAGGTCGAGAGCTTTTCGCGATGTTTGTTTCCGTCCATCCGGCCGGAGTGCTGCGAGGCGGCGCGGCAAGTTGCGGTCTGTTACGCAAAGGCGCAACCCAGTCCGTGTCTCGGAGGGCCAAACGCCGATCTGGAGTTCAACACAACAAGCTTCATGTCGACGTGCGCGACAACCACTTCCACCAGCACAACAACCACGACACAGCCCTACGACTGCTTGCTGCAACATTGCCTGTACTCCAACACGATTGACTGGCCGCAACTCTACCCGAACTTCAATAACGACTACGAGGAGAGTCCCCTCTATGCAGGTTACTACGAGAGAAAATTTAGCACCACCACAACGCATGTGCCAGGGACCACGCCCGATCCAGCGAGTAGTACCAGCGACGGACCTCCGCGATTGCTGTATGAAGACAGTTCTTCTAGTTCGCCACCGCCGGTGGGTGGTATCGGTATGACCTCCACTATGGGTCCCCCGCCTAGCTATCTACTGCGCTTCGAAGACGCGCAGGTGGAGAGCTTCTCGCGCTGCTTGTTCCCCTCGATTCGGCCAGAATGTTGCGAGGCAGCTCGACAAGTTGCGGTTTGTTACGCAGCCGCGAGTCCGAGCCCCTGCGTCGGAAATACAGATCGGGAGTTCAACACGACGAGTCTGCTGTCTACCTGTGCGACAACCACAACAACGACTACAAGCACGAGCACAACGACAAAGCCGCACGAGTGCCTCATTGTTCATTGCCTGCACAGCGGCAGTATCAATTGGCGACAGGTTTATCCCGATTTCTCGAACCAGTTTGAGCAGAGTGACACTTATGCAGGGTATTTCACGAGACTCGACGCCATCGCGACAACGACCGTGCCGCCCGCTTCAGCCGGCACGACGAACCCCCCCGACTTGACGACCTCTGCGCCCCCGTCCTCTTCCCCCGCAGCTCCAGGTGGTATAGCGGGAGGAACCAACACGAACAGTCCCACGACCACGACGTGGGGACCGCCGAGCCATTTGGTCAATTATGGGGATGCGATCGTCGAGAGTTTCGAGCGGTGCCTGTTTCCCTCGATTCGCGCAGAATGTTGCGAAGCGGCAAGGCAGGTCGCAGTCTGCTACGCGGACGCGAGTCCGAGCCCCTGTGCTGGAAATTCGGATCTAGAATTCAATACGACCAGCCTGTTAACAACATGCGCCACGACGACCAGCACGACCACGACGACGACCAAAGCGTTTGACTGTCTGCTGCAGCATTGTCTGGCTTCTAACGCAGTTGATTGGCTACAGGTGTACCCGAGTATGCATTGCACGATGAAGAGTGTCGTACTCGTAGTCGTACTAGTGGGAGATGCATTTTTACATACGAGCTTTATTTCGAAGAACAAAAGTGAAATTTGTCAGGAGAGGTAGAAGCAACTACAGCAATTAGTACGACGAGTTCTTCTACGATACAACTTTTGCAATGCATACCGAGCTTCAGTAGCGAATACGGGGAGGATGGTGCCTTTGCCGGGTACTACTACAGGAAATTCGACACGACAACGACTCCGAGTCCGGAAAGTAGTAGTATAACGACACCGGACCCGTACTCAACTACCCCGGATCCGCTCGCCAAGAGCGGGCCGCGAATGTTGGGGCTGCCCAGTCATTTGTTAAGCCTCGCAGACGCTACGGTAGAAAGTTTCTCACGCTGCCTTTTTCCGTCGATTCGGCCCGATTGTTGCGAAGCAGCGAGACAAGTTGCGGTGTGTTACGCGACGGCGAGCCCAAGTCCGTGCATGGGAAACAGCGACCGGGAGTTCAACACTACAAGTCTCATGACGACTTGTGCCACCACCACGTCGACCTCGACAACGTCGACTTCCACGACGACAAAAGCTTTCGACTGCCTGCTAGTGCACTGTCTCTATTCGAACGCGGTGGATTGGGTGTCAGTCTATCCGAGCTTCGGCACAGAGTACGAAGAGGACGCTGCATTTCCGGGGTACTACGAAAGAAAATTTTCAACCTCCACGACAAAGCCCGACTCGACGTCGACCCCGGATCCAAAGGCGGCGCCTGACTCAACCTCCACCCCAGATCCAAAGGCGGCGCCAGACTCCGGGTCCTCTTCCTCCGCGCCGGATCCCTATAGCGGCACTTCGTCTCCAGACCCAGCTACTTCTACGCCTGATCCCAAAGCCGCACCAGACGCGGGCTCGTCGACACCCGATCCGTATGCTCCTCCTCCTGACGGGGGAGGTGGACCGCGAAGCCTTTACGAAGATCAAAGTTCGTCCTCTAGTCCTCCTCTCTCCACGGGGCCGCCGACAACCGCCACAACCTCCATCGGGCCGCCGGGCCACTTGCTGAGCTTTCAGGACGCGAAAGTGCAAAGCTTTTCGCGCTGCTTGTTCCCCTCGATTCGCCCGGAGTGCTGCGAGGCTGCGCGGCATGTTGCCGTCTGCTACGCCAGTGCCAGCCCGAGTCCGTGTATGGGAAACGTGGACCGGGAGTTCAATACCACAAGTCTCATGACGACGTGCGCCACAACCACGACCACGACTACCACGACCTTGTTCAACGCCTGCACGATCTCGTCGAAAAATCCGTGCGGCGCCTCGCTGCCACTTCAGCCGGCCCACCAGTGCTCGCCCGCACTGGGCACGGAGCGTTTGTACACCTGTGCATGCGCCCCCGGACACGAGGCTGTGGAAACAGCCTATAATGTCGACACACACGGAACGGGGTACGCGTTCGTTCCTGGTTCGACCTACACGACCTGCATCGACGTCGACGAGTGCGCTGTTTCTGATGGCAGTTCACCTCCGTGCGGCCCGGCGGCGGACCAGAACGTCTGCACGAACTTAGTGGGTGCCTACCGGTGCGCGTGCGGGCCCGGCTACGAGCGGCTTCGGGACGGTGCGACACAGGGGGAGCTCTGCGTCCGCGTGAACGAGTGTGACCACAATCCCTGCGGCGCTGCTGGCTTCAGCGTCCGCTCGCAAACGCAGCTGACACACACGTGCGACCAAACTGCGCAGCCTGGCAACTGGCGCTGTACATGTGCGAGCGGATATCAGTCTTCCGGTGGGGATTTCCCGCACTGCGAGGAAATAGATGAGTGCGATGCTGTCCCTAACCCCTGTGGCCCCAGTCCGCCAAACAGGTGCTACGACCTGGTTGATCATTACATGTGCCAGTGCGAGGGCGGGTTTGAACTCCAGTGGCAGCAAGCGAACAACGCAGCTGTGCGGGTTTTGGAAAGAAGTCCGAAGATGAGTATGAATACAGCACCCTTTCACTTTGATGAACAAAAAAAGGACACACATGATCTTCAGAGTAAGAAACACAAGAAACGACCAGACCTACAAACTGGAACGCGACCACCTAAGTCGAGAGACGCAAGACGATTAGCAAGGCGTTTGCAGGCGTTCGAGAGGCGGCAACATGCACGAAGAAAAACCTCATCCCCAGGCGCGCATTTTGCAAGACGTTCTCCGTCGCACTTGACCACGAGTACTAGAGGCAGAAGCGATTCGCCTCGGAGCCGGTTCGGACTTCCGCTGCTCGAGGACGCTTTTCAGCGGTCTTCCAACCGTCCGCGTGCTCTGACTCCCTCCGCCACCGACTCGTGTGACGACCCCAACTACTACGATCCGCTTTTTCCCGGGCCGCCGTACGTTGGCTGTGAAGCCGCGTGGAAGGGCCTGCCGTGTGATCGGCTGCAGGAATTTCTCGGCGTCAGCCACGGCTACACTTCGGCGCACCAGACCGCGTTGCAGCGCCGGTGTCATTCCACGTGTTGCGAGGTTCCTGAGTACGCGAACAACACGGCGCACCGCTGCGGCGAGCAGTTTCCCACCTGTCCCTACACTCCGCCGGCCGGCGTTTCGGCGATGGGACAGAAGACGTACTTTCACGGCTGCGCTAATGGTTTCCTGGACGGATGGTATTGCATGGACGGGGTCGCCTACCGGCGCATGACCCTAGACGGCGGGGGCTACACCCGCAACTACCGGGGTGCGCAGCTGGCGTGCGAAGACCTTGGCGCGTCGCTTGCCATGGCCCGGACGGCGAACCAGGTCGAGTTGCTCTCACAGCTAGGAAAACAGGAGTTTCCCGGGGATCCCCCGCCCGACGGAGTGCACGACGGCCTTTGGTTGGGTCTCCGCGCCGCCGCGGTCGGCAATGATCTTGGGGAATGGATGTGGGAGCTGACGCAAAGTCCTGCCCGGCGCTATGCGGGCGACGTCAGTGCCGATCCCCTACCCGGAGCCGTGGCGGGTGGCGCTGCCTGGGCGCCCGGCGAGCCGGTCGCCTACTGGTCACCCAGTGAAGCGAGTCTCGCCAAGCGCTGCGCCGCGTGGCGTCCGTCGGACGAGAAGTGGCACACGTTTGACTGCGAAGCGACGTGGTTGCCGTTCGTCTGCAGCATCGAGTACGATCCCTATGTGCAGGACACCCTAGAGGACGGCCAGATGATGTTCCCACCCCAACAACCCGCGCCTACCCCATACCGCATGGCACTGGTGAGCTATGCGAACGTGGACCAGTGTGTGGCCAACAGCAACAATTTCCCGATGCAAAACGTCGACCCTGCGGATCCGCCACAACTGCTAGAGCTGTTGCATTTCCCGACGGCGTGCCTGCGGTGGGACGAGCTTTTCTACTGGAAGATTTCCGGGTGCAGCGGAGGCAGTCTGCCGGCGGACGAGTCGCCTACCCAACTGGACAACGGGTCGTCGAGTGGTCAAATTCTGATCGAGGAGTTTTTCTGGGACGCCGCGTGCACTGACAAAGTCAGCAACCGGCTTGGCTCGCTCTGGCGCCGGATGGCCTACTGTAAAAAGCTCGGGTCCTACTTCGGCTACGAGCAGTTGGCTGCTCCGGCCGACACTCGCTTCGCGACCCATCTCTGCTCGGAAGCAACTACCCGGCTAGGCATTGCAAATATTTGTCTGGGTCTTCCTGTGAATAGCACACTACTGCGGTAGATTTTGATTTTCATGTGATAATATATTGTATAAGCAGGTTTGGAATAGTACACGTGGAGCATGACGAGACCGAAAGCTCCAGAGAGATTTGCGAATGCCGAGTCATAAGAACTTCATTTTGGAATTTTCTTATTTATTCCTTTCTGTTCCAACACCAAGATCCACATGACTACTTAGTAGTTAGTTTACAGCCGTCCCGACCCAGACTAATGTTTGCAGTTTATACCGGAAGCAGCACGACGAGGCCATCACCGCGAGCGTCTTGCCGCCCGAAGGCAGCTATCCGACGGCGTCCGCGCCGACCTGCGGCTGCCCGCGGGGCTACGAACGGAGTGGAGCTTCGTGTGTGGGCATCGACGACTGTGTCGGACGACCCTGCGGAGACCTCGTCCCTGCGTCGGCCTGCACCGACCAGGTGGAGGGACACGTCTGCTCGTGCCCGGACGGGTTTCGAAACGACCAGGTGTTCGACGAAGCATTGCAACGACAAAACCAGACGTGCGTGTCCAACGATGGGTGTGCGAGCAAAGGCGACGCGCAGTGCCGGACTTCGGAAAGTCCTGAAAACCGTTGCACCGACGTAGGCACCCAGTACCGCTGCACCTGCGGCGGCGGCTTTGTGAAGCGCTTAGCGCTCGGCTCGCTGACGGATGAGGTATGTGTCTCTGTTGAGCAGAGTTGCGCCGCGTCGTGCGCCCGCCGGGAGATGCAGCGCGAGTCCAACCAGTTTGTGATGCAATCCATCGCCCCCGGGAAGTATGCGAGCGCGCATGCCATGGCTTATGACTACTTGGGTCTGGCGCAAGACGACGCGCTGCTGGCTGGATGTGCCGCGGAGCTGAACTCGAATCCGGAGGACAAAAATGTCATGCGCGCTGCGAGCGGAAACTTCGGGCTACCGGTCGACCAGAACGGGGCGGCCACTCCTGCCGTCTGGAACAGGCGCGCCTGTTGCAAGCTGTACCAAGACTTCCTGGGATGTCTCTCTTCCAATTGTGGGGTGCAGACTGCTTTCTCCGCTTACTTTCGCGACTATTGCCAAGTGGGTAGCGTCGCGGCAGACTCCAGCCTGTTGCGAGAAGAAGTTTCGCTGACAGGCCAAGTCGTTCTCGAGTTCCCGTCAGTCGCTTCGCGCAACGCTTTTTACGAAGCCAGCATGTTGATGCGAACAGGTGCCGCGCAGGAGCCTGAAGCGTCCTCAGCAGTAAACGCACCAGCAGCTGCAAGTACTAGGTCGTCGTCGTTATTTCTGGATCACTTGCGGGCCGAGCTGAAGAGCAGAGCGCTGGCGGAGCTGCTGCCAGGCTACGTCGACGGGGTGGAATTGGGGAAATCAAACAAGGTCGATGTCTGGTTGTCAGCCGTAAACCGGAGTTTAACATCGTTGGCGACAATCGACGAGGGTGAGTACCTGGATCTGCTAATGAACCAGCAGGCGCACTCCCACCCGCCGCGCGGTCGCAGGAGGAGGAAGTTAACGAGCAGTAGCACGGGCAACGTGCCTAGCACAAGTCCACCGCCGGGGGCGGGGCCGTCCTCGGCAGCGTATTCGTCTGCAGACCCACCACCTCCCAGCAGCGCCAGTACCACGGAGCAGCCGGGTGCTCCGCACCAAAATCAAGGCTTGAACTTGGCTCCGCAGTACCCGACATCGTTTGATCGGCAGATCACTCTCCAGTACATGATCGGACCGTTTTCCGCGGCCTCTCTGCTGCCGCCGGAGTTCCAGGACTCGGAGACAGTGTTTGCGGCGTCCGCAGCCACGAGCACTATGACCGAACTGTTTCTGGTCACCCATATGCATTGCAAAAGTATCGTACTAGTATGAGTCGGCGCATCTTCTTCACAAATATTCTCAAGCTGAACAAGCGTCGAGCCTTGTCATGCCGCGGATCTATAGAGAGAAAGACCTTGGGAAAAGAGAGACCACATTTGTCTTCATGCATAATTATAGCTGCAATTACTACAACTAGCACGATACTGTTGCAGTGGATAAACCAATATGGACGTCAAGACATGATTCGGGACTGGTGTGAAGCCCAAGTCCAGCGTCGCTTCATCGGTCCGGAGACGCTCCAGGAGTTGGCGCGCCACGGCATGCCCGTGACCGAGCTGCAGGTGCCCGGGTGCGAGCCCGGCCCCTCGTGCGAGGACGCCGATGCAGTTGCGACCAAGTATTTGCGAGGCGGGAGCGCTTCCTGCGGCTGCGCGTGTCTGGGGCAGCAGGGTGAGTGCGCCAACCGCATCGCCGTGCGGCAAGTGTGTCCCGTGACCTGTGCGACGCACGGCGCCACTACATGTGTGAACGCACACCAAGAACAGGACGGCCGCCAGCGCGCGTTGCTGCAGCAGATTCGCGGTCACCCCTCAACCGAAGCACTGATGAGGATACCGACGAGTGGTCTGCCAGGTAGTTCATCTCCTGCAAGGCAACAGATGAAACAAGAAACTTTTCGTCAAACGCAGCCTTTTGATCTTGATGTTGCGAAAGCTGCTTCATCACACTCGGGCACAGCTGGCGAGGACGATCGTGCTGCAACTACTTTGATGCAGCTTGGTGCGCAGGAGGTGCGTCCTTTGTCCGACCGCGCTCTTTCTCCGACTGGTGGAGCGGCCCCGCCCACGAACCCCGCATCAAGCACCGGACGCCTTTTCGCACCGCTGGCCCTCGCGGCCGGTCAGAGAGAGCACCAGTGGTCTCTGACCCAACTGCAAACCTCCACGCTGAGCTCCACAACGACAGTGTCTGTCGACCGGGACAGCATAGACTTGTCTTCTTTCCTTCCCGATCCCCATGTTTACCCAACGGGGACGCTGAACTACATGACCACCAGCACCACCTCAACTACCTCCACTGGCCCACCCGGAGGTGGTGCTAGCTCCGATCACAGCAGCTCGTCTGGTAGCTCCAGCGACGCTGTACGTGTGTACGGAGAATATCCTTACCTGGCGGAGGCCCGCGGAGATGCGGGCACAACATTTGCGGGACTCGCGCAACGTCTGCGGACGCTTGAAACGTCTCTTGCAACGCTGATCCAGCAGTGTGTGCGAACGGCACTTGCGTCTTCTTCCGCCGGCCAAGAAGTAGAAGATGGCACATCTCCACAGCAGAACGAAGATCTCGAGCAATCGTTGCTGGTGAAAACGCCCGCACAAGTTCTCAGCGAAGCGCATCCCGGGTTTTTTGCGCAACCCTGGCCTAGAGACTCAGATTGGGAGACGGTTCTGGATCACTTCCAAGTAGCCACCGCAGACCCCGACGCTGCAGCGCCCACCTTGCCTTCCGTATCGCAGAGCGCCGCTTTCGTGCCTGAGTACGTGCTGCCCGGTTGCGAACCTCTGTTCGCGTTCGACGAACGGGAGGCGGCTGCGATTGTGAGTGCGAAGCTGTCCGATCTGAACATCCAAGCCGACAGGCTCGACTTGTCGCTGTTTGATCCGAGTTGCGCTCAACGCGTCCCGGGATCCTACCAGCTGACGCTGCCGCAGACCTCGATGTGTGCCCCCCTGGACTGCGCCAATCCCTCCATGTACACACCCACCGATCCAGCGGGGCTGAACGCGCTCGTCTGTTCTCCCGGCTCGTCCGAGTTTTCTTTCGACGGACAGGGCTGCTCGATCCTGCTGCCGGCCTTGTTGGAAGATGAGGAACTGCAGCCGGGCGTCGTTACACCCTCGGTTACCCTGGCGTCGTGGACGAATCCACTCGCGCTCGGATTGCGCAACCGGAGATCTCTGACAGCAGGCACTGAGCGAACTGGATTAATACCTGTGCCATCATCTTCATCAGAAGCGGGAGTTCCAACAAGAGGAAGAGCGACAGATTTTTATATTCGAAAATTGGACGAGAATCAAAATGGAAATGATGTGTCCGGTAGTTCAGGTTCTGGTGCAGCTGCAAGTTCGACCACATCAACCTCCACCAGTTCCACCACTACCTCAACCATCGATCCGGCGCTGGTGACGCAACCTTCCCAGATCGAGTACGAGGTGGGCGGCGTGAAGTTTACTTCCGCCGAGGCTGCGCCATACCTCGCGCACGCAGCTGATGGCGTGTTCACCCCTGGACTCGTGGTGCAAGCCAAGATCAAGAGTTGTACGATGCCGGAGTACGCCCCCGGCAAGGGGTTCGGTGAGATTCGGTTCATTAACGGTGCCTGGGAAAACGAAAAATTTGTGACCGGAGCCGATCAAATGTGTAGTGTGGCGCAACCCTGTGGGGCCGGGCGTTTCCCTCAGCTCTTGGCTAGTTCCTGCGGAACCACTGCTGCCAGTGGTGCAACGTGCGCACTCAGCTGCGAAGCGAGTACGGCAGTCAGTGCTGCCGGCGCAGCGTCGCTGGCGGCTGGGAGCGATGCCGTGGAGCTGAAGGGCTCTTCCGACGACGTTCTGCACCTAGTGAGCAGCACTGCTGTTCTGCAGCAGAATGGAGGTGGAACACAAACAGCCTCTACCAGCACGACAGACGCGGAAGGAACCGGAATCCTTTTGACCAACCAGTATGGAACTGTCATAGAGCACCAAACCACGGACGGGGGCGGAGCTAACCCCGCGACGCCAAGGCGGACGATCCAAAGCGTAAACCGAATCTGCTACAACGGCAACTACTACACCTTGCCGGCATACTATCGTACGAAAAAACTGTTTCACTGTGAGGATAAAGTTTGCAAGTTTATTTGCACTGACAAGCTCGCCATATCGCATCACGTGGTCACAGGAAAAAGCTGCCATGCATGCACCTGAAGGGAAAAAACGGTTAGAAATGCCTTCTCTGTAGTCTCTTTCATTTGTCTCATGACAAGCACCACATCAATCTGAATGTTGCATGGTCCAAATCACAAGTTCATAGAGAAGCAGTTTTTTTCGGAGGATAGCGATGACAGGTATGTGCAGAATCGGTTCTATCCGCTCCGGAGGGACCCCCTGATCACCGACGTTGCAATGCAGGTGTTTCCTAACGTCTTATGGCATTTTCAAGCGTTACAGGGATCGGCTTTTACACGATTTGTTTAGGTAAAATCCCTGATCAATCTTCAGCCCCCACAGTCGGGTCAAGCTCCTTCGTGTGGCAAGGTCCTCTCGACGCGCTTAGTAGCATGGAAGTCGGTTCCAAAATGGTAATTATGCAACAAGACCACGCGCAAAATGAATGCAAGACGCGCAAAAAAGTCCACCCATTCACTTTTGTTCTTCTTGCGTCACAAATTTATGTCAACAGCTATCATTGTCACGCTTGCTGAAAACTCCATACGTCTTTCCGCTCTGTTCTGTCGCGGACGCCGAGACCCAGGAAGTGTACGTGGTTCAGGCCAGCGTGCAGTTTGCGGTAGATGACTCTTGGTTTTCGCAGTTTTCCTCTACGGAGACCGCTTCAGGTTCTACTGACCTCGCGCAACTTTCGGGTGGTATGAGTACTGACCCCGGCGCCGCCGCTACGACGACGACGCGGCCGCCGGTGTTCTTGACCGACAGCGAAACGCTTCCGCCGCCGGAGGAGAAGACGCAAGCGCAGCTTTTCGCGCTCATGACTGAAAGCGGTGACCAAGCGGCGAGCGCCGAGGACAAGACCAAAGCCGCCTCTATGTGGCAGGCCCTAGACGCTATGGCGCTTGCAATCCGCAACTCGCTGGGCCCCGAAGCGATCGGCGTGAATGACACACTGCATCTGAAGACGTACACGGTGAATGGCGCAGTCACCATTGCAGTGGATTACTACGGACGACGCTTGCAGGAACTGCTGCCTGGTGGAGAGAAGCTGCCACACGACCACACAGCTGCAGTGGCAGCAGGTCGCGCAGGAACAAACCATAGGCAACAAGGTGCGCTGCAATCAGCTCGTGTTTTGGCAGGAGTTGATGTAGTACGTCAAAAAATGGAGGACGTGGACGTCGCGCGGGAGCATGCTACATCAAACACCGGGGCCCGCCCGACAGGTAGAGGTAGTGGGCCGCAGGCGCCACGCCGCCCGAGTGCAGCACGGACGCTGGCGGCAGGGACGTCCACTGACGTCGCCTACGACTTTCAGGTGATGCTAACCGGTGCGAACGCCTCCTCCAAAGCAAACAAGGCCGGGTCGGTGCTCGGCACTTCTAGTACCAGTAGTGGCGCATCAAACTCTACCAATGGCACCGCGGTGGTGGCAGCAAGTGCCGGAGCGTTGAGCAGTGTTTTCGCGACTGTGTTCAAGCAAGCGTTCACGAAAAACTTCGCGCAGATCTTTTCCGTGTCCGAATCCGTGATCCAGTCCTTCAAGAGTTTCAGCCGGGGCTTGAGCAGCATGGTCCTGGAGGTGCCCAGGTACAAAACGACGCCCTGGCGACCTTGCTCGACCGCGTGTGGGACCGGTATCGCACAGCGCAGCGTGCATTGCTTCGTGCCGCAGAACGCCTTCTCAAACTGGTGTCGCGGCCCAATTCCACTCGCGGTGCAGACCTGCGAAGACTACAGCGGCTGCCCGTTCCGGATCGACTGTCCTCTCGGCCCGGGTTCCACGTTGCTGACCTGCGAGCAACAGTTCCTCGCGGAAATGGGGATTTCCGCAGCTATCATTTTAGCCCTGGTCACCTATCTCTACCGGGGGTGCCGCAAACCCAAACGGGGCGCGGTCAGACTCCAAGTAGGCGAGGGGAAGAAGGTGGAAGCGGTTAAGTGGCGCACGGAGTACGACAAGGCGACAGGCAAAACTAAAATTGTGTGGGACACCAACGACAAAATGTTGTTCGGGGGCGTTGTCACAGGCGCCCCGGTGCTCGGAGACGAAGCGGAAACGCCGTCGCATCCACGAAGAAAATCCGCCCGAGGTCGTTCTGGTGGTACGACTTCCGCGCCAGCATCCTCTGAAGACGGTGCCCGCGAACAAAGCGCCGGCCGCAAAGAGACATCACCACCAATGGTGGATGTTAACGGTTCTGTGCTGCTGGACCTGGAAAATCCGGTGGCCATAAATCCAAATCAAGAGGATAGTACTTCTGCTGTCACCGTAGAAGTAGAGAAGAAGCAAAGTGACGCAAAAAATCAGGAGCGGGAGGCGGAGGTGAAAAGTGCAGCGTCGTCGTCTTCCTCGTCTGAGGTTATTAAGCCGGGATCTCCGGTGGGTGTGGTCATTGACCATGCGAGTCCGCCGCCGAGCTGCTTCGCGGACCAGGAAAAGGTCGAGTATTGGTCGGCCACCTACAATACCAAATGTAAAAGTGTCTGGGTCTGGAAGAGTCATGCTGTTTCTGCATGACACAGAAGGTCTGGCATGGAAGCTCTAGCATCACAGGTTTCGAGAAGCTTCCGCAATGCCGAATCCGCATGACAAATCCCCCATTTTGGTGACAGAAAGTGAGCAGCTTCTGCTGCCTATGCATCAGAGATTTTTGCGTGTTCTGAAATGCGCATCACAAGTTACATCCTTCCAGACCCAGACACTTTTACACTTGATATACAACAGCTTTCTACCCGCATCCATCTTGTCGCACAATCCGAAGACGAACACGCTCAACCTCCGCATTCTGGGGCAGCAAGTGCGGCAAAATGTGTCTTGGAACCTCATTCGCCTGCCGCTCCGGAAGGGGGAGCCCTGCGAATTCCATGTGGACGCTGACGTGCGTTGGGTGGATCGCGACGCTCGCACTTTTGACCGCCTGCGGGTATGAGACTGGACAACTCCCACTCTGCCCCTTCATCTGTCATGCAAAAACACACAATGTAGTCAGCACAGCTCCAGCTGTCACTTGGCCATATTTGTATTTTCATTTTGGGACTGTTTGCATGACAGGTTCCAGCAGCCAAATCAGTACGATACTGCTGCCAGGCAGAAAGAACTGCATCTTTGCTGGCACTTCTGCCGCTACTGTTGCCCTCCAAATGAGGGGAAGGGGGACGAGTTGTGCGATCTCATAACGGGCGGCGGCGGGCTATAAGCTGACCGCGAAGGGACGCGTTTTTCGCGTCGATGCCACTGCGGTCCGGCGGAAATTCGCGATCGGCGAAAAGGTGGTCGCTCTAGTTCCTGAGGAGCGTCGGTGGGCACCGTGTCGGGTGAAAGAGGTTGCGAAGGAGCATTACGGCGACACGAAGCAACGCCTTTCAGAATTGCTGCAGGATGGAGCTGCAAGTCCAGGGAAACGACGTGGCCGAGTGAGTCAGGCGTGGATGCAACCAGCTACAAGGGCGCACCAGAAATTCTTGGCCATGTCTTCCGGTAAAAATTACGCTCCGGAGACTACGTTTTCCTTATGGGAAGGCAATGGCAAACCTTCATCGCTCGGCCTGCACTTCGGGCGGGGATGGAAAGTGGACCGACTGGATATTGGGAAGCAGGCCGACTTGAAGGGTGTCCAGGTAGGTTGGAAACTGCTGGAGTTTGAAAACGAACCGGTGAACGGAAACCAAGGCCGATCTTTGAGCCGCACTTTCACAATATCCAACAGAAACCAGCCGCACGAGCACACGGATCATTCGAGGACCAGAAAAATATGCATTTGTGTTGCTTCTATTAAAGTCCTGTTGTATTATACTGATGTGATGCAGCGGAGACCGGAAGAGAAGCTCTCTTCTGTTTTTCGGAGCGCATTTTTTATTCGGAGTGCTTACGTAGTTTGAATAGATAACGAGTAGACAGGCACGACCAGGAAAAAAAAAATGTCATGCTGATGGCGAACAGCCCCAGCCAAAGACAGCGCCAACATTCGAGACAGGTATTAAAAGCATAGGCCGCGGCAAGCTCAAGCGCAACGCAAACTGATTTATGTTAAGTATATTTTTCCGGTAACATGTTCCGTCGGTGTGCGTTTCTGTCCAATACACGGGCACAGGCTCCACCTTCGACCTACGTAATGCGTTGGACGAAGCCCGCGCCGACAACAAGCAAACGATCACCCTCAGGTGGCAAACTCCAGCAGAGGAAGGCAATCCGGAGCCTGGCGCGGATACAAACCTGCTGTCCTCCAGCAGCAGTGCTTCTTCCTCGGCAGACGGTTCGCGAAACCACTCAAAAGAATCGACGACCAAGCGAAGGACCTCAAAACCTTTGGCCTTGGAAGACATAGTCCAGGCGGACGATGGGCACCAGCCCGCCTGGAGGAGCCCGCAGCGCCGCAGCAGCGGTGGCCGCCGCAGAACCAGCTCTAATGTTACTGGGAATGTGGCCATGGCTATGGCACCACAAGAAGGCGGGGAGGACGGCGAAAGGAGAAGACCGCTGAGCCCGCGCAAGCAGGCGCAGAGCGGCACGCTCCTGGATCCAGAACATCGAAAAAGCAGGAAAATTGACACTGGTATGTTTGGCGAGCGACTGCTGCTCCTGCCCATGGAAGTAGATGAAGTAGATGAAGACGAGAACGATAGGCAGCTTTTGCAGCGATCCTTTTGGGTGGACCCGAAAGAGCAGCAGGTTTTGCCGCTGGACGTCGCTGAGTCCACTTCTTATCAGTACACAAGCAAGCGCCGCACGTTGGCTCTTGCAATCGAAGACCGAAACCGCTTTGCTCCACCCACGGAGGGCCTAGTCGAGAGCGCGCGTGGCTCCATTACCAGCGGCGTGTTGTCCCCCCGTAGTAATATGGGCTACAGCGCCACGGATCACGGACCTTTTCCATTGGTGATAAGAACGACCGGCGAGGATGAGACCCCGCCCAGATCAGAGCCAAGTTCCTGCGACCCAGACGAAAGTGACGGCAACGACGCGGGCGCTCTCGGCGAGGACCCAGGACGCAGACAAAACAAACCCATCCACCTCGCTCTCAAAGACAAGACAGACGCATGTGGCAGTCAGGGCGAAGCAATCTTTGAAGTTTAAGCTGCAAGAAGGACAAGGACCAATCTACGGGAGAGCGATTGCAATCAGTACTATGAAATTGTCTGGAATGCTTTGCGTCGTGTCGGACGTACTACAATGAACCCGCCGAAGAACGTCTTTGATATTCCAGTAGATGTAGAAGAAAGTGATAGATTTTGGTAAGTAGTAATGCTGGTGCACTTTTATTTCAAGTGCAAGCACTTGCTGGTACTAGTACGAAATGATTTTGCAATTGAAGATGAAGCTGTACAGTTAACATTTGAACAAGCACACCGAGGACGCGGATGGCGTTTCCGAATTCTTGAATTTTGCATAGAGAGAGAACCTGGAAAAAATGAAAAAAATGTCTTCGCGACACGGAGCGACAGAATGAAACATGGGGCATCAACCCAGACCCGTTAGGCCTTTGCATAATTTTCTTCGTGAAAGATTAAGGACGCAATAGTTAAAACAGCGCCAGAGGCAAGAACCATTGAGATAAAAATAAACGATATGGTGCAAGAACACAATATCAATATTTGAGTGCAACGAAAAGGAAAACTGTACGTACTTGGATAGATGCTGTCCAAAGAAATAGAAAAAGCTGATAGATGATGCATGATTCTGGTATAAATCGACGCGACACCGCCTCCGATTTGAAAAAGCTAGAACCGTCCGAGGAAACTGTCTGCAAAATAAAACCCCGATGTACAACTTTTGCAAAACGCATAGATACGAGGTAAAGAACTCAAACCGAACAATAGCCACGTGCAACGGCAACTCTTCACAGATACTGCTTTATTACGATTCCAAGAATGTTTGATGAAGGACAGTAAATGTATAAAGACCGAAGACGAACTATGATATATTAATTATACAAAAGTAACGGCAGGTCTTCGTGAGCCCCTGACGTGGTCCTTGGGAAAAAATAGAAATGTTGTTCTAGCAACTCGGTTGAAGAATTTGCAACATTTCCATCCATCAGGCTTGCTTCGAAGAGACAGCCAAGATGGCACAGGAATGGGGCAAACCAATATCGAAATCATTTTTTCTTATTTTCACGGAATGGAGAGATAGAGAAATTCAAGGGTTACACAGAGTGCGAGTGGCAAAGCGGTTCTTTTTTCGTAGGTTTTCTCAAACAAAGCGCTGTCGTTCTGTCGAGTGTTTCGCAAAAACTGACAAGAAGCAGCAAAGTGGAAGAAAGACTTACATCATGACTCCGATTAAATATCGTATCACCTGTGAAATCATGTCGTACCAGATGAGAATTTCCATTTGTTTTTTCATCGTGAGCCTGATTGTATATGATTAAGGTATACAAACAGAGGAGGAACAGTCAGTCTACACGAACCCGCACCAGTGGAAGAAGGAGCGACATTCTTTACTATACAGCTTTTGGAGGAACATCACGAGAAAAATACCCACTTCTGCGAGTGCGGATGTCTTAAACCTACATCAACAACAGCACCGCTCTTCTTTCTATCAGAAGCAAAGATGAAAGGAGCACCGAGACAAAGGCAAAAGGAGAGGACGCTCTCGACGCGCGCGGAGAAGAGCGCCAACCCCAATCGGCAGATAAGTTCTCTTATCCTGTGCAAAAGTAGAAGTTGTTGAGTATCTTATGGGCGTATTGGACGAATGCATGCAATACCTGCTCCAATGTCTCATTCATCATTCCCTATGCCCAGGTGATGTCGAACTTGATCTTGTACTAGATTTTGCTTTTGTATGACAATGACAAATTTTTACTTTGCAACCCCACCCCGAAAATGAAAATTGTGATGCGATTTCTATGTGCTGGGATACTTTTTACTTTTGCAATGCATACCTCTGCTACATGTACCCACCGGTCGCCCTGCGAACTTCGTCGACAGTTTGCGATCACCTTACGAAAAGTTCATCCGGCAGGCCTTCCAGCAGGCCGAGGTCTTTGCCTCCCACTGGCAGGGCCTCTTCCCGTCCCCCGGCACACTGGACATTACCCCCGCGAGCGAGAAAGCCCGGGCCTTGGCAAGAAAGAAGAAAAACAAGAAAAATGATGACGCGCGAAAGCAGCCCACCGCGCACGTGCAGCGCGAGAAGCAGTTGGCGCTGTGGCTGCAGCAAGTGGTCGTTCAGGCAAAAAAGCCCGGGACGAACGATCCCGATGCCTCCCGGGAAGTGGCAGAGGAAGACGAGAATGTGTCGAAGGACCAAATCATCCTCTTGGTGGACCTGTTTCTCTTCCTCTGGCGCATCTGGCTTCTTGATCTACGTATCGGCTTGCAGTGGCTCGAGCTTCAGCTAGGACCGTGCATCGTGCGGGAGCTCCTCCGCGTGGAGCCACCCGGGCGCGGCTTTGTCTTCTTTCCGGGGGAGCTTTTTCTATCCGCAACAACGTCGTCCTCCACCTGCCCGATAGGAGGTCCGGATGACCACGCCGACGAAGCGCAGACGAGAACAAATCCCGCGCGGAGGCATCAAAGAAAGGGCACTAAAACGACCCTTCCTGCACTTTTTCAACAACCGCCAGACGAGGAAGATACAGGCGCCTGCAGCTCCACTGTCGTCCGCAGCTCCTGTCTTCAGGCTTCTTGTCGTGCCGCTTCTCAACAGCCACTCGCAGACCAAGAGTTCTGTGCACCACCAGCATCGGTTGTGCTTTCAGCCGGTTGCGCCTCTAGAACCAAGGACACCTCCGACCACAAGAGTGAGGAGGGCCGCGATTCTGAAGATGCTGCCGAAGATGATGTTGTTCTTGCGGGTAAAAACAAGACGAACATGTCTATCTGCGTGGATCGCGACCTCGTCCTCAACCACAACGACCCACTTGGGAAGTATGCAGAGCGCACCACCCGCCCGATGTGTTTTCTCACGCTCGATGACATTGCAGTTCCTGTTGCAGCGACGATCCGGAAGTTCTTTGCCAAGTTGGACGCGCTCGATGTCGCGGCAAACAGTGCAATGGTGATCGAGGACAAAACTGGTGGCGACGCAGCCTCGTCATCTTCCTGCTCCGCGACCTCTGCTTTCGGCACGAATTCGACCGACCGGGGAACTACAGAGCCCACGTCTAGTAGTCTGTCTAACGCAAATAATCGCGTCAACGCCCGACCTTTTTGTAGTACCGAGCAACTACACCAGCCGACTTTTCTGAAAGAGGTCACCGAGCGATTCTCCCCTACGTTTATGGCGTGGCTGCGAGATGCTGGTTTGAAGCTGGCGTTGTGGTTTGCGAGAGTGGCTGCACCTGCCGGCGCAAAAGACAATACTACTCATCTGCAACACCGCGGCAACATCGCCTCGGACAGCACGAACTTGTTGGCATCGGGTGCTCACAACTTTGTTGAGCACGCAAACTGCCGGATGAAAGAGCTTGATACCCTGGTGGGCGAGATCGTGGCGCAGGTGTTTATCGACAAGCACGGCAGAGAGCGGAAAGAAACCTTCGGTCCCTCCATGGCGTTATTGACCGCGCGCGATCTGCGGCTCATCCACTTGGAGTGTGTGGCGCTGCGGGTTTTGCAACTTGCGCCAAAGTCGATTTCTCGTTCCTCGGACAGTGCGATCACAGCAGCCGAAGCTGCAGCGGTGGCAAAGCCTATCGATGTCAATGACGTGACCAGTACCAACGCAGGTTCAAAAAGCTGCTTCAACTTTGCAAGTAACAGTACCTCAGATGAACTTTTCGCACAGATGGAAGACCTGAACGAAGAGACCCATGAAGCTCTTGCCCTGGATTCCTGTGGTGAAGACGATGAGCGCGAAGATGAGGCCCACCTAATTATCCCAGGAAATGAAGTGCCTCACTGTGATGTATGAAGGACAAATAGTCGTGCCGTAGAGTTTCAAATTGTATGACTGACAAGCAGAATGTAGAATTTCGATATCGATCCTCCTACCTATACCCACGACAAAAAAAAACCTGCTATCCCATACGAGATGAAAACGACACGGCTGGAAGGAGTGTGCCTCCTTCGTTGTGTGTCTTTGCAGCACCAATACTTCTGCTGCGTTGATGCATCCCTTCCTGGCTGCAAAAAAATTAAGAAGTACTACTGCAGTCGCGAAGCACAACGAGCAAGCTTTATTCTGGGATAAACATTACGATTACCGCCGCCGACTCAGTACCTTCAACGCCGATCCGACCCGCAAAGCGTCAGAAAACGAAGTTAGCAGCTTGCATCGGCGATGAAAATTTCAATGTAAGAGTTGGTGGTCGCCGCAGTTTGTCTCTCGAGAGAAAACAGCACTCCACTGAAGAAAGAAACCGCGGTGGTATGCGCAGTGGAAACAAGACCACTGATCGTGATCGCCACCTGAAAGTCGCGAGACAAGCGTGTTATCGCTTGCTGTTCGACTACTTTCTATGCTTTGTAGAAGTGTCATCATCGCGCTCTAAGCAGTTAGTACTTGCCATCGTCATGATGCGTGTGACACATGTTATCGCCCGCGCCTGCCTTTGTCACCTCGAAAAATCCGTCATCCGCTATCGTGATGCAATCTGTTGAAGTGTACTAAATGGATACCAGCTGCATGCCGATACTTTTACAACGCATACCTTGACACAGACACTGACTGTGTGTATGAGAACTTGACGACCGGTGAGCAAGCGTACCTGGTTGACGGAACATCAAGCGGAACTGCATGCATCATGGGCGACGAGGACAACACGAGCCGAAATGGAGACTGCACAGATGCCTATACCAGTGCGGAAGGTATAGGTCAATCTCAAACAATGTTTGTCTAGTGATTACGGTTCACGTACGAGGCTGCAAGTTCAAGAAGTTCTAGTTCAAGATGTTGCACTACTACTAGTACTAGATGCTTTATTCGTGTAGGTTACTGCGTCTCATCCTCACATCGATGGGTGCTGATAGAAGTAGAACTAATCCAGATGAAAAACAAACACTAGATCTAGAACAAATCACTCTTCGTTCATCACCATCAGGTTCCAGAGGGCATGTTTGCTCGAGAATCAGCTGCGAAGAGCTACCGCATCAGGACCAGGACAAGCACCTGATATCGCACAGAAAACTTGTATCAGTGGTGTATCACCTCCAGTCTCAACTTGTATTCAGGTACTTGGATTATTTTTCTTTTGTCGCGCTCGACATAAAAGCATAAGTTACGCATATTCTTGGTAGCTTCTGACGCTGGTCCGTCATTCCATGTTGAGGAGTGTTGTGGTGCTGCATCTGCAACACGTTGAGACTGCTGGCACAGCTATTTTTTTCCTCGTCGATATCTACACACAAGCCTGCAATGGCTGGCCCGAGACGACTCGATGAAGAATATCGTAAGGAAAAATCTTCCCGCTACCCCATACTCAAAAGCAAAACTCAAACTCTCGTGCTGCTGATTCATGGCCACAAAAAATTTTCCTGCCTTTCAGCAAGATTTTTCTTTAGGCATACCTACGGACCCATGAGGAGCGTGGGCGTCGCGTTGAAGCATTGCAGACAGCACCGATCATCTACCCAAAATCGCGCGAGAAGCGCAGATAGTTTCGCATAGCATGCCTCGCATAGATGCCATTCCCTTGTTCTGTTTATGCAAGGAAGACGCAACGCAAGCCCAGCACCGCATGATGTGGGTGCAAATGCAAATGCAAATCCGGCGACATCAGCATCGCGGCAAACCTCGTCCGCACGAGGACACTACCCAGTGCCGCTTTAGCTTTGCTGTAGGGAAATGCAGACACTCTAATGTAGTAGCTTGTCGCTGGCAGGAAGCCTGGCGTCGTCTTTGTTGCGAATTTGCAGCAGGCAGAGAGGATGGGGGCCTCAAAGCGAGATTCTCGGGGTAGTATTCTCTCTCTTGAAAAAACAACTGCGAACGCTGGCCAATTTTCAAAAATTGACAAAAAACGTGTCTGTGGTTTCTTCGTGCAGGACACGCGAGCACCTATACCGTCAAATCCTGCGGAGTATTTCCGGGTCTCAGGATCAGTAAGGTCGCGCTTGCGGGGCTAGCTTCTAAGCCTAATGTTGTCTAGAAGTAATTTACGCAATGTTTCTGCGAGGGAGCCGTCGTGTCACGCGACTCACTGGGGAGAATCTTCGCCAAACGCGCGACAGTTCTTGCTGGCGCGGTTTTTTAGCAACTGCATATGCTTCCCAAAATTGAATTTTAGCAGCAGCACACAGATCATCCGTCCCTTATTTGAGTAGGGGGAGCAGGGGGTAGCGGGTAGTTTTCCTGACAATAGAAAAGTTTGGATCTTCGGGCGCGTTTCGGAAAGCGCTCGTGCGTGACTTGTTCCTGCGCATAAATGGCGTTTACAACAAGACCACTAATCTCTCTAAATATCCTCTGCAAAAGTGTCTACTTTGTATTCGTAACAAGTCCGATATTGGATAAGGATAACGCATGGCTTCTTTGAATCTGCACCACATCAAAGTCGCTATTTTCTACTGACCACGTTGTCATCGTCATGAATGTGAATTCGCATTTTTATCCATCTACCGCGGAAAAACCTACATAGACATTCGGACAATTCATGTGGTTGCTTTTGCAATGCATATGTGCGCCGAACGAGCGCCCAGTGCTGTGTCACGACGGCGTGGAGTAAGGATTGCGAACACGACAAAAGCACCTCTAGTCGCAACGGATGTTCTTGGAGGACAAGGTACTACAGATGGCGACGACTGCGATGCCGATCCCGATGTTGCTGCCAGTGTGGTTCTGACTAGCCTACTCTCCGTCTTGCTGCAAAAATCGACAACTCAAACCGAGGAGGTCGTATTCACGGGACCAGCAAAATTCGACGAGGCTTTACGGCAGGAGCAGAATGAAACAAAAGCGTTGGGCAAAGCAAGCGCAACTTTGATCACCACACCAGAACGACAACGATTACGATGCCACGCCCTGGAATTAAAGCGAATACCTAAAGAAAAAATCACCATGATCGCCCTCGCGCTCTCAGTTTGTGTGTTTTCGATAGAGTTTGTATATCCAGATACGAATATTAGTCTACCACTGACACACTGAGCGCCTACTTGAGGAGCGTGGGATTTTTTATCCAGGATATTGACCACCGACGCCGGTTCATTCGACTCCGCCAAAGATGAAGCAGCTGGTCTCTTTGTTTCGGGCGAGCAACTACGGCGGTTCGAAAAAGCGGCCGTCGCCGTTGTCGTGCGAGTCGCGGTCAGGAATCGACGCGACGGCTGAGACTTCTGTGCCCGAGGACTCGTCATGCCCTCCCGTCCTGCCAAGCTGGATGAGCAATTTGTTCTCTACGCCTGAGAGTGTTCGGAGTGACGCTACTGGTGTCAGCACCCCGCCCCGATCCCGAATGAATGCAGGTACGAAAACTCCTGCTGAGCAGAGGCCACGAAAGAAGGTCACGAGGAAGGAAATCCGTGTAGAAGACGCACGGGTGTTGCGCATCGCTGGCACGGTATGGCGCTTTCTCGAAGGGCTGTTGGTGACGGAAGCCTCTCAGTTCTTCCTTGCGAAGACGAGCAACAAAGCTGCTGCACCCGGACAGTACAAAGCATCGGCGCCAGCCGCGGGAGCAGCGCCCATTGGATACGCGTTCTCCGGAAGTCGAAAGAGAAAAAAGGAACAATTACTGCATGGAGGTAAAAAATCATCCGCGAAGAACAAAAAACGAGACCAAGAAAAGCTTCTTTGCTCGGATCTTCATCTTGATGCGAGGAACAAAAAGTCCCAGCTCCCTGCAAAGTTTGTCGAGAATCTGCTGTGGTCGAGGGACGCGGCTTTGCGTCTGCTCGTCTCTGGTCTTTGGAAAAAAAGTGCCGGCGCGTTGCGAAAACAGGCACTGGAGGCCCTGCGGTTGTTTTCTCCTGCACGACACAAGGAGAGCGGTCGTCTTGCGGCGGCGCAGCCGGAGCTGAACCTAAACCGCCGGAAGCCCACGAACCTGCTCAAGTCCATCGTTCTGTCTGCGATGGCGGACCGCAAAAGTGCCGGTGTGCGAGGAACCGCGATCCAGGCAGCCGTGGGACTCGGAATCGACAGCGAAGCCGTCTTTCAGAAGCAACTGCATCGAAGCCTGCGGGATCCGAATCCAAAAGTGAAGCTTATCGCCGCACACATTCTGGCGAAGGTCTATTTCCCAATAGTAGCCGAGAGCAGGAGCGCAGGGGGAGCGACGGTGGATCAACACGATCTGCGTGGGAGCTCACTGCATAAGACGACGTCCAAGAACTACGATTCGTCCACCAAGTCCGCGTGCGCGTCTGCTGGTTTGGGCAATGCCTTCGCATTTCTGTGTGAGATTGCGCGCAACTTTTTGCGCAACGGGGCGACCAGTGATGCGGCACTGGAAATCTTGGCGCAGGCAATCTTTTCCACTAGCTCGTCAGCGTCCAATGCAGGACCTCCAGCGTCGAACCTGTTATGTCAAGGACCACGGAAACAAGAGGAGCTGATGAAGGTTGGCGGATCCGAACTGTTCGTGTTCTTCGCACTGCTGACCGACATGGCCTCGCGCAGCCTGGACTACCAGCCGTGGACGGTCGGTCTGTTGATGCAGCGTCTGTCCGAGAAACTCCGTTCCCCAAACCTCGTGGACGTCTGCGTGCGCCGCTTCCTCCAATATCTGGAATTGCACAACGGTTTTCCGGACTACGCCGTCACAGATGCGCACGGCTACAGTATCGTGACGGTGTTCCGTGGCGTCAATGCTCTGTTAGAACACGGCGGCGCGAGCGTCTGTGCGGGACGTACGCTGCAGTTCTTGCTCCATGTTTGCATGCGCCTGCGCTTGCACTTGGTGGACGACCGAGTTATCGGTCGATACTTGGCAGTCAAAGTGGTGAAGAACTTAAAAAACCCGCAGCAGGATCATGTTGGGCGAGACCATGGAGGGCATATTGTCGTCGCAAATAGTACAACGATGGCGACCACTGTGGACAACAAGGAGAGGCGCGATGTCCTTTCGTGGAACCTGTTCGACCTACTACACCCGTCAGAGGTTTGCAGCTCTCGGGCCGAAAACTTTTACGGTTGCGCGAAAGGAGACCTTGGCCAAGAAGAGCAAGGGGACGAGGAAGGGGCAAATAGAAAATCTTCGTGCAGCACGACCGTGGGCGATGCGCTCACAAAGGCGTTCGGCGATGCCGAAAGCGCTCTGTTCGCTCTGGAAGACGCTGAGCTCTTGGCACGGCTTGTCTTTTCCATATTGTCTTGCTGTGTCGCAGGTAAAAACTTTCCCGCCGCGAAGGAGGAACAGGTATTGCTAACCGCCGTGGCGCCGCTCTGTCGTTTCTTCGTTGAGAGGGGGCAGAGCATCGACGTGGTTGCGGGGGCGGGGCAATTGTTGCACAGCTGTTTGACAAGGGTGAAGCACTTGAAGTCGAACTTCTCGGGAGGTCAGCGTCTCGACCTGTCTGCCATCACGACAGGCAGCGCGAATGTTTCGGCTTCTGTACAACCGACCGGAGAACTGATTCCGACCGGTGGAAATTGGACGAAGATGGAAGGCAGTGCAACTTGTGAAGATCCAGCATGTGTTGACTCTAACGGTGTGCGCCCGGAGGGGGAAGCGCAAGAACCGCATCAAGCAGCAAGCGCTCGCCTACTGGTGCCGTGCCCCTATGTGGCGGCTGAATCATCCCTGATCTTGCGAAGAATGGTCGTGGAAGATTCGTGCTTTGCGTGCTTTGGCTTTTCGGGAGTACAGGACAGCATCGGCGCGGACAACAGCAGCAGGGCCGGACCGGCGAGTGAACATTTGCACCCATTCTTGTCGGACCTGATGTTTCCTGCTGGTTCTCCTGGTATTGACACAGACACGCATGAGAAGCAGAGCTCGAGCTCTTCCGGCGGCAGCGGCGAGACGACTGCGCTATGTGCTGTTGCTGAACCAGGAAGATTTCGTCCCGATGAAACTGAGCCGAAAACTCCGGTTGCTGCTACACCCTTCGGGACTAGCACGTCACAGATGCGTCTAGTGAAGAGTAGTTCTCGCTTCGAGACCGACCTTGTTCTATTCCCCACGAAAGTCATCAGCTGCGTGAACAACGACAAACGCGTTCTCCCCGAGGAGCCGAAGTATGTCCAGTTGACCCCGGAGCAGAAGATGGTGCAAGACTTTTGCGCGGATGTCGTGGACCTCTCGGACATGCCAGAATGCCAAGAGTTGCTGAAGCATTTTTTAACTCCGCCCCGACGGAAGCTGCGTTTTAGCTATTCGGCCGAGGAAGAAGTTGTACAGAAGCAACGCGGTTCAACATCCATTGCGAGTGCGGATCACGGCGAAAGCGTTCTTCAGAGCTCCGCGACCACGCGTCGAAAAGTGAGCTGTGTTGTAGCTACTTCCTCTGACGACCCGGGCTCGTGTAGGCTCTCCTGCGAGGGCAAGGGGAGGCCTCCAGCAGAACAAGACACAAAATTGCAAGTTTCCAAGTCCATCTGCACGGAGCAGACACTGACAATGATCCGGAAAACTACGACCAGAGAGTTTTTGGAGCAGGAGCAAGAAGGTGGAACGATCGTTCCAGCTGGGGAGAAGGGGCAGGGCCAAATACCGGTTGCAGCCGACCCCGCTCGGGCGTTCTGGGACTACGTGGAATATGTGTTATCCCGCGTCGAAAGGGTCGCGAATCTCGTCTCCGGACAGGGAGTATGCGAACCCGACGATGTCTGCTCGGAAGAAGCGCAGCTGGCGACTCGAGCTCTGCAGTATCTGGCGTCGTCCCTGCAGCCTGAGCAGCTGTATTGCACCAGTGACCTTCACAACTCCGGAGAAGAATGTGGTGGCGCGGGCTCCTTCGTCAGCAGAAACCGGGACCTTTCTGTGGTGGTGGATGAGGAGCCGCTGCCGCCGGACGAAAGTGCCTGCGAGCTGCACGACGAGGACTGGCGAGAGAGCGACCACGATGCAGAAGAACAAACAAAAGGACTGGCGATAAAATCAGAGTTTGTTCACCTCAGACCGAATAAAGTCCCGATTGCGACCGAAGTGGTAAACAAGGCGCACAGCAAGTCGCTCGACGCACTTCTGGCGAGCAAGAACTACCAAATCATGCGAACGAATTCCGTGGAGAAATCGAGCCAAGATCAGCAGAAATGCTCAAACGGCTGCTCGAGCAGCAGGTCATCTTTTGGGAGCGGTGCTCCTCTACTTCCTGTCACCACTGATACATCAACGGACTCGAAAACCAGACACTTTGCTGCAACTTTTCTTCGTGCGGTAACATTTCTTACCACAGTGCTCTCGCAGGATGAGAATGATGCCAGCACAGAACAGGATCGATTAGGTGCAGGCCGAGGAGAAGGTGTCGACCGAACGGCAGCTCCTGTTCTTTCAGCAAATTTTCACACAAATGGATTGATCAAGCGATACGTCAAAGCGCTCCTGGGCATCAGAGTCCCTCCATCTGGAGCAGCAGGTGCTGGTCCCACCACCAGTGAAAATGTTGTACTGGATGCAAGCAGCGAGACCAACAACGTCGATAAGAGCCAGACCATCCGGTTTTTGGTGCTCCAACAACTTGGGAAGCTTTTGCAGCGCCCGGACGCACTCGCCGCTCTGAAACGAGGACCACCTTCGGATGGAGCTATCAAGCCTGTCCGGAAAATGAATCAGCAGACTCCGACGGATTTCGGGCTGAAAAGCGACGTCTTGACATTCCTGCAAGAAGAAATTCTGGACCCGCTTCACGTTCACCAGGAGCACCAGACTCGTTCGGACACGCCTCCGCATGTCGTCCTTCAGGAGTCACTGGTGAACCACTTTTTCCTCTCCATTACCCAAGCACTCGCAGCCTATCTGCAGCGTTTCAACAATATCGGTCGTGACCTCACGACGGGCCCCGCTCAGCAAACGGGTGTAGGAACAGGAGCAGCTGTTGGGAGCGACGTCGCGACAAGAATTATCTCCTCTGCTACTGCAGCTTCGACTATCTCTACTACGGGTTCTTCCGAAGTCGTGGACGACATGGCCGCTGCAGCTGCTCCCCCGCCCCCTGCGTTGTCGTCGACCAGCAAGAAGAACCTGCTTAATTACCACTTTGTGGCGGAACTCTGTGGGCTGTACGTCGAACACAGCGACTCACTAGTCTGTAGCTTCGACAAGTTCCGGATTTACCAGCTGTTTCAGCAAGTATTCGGGGTTCTCAATCCGGCCCAGATTGCCGACGAGCTGCTTTTTTTCTATTGCGTCGAGAAAGCGACCCTTGGAGAAGACGGCTTGTTGGAGGAGGTCACCAACACCAGGATCGAGCAAGATCAAGACGGCTTGCTGCACAAGCTCAGCAGGGTCGAGCAAAGTGAAGCGGCGACGTCCTCGGCTAACGATGGTGCTGAGGATGATGGCGCCGGAGAAACATCAGAAATGGAAATGATGCCAGAGGAACACGGTTTTCAACAACATTCTGATCTGGGCGAGCAATGGGAACTACAGGGTGAAATTATCGTCACGAGTATCCACAAGTCGCGACATCTGAGCGCTTTACGTGATTACCTTCGCGCATTCGTTCTCCCGGACAAAAAGAAACTGACGCACCAGATCCGATCGCTTTTGCGAGACATGAGCACCCTGGTAATCTCCCCCGCACACGTCGCGACCTTGGCCCGAGTGCTGCTACAGCTTTTGCCCGACGGCGAAAACAAGAACGCAGCTTCTGCGGCGCTGCTGAAGGTGTACGCCGAGGAACTTACGGCTGCGCCAGCGCTCGACAGAGGCTACAGCGAGCCCGACGGTGCGGTGGAGCAGGACAGCATCCGGACCGAACTGAAATTTCGTGTACGCGAACAGGGGCTGCAACCAGACGAGGAGGATCAAGAGGACATCGAGATTTGCTACTACTGGAACAATAAAAAAAGGCGACTTCTTGCTTCGAAGCAGCAGCTCGACGATGCGAGATTCGACAAGAAAAACAGAAATCCCTGCACTTCTTGCCTCCCGGGCAGGATCAAGTTTGATCCCTTGCGTTACGTCGAGTTTCTGCTGCTGTTAGCGAGGTCAACTATGATGAACACGACCGGGGAGCAGGTATTAACTTCCGTCGTCGAGCCGCACATCGCGGAGCTGTTGATTTCCTTTGCCGATCGGCATGTGGAGGATATCCACGACACAGTGGAAAACTGGTGCTCCTCGTCCCCCGAAATAAAATCCTCTCAATTTTTGCATTCGCGTGCAGGACCACAGGCGGGCAAGGTTGCAACCAACAAGAACGCGGAGCTGCGCACGCGTTTGCTGTTTGCCCGGTTCATTGGCGCAGACACCTTGGGTTTTCTTGGACGGGGGTTGACTTCGCAAACGCAGATGTCTCCACGGGACATCTGCACGCTAGCAAAAAGTGCGAAGTTCTCACAACTGGCGGAGTTTCTGTCGGACTGGATCGACCGGCGGGAATTCGAATTCAAGCCAAATTGGGTTCCCCCGTCATCGAATGCCGCACCAGCCAAGGGAGGACGACGAGCAACGGGCTCCGGCACGGCTGGGACCTCGGGCAGCCTACCGGGAGGATTGGTCGTGACCCAGAAGCAGAACAAACGCGGTCGCCCCCCAGGACGAGGTCCCCTCAACTCGAGGACGGTGAGGAAACAGACGAGTTGGAAGAAGGTGGGGACAGCAAGCCGAAATATCTTCGACAAAAACAAAACTTTTCCCCACCGTGGTGGTCGAGGGAAGGCGGTGTTGACGGAGGCGTAGTCGCAACACTCTAGATGACATGGTAGTGCACTGAATGTGAGGACTGCTCTTAGACTTAGAATCTGGAAGAGCATCAAGACGACGAAAACAAAAACCGGCTGATGCTTCAGGTGAGCCACAAATTACAAAAACCGATGTGGCAACTGTTATTACTAATACTATTAGCTGCAGCTGATTGAAGATTCAGACACAGACTTGAACAGCGAATCTGAATCATCGCAACAGGTTGAGGCTCGCACTACGTTTACTTTATTGAAAATGATGAAATGAAAATTTAATTTACGCTAGATAACAAGCTACATTACGCCTGAATCAAGCCAACTTTTCACTTTGAATTTTGACACACTTGCAGAAATCAATCCTATGGGTAGCTTTTTCCAAGTATTTTTACGATATCCGAATACCTCTTTAATTGTATGATTTGCACCGAAAAGTCTGTTTGAATTTTGCGAACTTTTTTTGTTTCCTTTTTCGTTTTCGCCTCTGATTTTATACGATGTTGAATACACATTGGCTCCTATGTATGAGTTTACGCAAACTCCCGGCCTCAAATGACAGTAGCTGAATTTGACCTTGATCTTCGATTTTCAGGCTGGCTGAAAAATCCGAGGTCGTACTCACGAGAAGGTGGGACTGGAGGGACCCGGCAGCTTTACTATTTGATTTTTTTCAGTTGTTGTTCGGAATACGAACGGGAACGAGCTATAGATACTACAAAATTATGGCACTACACAGGCAAGCGCTGCAGAAGTAGACAGAACGATGATTCTGGTAAATGAGAAGAGAATGAACAAGTGATGTGATACCAATGGATGCATTTGATTCCTGCAGATGTTTTCACTTCTAGTCTCTCTCGAATACAGCTTCAGAGGAGCCAGCAGCTACCGCGGTAGCGGCCGGCTCCTCCTCAACCTGATCACACACTACCTAGGGAATCGCACCAAATTTTTTCGCCTAACAGGCGAGGGTAGATGGTTCGTTTCTGTTTTCCGATACCCACGTCCTCGAGGCCACGGGAGCTCCCGACTGCTTTTACGCCTCTTTCCTGGGTTGGCGCGCTCGCGGTGTAGACATGGTAGACGCAATAATTTGTGCATAGAACGACCATGATGCAGAAGTTAACATAGTACAGTTGTTTATTTTGGAGAAGGTCGTGTGTTTTGTTTGCCGAAGTCTTCTTTGTGTCGGACATAAATCGGTTCGAAGTGGTGCAACTTTTTTTTTTGTGAATTGTTGGACGAAGTCGTCGTGATGGAAGAAAAACCACTGAACACTCGGTACAAAAATCGGCACGACAATCGACTTCGTTTTTTGTTTGCTTGTTTTTTCTCGTGAAAGCGTGGAGGTCGACTGCGAGGCTGAGGTAAAATTATGAACGAGCCAGAGCTCCGCCGTGTACTTAATAAGTTCAGACGGTGACCCTGGTCAGAAGTAAGAACAACAAACGTGCCTAGACGAAAAAGGCCCCAATCGCAATTTGCTCCGAGCTCACAAGTATGTAGGTGGACAAAAGGAGTAGTTCTAGTTAGCAGGACCCAATTATAAACACGACAGGCGAGGAGAGCCTGTATTACATCACTACAAACAGAAAATTTATGATCGTCGAGTTCTATGCAGCTGATAGAAGGTGTTGCTCGGCAACGACCATGCCCACCAAGCAGCAGTCTTTTCTATTCGCATTTGTCCGAACTTGAAAGGACTTCAATTAATAGAGGCCATTTCGCATCAACTACATGCTGTATGACCCCGATAACTTGAATTTTTTTTTACACATCACTGCAAATTAGTTTCAGTACTATACAACTTGCTGTCTCGTATGAAGATATTTACCGAAAGTAGGGTCTGTACACATGGCTGTAGCCTTTCAATGTATTTCATGACTTGTCGTTTGTCTTAAAGTTTCACGACTTGACTCTAACGCGTAGCGCAAAAAAAACCTTCCTCGTGGGGTATACTTTGCAAATTATCTAGTGTCTCTACTAGCCTTATCCCGCTTCCCGTGTCCAGTTGTAACCTGCTGACTTAATAGTATTCCGCTAGATGAATAGTAGCACTTCTCATCGTCTCTCTGTGGAGAATCGTTGTCGGCGCTTCAGCACAGGTAGGCCCATCTGCCGGCGATTTTCAAAGCGGGAGAACGGCTTTGGCACGATCCGGCACCGGCCGGCGCGGAGGGCAGGTTGGCCTTTGCCGTCATCTTGCATGCTGGCACCGGCGGGGCCGCGATCTGGCGGCGGGGGGCGGGCATGGTCGGGCACCGGCTCGGCGAGGGCCCGACACCGGCGTGGCTAGGGTCCGGCACCGGCTTGGGCATGATCGGGGGGGCACCGGCACGGCCATGACCTGGCACCGGCGTGGCCACGACCTGGCACCGCCTTGGCCATGATTTGGCACCGACTTGGCCGCGGCCGGGCACTTGCAGGCATGGCCATGATCCCGCACCGGTTTGGCTATGCTCGGGCACAGGCAGGCAGGCTTGGCCATGATTCACCTGGCACCGGCTTGGCCACGACCTGGCACCGCACCGGCTTGGCCATGATCTGGCACCGGCTTGGCTTTGTTACTTATGAGATGATCTGGCCCCGGCTTGGCCATGATTGATTTGGCGCCGGCTTCGGCTTGGCCACGACGGACCCGGGGCCGGCTTGGCTTTGCCATGATCTGGAACCGGCTTGGCAGTGGCCTGAGCGAGCGCCGGCCTTGCCGTGATCTGGCACCGACCGGCCTGGCCACGACCTGGCACCGGCCTGCTTCGAGGCTTCGCTGCTTCGGGGCTTCGCTGCTTCGAGGTTGCGCCGCTTCGGGGCTTCGCTGCTTCGGGGCCTCGAGGCTTCGCTGCTTCGAGGCTTCGAGGCTCTGCTGCTTCGAGGCTCTCCTGCTTCGAGGCTTCGCTGCGTCGAGGCTTCGCTGCTTCGAGGCTTCGCTGCTTCGAGGCTTCGCTGCTTCGAGGCTTTGCTGCTTCGAGGCTTTGCGGCTTCGAGGCTTTGCGGCTTCGAGGCTTCGCTGCTTCGAGGGTTCGCTGCTTCGAGGGCTCGCTGCTTCGGGGCTTCGCTGCTTCGGGGCTTCGCTGTTTCGGGGCTTCGTTGCTTCGGGGCTCCGCTGCTTCGAGGCTTCGCTGCTTCGAGGCTTCGCTGTTTCGAGGCTTCGCTGCTTCGAGGCTTCGCTGCTTCCTTCGGCGTTTCGAGGCCTCATCGTTTCGAGGCGTCGCCGCTTAGAAGCTTGGGCGCTTTGTCTGCATTCCATTGTTGTTGTTTTTCGTTTCTTTGTTTTCGTTTTTTGTTTTCATTCTTTGTTTTCGTTTTTCGTTTCCATTCTTTGTTTTCGTTTTTCGTTTCCATTCTTTGTTTTCGTTTTTCGTTTCCATTCTTTGTTTTCGTTTTTCGTTTTCATTGTTCGTTTTCGTTTTTCGTTTCTATTGTTCGTTTTTATTGCGGGATACTATTAAATAATGGGTTTTCTGACTTATAACTAGTCATGGTAGAGATTGTTGATATAATTTAGGAATATTTTTAGTGGCCGCGCCGATTTGGAAAACCGCGGGTGATTGATTGTCCTTTCTACGACCACGGCTACGACCATCCAGCGCACAAGGTTTTGCTCGGGCGCCATTGTTGTTGTATCTGTATGCACTGAGCATACATCTCTCTCCTGTCTCGGTGGAACTGCGTCTGAAATGATGCGACTCTAGACGCTCGCTCAAAGTAAAGCATGTTTTTGCAAGACGCACGGGAAGCGAAGGACATTGCTCCGATATACTGGAAAGAAAAGCGGAGAACAAAACGCCGCGCCTGTATGCATTGGAGTCACACGTGCCGATGTAAATGTACCCCTTTCACAGCACACCCCAGGCAGGAAGTTGAACCGTCACCAACACTACGCCACGATGAAAAAAAACTTTCAGTTTGGCACTTCGGCTCTCTTCGCCGACTACGTCGAAGGCGCAGCAAAAGCTCCACTACCAGTATAATAGTAGAAAGCATCTATGCTGCTGTGTGAAAACGTCCCCGTCCCATTGTCAAGCTCTGGACTCTTTTAGTCATGCAGCTGCATGAAAAGCAAAAGCTTGGCTGTCGCTATCCTGTCGACATGTAGTCCAGGTGCAGGTGCTTAGCTGCTCCAGTAGATGCGTCATAAAGCCACTATGTCATCCTGATCATGAACGTATGACCGCAGATAGAGATCCAAACTTGAAAGGAAAACGAAAACGCATTCCATGCGGAGCCGTATGAGAGTTGTTCTGGGCATGCAGGAGCTTTGCATAACGATTTTGGGGTGGGCGTGGGGATGTTTTTACACAGGACAGCATTACCACCAGGATGGTCAGTATGAAAAGGGCGCGCCCCCCTTGGTTGCGCGAGGAGAGGGTGCCAGAGACAGTCCACCACGCACATAGGCGCGCCGGGATCTTCAGCGTGCCGCGTTTTGTCTCCCGGTACGTCGTCGTTGCAATCAAGCCGATCATGATGATGTGGCTGCTGGTGATGCTGTTCAAGGTTGCGTCGTGTGAGGCGAATAACTGTGTTGAACATTTCTGCGTCGAGAAGGTGCACAACAGTTCGAAGCAAATCGTGATTGAGTCGGTGTCGGGCCTTGTGAACAACCAAAACACAGCACCCGCATCGCCCTACTCGTATTCATCCGGCGGCTTGTCCGGGCACGTCTATTCAGACACGAGTACGGTTTCCTTCGGAAGCAGTTCCTTTGACCATCTGGGAACGTTTTCTTCTTACGACACCAGCTGGGTGTACATCCGCACGCCACTCGCCGACGCAAGGGTGCCAAGCGGTGAATCCGTGATGCAAATACAGCTCGGACGAGGAGGCGGCACGAGCTCCCAGTTGTCCAGTTCTTCCCCCCAGAGCGCGGCCGCAGATGCAGTTGTTTACCTCAATTTCTGGGGCGGAATCGAGCACGTGCGAAATTGTTCCAACTGGTTGCGCGACGGCGGTTGGGTGCGGGACGACAGCGTCACAGGCGTCAAAGTAAATGGGGTCGGTCCTGGTTTCATCTATCGAAATTACTTTCGAGCGGGCGACACCATTGTTCTCGGAGGTAACAACGGGTTCGCGCCAAGTAACTTACCAGCTGGCGATCCTCTGCGAAACTCCGGGATGACCTACCTAGTGGTCCTGGCAGCCATTATCCTGCGCAAAAGTGGTATCGTATCTAGAACGGGGACGGGCGGGAGCGTGATGAAAATGTGCGACAAAAAGTGCTACGACTCTGCGTCTAATCTAGTTCTGGCATCAAATTCGAGAAGTTTTATTTTCTAGGTTGCCAAGAATAGTTTCTCGGCCAGCACGCGATCCCCCCTACGTAGTTCTTAGTTCTTGTAGTAATGGTGATGCTTTTGCAATGTATGAGCCTTAGCACCAGCCGATTGCTGCAATCCCTCGTCCCCAGTACGACTTCCGCGTACTCGTACTGGCCGGGAAACTACTTTCCCTGGGGCGATCCTGCAAAAATGAACCTGCGCAACAGCCCTATTGCCTACGCCGCATTTTCCCAGTACGCAGACTGCGGCCTGAGCACAGATTATGGGCTGACCAATTCGCAGTACTGTTGCAACGCGACTTTGGTGGAACTACTAGTCTGTGCAAAGACGTATTGTGAGAGTTCCAGCCCATTTGCGTCGTTCGTCGAGTCCGCGAACTTTTTCCTGAATGACACGCAGGTGCAAACAATCGAATCTAACCTGGAAGAGAAATGCGGCATCAAGTGGACCGAGATAGAAGAAGTGGGAAGTCTAGAAATCACTCTCTATGGAGCACTAGCGGCAACCGCCACCACACCGTATGTGGGAAGGACAACTGCAAGTTCGTCGGGAAGTTTTTTGCTGTCCTCAAATTCGTCCTCGGCGTCGCCTTCAAGTGCGGAATCGTGGATGCAAACATTGACCTCTGCTTCAGGAGAGCAGCAGCAGTCGCGAGAGCTTCTGTACTCGCTAGAAGAGCACCTCTTTCCTCAAGTCACAGCGCTCTTCACAGGTTTCCGGGACGAGTACGAGCGCGGTAGATACTCGCAGCAACAGCTTTTTTCGGTCTCCGACCTGCGACTGCGGGATGCGATGTGTGTCGGAACTTTTGTTCCAACGAGCACCACCGGGCCAACTTTGACATCCTCCTCCGGCGATGCTGCACTTGCGCCCGTTCTTTTTTCAGTTCACGGCGGCGCCTTGACATCAACAACTTCTACTTCCTCCGAAACCAGCCCGGGACCGTCTTCGAAAAGTGCGCTGGTGCACGTAGAGCTGTCATCGCAGACTCACGCAGCTCGTTGGTTCTTGACAGGCTGCGCGGCCTGGAAACGCGCAAAGGTGCGTTTCCAGTACAAAGTGGAAAGCAAAGGATTCTCAAATCAAAATCCACAGCACGGAGCTAATGCCACCAATGGCAGTGTTGTGAGCGTCATGATTGGTAGGAACGACATCGAAAGAACCCACGTACCGCTCTCTATGCCCGTGGCGTCTTTTGTCGAAGCATCGAATTCTAGTGTTGCAAGCGCGGTCGCGGAGAATGATGCTGAAAATAGCTACATACATTCTTGGTCTGCTTGGCAATACTTGGAGCGGAGTTGTGGAGAAACCGCAAAACACTCACTGTACAACTCAAGCAGCAACCACTCTGAAAATCTTCAAGATTCGACTTTTAATATCAGCACTCCGCTGCTGACATCACAACAGACTTCCACAACGAACCTGTACCCTGGCCAAGACTGTCCTTCCGGTTCCGTAGCCGAGGGAACCTGCTGGCACAATGCAACAGGGAAGCCTGGGATCTGCTGTACGTTGCAGACCCTTGTCACGTCCTCGGACGCGGCGTGTGCACGAGTTCCGGCGGCCTACTTCGATCCGAAGTTTGACGCTAGCACGTTGCAGTGCGTTCTTCTTCCGCAGACCTCGATCGACAGTAAATGCGATGGGTGTGGCGCAAGGCAGCTCGAATGTTGGGGCGCGTGCAATAACGCTGCAGGAAGTTGCGCTGCCTGCGGGACGCAAGACGGCGGCATTCCTGGCGCGTGCTGCATGAGAGATGCACTTCATTCCGGCGACCCATGGCCCTGCCAGATGATTGCTTTTGACAGCAACCAGTGGCTGCAGACGCACAACTGGACAAACGCGACCTGGACCAGTGAGAGCTATCACCAATGTGTTGCTCTGAGAAATGATACGATTGTTGCGCCATCCTCAGTGGCGACGACCACATCGCCCGGTGCCCACACAACGCTGACCGCTTCCACGACCGTGTTCTCAATTCAAAGAATTGGTCCTAATTCCGGAGGTGACTATGTTACAGTGCAGTGCCCTGCGAACACGATTGTTGTAGGTGGGGGCTGCGAAGTCACAGACTCGTCGCCACAGCCGCTGTCGCAGAACACGCCCTACATATACGGGCCATCCGATACCGGATGGAAGTGTGGCGGTTTAGGCGTCGCGAAGAATGCGTGGGCGTTCTGCTCTTCGGACATCCCGGTAGAGCTGAAAACGGCATCTGGCGGGGACTGGACGCAAGTCTTCTGCACCAGCCCTTCGATGCCAAAGGTGCTCGGCGGCGGGTGCCAGCCATCGCAAGCGCCGTGGACCATGCACAAGAGCGCAAAAGTAGTTAGCGGAAATCCCACGAATGCGTCCTCGATGCTTGAAGGGTGGGAATGCGGGGGTGGTGGCACCGACAAGAATGTCTATGTGCTGTGCACAGAAAGCTGGGCCCCGGTACAGATACAGGAATCGCTGAGCGGCCCGGACTGGAACGACGCATATTGCACCAGTGGCACCATAGCTATTGGCGGAGGATGCGACGCCTACGTTTCGCCGTTCACTTACATTGCTCTGAAGCCCGACATAGCTTGTGCAAAAGTATCGCGCTCGTACTAATTCGAGTTGCTCCACCAATGACGAATGGCTCCTGACAAATATTTGCGTCTGTACTAAGGAAGCAGGAGGTATTGATGTATATTAAATTTAAACCTACACTTTCATTAACTTTTCGTTTTAAGTTTGACCTTGAATGAAGCTATACTAGTGTGATACTTTTGCAATGCATGCGACAGCTCTGCGGCTCCGTACGATCCCACAAAGTTCACTTGTGGGGGTCAGGGTGGGGGCAAGCATCTCCAAGTCATGTGCTTCCCCAACGGGCATTACACATTTCCGGTTCAGCAAAGTGGGGGTTCGCTGCAGCACACTCAAGAAAACGCAAACACAACGACTGACATTCCCATCTGGATAAATGCCACCGCAGCCCACCCGGAAAACGTCTCGATTCACATTTACGCGGTCGATATGGTCAGGTCGCTTCAGGTTGGAACTCGTTCAAATGGAAGAAGCTACAAATTTTGCCATGCAAAAAATCCACACCATTCGGGCTGCTGCAATCAATTTTTTCTTTTTGAAGAGCCGCATGACAAATTTCGGAAGCAAAGACGAATCCATTCTGTCACGCTGTGTGCTGCAAAGACTAAAAAGATAAAGCCTTGCTGTGCTCATTCGCAGCTACGCCACCTCATCTAACCGCCAACAGGCTTACACTCAACCTCGATCGCCTGCGCGACAAGACAGGCTCAGGCGCTTTATGGTTGTGTCTCCTATCTCTTGCATCACAAAGTGGGACGAGTGCTTGTAAGTATTTCCATTTAGTCGATTTCCACCCTGATGATTCCATAGTGAAGGTAGTAGCCGAGTCGCTCTGCCCGAGCGTGGAGAGTGACCACCTGAGAAACGGTGTGGGGACAAATCTTGCACGGCAGACGTACGATGTGTCTCTGCAGTTTAACAATCTTCCGCTCACCGCATTGCGTGAGATCATCGTCCACCATGAGGCAGGACAAACTACCTCCGCTAGTTGGTCGCTCGAATGGTCGCACCCGCCAGCACTAGCGGCACAGAATGACACCGTGCAGCTTGTGTCGAATCAGCGAACGCATATCCAAGCAAACGACACGCACTGGCGAAAGGGAGGCCGGCAGCTGCGCTACCACAGCGACTTTGACCAATGCCGGGAACAGCACAAGGACACTTGCTGGCGAAATTTGGAGCTCTCCGCTGCAGTCAATTATCGTCATGCAATCTCGAACGACGACGATCCATACCAGTACCGATTCCGGCCGTGGCCGGCCTTTTTCTCCAACGCCAATCGGCAGCAGACCTACTACGGCAGTACTACAGCGTCAAGTCGTGCAGTCTCCTGGGCCGATTTGAGCTCCGCCACCGGAGGACATCTGAGTTTTGGCGAGTGCGGGCTTTCGACAAATGCAAATTCTGCTCTGGATCCAGCGTGCTGTCCGTTCACGGAGAATTTCATGGCGGATTGCGCCGCGACGAACGTCTGTAGGGGAACGTTTCAGGAACCGAGGGGGATCAGTGGCGGGTTTCCGATGGCGAACAACTTTTTTTCCTATGAGGACAGTAACTCCTCGGTGCAACACACTTGCCACGTTGATCTGACTTCTGCTCAAGCGAGTACGCAAGAAAAATACTGGATTCGAACTGACGTGACGCTTGTGTTCGTATTCCCGACTACCTCAACGGCCACGAGTACTACGCCTCCAGGGTACACCTCGCCAACTTCTACGACCTCAAACAATTCAAGTTCGTCTACGCCCCCGCCCAGTGCGCTTAACGGCAATCAGGCTGCTGCTGCTGGGACGACTACGAGTTCATTGAACGCAACGTCTGGTGCGTCGATCACGCGCGACCTTCTGAAGACGGTGCTCCAGGAGGAACTTTCGCTTCACTTTCCCTGGACTGCAGGCGCATCCGACCCGGTCCCCTACACTCGGAAAGTGGTTGTGCGCGATCTCGGGCAGCGCGAAATTTTCTCGGACCGCAGCGGAGATGAACCTCGGGCGACGGTGGCAAATAACCAACGCCAGGAAATTTCACTGGATCTTTGGGTGGGCCCGTTCACGCAGCAGATAAACGCGGAAAACCAAAAGCTTGCCTATAAGCAGGACTTCGTCGACCAGAAGCGCAGCTGGCTTCCTGCATCACACCCCGTGGAATTTGCGACGATGTCGATGCAGCTCTCCGACATGCGATATGAGAAAACAACTGGTCTTCATGTGGCCCCCGCCGACCTCACAGTTGAAACCGTAAGCACGCCGGCAAGAGCCGACGGGGGCTGCGTGAGGCACCCTGGCCTTGTCGAGAGTGCCATCCGGGATGAAAATCGGATCCGTCCCGCATACTTGATCTTCGCGCACAACCGTACGTGTGCTGGAAACTCCTTCTTTTTCTTGCAGGGAGACGAGGCCAACGAGACAGCCTGTAAGCAGAGCTGCGATTCCCAGCCAACTTGCGAGTTTTTTCTCCTAAACAAAACAGTACTGGGGCCAAGTTCAGGATCCTCGACCTCGCAACATGATGTCGATGTCCTCTCATGTGCACTCTTCACAGGTCCGCAGTGCTTTGATTCGAACACATTAACCCCAAATCTTCATCCTCTCGTATCCCCAGCAGGAGGCGCACCGTCATCTTCAACAAGCTCGGGCAATGTAAGCGACACAGCTGCAGCTGCAGCGTTTTTCACCACCGTGTGGCGCAAACAGCAGAACGTTCACGTGGGCAACGGCATTGCGATCCCCGGCTGCGCTGATGTAGACGAGTGCGACTCCAATTTCTTTCCGCACCCCGTCTGCGGAAGCCCCGACTTTGGAAACTTTTGTGTCAATCTCCATGGCTCGCACAACTGTAGTTGCGGCTCGGGCTACGCTTTCGTAGCCGATCGGTCTACGAAGAATGGCAACAACACCGCGGAGCACTCTTCGATCTTCAGCCAGTTTTTCAACCAAACGCTTGGCCCGAATACACCCACCTGCATCGAGATTGATGAATGCTCTTCGCATTTGTGCGGTCCAGGTCCGGCGAACGTCTGCGTGGATAAACTCGGCCACTACGAGTGCGTCTGCGGTCTGGGCTACGAGCGCCACATGGCATACGACCAAAACGGAAAGCTTGTTGAGTCCTGTGTGGACATCAACGAATGTGGGTTCAACAACAGCGCGGGAACCTGGCCGGACGGGTTTTGCAGCCCTTGTGGCTGCGGCCAGGAAGCGAATTGCGTGAATGGCGAAAACAGCTACTCGTGTGGATTTTGCACTGCGACGTCGCACCCTGATGGGACGTTTGAGCTGAGTTCCTGGAGCCAGAGTAATCAGGCAGCCGGCCGCCACGGCAACTACCCGACAATCCTCGAAGGTAAGCCGATGTGTCGGGATGTCGATGACTGCGCCGCAAGCGGAGGCCATGTTTCCTGCAACGTTTTATCCTACGCGACCCACATCAACAAATGTAAGGACAAGACGCCGGGTTTCGACTGCTTCTGTGGCGCTGGATGGCGCAGAGCGCAGGTTGACGATTCGCCACCCTGGTACGGGGGCCCGGCCATACAGTACGGTCGTGCTTTTGTCCAGCTCGGAGACTGGCGGTTCGGGGATTGCGGATTTCAAGACGCGACTCTCGCTGGCTTTGCTGCGCTTGTCGCCAACGACACACCGACTGGCCTTCCCCAAGCCGTCCACATTTTTCAGAAAGACGCGGGCGCAGCGCAATGCAAGAGCTCCTCGGCACAGGTATCGATCTGCTCCGCGTGCGCCGATGCACTGTACAGTCAGCCCCTATCGCCCGACGGCCAGCTTGAAGACGTCTTTTTTGGTGATGCATTCATCCAATTAGGAGACTGGAGGCTCGGCGATTACGACGGAAAACACGCTTCAATTTCGCACCGCTCCGGCAACACCTCCCAGGCCTTCAAACGTATCGACTCCAGTGCGGAAGGTACGCAGGGCGGCCACGACGAAGGTCCTGGCGCCCCGGTTGGCCCAATGAGTAACTACAGTACGTGGGACCGCCCAGCACAGCCACAAGGGGTGCAATACAGCCAACTTTCGCGGGTCGCATTTGGCAGTGCATTCATTCAGATCGGGGAGTGGCGTTTTGGACTGCACCGCGCTAACCACTTCTCTATGAGCAACCAGATCGACCAAACTGCATTGATCTGGTCCTCTGCAAGATTCATTGCGTACCCGGATCCCCTTCTTTATTTTGGACCACAAGGAGGCAGCACTTCATTGTGGACGCCCCCCTGGGAGACCAATTTTCCGCTACTTAGCTACGTACCAAAGTATCGCTCTACGTGTGTGGAGATAAACGAATGCGACTACGCGCCGTGCGACGTGCGCCCGCTGCATCTGCTCTACCCGCAAGCGGGCGCCAAACCCGGCAGCTACTTGAACGTACAGCTCAGCCAGAACGTTTCGCACACGTGCTCGCACATCACCCAGCGCGAGCACTTGAATCAGTTCTACAGCTGCCAGTGTGCACCGGGCTTCGAGTTGCAATACTTGGATCCGCCACCGAGTGGAAGCAGCACCGCGCCGGTCTGCGTCGAAGTCGACGAGTGTACGGCATATACCGATCAACATTCGGGAGGTCCGTGCTTGAATTTGCCAAACCAATGCTATGATCGCCTGGGCTATTGGTCATGCGACTGCGCGAGTCCCTTCCAGTTGCACTGGAAGAGCCTCGACCAATTTACTGGGGTCACTCCCACAACGGCGCCGACAACTACTCCCACAAATTTTAGGCGACTTCATCAGCATGACGCGCCAAATAGTCCTTTCCCAGCAGGAGAATCAGCGATCACACGTGAAGATTACCTTCTTCAGCCGGCCCATCATCGGAGTCCACGAGAGGAGCTAGGGAAAAAGCATGCACATCACGATATGCCTCAAGAACATGAACCCAAGCATGAAGTTGCCGAGACAACCAAAACCATTAACGTGATCGGCAAGGAGAAAGACAGCGACATTTTTAGCAAGGTGCTCTCGCCAACCGCAACTGCAAGAAGCCTGCAGCCAGAAACAGTTTCCTCGCGAGCTAGACAGCGCAGGAGAAAGCTTTCGACGTCACAGCCGCCCCTTCAGAGCTTTACCAGTTGCAACCACTCTGGGTGGCTTTGCCCCGAAAACATTACTTCGAATGGTACTTCCAAACTGGCATACCTTTTTGTGAATGGCACCCACGAACACAGCTCGGCCAAGACGCAGTGCGAAACTGCAAACGCGTTTCTTGCCACGATCGACAATCAGCAACAGAATGAGTGGCTTGTGTCCGCTCTGCTGTCGACCTGGCTGCCCTATTCCTCGGGCACGAGGCGCGTTTGGATCGGTGTGATGAATCTCCTCGATGATGGTGATTGGCGGTGGCACGAGAGGAATATGACCGCACGACGTTACGCAGCCGACGCTTCTCGCGAAACACTGTACAGCAATTGGGCACGAGGGAGCGATGGAGCCGAGTACCAAGCGTCGAATCTGTTTGCGCCAGGGGGGGACTGGCACGCGATTCCTCATTGGGAGCAGTATTCGTTCGTATGCAGTCACCGCGTCCATTTCTCACCACCAGCACCTCCGGCCCACCAGCTCACGACCTATCCAGCTCCCCCGGGTGGTCTGCCGACAGTCACGGAGTACGCTTCCTGCGTTTGTCCCTCCGGACAGGAGAAGGTTGTCGTGAACGCCACCCACGACACCTGCCAGGAGATCGACGATTGCGCGGGCAATCCGTGTGGACAGGCGGCCTACGGATTGCAGCACATTTGTGTGGATTTGCAGAACCGCCACGAGTGCGAGTGCGCGGCGGGCCACGACCGGATACTCGTTGACTTCAGCCCAACCAACCAGCAGACCAGGAACCAAACGTGCCAAGTCCGCGATAATTGCAAGGTCAACGCCGAAAATTTTTGCCAGGTACCACAAATCCCTAATCAGGGATCATCGTTAACACCGACGAGGAAAACAAGGATGCTGCAAGAGCAGGAATGGAATGAGTGTGAAAACACCGTGGAAGGATACACGTGTAAGTGCGCACCCAGTACGCACAGAAGCGAAAGTCGCCATCCGGCCCACTACTACCACGACGCCGAGGGGACAATGCGGGAGTCGGTTTCCACCCACACTTCCAACCAGTTCTGCGTCCCGCACTCGACTTACTGTGCAGAGACCTGCTTCGACGGAATTCTCGCCGAGTTTGGGAGTCCGCTTTTCAGCATCTGGATTCGGGAAAGGGACCGGGAGATGATGCAGCTAATCCGCGACAAAAGGTACGGTAGGGATCTGGTCGAAGGTCCTGGTCTGAACCTGTTGGACACATGCGTCCGGTACTTTGACGCGAAACGAAACACCGGCAACGAAACCGATGGCGACGCTTTCATGTCACACAACGCGTACGGGACCGCCCCGGATAAGCAGTGGACCTGCTGCTTGCTTTACGAGAACTATCTGGGTTGCCGAGCGCAAAGGTGCGGACTGACGCAGGACAAGTTCGCCGATTCCTACTACTCGACATGCGAAGTGGCAACTGGCGTGGCCTCCGGTGGCCTCTCGCCAGCGTCCCATCTGACCGAGACCACGTTTCTCCGCGGTCAGTACGTGCTCGAGTTCTCCTCGGTTGGGCGGCGCGACGCATTTTGGTCCCTGCTGGCAACCGAAAGTCCGCAGGGGCAAACCCTGTCGGAGGTCCGGGAAGTGCTCCGCTCGGAGTCGCTGACAAAAAACATCTTTCCGCAGGACGGGTTTGACGCCTGGATTCACGTGCGCAATGGATCTCTGGTGCCGCAATTCTTGCGTCTGCCTAACGGGTCTTACACAAACCAAATGAAGTTTCCCGTATCGAGGTCCGGGTCCATCTCGACGCGAGACATTGGCTCATCAAGTTTTGCAGATCGCCACCTCGTGGCCTCCGTGCTACTTGGGCCCGTCGATTTGGAGCGCGTTCAAGTTGTATCGACATCATCTCTTCAGTTGGTGCCTTTAAGGACCGGCTTGCTGCATGATTTGCGTTCCCTCCTGTCGCAGCATTCGCGGGAATACGTGCGCGCTCACGCGCAGGACGAACTGAACGCCCGGACTCATTGCGAAGATGGCACCTACAATGCTACGATTTTTAGTAGCGCGGAGGAACTGGCGTCAGTTTTCGCCAACACCAGCGCAATATCCGCGCTACTTGCTCCTGCTTCTAGCGCTGCTGTATCGATCCCAGCACCGAAAATGCGGGGACTGGCCCCTTCCACCCTTGGCACTACCATTGCTGGGTCTACTACGTTTTACTCAGAAACAGGTGACCGAAAAGCAAAACAGGCCGAGAAGGCGATTTTAGTACGACCAGCCAGCTCTTCATCCTCCTCGTCTCGCTTGTTGAGCTACACTTCGGGAAGCATCGTGAATGGGCAGCAGGCAGCGCCTGAAACTGGGCTGGAGCATGTGCACTACGTGAACCCAAGCACGCAGCAAGTGACGGTCTGTCCCTTAAATGTCTGCGTTTACTTGAAAACAAACTTCGGGCGATGGGTGCAGGTAGATGCGAATGGGGATGTGAAGACGCGCACAACGCACGACTGTGAGCAGACGCAATGCCTGCACGGTGGCTGGGAGTGCTTTTACTTCACCCAGGAGGGAACCGACGGCCACACGGCCACAGGAGCAAGCACGTTCTTCTTGAAGAACATGGCGCACGGTAAATACTTGTGGGGCACGCAGGCTGGCAGCGTGGGCACCCAGAGTTGGGCGCAGACCGGGGAGCGGTGGAGCGTGCTGGTCAAGCAAGCGGAAGACCCGTCGGACAATCGCATAACGATGGCGTACGAGAACTACGAGGTGACCGAAAACGCTGGACAGGCGGACAGCCAGATGTCGCAGGAGGGCAGCGCGGATGGCGATATCAAGTACGGGCTGAACGGCGATTGGGAGCGGTTTTTCACCCGGGACATGTGGGGCAACGCAGCGTGCCACGAACCAAAGCGGCCCAGTCGAGTATTCACCGGCTTCCACTGTAACGTCGGCCACAAAGTGAAGATCCGACACTCGCACAGCGGTCGGCTTTTGCACATGGCGGCCGGCGGAACCGCGGTAGGTGTGGATCAGCAGATTTATCTTCCAGCTACCACTGACACCGAAACGGACATGAACCTCAACAAAGCGGTGTGGTACATGACGAATTGCGGATTTGACGCCGTCTGCTTCCGCTCGATGCCAAACAAACACTACTTGTCCGCGGACGGCGGGTCAAATGTGTGGCGGGTGTCGGGTGAGAGCAGCATCGCGGGCTGGCACGATTGGGAAAGAATGGAAATGAGAAGCGTCGAGTCTTCTTCTAACACGACGTGCGTGTTCTCCCTGGCGCATGCGAAGACCCTATCGGAAAATCAGTCGGAAGCCGACGCCGACAAAAGAGACCAAATGCACACAAGTTGCGGCGCATCGGAACGCTGGGAGATCGTCGACGCCACGGATGCCACTCAGCACCGCTGCCACTGGTACACAACTACGACCACAACCTCAACTGCTCCTGTTGTAGCCGCGACGACCGTGACACCATCGGCGAACGCCACAGCTCCTGCTACGACTACGACGTCACCGACTACAAGCGTACCGACGACTCCAACCGCCACCACAACTGTTCTGTCGTCGCACGGGGTGTGGTACCCACAGGAGCTGCTGAAACGGGCACAGTATGCATTGCAAAAGTATCGTGCTTCTGCTTGTACAATTCACATGGTTGGTCATGGTAGATTTTTTCGATTTCAGGGGAGCAACTGTTGTCATGCGTGTGCAGGGTGGTATTGGTCTTGGTCAGCAGATCTATCACACAGAGTACGACTGCGATACTTTTGCAACGCATAAGCAGAGAAGAGGATACTACGCTGGACCGCCGGGTTGTCGTGTTTGCCGCGACAACGAAGAACTTGCGAGCTACCTGGATGAAGTTATCGCCCTGTGCCCCGAAGAGAGCGCGCTGCGGCGTGCAAATCAACCGGTCGCTTTATGTGCCTGCCTGATGAACCACGGCGCCTGCATGATGCAGCTGCGAAGCGGTTTAGTTTCGGGTAAGTTGAACTCCCGCCCTGTAATGCTTGGGGAGACTCTGTGTCCGTTCTATTGTGCCCACTACAATTCAACGCCCACCTGCCATACGTATCCAGTGAAAGAGTATCGCGCTGCTAGTACTATTAGTTTGCATCAGATATAAATATATTTGCTCAGCATTAAATGCAAATGCGGAGAAGTTTGTCGTACTGGCTGACCTTAGGAGCGAGGTTCGTCTTGTTGATGCTTGATTGCAATTCGTACGAATGCGATACGACTTTTGCGCAGGATAATACGAGATCAACGCCAATATCGAGCTCGGCCTCGTCTGACTTTGGTTCCGCCTGGGCGCCCCGGGGTTACACTCTCGAAGTGGCCTTGCAGCAACAGCCGGACCGAGACACCCTGAGGGCTCTGTTGGCTTGGGGAGAAGGCTTCGAAGGTGAGATCGTCGCCACAATGCGGGACGCATTCTTCCGACGGAACCGAGACACCGCCCCGGATGCGATCCGAACTCCAGCGGAGGTGTTTTATGCATCCAGCCCCAGCTTCTATCGCACTGGTGCAAATACCCCCGGGACATTGCAGCCGAATGCGATGAGTCTACACCTGACGAGTCAATTCGCAGTCACTGGCTGTGCCCCACTTTTCACCGAGGCCCCGCTCGCTTCTCCTTCGACGACGAGCGGTGGCAGCACGGCGGCCGTGCGTCGCGAAACTGAAGTTCCTGAAGATGAGCCTAATCTCATGCTGCAGAACCGGCTAGGACGACAGCAGCTCCACTCATCAGCGAAGAAGATACGGAGAAAACCATTATTCTTCAGGCGTCTGGATCACGATCCTGGCACACCAGCTGCGACGAGTAGCAGTACCACTGTGCCGATGTTCAGTCAAGAACTGCTGAGGACCATGTACACCGCAGACAACTTGCCTTATCCTGCGGAACGCCCAACACCCCTGCCGCCACGGGCGTACACATACGACCTCAACAGCGCTGCCTTAGAAGCATGCCTCAAGCGGACGGGGTCGAGTCTTTTTGTACCCGCCGGCAAACAGTGCTACGTCGCTTGCAGCAGTGACGCGAGTACCGCCGGCGCGTCCTCGAGTAGCATTTCGTCGGCTGCAGCTTCGCCAGGTAGTAGTTCGGCAGCAAGCTCCACAGCGAACTACTTCTCTTGCCCGGCGGCACAGGCGGATACTACAGGCGCTGTTGCGGAAGCCGCCACTGCAGGCACGCAATCGTCTGGCACGGCTTCCACCGCGGACGCCGCGCGAGGTGGGGGGTTTCAACTGATAGGCCCCGGCTGTGGGTCGTTGGACTGCGACCCCCTGGAGGCGCAGATGGTTCCGGGAGGGGAGCTCGGAGCCCTGGAAATCTTGTATACCTGGAAAGCGCCGACGTCCCCAGAAACCGGCATGCTGACGCTCGTCCGCAGTCTGGACGAGGTGCTCTACGCGACCGCGCCAGCCGGCGCCGCCGAGACCTCGCTCGTGTCAGCGCGGAGTGTATTGGACTCGGCGGTCCAGCCTGGGAGCGGACCACCGCCCACGTACGAGGGAGTCATGTCCCGCGCGTACGTGGTTGGATGCCGGCTGCCCACGTTCAGCCCGAGCTCTGCCATATACCAGGGAGTGTGCGTGAACGGGGACTACCGGGGCTTCCCGGACGAAAATCCGTGCTCGGTAGGCCGGCAGTGCAGTTTTCAGCCACCCGCAGCTAACGGCATCGAAGCCCCTACCTGTTCGGGCGAGAATCTCTTTTCGGCAACATCGCCCCTGGAACAAATGGGAGCGGGCTCAGTCGACGGTGAAAACGTGGCATCCCGGCGAACAGCTAGCGGAGAAGTAGAACCAGCCACGGCTGAAGCAGCAAGAATGAGAAGTACACTGGGCGCTACAACGCCTTCCGCTGTTTATTTGCGACGCAGAACCTCCTCGGCCACTTCGTCAGCAGATGAATCCTCGAGTGCAGCGGGGGGTGCGACTATCTCCAGCATGAGTGGCGACCAGTGCAGCATCTACTGCGCTTCGGTTGGCGCAGGAGGTGCAGCGCGTGGCGGTGTCTCTTTCATGAAGACATCAGCAGCTGAGGAGACCCGGGTTCTGCCGCCCGAGGCCCAAGAGTACCTGCGTTTGCAGGACGCACACGCGGGAGGAGAAAATATTAAAAATCCGGAAGTTGCAGACCCGCTCCCGGCGCTGCCCGTCACGGAAGCGCCGACGCAGGGATACACGACCGCGTACGGCACCACCGTAGCCACAGACCACACGCAAATAGAGTCCGTGGAGCGGGTGTGCCACGACGGGGCTTTTTACACTCTGTACGACTTGGAGGAACTGCGGCAAAGCAGGGCGTCCACCATCACCGACAGCCCGACAACGTTCGATGCGACGCGTGTGAACCTGTTTCCGACTTGCGCCTCGTCCGCGGTAGCCGAGGTGGAGGAGATCAAGGTCGTCAAGTGCGAACTGGCATTCTCCCTGAGTGACGCGTTTTTCGCCTCGCTGGGGCCCGCATTCGTGTCAGGTTCAAGCGAGGAAGCAGCTCCACTGACCGGCGCTTCTACCGGGGGCGACGGTGTGGAGGAAGGGGCAGCTCTACCAAGTGCCGCAACCCGTGCCCCAAAAGTGATTCCGGGGGGGTCACCCGAGCAGACGTTGCCTCCGCCTCCGGTGGTCACGGAAGAAACCATCGCGGAGCGAATCACCGCACCCCGCACCGTCACGCAGGCCGAAAAGCAAAAAGCTGCGCAGGTTACAAGCAACATTGACAGTATCGCGATCGTGCTGCGCAACTCTCTGATCTCAACGGTTTCCCCGGACGACACCCTGCTTATAAATTCCTTCATATCGTCGAGTGCAAATATGTCTGGGTCGCGCGAAAATTGTCTGCTTATGTTCGTCGCGAAACACAGGTATGGTAATGGTCGTCTGGGATGCACACTACAGAGGCATCACAGATGCTTCGGGACCGTCGTGCCTGTTCCGCATAAGAAGTCCGTGTCCGCCTTTTGATGCCTATAAAGAAGTGGGAAGGTTACGGTGTTCAAGCGTCACTGAGTGTTTTACGATCAAGACTTTGCATGTTGACAACCCAGACATGTTCGCAATGCATGCTTCACGATGAACGGCGACATCACCGTGAACGTCGCGTACTACGGCCGCCGGCGTCGCCGTCGGCTTGGCGGGGCACTTGAAGTAGATTCGCGAAGTGCTGAAGCAGCAGAAGAGCCCACATCAACACGGGCAGCGGTCGACCCGAAGGAGAGAGATCAAAATGCTGCACAGGAGGTAGGAGAAAGAACACCCACGTACGACTTGGACGACGACGTGGACGATGTTTTTCTTCTCACGACGAGCAGCAGCAGAGAAATAAAGCAGGCAGATCAATTGCAGTGGCAGCGCGAGCTTACGACGGGGTCCTCGTCGACCACATCGCTGAAGTTCGATTTCGAGGTGAAGTTCAAAGGCACCGACGCCGCCACCAAAGCCGACGCTGTCAGTTCCGCGATCTCCGCTGCGCCCAGCAGTGGTCCGGGCGCTCCTTCTAGTGGCAACACGACTTCGGCCTTCGAAGACGCCTTCACGGCCAGCTTCTCCACTGTGTTCGGGGTCTCGCAGTCTGCCATCGGCGGGATCTCGACCTCCGCCACGGCCGCCACAGTTTTCGTGGAAAAGAACCGCTGGGAGTACGATCCCTGGGGCAGCTGCACCAATACCTGCGGTTCGGGCACGCAAAGCCGCACCTATTTCTGCTACATTGCGTCCGGTGCCTTCGACGCAAACTGTCCCGCGGGGGTCTCGCACGTCACCGAGCAGCCGTGCGAGGACTGGACGGGCTGCCCTTTCTTGATCACCTGTCCAGTGGGGCAGCGGTACGGCTGCGGATGGCAGACTGCCATGGTGCTCGGAGTCACGGGATTCCTCCTGCTATCGCTCGCAGTGTACCTCTACCGGGGCTGTCGCCGCCCGCGGGGCGGGAAGACGAGTCTGAAACTCGAGGGCGTGAAACAGACGAGCGTTGCTTGGCGCAAGGCCTGGGACGAGGAAAAAGGGAAAACCAAAATCGTGTGGGACCTCATCCCAGATTTTCAGCCTGGCCTTGTCGTTGATGGACGGGCGGTACTAGACACCAAGGAAGTTGAGCTCGACGTGTTCAAAACGTTAACTGTTGAAAATGAAAAACGAGAAGCGCCTCCCCTGTTACTCGTGAACAGTATGTCGGCCGAGGACAAAAAGCCTGGCGACGCGGACCAAGCGGAAAAAACGAAAGAGGGAACAATAGGCCAAGAGGGCGAGGATGCGCCAGACATGCAGCAGCTGTCCGCCGGTGCCAAGAATTTACTTCTGACCGCGGCCGACGAGGAGACTGCCGGCGCCGCGTTTGTTCGACGAGCAGCGAGCAAAGAAAACTTGCCCCCAGCTGCAAGGGCACTAGAGGACAGCACATTCCTGCCCCACTGCTTCCACCTCCACGCTCGCGTGGATTACTGGAGCGAGAGCGGGCAGGTCTATCTTCCGGCGATGGTCGAGTCTTTCGACGCGAAGATGCAGACGCTGAACCTGTCACTCCGGGGAAACATGAAGAGGCAACACGTTTCCTTCCACAACGTGGCCGTCCCGCTTTCTCCCGGCGAACCGGTGGAATTTACCTGCGGCCCCTCAAGTGGTGCTGGCGCCAGTGCGGGGCTCGCACTGCTACCCTCGTCGGTTTCATCTGCGCGGAAGAGCAAGAGAGTGACCCAGGGCGGGGGCTCACCTTGGGGAAAAGACATCGACGCCGACGCAACCCCATCTACTCCGACGTTGAAGAGAGCGAGGACGACCGCGATCTCGGCACGAAGCTCCGAAGCCGCCATCTTTCCTGATGAAGAAGACGAGGAAAACCGCCGGATGCTATACGGGCGCTGGTTTGGACCTTGTCATGTGGTTAAGACGCTTGGGGGATCACGTGGATACGTCTTGGAATTGCGCCGGGAGCTCGGAGTAGCTGCAGCTGCGAACGGAAGTAGATCTGCAACCACAAGACCGGAAATCGAAGTAGAAGCAGGGGGAGCAGTAGCAGCACGGAGAAGTACAGAAACAAGTAACAAAAGCTCGAACTTAGACCTTGGCACACGCGCGTCGAGCTGCCGGCGCTTTGTGGTCTCCGAGCGGTTGAATGTACGAAGGTTTTTCGCCCCGAGCGACGAGGTTCTGGTTTTTCGCAACCAAACTTGGCTGCGTGGGGTGGTGGTGGAAGCGAAGACTTCGACGAAAGTCCAAGAGGACGCAGCTACTCGCGCAGCTACAGTTGCGCAGGACCGTAAGCAAACTGAAAGCGAAACCCTCACGACTCCCGCAGAAGCCGTCAGAATGTTGAAACTGAAAGATGAGGGCGATGATGACGCAGGCAACGACGCGCCGCGTGACCACTTGGAGGTCATGCGGAAAGCCATCGACGAACTCGACGCCCGCTTCGATTTTTTGTCGCGGTCGCCACGGAAATCGGGCCCCCGGAAAAGTACAACCCAGCGTCTCGCCGACAGTTCCCAGGAGGCTTTCGCCACCCCCTTCACCGCCAGGGTGGTGGCAACCCCTTCGCCCTCGAGAGTCTCAAGAAGCGCTCACCAAAGCACATCTCCCGCTTTGGGGCATCAGCGAGGGCCTGTGCTTGCAAGAGCCGCAACCTCGGGGGCGATATTAACAGCATCTCCCCCACCCACCACTCCCGCACGTGCGAGTAGATTCGACGCTGCCGAGGAAACGAACAGGTGGGAGCAGGCGCAGGGTTCTTGTTTCAACCACCGTTTGATTCTGGTTCGCTGGCCGAAGCAAGAAAATCTTGGTGCAGTAGACCTCGATCATCGAAAGGGTGCAGCTCTAGGAGAGCTGAAAAATAGAAGCCTGGACGGTGAAAATCAAGAGCAAGACTGGGTAAACTTGGATCTGGAGCCAGTATTGCCGGTCGCTCTTGCGAGGCCTGCCGACGCGGAGCAGTTTGGCATTGTCGTGCAAGCCAGTTCCTCGCCATCACCCGGTCCCCTAGTGCTGCCTCAGGCGGAAAAAGAAAAAGAATAAAAACGGAAGAAGCTTAGGCGAGTTACAGGTCGCTCGTCATCCGAAGTTAACGCGAAACGCATGAAGCCGTACTTATTTTTCGCCACTTACCGAAACTGTCTCATTTTAATTTTTTTCAGGGTATTAAGTTTAAGACGTAGGTCAAGGAAGGGGCAAGCAAGTTGAAAGTGGCAGATCAAGTATTCACATTGTCCGCTCGAAAAACACGAAAATGAATGCAAAATACTTAATTTTATATGTTGATGTGCTTCTACTTACACACAAAGATAACGATCCTCGTTGAAATTCTAAAGGACCAAAGTGATCGACACTGTTTTGTTTTTTTCCAAATTAATTTGTGCAAAACAAGAAAACGCGCACAGGTACGCTGCAAAAGCCGACCTAGTGATCGCGCTGAGTCGTGTGATACTTAAAATCTTGTATAATCTTCCCTCCACGTCTCCGTCACGTCCCGGATGCCGACCCGGTCCAGCAGCCGACGCAGGGGTTTTAGGGTTTAGACTTTTAGGGTTCTCCTATTTTGGACTTAAAATCTTGTATAATGTCGCGGCCGAAGAAGATGAAGAGTGGGTGGTGTATTGCGTTGCCATTTTTCTAGATGAATTTTTATATGTAGTGAGGTCACCGAACGGTTCTAACCGGGGAGTTTTTTTGCCATGTCCCGTGAAAAACGGCCGGCAGTTTCCAAGCGGGCGGAAGCGTTTTTGGACATAAAAAATTTGCAATTATCAAGCGGCCGGGGCTCTGCCATCAAACAAGCCCAGTCGAAAACTATCGACTCGCACTTGATAAAACGACGCAGGGGAGCCGGCAAAAGGGGCGCCCTTCTGAGGCGCCCACCCCCTTGGTTTCTGGCGATTTGGGGCGTCCAAAAAGGGGCGCGCAAAAAACGCGCCCAAAATCAGAACAGCGAAACAGCATGGCACGGCCGCGATTTCGGAGCATTTTGGGCGGCCGCGAAAGCGGCCGCCTTTTCGCCGGTTTCAGAGCCTGGGAAGCTTTGCAAAAAGCGCCGGCGTGAAAAATAAAAACGGGAAAAAGAAAAAGCGGCCCGCGCGCGCAAAGCCAATCCGCATGCTATGGGCCCGATTTTCCTTCGCTTTTTGGGCGCCCCCCGTGGCACCCGGATCGGCCCCATAGCATGGGGGCTGGCTTTCGGTAAGGAATTTCGGGAATTTGCCAAAATTTGCGACGTTTCCCAAGTGGCCGCCATACCGTGCGGCATAACGCTACTCGCGGTGGTATGGCGAGCCCATAAAAAGCAAAGCCGCGGCCAAGGCTGCGGTCGGCAAAAAAACGCCCACGACCTCACTACCCCCGCCCCGGCGGCTATATTTGGTAGTTGAATGCACCAGCAACAGGGATGAGCTCCGTGTTCGTGAACGCCTGGTGAGTTTATTTCTTCTATTAAGCCGATCATGAATAAGCCTATGCAAAGCCGAGGAACCGTCCAAACAAGCTTGGGCGTTTGATCGTGTGGCTGAACCACAATTATCTTAATCTTGAAAGATAACATTACCAGTGTATTTTTTAAACATGATGAGGACGCACAGTTGCAGAATGAGCATCACTAGGCCCAAAGCGTAAGTCACCCAGTCTCAGTTGATTCGTGATGAATTTGCGATGAATTCGCGGATATTTTCACCGCATCAGGTTGTTAAAGTTGAAGACCAGCCTTCTGTAAGATGTGAGCCAAGAAGAGATTTAAGACAGCGCCAGCGCCTCTCTGTAGTTTTGCACGAGAAATTGCAACGAGAAATTCCAAGTGCTTGGTGAACAGCAGCGTTTTTTTCGTAGAACAAGAGAAGTTGAAGGGTCTGCTTGTTTAAAGATGTAATGGAAGACGAGTAGCACTTCGAAGATTTGGCTGGATGGGGACGATTTTTCTTGCGAACAAGTCACATAGGCATGCTTCTAGTTGTCGGCAATAGATTGAGGGTCTGCGAGGAGAAGAACGCTGTGAACATTATGTAAGAACTCGCGCCCATTGATGTAGTCGTGAACGCTTCTAGTATACATCTGAGAATGCATAGGATCAGAAATTCCATCTCGTTGTTGACGAATTCGCTGTCCTGGTACAACACGACAGCGCACCAGTCGTATTTTTACGCTCTGGCGCATCCGATGAGGGAACTTGAGCGGAATTTCGTGGAATTTCTCGGGGAAAAAAAAACTCTTAGCGCCGGAGCAGCAGCGTAGCTAACAGCCGCGCGGTCGCTGTGTGAAAGATGTTTTCGCAGGGACAGCAATCGGCGCGTTCTCGGGCGCAGGCTATCGCGGTAGACTACCCGCGTCTTGTTCTGTCCAAATACGGGGGCCCATAGTAGCAAGCGTGAGGAAACAGACAACAGCGCCGTGCTGTTGAGGGTAGTCGAATCCCCATAGCATGAAGCTTATATCTTGTGCCAATTGTTCGCAGCCCTTGACCCGAACTACCCACGCAGGGCAAAGCTGTAGCTTTTTCGCCTGCTGGCCCTATTCTGGCACCCGGTGGCGGAATGTGCCGCTTGGGTGTCGTGCCATATCGGATACTTGTGTCCCGGACTTTGGAAGAGTTCTTGTGTTGTCTTGTGGTTGCTTCCGGGTGGGTCGCGACCTAGGTCGCGACCTAGGTCGGAGGTCGTGTTAGCCCTCTGGGTTCCCTCTGTTTGACATTTGCCAGAAATTTATTTTCTTTTTGTTTTCCCTTTGTAAGAAATTTGTCTGGAATTCATTTGGAATTTATCTGGAATTTGTCAGTCACGACGCTATGACGAAATTCCAGAATTCTCTGAGCCAAATTCCAAACAAATTCCAGACAAAATGCAGAAAAGTTGCTTAGAATTCCAAAAAAATTCCAGAAAATTCCAACGAAAAAACCTGCAAACTCCAAGCAAATTCCTAAGGGGTGGCACTTGAAAGGCAGGATGGCCAATGAACGTAGCCAGGGGCCTCGCCACGAAAGGAATCCGAAAGGGCAAAAAGAGAGCTTCTGTCTGTTCCGTCTGGCGTATTCGCAGGCCAATGGCGCAGAATTTGTGGCCCTTGTCGGGCCCCACGCACATGGTAATATTGAAGGAGAGGCCTGCAGGGCTTCCGATTGTTATTGCCCTGAGAGCCCACGAAGTGTTATCTTGTTGCGTGTTGGCGCTTAGGCGCCCACTCCGGGTATCTTTTCTGCCCCACGACACAATATCGGCCCACCTGGAAAAGAATACACAGCGATAAATGAAAAATACACATAGAACAGCTGGGAGCCAGGGCTACAAATCTCGTTGTTGACGAATTCGCTGTCCTGGTACAACACGACAGCGCACCAGTCGTATTTTCACTTGGCTGCTGAGCTAGTGTTACTTCGGAACTCACACACATATTGTCACACATTTGGCTTTGGGTTGGAGCCTTGCAGCGTCAGGCCGAACACGACGACCGAGGACAGTCATGGATTTGCTGATTCTGAGAACGAGAACCGTTTCAGTTCGTGTTTGTTGAAGAAGCTTTGGCTAGCTCGTCGTGTCAACAGCATAGCGGGGTGGGGCCACAGGAGAAGGCAATTTCGTTCTTTGTGTAGTCAAGAAGATTACGCCTACTGTACAGTACTAGTGAATAAAGTTGTATATTCTACTTTGTTCACGACGGAAAACTAGGCGAAGGTGCAAAAACCGCAAGTTACCGAGCTATGGCATTCTCGACGGGGGCGTCGATCCCACTTGGGCGCGGCAGCGGCTCTGGATCGGCGTCATTGGGCTTGACTTCCGCGGTACGAGATGAGAAGTATCGTGCGAAGTATGATCGCGTATCATCTGGTCGCCGCGGCGTTCGCTTCAGTCGTGTTTCGGTATAGCACATCGAGACTTTGCATGATCTTGAATATGATAATAGATACGAATTTTCATCGTGCGATAGAAGAAAAATGCATTCCGATGAATGTGCGCCTTGGTCTTGGTGCAAGTTTGACGCAAGAATTCTGTACAAGAAGAACTGTGAGAATTATGGGCACACTTGCGCTTTTCTTTTTGTTGCCAGTGGATAAGAAATTAAGTTTTAACGATTTTTTTCATTTCTCCGACCTCCGACTACTCGTAGTCAAGAATAACAATAAAGTGAAAGTTGACAACGAACAACACAGGACATCTGTTCGGCGGGTATGATTGAGGAGACCCAGATCCTTGCCCGAATGAAGACGATCTACCAGCACAAGGCAGAGAAACTATCGATCGAAAACATCGCTTATGAAAGTGCACGACTTCCTTCGGCTCCCCCCCAGCATTTCTTTGTGGGGATCTAGATCAACAGAACGACCAAACTACAGTGCACGTGCTCCGTATAGAAATGTAGTCGATGCCGAACAAGAGTTGTAGGTTCAGTGTCATGCAAGCACAACCAAAAAATGTATCTGTATGGCAAAACTACAAGTCAGTAAACATCAAAAGTTGTTGAAGGGAAAAACCGCAAGACTACAAGGCATCAAGTTGACCTCCACATTAAGTAACTACACCAAGTTGCCATATCCAAAGAGACAAGTTGGAGGTCATCTTGGTAGACCTCTACTTTGGCGGTTTGTATTGGACGAAGAGAGGGGGAGGGCTGCGAGAAGTTATTCATTACTATATTACCGAGTCCAAGGGCATAAGCGAGAACATGTTGCTGGCATGGCTAGACAAGGAACTGGATGACGAACATGCATGCATCCAGATACCCTTCGCGTTGCTCTTATGGCAGTGTCAGGTTGGCGGGGCTTATCCTCGATAGAATAGAAGTTCCTTTGCTTCATTTGCATGTTGAAGTACTTTGATCATGCAAAGAATATTGCGTTTTTCCGTTGCAAGGGAAGGGCGGCGGAAGGACTGGTGTAGACCCCGTTCCTCGACGAGTCAAGTAGGGAGGGCTCTTGCTGACTAGCACCGCAAAGCCAGGAGCCCCTCTTGTCCCTAAATAGAGCCTGCTGAAAGATACCCTCTACTCGCGGCAGTAGGCCTTGAAAATTGTTGTGGGCCGGAGTAGCTCGCTCCGTATACTCGATGTCGTCAATTATGCATTTGCATTGAATTTGTAGCTCTCTCTTCTTCTATTTCGCTGTTGCATTCATGATTTGGGTGGGTTAGGGTTTGTAAGTAGCATTCTCGATAGAACCGACTTCCATCTTGATCGACGAGGGATAATTTCATCCCACCTGACACTGTGATGGTTTCTGGTCGCGATTTTTGCCGCCTTGTCGGTGACCACGTTGGGTAACCATTACGTGCAAGATGTGCAGACCTCCATCGAGACGTTCCTCCATGAAAACACAAACTTCGGTTTCAACACGCACTCCGAAGCCGTGGGGCACCTAGGCATCGGGGACATCCATTCTGTGCCGGACTTCTACTCCTGGCTCCGCTTAGGCTTCGTGCCGAACGTGCTGACGGACAGCTTCATATACAGCGAATGGCTGCCGGAGCAGCTGCAGACCGGGCCTTCGCCCCCTACGTTGCCCACGCAGAAGCAATACGCACCCCAGTACGAGCGCACGAGCCCCGCGCCTGCAGACCTAATGCACTGGAGCCACATCGTCGGAAGCGTGCGGCTATCGTCCTGTGCAACATACAGTATCGCACTCCGAGAAAATTACATGCCGTCTTGCGTGACAGGTCAAGATCTGCAGCTACTGTTCTGCTGTTATCTGAAACTACAGGACAAGCTCCGTTTGCCCTGCTTTCGGAATAAGTATTTATCGTGCGAAGGTTAGGAAATCAAATAAATACATTGCGAAGATCCACCTGTTGCATTGCATAGCGGCTGTCGCAGAGTTTGGCGAGCGCGTTGCCGGAGGCGAGCTGCGACAATGTGCCTGAGGAGTTTCAAACCGCACTGCAGGGCCGCCTGACTCCCTGCTTTGGGCACGATGCGGCGCACTTTGCGAACTTACAGCTGAATCTCATCTCGGCGCGGCCATTGGCGGACAGTGTGAAAACGCAGTACCTCCCGACGACGCCCCAAGCGGGCTTCGTCTCCACGGCGGCCCTGCAAACCGCGGTAGCCAACTTGGAAACCAGTTTATGGATTCAAGAGAACGTGCGGAAGGTGCAAGTCTCCTTTTTCACGCTGAACCGGGAGTATGGGCTGTGGACCATGACCACCGTGTCCTTCACCTTTCGGCGTGGCGGGGCTGTGGTAAAAGACATTTACATGCAGTCCACCTGGTTGAACTTCGGGGGGCCTTCTTTTTCGGGCAGCGGGTCGTGGCAGATCTTCCTCATGATCCTCTGGCTTCTGATGAATTGCAAGATTTTGTTTGGCGAGCTCGCCGAGATGCGGCAAATCGCGAAGGATACGCCGAGCGTGTGGCGGTTCTGCGTGAGCTACTTTCAGCCGTGGCAGTATGGATGTGTCAGGGTTGAAATCGACAAAGTTGAAATAATTTGCCATGCATAAAATGGATGCCAGCTGGAACCCAGTATCCAAGTGGCGCAGGACAAATCTTTGTGGCCCTTAAATCCAGTTTGTCATGCTGTTTGGGCAAAGAAGAGTGATTTTCTCATGCTACTTTAGCAGCTCGAGCTGTAACCCCAAACAGGCTTACAATCGGCCTCACTTGCCTGCTCTGCAACACACGTGCCTCGGGTCATGCATTTTATGCATGACAAACTATTTCAACTCTGACGATTTCAAACCTGACACATCCATAGGCAGATCGTAGACTGGATCACGGTGTTGTCCGCCGCGAATTTGGTCGCGTTCTTCTTCTATCAAATGTAAAAATGTCTGGGTCCTCTGGAAGGATACAACTTGCGATGCTGCTCTTGGAATCTACCTGAAAACTGTATTGCATGGACAGCAAAAGAGGTGTAATTTGTGCTACGCGGACAGGACATTTCTCATTCGGTATCAGCATAAGAAAGCCCTCGCACAATCTCTGGTGCTAGGGCATGCATCACAGACCTCATGGGTCATGCAAAATCTGCATGACAAACTCCTGCATTCTTCCAGACGCAGACATTTTTGCAATCCATATCTTCGCCGAGGATGCCGCGAAGCAGGACCTCCGCGCCAATATTGCCACCATCTCCGACGGCGGCCTGTACGATCTCACACTGGACGTGATGCAAGCGCATGAGCGGTTCAGCGCGGTGCTCTACGTCTACGTGCTCATTTCCCTGGTCCGGTTGTTCAAGGGGTATTCCGCCCAGCCAAGGCTCGGAGTCGTCACGTCCACCATGGTTAGTGCAGCGAGCGACACCCTGCACTTCCTAGTGGTTTTTTCTTCGGTATTTTTTGCTTACGCGCTTGCAGGTGTGATCGTGTTCGGGCGACATTTGCCAGAGTTTGCAACGCTGGAGGCCTCGACGACTACTTGTTGGCGAATCGTGTTTTGGGATTTCGATTACGAGAAGATGTTCCACGTTGCCCCCGACGAAACTGTGGTTTTATTTTTCTCTTTTATGCTGCTCGTGGTCCTGATCATGTTGAACATGTTGTTGGCGATCATTATGAAAGCCTATCTGGACGTCAAAGCGAACCGAACGTACGCACGCGCCGAAACGCTGTACTCTCAGGCAAGAGAGTCGCTTCTTCGCTTCATTCGAATTCGACGCGGGGAGCAGGTTATCAAATGCAAAAGTGTCTGGGTCTGGAATGTTGCCGGGTTTGTCATGCATATTTTGCATGACCCAGGATGTGGATGTCTGTAATGCACGACCTAGCATCACAGATTTAGATTTTTAGAGGGCTTCCTGATGCCTACTCCGCATGACAAATGCCCTCCCCGCGAAGCGCAAACTAGACTCCTCTTGCTGGTCATGCAATGCAAACTTTTTTAGAGTCCAAAAAAGCATGACAAGTTGCAATCTTCCAGACCCAGACGCTTTTGCATTTGATGCAGATCAGTCTACGGCACATACGTGATAAACTTCTCGAGCGCACGCGCGAGAAAATAAAACAGGAACGATCGTCGATCAGAGGCCCAACTGTTGCCACGGGATCAGGTAAGAGCTCGACAAATAAAAGTTGTTGGTGCTCTGGTGCCACATCAGTGCAGGTTTGCTGTCTTTCAAGTACACCTCATAAAGAACAAAGTGTGATGCTTTCAACTGGTAAAAGAATAAGCGAGTGGAAGTGGAACCCGAGCACCTGCAAATCCTCAACATAAAAAACAAAAACCTCCTCTATAATCGATGGAGTGTTTATTTGTAGAGGACCGACCCGCCCCAACTATTTAATTACGAATTTGTGCTGGCAGCTGAAATTACGAAACTGAAAGCCTATGTTGTCCTTCGTTGAATTTCAGACGCGGGCACTATCTTCACATATTCTCTTCAGCTTCACTCCTTTATGAGAAATGAATAACTAACACTAACAGACATTTCGATTTCCTGTTCTTCGTCATCTGGTGTGCCCAAACAAGATGAAGAGGAATCCCACGAAGAAGATCGCCAGGGACAATCTGCCACCTATTTCGACAAAAAGAAAGGACGAAAGGGTGGCGATGTTTCAGCGTCAAGCACTCCACCTGCTCCACCACCGTACCACAACCCGGTGCAAATTATAGAACGTCCGACAGTGGGGGATGCTCAGCACGACAACAGCGGCCACGTAGTTGCAGGCGAAAAAACCGATGACAGTGGGGCTGGCTTGCAAATCGAGGGGCAGCATACTCGCATGATGGCTGGAGGACCCCGGGCGTCGGTCTTTCACACTGTGGTCACCCACGTTCCAACATCCAGCAAAGCGATCAGATGCAGTGGGGGTGATCGATGGAACGGGGAACAAGAACTGGGCTGCCAAACTGGCGAGGAGCGCTACTCGGTTTCTCCTTTCAAATGAAAATGAAGACGGATTACAAATCAGCGTCGCAGAATGCCGGGACAGAATATGTGACGACGCTTACGATCCTGAGTAAAAACAGCACCGCCCCAGATGGAAACTTTGCAGGACAACTCCAGAACTTTTGGGACTCACGCAGGAGGAGCTTAAGCTAGTACGCAGCGGTATCGCGCTTTCCTCATCCTCGCTCAGATGCACCATACATCTGCGCCATAATGATGCTGGTGATGAGTGCTTGACAGATTCGTGAAAACCACTATCCAATGCTGCCTCTCAGGGAGAGCCGCATGTGAACAAGCATCCTGTTGTTCCTGAATCCTGATCCTGAGCCTCAGCCTGCACATCAAATTCGCATGGCATTTCTTGGGTAGGGACGTTTTTGCAAAGCATATCTCGCCATCGTCCCCGCACGACGAAGCTGGGGTATTTGTTACGCCCGACACTTATCCGAAAGAAAAGCTGTACGCCCAGGGCCAGGACAGAAAAAAAAAACATTTTTGTTGGCTACTGCGGGCTGCTTTGGTGCCAAAGCGTGGCTCCTTTACCTATTGCCCCTCTGCCTGACAAACTTTCTTGGTACATCTCAAATCGCTAGAACTACGTATTACCAACTGCATTCTGCTGCAATACCGAGGATTTCCTGTGTTGTGGTCGCCGCTTGACAGAGATATAATTTTCAGTGACGCCAATTCAAATTGGAATTTGGCACCACAGTTTTCTGGTACGGGTCTGCTTTTCTGTAGAATCGCAGTCTCATGATGATGATACCTGAGATGTGCCCCGCGGAAGCTCAGGATCTGATCCGGGCTGCATTGAGTGACATGTTTGACGAAAAGGAACTTTTTATCAAAATGAAAAAGCCCCACTCCCCATACTCAACTGCGAACCTGTGATGCGCGATCTGTGTATACATATTTATCAGCTGTGTCTTGCTGCAGAGAGGCGCTGCAGGTACTAGATCCTAAGCTGCCTGTTCAGGGATGCAGTGGGATAGAGCTTCGCATGGCAGAAGCATGTTCCGTGGGCACAACAGTATCTTCACAAATCGCCTGCATAATCCGGCGTTAGATTCTCTCGATTTGCTCTCTTGCAGGACTACACATCAAGAACTTTCAGAAGCAGATTTATTCAATAGGGGGAGGGGGGCTGTCTGCTTGCGATGCTTTTAGAGGAGCCGCCCCCCGCGGCCGGCTTCGAAGCCCTCAGCGAGCTGATCGGGTCGGAGATGCAATCACTCGGAAGAAGGGTGGAAGCCCTGCAAGAGGAGCTGCGCCGGCACAACTACGTCTCTAGTACAACAGGAGCCCAGTGGTCCTCGGCGGCGGGGACGCAAGGAGTGGCCCCAACGCTCCTTCCGGCTTGCTTGCAATCCGACACCTGAGCGAAGGGGAATGATCTTCCGCCCTCCTGGCCCACGCGGGCTCACTCGCGAGCGCTGGAACGAGCGAGGACGAGTGCAGCTGAGGGCGTGCAGGCCGCTACCGGTACTACAATCGACCCGCCAGAAGTCGTGGTCCAGCTTTGGAAGCCACCAGACGAAGCAGGCCCGACGAAAAAAGTCGGCCTCGACCGCCCCTCCAGCACCGATCACCAGGACGATGACCAAGAGCAAATGCACCAGCGGGTTGCCAACTTGGCACAGCACATGGCTTCGTTTTTGGCTACGCTGGAGTACATTCCGCCTGCAGGGGCACGGCGCGATTCTGCGCGGGAAGATATCTTGTGGGAGAGCAACACACCGCGCCCGGCGCAAATAAGCCCGGGCGTTGCTGCTTTTTCGCCGGCTGGCAATTGCGGCTTTCAGTGCAAGGATAGCAGAGAGAACAATAAGTGACACAGAAAAACAACACCCGCACTGCTTCATCATGCTGCGGATTCAATAAAACGCGAAACCGTTTGAATATAGTAAAGTATTTATCACAAAAAAGTATTTTCATCTTTTCTGAGTAGAGTTAAACTTAAAGTAAGTAATTGAAATTGACATCGTTGCTACCACTGTTTGAAACAAGAACGGATCATATACATACATACGTCTGCACCTGCGTTTACCCAGGCAGTGGGTGGCATGTGTTGGTCCTCTCGTGTAACGTCACAGTACACACACGCGCCTATTCATCTTAGTCCTTAGCGGTAGTGAAGGTAGGCCTAGGCTCCTGCCGCCGTGCCTCTCATAGTGCAGCCTTTGTGGATCGTGCAGAGCGTATCTACCTTGATGGATAGGTGTGAGAACATCTATTTTTACAAAAATGCACCTCGATACCAGCAAGGCTTCCAGTGAAAGTAGCCGAGTCCATTGCCGAGTCGGAGAAGGCAAATAGAAACGCGAGCCGACTCTGTATCGATGTGTTGACCTTGACACAGCAGGCCAGTGCCACTTGTGGAGCACACATAACTTGAGTGAATTGAGTTTAACCGCTTTGGCTATGGTTACGACGTGGTTAGCTGTCACAGCTTTGGAACTTTGAGCGAAACGCGAAAAGGGCGCGAGCAAGCGAAACGCGCGAGGCACGCAAGCGCGGCATCTTGTGCCGGCCCCGCTGTGCCTACGTCGGGATTGCATTGCGAGCGCCAATTTTTCACGTATCGAGGGGCGCGACAGGCCTCGCACGCGTTCATGTATTTGCTTTATTTCTTTCTCTTTTTAGCCGGTGCGGAGTGGCTGGGAGATGCGCCAGCAGCGTCTTTGAGCTGTATGGACTTCAGCAGACACGGGAGCGGGGCCACTTTCGGACTAAGAAAGCACTCCGCTTCATAGTGCATCACGCTGTGCATCGTTTTCCAACCACCAATCTTTTGGACGGTTTCCCGGACCGTTCCGCCGAGTAGGAGTGCCTGAGCGCCACCCTTTCGGAGTCCGTGGAGGCAGAGGAGGTCGCGACTGCGGCCTTCCGCAATTCGTTGCACCTTCGCCTTCCGGGTGAGGAACTTCCAGGTCGTGCGGTACTGCGCAACCGATAGCCGCGCGTCGCCGCCGTCCTTGATGAGTCGCTGCGCGGCCTTGACCGGGCACACGACGGGGTTTGCTGGGTCCGCCACGAGTCGCACGGTTCGCCCGACCCCTTCGGGGTCCGTTTTCGTGCGATCGACGTCGAAGACAACCTCATGGCCGCCCTTGGTCTTCTCGACCCCGATGGTGGCGCGGGCGAGCTCCTCGGGTCGCCACACAAGGCGGAACTGGCAGACCGCCATGTCAACGCAGGCCAACTCGTCCAAGGTGGTGGCCGCCTTCTGCATGCTCTCGAGCATGCTCGCGGCGACCGGCTCGTAGCTCTCCGCCGCGCGGTCCCTCTTGAAAGTGTTGCTGATCAGCGTCGCGTAGGCCTGCTCCCCTAGGGAGAGTCAGTTAGAGGGTAGCAGGGCCATTTCCTTTGCTAAAAAGCGGCTAAATTTTTCGGGATTTTTTCGAAGCGCGTCGACCGAGGCTCTGCATTAGCCTGACCGGCGGAGCCCCGCCCTCGCAAGTGGTGCGCCGCTTCCTTTGTCTGGCCCGCCTCGCTTTGTTTTGCTTCTTTCGGTGGGCCATAGGGGCGGCGGGTTCGCTGTGTTGTCTGTTGCCGCCGGGTGTTTTGTATGTGCTAGCGGGCTATGTTTTGCAGTTTAGATGTTTGCCCCGCTTTCTCTTGGGGTGTGGAGCCTTACAATTTTGGCCCATTTCCGTTTGGCGGTGCGCCGGGTATTTTGCGTCGCGCAAAGCACCCGGCATATCGGGCACGTGTTTGCAGGTGCTGAGCGCAACCTCTGGTCGGGCGTGTTTGGGTTTGTTTGTGTTGTCATCTCGAAAAGCCGCGGCGGGCGGTTTTTGTGGTGGTGCTCTGTGTCGCGCCGTGTGGCGTGTTATTTCTCTTCTTCAGGCGAAGACGGCCGCCGCCCCTTTTTTTTCCTTTGTGTTCGGCTTTGGAATTTTAGAAACCAAGACGCCCGGGTCCTTTCAAATTTGCGGAAATCAGTGTCCTCTCCTCGGCTAAATTTTCGGCTAAATCGGCTGACTTTTTTTTCCTTCCCGAATTCCCTGTGGTTCCGCATTTTGCCGCCGGCTAAATTCGGCATCGCCGGGATTTCCGGAGTGAATCCCGGAAAATTTAGCCAAGATTTAGCCGACCGATTTAGCCGCATAGATTTAGCCGACCGATTTAGCCGACCGATTTAGCCGCATAGATTTAGCCGACCGATTTAGCCGACCGATTTAGCCGGCCGATTTAGCCGACCGATTTAGCCGGCAGATTTAGCCGGCCGATTTAGCCGGCCGATTTAGCCGACCGATTTAGCCGGGATTTAGCCGACCGATTTAGCCGATCGCGGAAGTGTAGCAGGGAGATGCAGAAACCCGCTGCGGATGGGATGTGGGCCAGCCCATAGATATCCGGGACCCGCGCAGACTTTCGCCGGCCCCGGCTTCCTGTGGTTTGGGTTTGTTTATCTTGGGCCCGAAGGTTTCCTTCTTCCGGTATTTCCTTTCATATTCCCCATTGGGCGTGGGGTTTCGCATGGTTCCGCGCGTGGTCCATCCGGGCCGCCACGCAACAATCGCAGGAAGCCCCTTGGGGTTTTTGTTTTCTTCTACCCGCGCCGCGCTGGCTTTCTCTTTTCCCCCGGCGGCAGCGCCGTCGGGGCCGCTTCTGCTTGCCCGGACTTTTAAAAAATCCCGAAAAAATTAGCCAAAAAATAGCGCGCGAAGTCGCCCCAAACCCTCCAACTGAGGAGAGCTCGTGATGCCGCAGCCGGTTCTCGGTGCGGACATGGGACACGTAGGCCGTCGCCGTGTTTGCGGCCATTTCCCCGGTGTGGACCTTCACGCCGAGCCTGGCGGCAAAAAGCTCCAGGTTCGTAATTGATAGCGGGAAGTCGGTGAGGCCGCGAGCTGAGCACATTTGCTCGTACTCCTGCACCGCGGATGCCCTTGCGCTCGACGTTGCCTTGGCATGCATCTGGCCCCGGAGCATGTCCAGGGCGGTGCCGTCGTCGATCGCGTCCGACATCTTTATCTCTGTCTGGGAGGGTGGGTGGGGAACGAGAAACCAAAAGGCCCGCACGTCGTTGCCCGGAGCGGTGTCGTCTACGTTAGCTGGCAGCGCTTAGCCTCATTTTGCTATTGATAGGGCTGATGGACGCAAAATACCAATTAACCGCTTTGGCTATGGTTACGACGTGCGTGAGGTTAGCTGTCACAGCTTTGGAACTTTGAGCGAAACGCGAAAAGGGCGCGAGCAAGCGAAACGCGCGAGGCACGCAAGCGCGGCATCTTGTGCCGGCCCCGCTGTGCCTACGTCGGGACTGCATTGCGAACGCCAATTTTTCACGTATCGAGGCCGTGGAGATCAACTCCCAAAGCCCGCACGCCCAAAGCTCCACCGGGCGAGAAAACAAGACCAGACCAATCGACTGCGTGCCAGGGCTCAACGTCGCAAGATTCTGAACATGGTCAAGGTTGATTGTTCTGTGTCGGTCTACCAGTCTTCATCAAGTTCAATCATCATCGCCCCAAAAGAACACGGAGATGGTGGCCAAGTGCCGCCGTCTTCTCCAAGATTCCAACTCCCCCAAGCATGCCGCTGCCATCACTTCGCCGACTCACGGCAATCACTTCGCCGGGTTGGCGGCGTCCGCGGTACCTGTGTGTTGTTTGGGTTGGAAATTGCGAAGCGTGTAGCTGTGGTCTCTGCACTCGAATCACGATAGCGCAATATCGTGATCCGAATGCAGAAAAGCTGCGGCTCCGTGGCCCCCACCATGTGTCACGCATCCATTCTACCAAGCAGGTAGTACCTGGGTGGCCTCCGGCAAGCACCGTGGCGCGCAGCCCCGGGAGGGGTCGTCCGCCGGGTTGGCCCCGGAGTCCACTCGCTCTACCCAGATCATGCAGCCAAGCTGCGCGGCCAGAAGCCAGGAGCGCTCGACCGAAGCGCGCAGGGCGTCGCTCTTCGCGCTGCCCCGTACGAAAGACCCCTGCGCCACTGTGTTATCGATCCAGAGGAAAAGGTCGGCGCCCTGCAGCTGGTGCGCAAAGGAAAGGAGCGCGGCCTCAACCTCCGCTCCTTCCAAAGCCGCAGCGTCCTCCTCGGCTTGCGCCCCGAAGTCGATGCGCGTGTAGGTTGGGCCGCCCGTGGCACACCCTTCCAAAGGCAGCAGAATTGCCCCGGCCCCAGTCAAGCTCGCGTCCGTGTACATCGCGCACTGCGGGCGCGATGGTGCTCGCCCGCCATCAGGAGGGCAGGCGGGCACGACCCGGCTGAAAGCGAGACGGGCGGCGGACCCTTCTGCCGCAAAGAGGCCCGCCCACCACTCGAGCGCCCGCCGGAGGTTCTTGTTCAGCCGGGCGTGGGCAGGGAGGTTCTTCGCCGCGGCGCGGCGCTGCAGCGCGTGCAACATTGCTCGCCCGATGCGGCCAAAGAGACACGTCGTCGACCAGCTGAGGCGCCCGCCGAGCGTAGCAGCCTCTGCGGTCGTCATGCTGTTGCGGTCAAGGTGGTCCCGGATGTAGTGCCGGATCTTTGTAATCCGGTGCGGGCTGAGGTTGTACCGAACCCCTTCCGGCTCCACCGCGATAACGATCCCGCAGTAGATGACCTCGGCGCCTTCCTCGGTTTTTGCCTCGTTAAGCTTTGTTTTGAGGATGTCACCAAGGAAGGTCTGCACGTCTGCCGTTGCGGACTCGTCTTCCTCATCGGCGGGGAAGATGTAGTCGTCATAGTAGGCAAACATCGGGAGCGCTAGCTGGTCCCGCACGACCTGGGTGAGGGCCGCGCTCAGCCCATTATAGTGCAGAGCCGACGCTGCCTCCCCGAAAAGGAGGCGGTCGGCGACGAAGTACCGCAGCGCCCCGCTAGGGTCTTCGACCATGATCACGCGGAGAAACTCCTCGTTGCTCGCGCGGAGCTGGCGGTATGCCTTCTCGTGGTCCTTCTTGCAGCTCTTGCAGCGGCGCCCCGGCCGCAGACCTTGGTAGCGCGCGAGCGCAGCGGCGTAAAGGTCGACCGTGGCGAGCTTGATGGGGGTCCAGATGATGTTGGCGCGATTGATTTGCGCGGCCTTGCCATCATCGACGGGGCGGGGCTTGTACTCCCACCCGGGCTTGTCCGCCTTCAGCTGCCACGCAACGAAGCGGCGGAAAAAGACGCAGTCCTCCCCCTGCGCCACGCTGCTGTCGATCTCGTGCGCGAACCCCTCGCGCACCTCCTCCTGGATGCTCTTCCACAGAAACGCCTTGTTTTCTGGGGCGTCCTTGTGGATGCACCTCGCCGCCTCATCATGCACCCCAGCCTGCTCCGCGAGCAGTTCCGGGACAGAGAGCTCGGGCGCGGCGTTTGACGTCTGTTCGAAGATGTCCGCGTACGAATGCGCGCCGGACATCGGGAACCGCTTGCGGAGGTTCTCGAAGAACGGCGTGACCTCGTCTACGCCGATGTGCCCCCCGTCGCGTAGCATCTCCAGAAGCAGGTCGACGTGGACCCCTTGCCCATAGGGGTCCGGAACCTCCGCGGCGCGCGCGGCCCACTTCTTGATCGCTGCCCGGCGGAGCGCTTGATGCTCCGGGACCGTAAGGCGTGCCGCCCTGTCGACCGCCCTCGCCGCGTCCGGTGGGAGCGGGTTGCGTTGCAGCTCGTTCCAGTCGCGGACGAGCTCCTTGGCAGCTGCAACATGCTGTGCGGGGGACAAGCCCGGGGGAATTGACGCGAGCAAGCCCTTCTGCTTGCCCAAAAGCGTTCCGCCCGCGCGCGCGTCCTGGAAGCCGGGCGGCGCCGCCGGCTTCGGCGGCTCCGCGCCAGCGGTTGCCGGCTTCCGTCCCGACCGCCCCCCGCCGTGTTTGGCGGTCTTTGCCTCGGGCGCGGCAAAACTGGGGCCTCCGGAACCTGCCGCATCGCCGGCACCTGTCTGTGGTGGTGCCCGCTCGGTGCCGGTGGTCGTGGCGGCGGCTGCGCCGCCAACGGGCGGCGCAATCTTTTCCCCTGTGACACATGGTGGACAATTCCAGGGCGCCCATCGGTGAATGGGAGAGGGAGGGGTCACACATTCATCATTTTCATGCTCTTGCTTTTCACTACGAGATGATCAAGATGGGAACGCGTGATGAGGTATAGAAGAGAAAAAAAAAAACCTACGTCAAACTAGACTAGTGCCGTCGGCTTTCTTCTTCTTCTTCTTCTTTCCGCCCTCGCCGGCACCTGCCGGGACCCCCGGGTTCGTCGTAGCAGCGGCACTCGGGACAGCCGGGCCGCCGCCACCCTTGCCACCGCCGGCAGCCTCGCTGCCCGGAAGCGCACCCTTACCACCACGACGCTTCTTCATCGCCTGATGCTGTCCCCCGCCCGGGGCGGATGCGTCCCCGCCGGCAGCCGCCTCGCTGCGTTTGTTGCTCGCGGCCTTGTGGTCCGCAAGCTTCATGTCGGTGAGGAGGTCCTCGAAGATGTCTTTGTTCTTCTCCAGGAAGAACGCCTCCGCCTCCTCGGGTGTCACCAGCCCCGCGCGCTCCGCGCGCCGGCGGTTCTCCATGTCGTACGAAGCCGCCAGGGTCGGACTGTGCCGGCACGCGATAGCGCCAAGGACCTCCATGTACTTCGCGGCGACCAGGAGGGTCCGGCCGGGCTGAAAGGCACCCGCAACGCCAAGGCTGGTCAGGTACCGCGTCGCGGCCAGGTGCAGCTGATGCGTCGGCAAGTGCTTCGTCTTCAGCTCCTTGGCCCGCTCCAGAAGGAACGCGGCCCCCCCTTCCTTCTCCTTGAGGTCGTTAACGCCCTCGATTTCGTCCTTGTAGGTGTGGGTCCACATGGGGTCACTCCAGGGCGCGACCTTCATCTCGCAGAGCGGAAGGGTGCAGTTACCCTTTTCCTGCGCCACCATGACGCAGTAGACCTGCTCCTTCGTGGGGGCGAGCGACTTGCCCAAGCCGGCGGTCTTGGCCCCGGCCAGCAGGTCGATCTTCCGCTTCGGCACCTTGCTGCTGCCGACCCCGGCGCCGCGGAGCTGCGCGATCTCCGCCATCGCCCGCTTGACCTTTAGGCAGGAGGTGGCGATCTCCGCCGGCGGGACGCCACAGGCCCGGATGTCCTCGGAGCTTTGGAAAAGCTCCACAAACTCCTCGATGTCCTTCGCGCCATAGTCGACCAAGACCTTGAGCAGGGCCTTGCGCCGCTGGCCGTGAATGGGAATCCCGAGCGCCTTCAGCTCGAAGAACATGCGGAGCTTGGCCGCCAGGCGAACATCTTCGTCGACCTGCGGGCCCAGGTTGTGCGAGATGCTCGCAAACTCTTGGTCCAACACCTGCCGGCTGCTGCCGACGAAAAACGCCTCAAACCCGGTCGGGAGCAAAGCGCCGAGAACGCCAGCGGCACACGCCGCGGCCTTCTTTTCAAGCAACGAGGACCCGGGCATTTTCTTTTGTGGTGTCTTTGTTTGATCTTGGAGCGAGAGAAGATATTTACTCTTTAACGAGCAAGAAGCTTGCGAGCGCGAGGGGTTTGCTGTTTGTTAAAGAACAAAAAACGCACACGCCGCGGCCTTCTTTTCAAGCAACGAGGACCCGGGCGCTTTCTGTTGTGGTGTCTTCGTTTGATCTTGGAGCGAAAGAAGATATTTCTTCTTTAACGAACAAGAAGCTTGCGAGCGCGCGGGGTCTGTTGTTTGTTAAAGAACAAAAAGCGAACGCATGGAGGTCGCGCGCCTCTCATCGCCTTCTGCTGGCCTTCTCAGCACCTGTCAAGCACGCGGACACGTTGCTCGCTCCGTTGCAAGGAGCGGCAGGTGACGCGGCTCCGCGCGATGCCTGCGCAGCGGGCCGATGTTGGGGCGACGGCCCTGCCAGGTGGTGGTGGCCACCAAACTCGCGGGCGAGCCTGGAAGCAGCTACGGCCTGCAGCTGGTTCGGCTGTTTTCGCACCCCTAAAAGCCAGAATAAGGCTTTTCGCACCACCAAAAGCCTTATTCTGGCTTTTAGTGGTGTTTCAAGCGATCTACTGCGTCCAGCTGCACGCGCGCGCCTGCAGCGCCGCTGCGTGCGTACCCCACGAGGGCTCTCCGCGTCGAGCGTCGGCTTCCACTCGAGGAAGCCGACACTCTTTTATGGCGCGCACCAGCACTCAGTCCTGGGACTGAGTGCTTCTAGCATCGACCGCTATCTCGCGCGTAGAGTGCACCTTCGCGTCGCCGCGGCAGCACCTCTACATGCGAGCGCGCGCGCTTTTCATGGTTGGGGCCTGTGACGTCGCCCTCTTTCGAGAGCGACGACGCACTTTTGTGGAGGGCGCCACCGCCTAGCGGCAGCACACCTCACACTGCACACTGTGCCTGCGCGCGTTGGTGAAGTGCACCTCCGCGTGAGCGGCAGCACCTTCGCCAAGCGTAGCGCGCACCTCGTTGGAGTGCACCTCCGCTTTCGCGGCAGCACCTCCTCCGAGCACGGCCTGTCCCTCTGAGGAGTGCACCTCCGCGTGAGCGGCAGCACCTTCGCCAAGCGTAGCGCGCACCTCGTTGGAGTGCACCTCCGCTTTCGCGGCAGCACCTCCTCCGAGCACGGCCTGTCCCTCTGAGGAGTGCACCTCCGCGTGAGCGGCAGCACCTCCTCTGAGTGCGACAGTCGCGGCACCGAAGCCAGCGGAGTGCGATCCGCACCTCTGCAAAGTGCACCTCTGCTTTCGCAGCAGCACCTGAGCAGAGTGCGGCGCTCATAGCACATCTGCAAAGTGCGCCTCTGCTTTCGCAGCAGCACCTGAGCAGAGTGCTTGACGCACATCCGTGCGGAGTGCAGTCTGCACAACCGTGGAGTGCACCTCTGCGTTGCAGCAGCACCTCCACGGAGCGCGTCATGCGCCTCCGCGTGGGCCGGGGCGCCTCGACGCTCCCGTGCCCACGGCTTTCTCTTTTCTTTTGGGGGGATATGGATACCACACGGCGCGCGGGCCGTCTTGCTCTTTGTGTTTATTCCGACATTGCCAGACCGTACAACACACGGGCAACGATCGAACGAGAAACCAAAAGGCCCGCACGTCGTTGCCCGGAGCGGTGTCGTCTCCGTTAGCTGGCAGCGCTTAGCCTCATTTTGCTATTGATAGGGCTGATGGACGCAAAATATCAATTAAAGTTATATAGTGAATGCCATATGCATATCATGTAAGCGCTACGAAAGGATGCGAAATCTAGATGATACTACTCATGGTTGATTCCGCGAGCTCAAGAAGCAAATATAACAAACAAAAAGCACAGGAAGAATAGGAATAGCAAAAGCACCAATTTACAAAGGAGAGGTATGGAGCTGGAAACCGCGACTACGGATATCTATCGTCGAGAATGTACTATCTGTTTATGTATATTACGGGGTGCGTATTTACAAACGCGGCAAGCACTTGCACTCATTCAGCACATATAAAGAAGGAGGAAGAGCAGAGCCGCATGGTTGACTCTTCAGTGGTGCTGGTGAATTTGTAAGATGCATCGTCCAATAAATTTACACGATTCATCAAGTGGAAGTATTTTACCACGCTAGTACAGTAGGTTCTTCCTCCTGCCCGTGCGCTTCGTCGATATCTTTTCCACCCGCCCGCCGTTCGTGGCCGTGGAACCCAAAAATCAAGAGATCCCGAGTGAAAGTAGAGCCTTTCTCCCGTCAAACGAGATCTGACGATCTACAAGAAGCGTTCCTTCAATCGATCTGATATGTTGGACTCGACGAGAGCAGTTGTGTCGCCGCCTCCTGCGTTGACGTCGCAGGGCAACTAGCTATGTGACTCGTGCGCTTTGACCACGCACATGCATATGCATGTTGACATTTTTGCGCGGGATCCTGATCCATTATTGTTTCACAATTTTTGAGCGTGGTGCGGCGTCAAGACAGCGTGCAATTTTTTGCTTTCTAGTCTCTCTTTCTCGCTTCTTGTTCCTGGTGTGAAGACAATGCATGCGACCGAACATGTTCAAGATTGATCACAACCCTGGTCAGCAGCCGCCGATCTCCATTCTTATTCGATCAGGTGTTTTTTGATCATTCTCTGCGATGAAAGGAGGTTGACCCTTTTTCTATTCGGGACCATTGCGGTGCGGCTTTTTCAAGCGATATAAAAAAATACGCTCAAGCTCATCTGCGTACAAAATAGCCCTGCTACAACATCTTCCGTTTTATTTTCAGCATTGCCCCGTTTCATTCGAACATGGAGGTGTGAGCAAGTGCTTGTCGAGCGCATTCGTTCAAATTTGCCAAAGAGGTCAATTACACGCTGGATCGCGCGGCGCAGAAAAAACGCCACACGATTCAAGAATGAAGCTAAAACTCAAATCATTGTCTGCTGCCGCGAAAAGATGTTGTAAACCTGCTGCGTCTGTCCATCGAGGGATAGAGTAAGAGGCAAGAACGCCAAGCACCACTATAGAAGCGAAGCGAAGCCCCGAGGCCCAAAGTCAAATGGCCCACTGACCATCTCCATTGTCTTATTTTGGTTTGGATTTCCAGCCGTTGTGCCTGTTTCACGACCTGTGGCACAAACTCGGAAAAGTATAGTTGGTCCGTGCTCCTATGTTTCTATTGCTCCCCAAAACTGCAGCAACGGCACCCCACCGTCGGGGATTCGGGTCGCCATCCTCCGCTCCTGGTGGGCGAATGTCCCGGACGGACCGTGTGGCGCTGAACAATCGGGCAGAGTTTGGTATGTTGCACCAGCCCCGCACCGCTGAGGAGAAGAAACAGCATCTTGAAGCTCTCGGCTCCGTGCCATTCGACATGCAGGACGCCTATCAGGAATGGCGCAGCGAGCAGCTCCCGACGAAGCAGAAGGGAAAGACAAAAAACCCTTTTCTGCGCATTCGCGACCGGTACACCTCCGAAAACCACGCGCTGCAGTTGATGCTGCGTGCTTGTGTGGAGATTAATCTGGCCAGGAATAAGAACTCGGCACCAGCACCGGGTGGAGGTACGGGCACCAGCTCCAGCGCGAGCGCGTCTATTCTGTCGTCTAGTAGTGAAGCAAAGGATAATATTGTTGTTTCTGTTGAAGGAGACGAAGCCATGACTCGTAGCCCACTGAAATCGAGGCGCAGATCCCCGTGTGCATCTAGCTCCACGTCATCTTTATTTTCCGCATCCGCTTCATCTGTGACTATAGATGACTCAGGGAACAAGAACTGTAGCGTCACCCGAGGAGTCTCAGGAAACACAGATTTACCCGGTGGCTCAACAGCTTTATTGTCGGCGTCTCCCGGCAGAAGTCGCGACGAAACCGATCGAGAAAACTTGACGCCTTCGTGTCTCGGCGATCTCTTGCGAGACGTGGAAGAATATGCACCGCAAATAGGTCTGATTGCTGGTGTGCAAAATAAAAATTGATTGGGGTCGCACGAATATTTGTAAAAGTACGTGCTCGGCTCTCGTACCCTCGGTCTCGAAGTTCGCCACGCATGTAGTGGTGGAACAACGCGGACGCTTGATCATGTCTCGCGGAGAAAATAAGCGCGACCTTTCTTGTATTTTGTAATTGCAACACGCATGTTTATACTGCATATACAAGCGCTTTTTGCCAAGCGGCTTGAAGCCCGTCTTTTTTGTCTGCCTGCTGGAGTATTTTTTCATTTTCTGTTTATTGAAAAGAAAGCCCGTTCAGAGCCAGACATATTTGCAGTCGTGGATATCAAAGCAGGATCAGAAACGCACGACGCAGCGGCACGTTTTCGCGACCGCAAGCTGTGGCACGACCTCATCGTTGCAGCCCGGCAACAGGCCACCTCCAGTCTCGAGTGCGCAATGGCGCTAAAAGCATTGATAAAGTCGGGATGTTTTTCCCCTCCAGACTCAGCAGCGGAGACCCTGCTCTCAGAGCGTGAGGCTTTCGCAGTCGAAGACCTTTTGTGGAAAGCCGTCTACGAGCTTGCCGGCGGGTCGGCCGGGACCAGCTGCTTCGCGCAGAAGCGCGTGCTGTTTCGACGCATTCGCAGGGAGAACGGGACCGACCGGCTTCGGTCGCCACACTCGCTCGTATATTGCTTCCACGCGTTCGCGTACTTCCAGAGACACTTACTCGCCGTCCCCATCCTCGGCCCGGCAAGCGACGGAAACGCTTGTGAAGATTCGGGTAGAGGAACCGCGGATGGCGCTGTGCGTCCGCCAAGACTCCCTCTGCCATCGAATGCTGAGGCAGACCAGAAAGAAACAACAGCAGCGCCGCGCACTTCGCGGCAAAATGTTCGCGGAACAATAAAAACCCGTGGGCCATCAAGTGCAAGTGGAGTGCCGATCTTGTTGAAGCTCTGTCAGGTCGCCCGCAAGGAGGTCACGCGGCACTCCTTTGTGGCGGAACATCTGAAACTGTCGCTAGAGCTCGCACACCACTTGTCGAGCATACTAACCTTCGCTGGTGACCAGAAGTTTTTGTCCTCCGCGCCGTTCGATTCTGGCCCGGAACAACAAGCGACGTGTTCAATTCCTCTTCCGCAGCTTCGGGACCTACTTCGTAACGTATTCGACCACATCCAGCAGCACGTGGCTGAATGTCGCAGAAACAACTTCGAAGGCCTCTGTGGCTTGAAAGCTAGCGAGATCTTCTTTGTCGTCAACGCATACGGGAGAACGCATAAGCTGTTCCTCCCGGCGGATGGTGCCCAACTACAGCAACAGGCCTCACTCCGCACGGCTAGCAGACCCGATTTTGGACGAGGACGCAGGAGAAACTTCCCTCACCAGCAGAGAGCCAGTCCACATCTTGCGCAGAACAAAAGTACGCCCGCAGTTCTTTTCGAACGAGAGCGGGACTCCAGGGCTTACCTCGATATCAGCTTTAAAGGTTTCGGCGTCTGGTGGGGGTTGTCGTGCTAGTTTGTCACGTCTGTGTATCATGTTGGTAGCGTAGCGTAGGAGGATCATGAAGAGCCACGCATCTTCGGGAGTTTTCCAGCAGTGGCTCTGTGTTGAACAAACAAAAAACAATTTTCTACGTACAGTGCATGAGAAACCGAAGTCGCTTCTTCATTTCGTGTGGCTCTGACCCGAGATAATTTGCTGCGCAGTTATATCAACTTAAAGCCGCAGTGAGCGTCAGGGTCAGATATGCATGACCATACAACCTGAGTCTCTGTTGCCGCGGCGTTACTGTTCTCTGGCAGCATACAACAGAACAAGACTCCAACACAGACCCTCTTGCAGATAAGCATGATAAAGTAAGAGTCATTTCAGAAGTGTCAGCCGCGCATTTCTGACCTAGACCTAGATAGATTGATAAAATCGCTGTAACAAAATTCCCCACGACCCGCAGCACGTACAATTTTGCAATGAATAGCTGAGGGACTTCTGCAGTTTGCTCCGCTCGTGCACAAGGAGCTTGCGCAATTCACTCCCAACCAATTAGCGGGCATCTTGAACGCGTTCGGGCACACTTCCACTTTTTTGAAGGTCAGCGAGATTCTTGACGGCGATCGAGATCATCGCGCACCCCCGGCGCATCGTCCTGCAACTCAGGTCGCCACCTGTCCGAGTTGGAATCAGCAGCGGACGGAGCGGAGATTCGCGCGCGCGCTGGTGTCCCTCTTTGCAGAAGTAGGTTCGCACCTGTGCGGCCTTCTGGCGGAGGACCCGCGAACGGAGGACCACTCGACGTCGTCCCGGAGAGCCGCGACACCTCCTTCTAGTGCGAGGAGCCACGATCTCCTGCCCAACAAGCTGTCGCTGCGCAATGTCTCCGTGGTCTGCAATGCCTTTGCGCAAGTGGGTATCCAGCACGAGCGGTGGTTTGAGCTCATCAGTCAGGAAGGCGCGGCCATCATCGCCGAGGACAGCACGCGCTGGAGCGCGGGAGGACGACGAGGTGGTCAGTCCGAAGAACACCGCAAGGACCTGGAAGAGTGGCAGCGGCAACTGACGATGATTGTGCACGCATACGGAAAGTTGAAGCTTTCCCGGCAGCCCAAGCACCTGCCGTTCCTTCTCTTTTTGTGGGACCGTATCAAATTGTCGCTGAAGCAGGTCGCATCGGCTCAGTCGATCGCACTCCTGCTGCATTCTTTCACCAAAATGAGGCTTGAAGAGGACCAAGACAGCAGCACGTGCAGTGGTATGCTGCCTTGCTTTGCGGACAGAATGCTCGCACTTGTCAGTACTAGCGCGGCGCTGCGACGAAGTTCATCTTGCTCACGCACGAAAACAAGGAACACAATTAGCACACTTACGATCACAAGCTTCGCATACGCACTGCACAAGAACGGCCTGGCGTCGTCCCATGAAATCTGGGATGCACTGGCCGCGTACGTGGCCCTGCTCCCGGATGACGCTCATTTTTTTTTCGAGGAGGAACAGGAAAAGCACGAACTTCGTTTCCGTGGGCAGTCTGCCCCAGAACCCTTCGAAAGCGTGGCTGTGCTGTCCAGAAATGCAAAAAGTGACATGGGAGGAGACATAAACAAAACGAGGCGCATCCAAAGGGAAATAGATGGGGCAGTTGTTCTTGCACAGCGCCACGGCTTGGTCCAGGAGAGAAACACAGGAACAGCAGAGCTACGTAGAAGTACCTCAACCTCTCACGAGAAGCCCCACGAAGATGTAGATCTGTTCCGTCTATGCTCTGCAAAAGCTATCGCACTCGTAACAAAATTGCAGTCATGAAGATGCGCGAGCGCCGCGACAAATGTCTTCTTCAAATCCGAGCTCAAGTAACTCATGTATCACGTTCGCAACGCCTAGCCCTAGTGGTAGTACTTTTGATGATCTTCCCAAAATGAAAATTTGTGCTTGTCATGTGAACTCTACTAGTGCGGCAATGCGATGCAATACTTTTGCAATGCATGCCATCACTTGACCCCCGGGGAATTGGCGAACCTCTGCGCCGCACTGGGAGGCAAACGTGGAGCGTCGGTGACAAGGTTTTTCCATCGTGTGGTGGAGACGGTGGAGGGCAGGAAAGATGGTCTCGATTGTGTCATTCATCGAATGAATTTTCTCGAACTCTGCAAACTGCTTGATGCGCTAGCAACGCACGCGGAAGAAACCAGAGCCCGGCAGCAGGAGGAGGACCAGCACGCACAAGCGGATCCTAAGAGGTGCCGCTCCACCTCCTCCCATCAATCCTTCTGTCTTTCCGTCTGTGCCTCCCAGAACCTAGTAGCAATCCTCCAGGCCGCCGTGGTAAATCTGGCTGCACCAGCGACGCCGTTCCCGGCCATTCCCTACCGAAACTTGCTCAAAAGTTTGGAGCAGTTGCACCTCACCACTCTGTCAGAAGACTTTATGCAAGCTGTCGCGGAAAGAATAAGCGCAGCCAAGAAGCACGAGAAAATGAAAACCACTGCTGTGCCAGCGCCCTGAGCAGCTCGCCTGTGCGCTCTTCTTTTGAGATAAGTTAGTTCAAGTAGTATTCCTCCAGATTACGTTTGCCACCTCGGTTGAGCTACAAGCTGCACAAGTGAAACCTGCGCAATTGATGAGTACTGAAAAAAGAAACCATATCCATGATTCATGCAGGATTTGCGAGTATTCAAAATCAAATATTACTTTATTGTGGAAGATAAAAGGCTGAGCCTTAAAGGCTCGAGACCACTACAGTCCGTTCGTAGTGAACCTGCCAATCGTAGGCAATTGATTCGGTCTTCTTGAGAGAAGAAGAAATGGCTCGTAATTTTTCTAGGAGATGTGTCTTTTCGGGAAAACCCGTGCAAAGGTTTGGTTTTGTTCGAAGGAGATATTTTGCGTATGGTCCTCTCCGCGTCTGTGGTGTTCGTTGAGAAGAGGACGCGCTTGTACTACATGAGGGCGATTTATTGTCAGTGTCGGTGCAATCACGACCAAGTTGTTCTTGTTTCTGCATCTTCTTTCATTTTGCGCGCCCTGCAAGAGGGACGAAAAGAAGTCTGATGTAGGCATTTTCTTTTGATCTCGAACATCAAACCCACGAGGACAAAGCTGCGAGTGTTGATATCATCACGCGAGTGCGAATCAATGTACTTTATGGACCGAAGATAATCATGCGTATCTAGTTCATGAAAACAAAATCAACGCAAGACGAAAGGAAAAGGCAGCGCCGAGGTCGATGGACGTCGAGCAGGATGCACTTTTGCAACTTTAAGTGAAAACGGCCTCGCCTGGTTCGTTTTTCAATGTCTCGGTCGAGCCACATTTTGCTGCGGTTCGTGGAGATCCTCAGCATCATCCTCACTGAGATTGATATTGAGACCCAGACTATCCTGAGTGGTCATGGTTCCTTCGATTTTCACAGGCTTTTTGTGAAGGGAATCCAGGTTTGCGATGCGAACTGCGCACGGTGTCGTGTCTTTGCCCACCAAGTCAGTGGCTGCAATCCCGACCGCAAGGTGCCTTGCCAGACTGGATGGCACTGCATGGAGTGCCGCCCGGGATACGAGCTGTGGTTCGACCGGTGTTTTCAGCCCTGCCCCGCCGGTTATTTTCGCTACGGTTACCAGTGCCAGCGCTGCTCCCTGAACTGTCTTGAATGTACCGGACCGCACCCGCACGAGTGCATCCGTTGTGCTCCAACGCACATTTTCGACGATCGTAAACTCTGCACGAAGCGGTGCCCCGACGGGTTTTATCCGGCGCTCGACGATGGGAAGACGGGCGCGACTGTAATCTACCCAGATCTTGGTGATGGTCGACGAGAAACAGTGGACTACATGGGCTGCGGCACGTGTCATCACACCTGCAAAACTTGTCGCAGCTGGACAGCAATCGCTTGCACTTCGTGCGACGCCGAGAGCTACTTTCGTCCTATCTTCTTTGCTGCAAACGCAGGCATCACCGAAAGACAGCCGCCAGGAACGGGCGAATGCGTAAAAACGCCAAATCTTAGGTATTTTCAATCCTGTTGCGCTTCCTAGATTCTGATCGTTAAGATGCTCTGTCGTGGAATACTTCTAGATGTTTACGCCAAATAGATCTGTATACTGCTACGCTTCTAGGCCAAAGCTAAAGCAGAGTAGCGTACTCGCGAGACAGCGTGCTCGCGTAGGGCTACTATGCAGACGAGTACAACGAAGCAGCGTACTCGCGAATCGCGTCGCACGCGCAGATTGCATAATTTCTTCATTCGCATACGCATTCCAAGAAGCAACAAGCTGCTAGAACTAGAAAGAAAGGCTTCGTGGATATCAAGTCATCTTCTGTATTCACTATATTAAGTCTCTCCATGATATTAAAAACTTGCAAGGTTCTATCGCCGCAAGCCCGAGGATACGCGTCAATACGAGTGTCCAGAGGGAACGTTGGAGTGCGAATCTTCGTGGAGGGCATTTCGGTGCGATCCCAGCACTCACTTCCCCCCTATCATTCAAGCCGATCAGGTTCCGTAGAAAATGCAAATATGTCCGGGTCTGCAAAAGTGCAACGCTTGGCATGCGTATTTTACGTGACCCATGATGTGTAGTGTGTGTCCCAGCACCAAAGATGTTTTGCCTGCTCTTTCCTTTTGATGCCTATCCGGCATAGCAAAAAAACTAAATATTCTCTCTACGTAGCAAAAACTGGACTCCTTTGACCGTTCACGGAACACAGATTTTTTCAGAGTCCAAAAGTGACATCACTCACAAGTTGTACCCTTCCAGGCCCAGACATGATGTTTGCACACGCATACTGCGAAGTGCCATGCCATTCAGCAGCTGGATCAGAGCTCCATCACCGCCGAAACCTACCTGGGCGACGCAGTGAACAACCCAGGCGCACCGTCGTGGTCGAGTGTGAGTGACGTCGCGTTGGAGGGTCTCGGCGTCATGACCGCGGCCGCTGCTGCGTCGTCATCGACGGTTTTACGGCAATTAGTCACGAAGTGGCTCCGCCGCCAGTTACACGAGCGAGACGTCAAGCGACAAACAACGACGCCTGCGCCGCTATGGGTGTGTCAGGATTGAAATCGTCAAAGTTGAAATAGTTTGTCATGCATAAAATGGATACCAATTAGCCTTACAGTTTGTAGTCGGTGCATGACAAATTTTCCCGGTCCTGGAAGCGAGTCTGTCATGCGGTTTAGGGCAAAAGAGCTGCCTTCTGTCATGCTAGTTAGCAGTCCAACTTTTGACCCTTACCAGGACTATGATCTGCGTCCCGTTGGTCCTCTGCAATAGAGTCACTTTTTGATTTTGTGTCGCATTTTATGCATTACAAATTATTTCAACTTTGACGATTTCAAACCTGACGCTTCCATAGCCGCCCCGTGCAGTTTACTCCGGCGAAGGACCCACTTCTACTTCTGGTGACGATATTTCCTTGTCTGCAGTCCAGCACCGAAGTCAGCCGGCCACAACAACGCCCGCGCCGCACCTAGGAGAGGCAGGTGAAACACCGCGTCTGCGTCGACGCGGCGGCGCCTCTAGCGGCCTTCCAAACCCACCCAGACCCACCGAGCGGATTGCGGAAAGTAGGGAGGACCTTCTTCACGACGAGAACGAAGTAGACGAAAATGGAAATGACTCGGAAGAAGGGTCTTCATCACCACCGGAGGACGAGCCGGGCCTTGCTAGTAGAGGCGGTAGCGCAACAAGACCATCTTCTCCGGTGCCAGGGGAACAAGTCGCTGAAACTGCAACGGACCACACGACCACCGCTGGCGGGGGTGCTGTGGTGGCAGGTAATAAACCCAGTATGGGAATGCACAACTACTGCCCCTCAACCTCATCTGGATTGCAAAAATGCCAAATCCTGTCTGAGCCTTATGGCTGTGCTTGCATAACAAGTTCTGGAAGCCGCCCTCCAAACTGCACTAATATACTCCGTCGTGCGTAGATTCGTGATGCAAACAAAGACTGTATTCTTGAGGTTGTTTCTGTTGCTAGAGATGCACTCGAAATGAGGGGGAGGGGGAATTGAGTACTCTCATACCCAGAGGTGGCCCACCACGACCAGGAACTACAATGCCCGCTGAGGAAGAAGAACATGGACAAGAAGAAGACCAGAGGGCACACGGCGGCCAAGAGGAAGAATCGGACGCACTGCCAGAGGAGGTGAGTAACTGGATAAATCTGCACACGTACGTGTCGCCAGGCAGTATTCTTGAGAAGGCCATCCTGAGCGGCGAGGCGGGCAAAAATCTATCCACCCTCTTTGGCGAGCTGAACCGGACACAGGCGGAACAGGTTTTGTACCAAGCCGGGAAGCGGCGACTGCAGAAGGTAAAAGAACTGCAGCAGAAAGTGCAGAAAAACACAGACGCGAAAAAGCAGCACCGAGAACGAAAAGCGTACGATGGCAATGTGGAGCGAGTGATGGGCGCCGCGTCGCACCGGGAGCACCAGCGCCTTCCTCGAAAACGAAATCGCTATAAAGGAAAGCGCACAAGGGCCGAGGTGCTGCAGGCTGAAGCTCAAGAAGCAGCCGCGATGGCAAAGCAAGCGAGAGATCAGCAGGGATAGAGCAGCACAAATTCGCCGAGTTAAGAGAGATCTTCACAGAAGAACAGCCAAAGAAGATAACTGTGGCTGATGTACTACGTGTTGCCAGATATATAGCTCGATGAAAAAGCGGGCGTGTTGCAAAACTTAAGGACCGTGCAAGAAGCCTAGCACTGCTTAAAACGCAAATCATAAGGGAAAAACCATGACGCGACAGCACCTATGCATCTTTATTCTAGTACTCAACACGGCAGCGACACCGCGGCCAGCCATTCGCTAGGTATGACATGTTCTGATGCTTGTGTTCTACTTGGTGCTAGTGCACATGGTCGGTTCCTCAAGGTCGATCCTAGTGCTTTTTTGTTGCATGAAAGCGCTGTGTGTTCTGAAAGCCGCAGAGAATGTTAGCAAGAAGAAATCATGGAAATGCCTCCTATCAGTCCTAGCTGGTCCGAGCGATCTATCAGAAATGTAACGACTACAGCGCTGACACATTGCTACCTCGTTGTTCGCGATGAACAAGCAGTCCACGCTTCTTTGCAGTGCCGATACATCAAAAACCTAGCTGGAGTGAGTTTTCGTTCCACGCATTGGTGCACGTCGTGAACCAACAACAGTAGTACAACTGAGGGATTCATCATGTTCTTTAGCATTTCCGCAGAATTTCAATTTTTTTGACACAATAAAGAGGGTAATTTGAATAAACCATCTAGAAGTTGTAAGTCAAGTATAAACATAGTGGCCTTCATCAACAGACGTAGTTTCGCTACGGTATTTGTTACGAGGACTGTGACGCTTTACCTTTTCCATCCTCATCGCCCGAGCATGAAATGGCATGGGACAGCATTGCAGAACGAGAAGCGAAAGATTTGCTTTCTGACTCAGAATGGGAATGGCGCACTGAATGTCACCAGCAGCATAGTCAATCTCATCCGAAGATGAAGATGGCCGCAAAGCAGAAATGCCACTCGATTGCCATTGCCTGAGGAGGTGAAGCTGACAAATAACGAAACCGGTTTAAGACGAGGTGGCACGACAAGGGCGACAATCTTCTGACTTTCCAAGAAAAGTCCCAGCTGGTTCGTGTTGCAACTTCCGGTCAAGAACATCCACTGTATAATTACCTTGTTCCGCAATAGTAGTGTTTGCGATTGCGTTTGCGATACCGAACCCGACCTCAAAAGGTGGCAACTATTAAGGCCGCGAGACTACCGCAGCGCGTGCGTGTTTATCTGTGCTCCGAGCTGCACGGGGGCAACTACAGCAACGAAACACAACATCGCACTGTGCGGAGCTCCAGTAGCAGAAAGAAAGTCTCTCTGTCGTCCATCTTTCAAGTAAATTTGTGGCGGCAAGAAACACACAAGAGACGAGACCCGATACAAGACCACCGGAAATAAAACGGAGCCACAGCCGATCTGTCACGCCCGTGTCCTCGAATCGGAGCAACACACAGAAAATGTCCTCCTGGCTGAACTCGTTACTTTTCCGAAAGGTCTTATGGCAATGTCAGGGGTGAAGGTCTTATGGCAATGTCAAGGGTGAACTTTGAAATGTTAATATTTGCGAAGTGCTATAATTGCATGCTAGACAGTGTGTTTGTCCATGTCATGCCCAATCGCAAGGAGTCGTGCCGTCAGTGTTTAATAGTACCTGACGGGCGGGTGGAGCGGCTAGATGGACGCGTGACAGGTGCAGTGGTCCTTTTGTGCCTTGTATCCTCACGCTGCAATGCGGCGTCAAGAACAGGCCTACTGGGTGGTTTTTTCACGCACACGCGTTGCGGCAAGTTGGACACAACTGCAGGTCTCTCAGACGACCGGTCGTCTTGAATTTATGCCAGTCAGCACCACTGTAGGACGACTTTCCACCTGGCGTTTCCATAGCTGTACACTTTTCCGAATGCCCAGGAAGTTGAAGAGGTTAGGGACCTCGCCGAAGTATCAAGATGTAAACTGCCCGTGCCCCGGATTTCTTGCAAAGTGTTTCTCGCAATGCAGCTGCAAGGTGCTTCGTTCTGCAATGGCAGTCGTGGGCCTTGGTTTGCATTCTTGTATCGATGCCTCACCGTAAGCCCGAAGAGTTGACTGAGCGCCACACACAGCCGCAAAATGAATACTTCGTATTTGGTTGATCTCGCGCCACGGTGCAGACGGCACAACGAACGGCACGTAGTACATCAATTCCAGATACATATTTATCAGTTAATATGACTAGTAAAAAATAAGTAGAAGATTAGAAACGTCGCTCCTTCTTCGTGATGAAGATGAACTGTAGCAGCACATTGCCCGCTTGACATCGGCGATCAGTGGCTAGAATTGCTGGCTGTAGCTCTGTGCTATCTTGGTCTCCTTTGGCAGTAAGGCTGCAAGAGTAAAGACTTTGCATTTTTGGGGGCAGAGCAGTGCCTTTCACTTCGAGACGTGGGCGGCTTTGCCTTTGTGTCCCTGTGCAGGGATCCCAAAACAGGGGATCAATACGCTTTGAAAAAGATGATCTGCCAAGACAAAAAGAAACTTGACCTAGCAAACAAGGAGGTACTTCTTGAATCTAAAATTTATTTGCAGTAGGTACTAGAGAAGAGAAATTATGAAGTTAGCGGTTTGATGATGATCGTGGACCCTAGTTCTTTTTTCTGGTTCTGGGCTTCCTGCTATGCTGCGACTTGTTGGAAGTGCAATGCATTTCGTGTTGTAGTGGCGTGGTGTCTTCTATTTCATGTACCGGCACACGCGCTCCCGTCCCTCTCGAGCTCGCCGCCGCAGCCACATAAGTACTAAATACCTAGCGAGGTCAAAAATGACAAAACCATATCGAACGCAAAAAGCAAAAACTTCATCTCGAACATTTATCAACCATAAAGTGGTGCTATATAATCATTATTCTTTACCAGGTGGCCATCCTGGCTGCCCTACCGGAGCATAAGAACATCGTGCGCTTCTACCAGTCGGCTCTGATCGAGCTCGCAGCGAGCGGTGGAGGTCCAGTGAAAAAGGAGATTGTGATGCTTCTGGAGTTGTGCGACGGAGGCACGTTGCTCGATTGGATCCTTAAGCGGGGCCCACAAAAACGCGTCGAAGCCGACATTTTGAAGCCATTGCAGGACGTTTCCGAAGCTGTTTTCTTGCTCCATTCGCATAAACCTCCCGTAGTACACCAGGATCTGAAGGTTGAGAACATACTACTCGGCAGCGACGGCAACTGGAAGCTATGTGACTTTGGCTCCTGGACCAGTGAGCGCATCGACCTCACGAACGCGACGCGACAAGAAATCATGCGCAGGCAGGATCACTATGAAGAGCACGTAGCTGCCTCTTGTTTCTGTTTTTCTTTTTGATGTTTATTACATTTGCTGCAGCATTCGTTTCAAATTCAATGATATGAACAAGTGCACTATTTCGCTCTGGTGTCGGGTATCGCACTTCACGCACCGCGATGCAGTTCGATTTTAACGCCAATTTTCACGTACTTCTTGCACCCGCAGGTAACGATGATGTACCGACCTCCAGAAATGGCTGACTTGTACCAGAAACACATACTACACCTTCCAATTGACCAATGGCAAGTCGGATGCATCTTGTACACTCTGATGTTTTACAAGCAACCCTTCCAGGATTGCACGGCACCGCTCGCCATCGCGCACGCAGGGTAAGCATTTTTCGTATCATTCAAATATGAGTATAAAGCAAATTTAAATTCTTGTCTTTATACTGTTAGTGTTACGGACGCACTATAGGTCGCGGTCGGCGGTGGCCTCTTTGCATGTGCCTCGATCGACAAGGGCAGAGGCAGAGCTCCGCCTGACAGTAGCGCTCAGATCACTGCTACGCCTACTCACTACCATTTTACTTTATAGAAAGTATATTTTTCTAATTGTTACAGTGTATCTGCAGCAACTGTGGCTTTCAAGTCCTAAGTGTAAGATACGCGTCGCAATAAAAAATGAAGAAGCGCCAGCTATAAATTTAAATGAGTGCTGTGTGACAGATGACACAGGACGAGGACGCAGTGGTTGTTTGTGCTCACATGACGAACATCTGGACAGCAAGAAGTGGAGCCCCAAAATTGAAAGCAAAGAAAAAAAACAATCTTTACTTTTACAAAAAAAGTGCCCTCGTTCTCATGATGGGGCCACGTGTAGTTTTGTAGTAGTACTTCCATAGGCCGCTACCCGGACGCCGTCTGGCCCCAGATCGTATTGCATAGCTTTCAAAGGAGAAAACGAGCCCGAGTTGTGTAAGAAAGCCGCCCGGGCTATCATTGCGAGGGTAACTTCTCAATACGAGCAAGTGCCAGGCTTCATGAGTTCTGCAGGCCGGCCGCAGTCTGCGCATGCACAGTGCGCAGGCCGTGCCGGTGTTGCGCAGATACGCCGACGGGTAGACGCCCACGCGTCTGCGCGGCCCGTTGGGTTCCCGGCAAGTCGAAGTGCACGGGGCGGGGGCGGATACTTAATTAAAATTGGCCGGCCTCTGTCGTGTCAAAGTCAACTTCTTTGCATGCCGCCAAAGTTTCGCCACCAATCTGTTTTTCTGTGCTCTCGTCATCTGTGCAAGTCTCCCCCTTACAATAAACACAGCCTACAACTGGATTGATTCTTGATTGGCATCTGCTACCGCCCGGCCGCGGCACTGTAGACATATCTAGTACAGTAACTGCAAAATAAATTATCACTCATGATTGTATGACTACTCAGGTATGAACTTCCCCCGGACTACATTCCTGGAGACACATACAGCGAAAATCTCGAGACAGTGCTGCACTGGTTGCTGGCACGAAACCCGGAGAGTCGGTTGACCTCTCGAAATCTGGTCCGCATCCTGTGGGAATGGGAAGGAAACCCATGCCTAGATCCTACGGAAGACGCCAACACATTGGTGGTTTCGCCCCCCATGGACGTTCTGCAACAGAAGCGGGAAAAAAGAAAAAAGTGCGTGGACAAGGCACAGCAGCTCTCTGTATCCACAACGAATTTCCAAACACGTACAAAGAACGCCAACGCGAAAACTTTTGCAAGAGCAAGACAAACCTTGCTATAATATCAATCCCATTCAGTATATGTCAAGCGAGATTCTCTAGAAAGTTGGCGAAGTTTGATGTGATGCGTTTTGTATTATGCATCACAAATTGAAAATGTCCGTAGAGCCAACTAGTAATCCCGTTTATTCTAATTATTCTAATTCTAATAGAGCCATAGTAACCCGCGTTACAGGAGTTTTCATCTCTCTGATGATGATGATGATGATGATGATGCTGAGCAAATTTGATGTCACGCGATTTCTATATGTTATGCTCATGCGAAAAAAGAGGCAGGCGGACAGAGGGCAAACAAGAGGTGGCCGGGAGGTCCAAAGATGTGAATGTGAAAAAGAGGCCATTAGAGGTGAAGGTGGCGCGAATAACGGACGACGTCTCGCGCACGATCCCAGCCACCCCTGTGGCTCTGTGCCGGATTATTAGCGGGGACCTTCAAAGAGGTCAAAGGGAGGGCCTGCGGGAGATTCGCGAGAACGTAGAAACGCAGCAGGCGGGCGCGAATCCGCACGGCGTGGCGCATACTTGGCGCGGCAGGCGACTCGCGGCCTGTGCGCTTCGGCTTTTTTTCGCGCCACCCTCTCGCGCCAACCTCTCGCGCAACCCTCCCGTGCCACCCTTTCGCACAGAGAAGAGCGGCGCTGGGAAATTGTTGACTGGGGTGGCTTATTTTGACTAGCGAAAAGCATAGCAGATTGGTGTGGCGTCCAGGTGCCTGTTGTTCAGCCCCAGTGTGCGGGGTAGTTGCTCCCTGTGCAGAGCGCCCACAGGCGCAGGGTGCGCGCAGATGCTGTGGGCGCATAGATATGCCGCTGCGGTCCGGTCGGTCCCTCTGCAAACACCTCAATCCCGGCCCAACAGCCTTACGCTCCGCTGGTAGCCGGACGGAGCATCGCTGGTTTATGCAGGTGCGACGCTTTTGCGATGCATTTTGTATGTGTGCGGAAAAATTTGAATGCATATTTTGGCGCCGTCTACAATCCCGTCGCGGTAATGAACCTGGTAGAAACGACCTCCGTATCCGCTGCAGATATCTATGTCTGGGCGTAAAAGAATGCAAGACCTGTCACGCTTGGGCACCAAGAGAGAAAAATTTATCATGCGTGTTGCGCTGCTGCAACCCCAGTTTTGTCATGCAAAAACGCGACTTGTCATGCCATGATTCCGGAAGACAACATAGGCGCCCAAAAACTTGTCATGCGGAGGTCCGTCTTGTAGATCGGTGGTTGATCTTAAACTGTACCATCCACACACTTGCATCACAACTTTCGTTGAAGAGCCAGACACATTTACAGCGCATATTGTGCCTCGTCTCCGGCGAGTCCGGGACGAGGGAAAACCTCTGGGGACGACTATGGATTGCAAGTATGTTCTGTGGCTCTGGCGGAATAAATGTAACTTGTCACGCAAAGTCTCCAACACAAAAATGCCTGCGTCGCATGAACGCCAAAAGTTTCCCAATTCTCGCTTGGGAAAAGGCGGACTACTTCTCATGCGGAATAAGCATGGGGGAAGTCTCGCAAAATCGGTGATGCTTCTGTGTGCAGCATTTTTCCAGACCGTGTGTGACGTGGGAGGTCCTGGACGTGGTCCAGCACGAGATGCATGACTACAAGTCTTGTATTCATCTTCCAGACCCAGACAGATTTGCAGTGGATAAGAACGTCGCAGGGAATAGTACTACCATGTCCAGCAGCATTCTAACCAACCTCGGCATCGCGACCCGCGGCGCGGAGAAGCTTCGCGGGGTCGCTGCGGGCCGAGACGGCGTCGTGGCGCCGACCCCTTCCGCCCTCTCGCCACGGAGCCAGGAGAAAAGCCAAAGCGGGGCTGCAACTGGAACTGCGTCAGCGTTTCCCTCCTCGTCGTCCGCTGGGACAACGACGAAAGACCCGGCGAAAGAAGGTGGCGCCGCCGACGAGATGCAGCGGTTTCGCACGAAAGCTGTCGGCCCCGCAACGGCAACGGAACAGGAGACGTTGGCGAAAAACAGCGCGAAAGGCCGTGGGAAGAGGTTCAAAGGAGAAGACGACCTCCGAGAGGACAACAGCGAGCCCTCGAGCGCCCCGGCGGTGGACCTGCTCGCCTACATCAAAGACGAGTCCACCCCCGACTCAAAACCCTACCCTGCCCGCGGAGGCGGCACACGTAGCGGCGCTGGCGCAGGATCAACGGGATGCATCAGCAACAGCAAGGAATCGTGGGTCGCGGACTTTGGGCAACAAGGTCCGACCGACACGAAGAACGCAACGACGAGCCCCGAGGACCTCCTAGTCGCACCTTCGGTAGGAGGAGCCGCTTCCTCCTCATCTAGTACGGCACCAGGAGGAAGTGCTGGCGCGGCCGTCGACGACTTCCTGTATCCTGTGTAAAAACGCCCCCATTGACATTCCAGACATCTTGTGATATTTGCATGCTCAGGATGTGCTGAATGTCTGTCATGCAGCGCAGCCCCATCCAGAGCTTTTTCTGATGCATGGGGATTTGGAATTTGTCAACATGGTGGAATCAGGATAAGGCGATCGATTTCTTGTGATGCGGCTTTACTAGTACCGCTAAGCACGACAACGCTGGAAGCAGGAAGCGCAAACGTATCACGCGCAAGACAAGCCTGTGGAGCTCATTAATAGCCAAGCCTTGCTGATTTGTGTAGCGAAAAAGCGCCCACCTTGACTCTGGGGTCCTCGTCGGGACGGTTTTACACACAGTATCCTGTTTGACGGCTTCAACATCCCAGCGGGAGACCATCAAGCGCGTGCAGCCACGGAGCCCAGTGATCGCAGACTCAAGCGACATCTCCAAGCCGGCACCGGCGACGGCGGGGACCTCTTCTCTGGCGGCGGTGGCGCTTCCAGTTCGTCCTCCATCAGGATGCCTCCTAGTGAAATAACAGAAGGACTTTTTAATCCAAGCAACAACAGCGGGGCGGTAGCTTCTACTCACAGGGAGGGCCCATCTTCTTCGAGATCTACCGCGGGAGGAGCTGTAGTCGTGCCACCAGCACCACCACGACGAAACTTCGATGCGTTGCATCACGTGGATTCGGTATTAGCAGCCGAGAGCGCGGACCGAGCTGGACGAGAAGCAAACTTGTTTGCGGATCTGGAGCCCCCGATTCGCGGCGTTTCTCCCTCGCCGATTCGTGGCGCGGACGACCACGCCTCCGGCGCAGCGCCGTCATTGATACAACACCTCGACGGCGGCGCAGCACAAACGACTGACACTGCCCTTGCATCATCCCGGCCGGCACCTCCCGCGTCGCACGGAGGCAGTGTTCATTTTGCCAGCACGGGCAAGAACTCAATGAGTAACAAGAACTTCTTGCCTAATCAACGATCCACCTCCGACTCTGCGTCACTTCCAAAGACCGGCGACGCGACTTCTGGTACCTCCCCGTCGGCTTCTGCACTCCCGGCAGAGCTCAGGCCCTCACTCTCCAAAAGAGATCCCTTCCAGGTGGATTTTTTCAGTTCTGCTGCAACGACAAATGGACAGCGAGACCGCGACAAGCTTTTTGATGACATTGACATTTTTAAGTAAAGACACAACAAAAGCTGCCGCTGCTTCCATCTTCATACTTCATCTGTGCTTGTTGCTACAAGTACCATAGTACAACAAGAACGAACCTGCTGCCAATAAATCGAAAGCAACCTCTCGCAGATTCAAGATCACGATGAAGAACTCACAAACCACTTCCAATTGCGTGCCGGTGAAGATTTTTAGACGTTGCTGTTGTTGCGCCCCCGGCGGTGTACATGGATTCAGAAACAATAAATTTCAATTATTACGCGGCTTATATATGATATTATCTTAGTATCTTCACGCAAAGAGAACGAGGGGCCTCGCGCGCATGTCGTCCAGTGGATCCATGGATTGATATATGGACCATTTCCATTTCATTTTCCAGCGATCTCAATCTTTGCAGCAACGTCGACTTAAGCCATGGCACAGAAAAGAACGTGGTGCGGCCGCGCTGGCGAGTATGGATCAATGTGAAGATTGTTATGTTTTTGTTGGCCTTGCTCGTTCATGATATTCATACATGCTGCATGTATTTGATCATAAAGTCTCTGCCTTGCCATGTCCAATCGCGCGCATCGGTTTGGAGTGTTGACTTTGACGCGCATCTTGTAGTATCGTTCGCGAAGTAGATCATGATCACACCTCCGTCACCGTCTTCGAAGAAAAATCAATAGGGGGACACGATCTGGAGCCCAACAAGATGATACCAGCAGAACAGAAGCAGCAGGTCTTGTTCGGCGATGAGATGTATTTAGATGAAATAGTTTGAGTTTCCGGATACTTTCGTACAACTGAAAAGTTAATTATAATTTCCAGTGTAGTTGAACAAGGTGACTTGTTCATCGAGACGCGAGAGGTTCTGGCACCTCACCGCCATCCGACCGCTAAGATACTTAGATTAAATAAAAGCTCCAACGACAAAGCGAAAAGCTCGAATAAAAAGATGGCATCTTCGGCCTTTGAAAGTTGGCGTCAGGAGCGAGTCGCTCGCGGGCTCGAACGTTTGGTCGTTTAGTATGAAGAGAAAAAAGTTTGCCGCTGACACTGCCAATAACTTTTTGCAGGTTTTCTAGTATGCCAGTTTTTTCTTGCGTCACACACACACCGTCGTCTTGTATTTCAGAAACCGCAGATCATGGGACTTCGTGTATAGAGCTTATTAACTTAACCGATAGTATAATTTGATTTGTAACACGAGTTTTTTTTAAAAATTGCGAAGAAAGATGCCATTCCAATGACATTAAGGAACCTGCGCAAGCTTTTTTCATGTATACTTACACATTGCAGAATATGACAGTGTTACGAGGTTTGCAATCGACAATGTTAAATGCATAAAATCGACACTACTTCCATTTGGTCTTGCTCTTGTTCGAGCCCCAAATACCAATTCAAATTTCAAGTGGTGCATGACAAGTTTTGTGAGCACCCGAGGCCAAGAAATCCTATTGCTCTTTGTCATAGTGTTAGTGTTTGGGCAAGGAAGACCACTTCGCTTCTCGTTCTATCCAACACCAAACAGGCTCACGATTGGTTTCGCCTGCCTGCGCTCAAATACATGCTGGCACTCTGCGCCTTGCATTTTATGCGTGACCACGGCTTATTTCAACTTTGTCGATTTCAAGCCTGACGATTCCACACAAAACAGCGTCGCGAGCGTCAATTTGGACAGTGACAGCAATGTGAAAGAAGCCACAACTTGGGCCCATAATTACGTCAACGAAGCAGGATATCAATTGCAAATATCATCACGGTGTCTGAAAGTTTGGCGTGCAGGTGTTGCATGGCTCAAAAGATATGCTGGAATACGCATTGGCCGAATGTCACAGGTTTTGCGAGAGCTTTGGCTTTTTTACAATGCCTACTCTGAATGAGAACTCGTCTGCTCGCAACGTGGCCAAAAATGGACAGCTTCTGGTCCTCATGCACGTTGACAGGAGTTTCCGCGACCATTGAAAAAGAGCATCACAAGTTCGCGATCGATGCAGGGCGGGATCTGGATCTGCGCCGGCGACTGCTGGCAGTATCGTATCCAACTAACCAACCAACAAGTTTGCCACTTTCCAGACCCACCGGACACAGATATTTGCACTTCATACGGCAGAGGGGACGGCGGAGTCAGCGAACCTGAAAAGCAATGTTTTGCTAGCGAAGGGTAGCCTTGTGCAGAAGTTCCTTATGTATTGCAAGTATGTCTGGGAGGTCTGGAAACTTGCTAGAACAAAACTCACCATTCTTGGCGTTGGCTGCCAAGTGAGAATAAATATCTGTCATGCGTATGGCGAAACAGTCAGTGCCATCTGTTTGCCATGCGATGCAAACGCGACTTGTCATGATCTGGCCTCGGGACGAAGACATAGCCGCTCATAACGCTCATCAAAACCCTGTCACGCGTGGGCGGTCCGTAGCCGTACTATTACAGAGGTTTTTATCATCCAGCACACGTTTGCAGGAAGACCAAGACATAGAATTTGCAGGTGATTTTCTTCTTGCACGCGCAAAACAAAAAAGCGACTTTCTTCGAGTGTAGTTTTGACAAATTTGTCACCGCCGCTACCAGGGCCCTGGAACACTTCGACGTAGATACTCCACAGAAAATCCTAGCGACGTTGTGTCATAACAATTCCAAGTCCGGCATTGTAAATATATTTCGACTATTTCTATACGAAAAGGCAAAAACAAATACTCATCAGGGGATCAGGGACGGGGTAATTTGTCGTGCTTACATCCGCCTGTAACTGCTGCATGCTGTAGGGTCTTCACTCGTAGCGAGTACTTACTTTTTGTTTTTGTGTAGTATGGTGAGTACTCGGACTACGAATCTCGTAGTCACTTTGTTTTACATACAATAAAAAACAAAGTTATTGATGCGCACCTGCTGCACGAACCCTGGCGCCACGGCCAACCGCCGTTAGAGCCACCGGTTCTTGGGGCTCGCGTCGTTGCGCACTCGTGTCCGACAAATCAACCTAGCCACGTGCCGATAACGCCGGCCCTAATGAGTTGAAGACTACTTCTATCCGCATCCGCCTAAGAATGGGCGCGCCGGTCTTCTCTAGTAGGCCCGCTGTCGGACCTTGACCTTGTAGCTCCTCCTGCCAGCGCTATTTTGTTTTGATATGACGCGCTAGTTTTTCTTTTTCTGTGCGATAGAAGAGACAGGGGTCTACGGCACTTTGCAGCTGCTTTTTACGCTGTCGGCGCAGCCCTTAGCGGTCCCGGGTTCCATGGTGCCTGCGCTGCAAAATCTGCGGTACCGTCGCGGTCAAGGGCTGAAGGCGGAGAGGATTCAAAAGTCGTGCGAAGCTACCAATGTCGCGCCCTTGCACGAAGAAGCACATGATCCCCTTTGTATGGATGTGTCAGGATCGCAATCGACAAGATCGAAAAACTTGCGATGCATAAAATATAGGGCACTGAAGGCCTGTATTGGGGAGCAGGCAAATGAGACCGATTGTAAGCCTGTTTAGGGGTATGCAATGTGCTGCCAGAGTAGCATGACAGGAGCAGTCTGCTTTGCCCAAGCAGCACGACAAACTGGATTTAGGTGCTCCCGAAGTTTGTCATGCGCCACTTGCAAGCTGAAGCTCCAACTGACATCGTCATCGATTTTGTGCATCGCAAATTTTCCGACTTTGTCAATTTTGACTCTGCCACTTCCATACTTTGGCGCGAAGACGTAGAAAGCGTCTCCTCGACGAGCAGCGGGGCGTCGACGAGTGACTCCTTGCTTTTCTCAAGCGACGAAATCGATTCCAATCGCCGGTTTCTCGGCGAAGCTGAAGCTAGGCGCAGGCCCTCCCTCGGCTCGGATCCCTCAGAACACTTTTTTATCAAACACACGCCGTGCCCACGCCACCAGCAGCAGCAGCGACGAGAGGGAGGCCGCAGAAGGACTGCTCGTCAGCATGATGTAGTCTCTGGTCGTGTAGTTGCACACGATCATATTATGTTGCGGAGCAAAAGCGTCCCCACGGGTCGTGCGGCTCGAGCCGAGCTTGTGGAACCCCGACGGCAGACGCTGTCAGCCCCCAGACATACGCGCGACGCAATGTTGGAAATGCCAACAAATGGCCTCGTAGGCTAATATCTAGTTCTCTCTACTCTGCAACGAGGACGTGAGTTCTCTAGTGATTTTCTTCAAAATTTGAGGCTTCTCTGTGCTCTATCTCCTTGGTCTCGTCCAGTATGTAAAACGTTCCAGAGTCAACTTAACTCTGGAACGTTTAGCAACACAATAAATCAGAAGTTTTGGGAGTCCTCGCGCTTGAACAGTTCCTCGTCTCTGTAGTGGTGTAGTACAGGAGTTGTTCTTTAGCAAGGACAGCCGGCTCACAAAGCCATCTCCTTGTCCTCTTTACCGCACTGTGCCAAAGCATATGCCTCTCATCATGGCGGGGTTGCGAATTACCAATGTTCCACATCCACTTCCACCAGTTGCAGATCTGCATGACAGCCCTGGGGTGGGGACACTTTTGCTCATGATGCACGAAGCTGGTCGTGCCGCGACGCGGGCGACAACGAGAACAAGAAGAAGAACGACCGGCGCAAAACTAGAAGAAGGCGTACGGGTGCGTCGTCTTGTTCACTCTGAAAAGCAAGAAGGGGAGGAAGAAGAAGAAGAAGTAGACGGAAGCGCATGCGCATACAAGAAGAAGAAGCTGCAACATGAAGATGCCAGTTCTGGCGCAGACTTGCTCCTCTTTGACGCATTCGAGCGACAGGTCGTGCAACTGGGATGCAGCAACCAGCGTGACTTGCAGAGACGACCACGTGGGGATCTACTACCTTCTACTTGTACTTCCGAGGATTTGGCAAAAACAGCTGCAAACTCGCTGGGTTCCGTGTTCGGCAGGGCAGAGCTAGAAAAGGTTTTCACCCGGGGTGGAGCAAGGGACGTCGGAGCAGGCCGCTTGCTGTCTTCCTGTATTCATCGTTGGTCCTCCATTATCGCCGAGTTGCGGGCTCTGGCGTATTGCCTATGCGAAGATGGTGCGTCCGCTGTTGCTCATTTGTGGAACGAGAAGAAGCTGTGCCTAGCGAACCTGCCGTCCCTGCTCAATGGTCACGCCACCCGTCATTTAAACGAGAATCACGACCCACAACTTTTTCGAGCGGTACACGATGACTCATCTTCGGGAGATGAAACTCGTGGCACCACGTGTCTACAAGAAGGTAGCTACTGCGAGGAAAAATCAAAATTCCCATACTGGAAATGCAAATGTATGCTTCTGAAATAATATAAATTTGTGATGCGGAAGATTTGGGGCCCTGGCGCTGGCCACAAATGAAATAATCGTCTCTGTATTGCAAGAAGGCCACTCCAGAGAGCCCGCCAATTTGTAGCTGTTACGCAGAAGGCTCGTAATGATTTAGGGCCTACACCGGAGACGCCTGCCATACTAAGTGCCTGCAGCCCCTCCTAGTGGAAGACAGGGCTTGTTCATGGACACAACTCCCGCGGCATGATAGATTTTCATTTTATTGTGGGAAGGGGGGGCTTTTCGTCTTGATAGTAGCTGGCGAGCTCTGGGGGCACGCCTCACAATATCCAGTACAAATAAAAGTATTGCGCTCTATATGATCATGAAAATGAATTGCAGCTGTACATGACAAGTTTGGTTTCCTTTTCCTACCCAATCTCCATTTACGATGTCTTCTTGAGAAATTTTGTTAAATGCGATTTATGCTAGTGCGATATTCTTGCAATGCATACACCACGCTCATAGCCGATTTTGAAGGCGCTCCGCTGCAGGAAGGCAAGGCTGCGAGACCATCCACGAGCAGACACCTCCAGGGACATCAAGAACAGGGAAAGAGTCTTCAGGGGCTCCTGCGCAGGCTACGCTCCTGCCGAAACAGCATTCGACCGCTCGCGCAGTTGCACAGTCTGCTCAGCGACGTATTTACGAAGCTCAATGAGTGCCAAGAATCTGGGCTCCAGCGTGACCGTGGCCACGGCGCGGAATTGCTGCTGTTCCGTAGCCTGAATGCAGTTATGCGGACAGGGTGTGGTGTACCCCTCCCCCTCGCGGGCTCATCAAAAACTGGAGGGGCGGCGCTGAATGGCGCGTGGCGTAGTACGCTCGAGGCACACCAAAAGGACCTCAACCTCTGGAACAGGTTCGCAACTTGCTCAAGCTGGACCTCACCAAGAACGGATCGCGTAAAAGCAACAAGGGCGGTGTTTGGAGCCGCTGCGTGCAAGGCGGGCGATCTCGTCGCTCTGCGCTTGCGACTCGATGCAGCGTGTCGCGTGGACCCTTTCCAGGTGGAGTTGCGTTTTGATTTAGATGGTGGTGGAAAGAACTTCGATGCTGAGTCGTCGCCCCGTGCGGTAGAGCGCCTCTCCAACAACAATGACGATGCCTCCGAGACGGCCGAGACCAGGACGGCCGGCCCGACATCGAGAACCGATCATGATGAGGCGCATTTCTTTTCTCGCGACGCGAGTGAAGATGCCAGTCTGCTTCTTCTGCCGCAGGCAATGCGGCTGCAGGAGGAGACGTGCGTGAGCATCTTGCGAGGCGCGCAATTGTGTGCGCGTGTGCAAAGTCAGCAACTGTTGTCGATGTTAATGCATCCCCGACACGGGCCGCTCCGCATCGCTCTGCGCGCACTGCAGCTGTTGGCGCTTTGCCAGCACGCAGAATTGACGGACCGGCTTTCCGCACTGGTGGCCTCAGACACCTTGACCACCGTGAACCTGCAGAAAACGGTGCGGACTTTCTTGCTAGAAACGTGGCCGATCGGGGGTGGACTAGAACTAGATCGAAGCCTCCCTAGCGCGACTCGAACCGCCATGACGCAATGTGATTATCAAATGCAAATGCGTCATCTGGGTCTGGAAAACAAGTGGAAGCTGTGATGCGGATTCTGGAACAGGCAAAGATTTGTCATGCGTGGTCAGCAAAAGTAGCTCACTGCTCGTCTTCAAAATCTGGGATTATTTCTCATGCGGGATACGTATTGGGAAACCTCGTCAGAACCTGTGACGTCATTGCTTGCAACATGCCCGAAGAGATTCTGGGTCATGCAAAAACATCATGACAAAGGAGACGGAAAGCCCACACGCTTCCAGACGCAGCGATAATATTTGCGATGCATACAACTGATGACGATGAATGGATCTTGACAACGCAACGACTGAGGGAGAGGATGGCTCTGGAAGTGTGCGTACCAAATGCAAATATTTCTGGATCTGGAAGATTGATTCTGCAATTTGGCCATGCATTTTTTGGGTCACGCAGATTGATGCTTTGGAAAAATTCGAGCAAGAGCATAACAAGTTTTGTTCGTGTCTCATCTTGGTGCCTATCCTGGTGCATGAGAAGCTCGTTACTCGCGTAGCAAAAAGTGGAGCACAGCTGTTGGCGTTCATGCAACACGCATTCTTGCGCAGAACAGTAGAGTTTGTGTGACGAATTCATCGGATAACTCTTCCACACCTCCCAGGAGACATATTAGCAATGCATAGCGCGCAAGCCATCTCGTGGTGGTGGACCTGCTGCAGGAAGAGCATGAACGTGCTGAAAGACATGAAAAAGAAAAGATGCAGAGCCGGGGCGTTGATGCACGAATCAATGCGACGCAGGCGGCACCGGGACCGGGACCGGCAGGCAAAAATGGTGATTTAATTACGCGGAGCATTTACAACAACTGCCTTCCTCGGCAGAGATACCGATTTCAGTGGCAGTTCCTCGACGCGGCAGAGCCGCATAGCCATCGAGGAGAGGATGGTAATTTTCCGACTCAAGTGCAGGACCGCGCTCGGATCAGAGCAGAAACAAAGCCAGTGAAAGTTGCTGGCACAACAGCAAACGACCTTAGAATGCGTTGTCCCAGCACGGTTAAAGCGGGAGCTTTGAACTGCTCAATCCCGGGTTTCTTTTCGCCGTATCACTTGTAAGTGTGTCTGGCTCTGGAAGATTGCTCAAGTTTCTCATGCATGTTTTGGAGGACATAGAAGAAGAAGATGCAGGAGCTCTGGAATGCACACAAAAGCATCACAAGTTTTGTTCAACTCTCTTGATGCCGATCAACCTGCATGAGAAGTTGAAGTTCATCGCTATTTGCGTAGTAAAAAGTGGACAACTTTTGGCGTTCATGCAGCGTGAATTTTTGAGTAATCCAGAGCTTGCATGACGCCACTCACTCTAGAAGAGGACCACCCAGAGGACATATTTGCGATGCATAGGCCGATGCAGATGGACATGTACTCGCGCTGCTTCAGTTTCCTGCTCGAGCTCAAGGGCGCTCGCAAATTGCTACAGCAGGCGCACTTCTTCCTGTACAACAAGAATTCCAGCAGCACGTCGGCCAGACAGAACAGGAACACCCATGTAGGAGAGCGTCGCAGTGCGCAGCCGGCGGTGAACTCCTTTGGATTTGGCTCGCATATGCATTGCAAATTCATTGTCTGGGTCTGGAGTGATGCAACCTGCAGCGACGCGACTACGTTTGGATTCTACATGTTGAGATCTGTCTTGCATACACAGCAAGAAAGATCCAGCTCTTTGCGACGCCGACGCGGAGAGGGCATTTCTCATGCAGTATGGGCATCAGAAAGTCCTCGCAGGGTCTGTGATGCTACGGCATGCATCACAGACAGAGACATCATGGGAGGTGGTCATGCATAATCTGCATGACAAGCGTCTGCATTCTTCCTCGAGAGGACCCAGACATATTTGCATTTGATGTCGCACCCCCGCACGCAATTGCTGTTGCAGCAGGACGAGCACCACGTGTTGCAAGATGCACACCTGTTGCGGTCCGAGATGTTGCATTTTGTGCAAGGCCTCGAGTCCGCGCTTAGCATGCGCGTAGCGGCTTGCATCGACACCTTCGACAAAAACGCGGCAGCAGGAATCTCCATGTTTAATAGTTCGGCCGAGACGAGCACGAGCAGTTCTGGTACGATCCGCTCTAGCAGCAGGCGCGCCAGGAGCCGAAATCCTTTGTCGCTTGTTTCCCGTCCTCAAAGCCACATGGTTGTGGAAAGGGAGGCCAAGAGCAACACACGCCCCCTCTCAAAGCTAACGGAGGCAAAGAGCTCATCCCAGACTGGTGGGTGCCGCACTCCCAGTACTTCTTACAGCAGGTGGGAATCTTCGTCTGCGCCTGGAGGCACAGCTGGAGCTGCCTCCCCGTCCTATCTTCGTGCATATGGGCGGTCGTCAGTGCGGCCGGCTTGGTCCTCCCATGGTGCCCTTCCACCGTCACAGAACCAATACCAAAGTACGACAAATAATAAGAGAGATGACATTGAGATTGACGGGGCTGGTACTGGTTCGATATCAAAATCAAATATGTCCGGATCTGAAAAAATACGATGTGTGCAAGTCCTACTGCGAAGATACACATTTTGCATGACGCATCGTGTCTGTGATGTATGCCCTGCCGTCACAGATTTTGCGCAGGCTTCTTTATGCCTGTCTAGCATGAGAAACGCCGAGTCCTTCCTCGCGTAGCAAAAATAATTTCTAGAGTTCTCTTTTTACTTGTTGCTACTCAACATGATGTAAGTACTACATTTTTTTTTTGAAAAATCCAAAGACAGAGTGAGCATGAGCACAACTTGCAGTCTTCCTCCAGGCACAGACATTATATCTGCCATGCATATTGAAGAACCGAGGATCTCAATCATCGCATCTTGCGTCGGCGTATCGGGTCTATCCTGATAAAAGATCCTTCTGCCTCATATTCAAAAGGAAAACTTGAGATGCCGATGTGTGAGTGTGGCGATACACCAACTGTGTCTTGCAAGAAGGCAACTTGCTAGCAGAACCAGAGGCCTTCGCCCCATTGGGTGCGTGATTTGTCATATTGTTGGGCCTACGGGGCAGCCGTTTGATGCCATGCCACGCAACTAGACCCAAACGCCCCTGCAAAGGCTGAGGGTAAGTAAGTAACTCGCTCACAATCCCTTAATGCATGCAGGGCCCCCGCCGCGCTTGATGTTTGTGTAGCAGTAGTACAACGCAAACCCAGCCTCAGAATATATATATAAACCTCGTTTGGAACAGTATTACAGGGTGGGAGGATTTCCTCTTTGAGACTTTCCAGTTCGGATCCCACAAAGACTGAGCCAGGAGACGGAAAAAAGGTTCCAGCTATCCGCTGTAAAAAAACATCTCCACCCCAGAGTTGGCATGCAAATAATTATCCACTGCAGCCCTAATAAAAAAAAAATGGCGCAGTGCCGCCTGCTTGCTTTAACTTTATCGATGGCGCAGGGCTTTATTGACAGGGTTTCGCTGCAGGGCTTTATCAACAGCAGTTTCTGTGGCGACCACTGATCGAGGTAGCACTCGACTTTGTATGTTGGGGTCGCGGGCGAAACTGCCTCCTTGCCCATCCCCCGGGGAGTGGATCCCTCACCTGTTGTAGCGATGATAATCATCATGCGGGTGTCCACTACATAACGGTGATGATGCGCAGCCCGATGTATGAGGACCTTTTTCGAGAAGTACGCGCTGGGAGTTTGTCATGCTCGAAGCAGGGCATGAGGTGGCCTATTTGTAAATGCGGACGCGCTAGCGAATAAACAGGAATACGCTACACGCATAGCTTTGTCATTCGCAGCAGCCGAAAGTTTGTGAGTTGTGTACTAACAAAATCCTCAACATGATTCAGGGGTGGAAACGTTTTTACACAGGATACCAGCACAAACACAAGCAAAGTCTCTAGCTTTTGTTGATCAACTGGCAAGCATCGGCTTCGAAGACCTCCAGGCGCTGCATATCTTCAGAGTGCACATCAACCCCCCCTCGATCCCCTCACTTCTTGTCATGCAGAATCAGAAACCCAGTTGGAGTTGCGGTGCTTCTGCTTCCTCACTCACCACCGGGGAGGGAAGCCGTGGCGCCGGGGTCGCAAGGTGGGGGCTGTCCAGTACGTGATGACGCGGATGCTTTGTCATTCTGTGCTTGTGGAACTGTTTGCATATGCAAATTCCTGAAGAGGCAGCCCACAGAGTTGTACGTACTTGCTTTTACTACACTCCGCACACGATCGTGGACTTTTGTTTCATACACGAGCTCCTTCACGTGATGCGCTAGTGTTTGTATTCTTTTGCAGCTTGGCAACATTGCTGCCCTCGTACAACGACTGAGAGGGAGGGGGATTAACTTGCTTATGCACTCTCATACTGCATGCGCGCTTTCTCGAGGAGGTTTCGCCCGAAAAGTGGCTCGGAGACTCCTCTCTACTTGCGGATTTGCGACAGTTAGTGACCCTTGTCCGCTCGTTTGCTGAGAATTTTTGTGCCGCGCCGCCGGGGAACGAAGGTGAAGATCCGCGCTGGTGGGTGCGGCAACGAGTGAAGCTAACCGAATATCGAAAAGAATTTAGGTCGACGCTGTTGTTCGTTCTAAAGCTGCTGAAATTCGCTCCTTGCCACTCGCGGAAAGAATTCACATCCCTCTTTCATCAACTAAACGGGAACGGATTCTACATTTGACGAAGACCACACTGATTTGACGCAAGCTCAAGCAACCGCATTCGAATGAAGTTATGCGTTGGACAAGTATCGATCCAGTATATATCAAAATCGCATGCTCATATGATTTTTGGCAACAACAAATAGGAACTGCCGACTCAGCTTGCAAAAGGTATTTTTCATACATGACTGCGATCCATACGACGAGTGCGGGTCTTTTGCAGAGCATAAAAATGTTGATCACCGAAGATTTTTTTTCGGAAATTTTCACTTTCAGCGAAGTGAGGTTTTGTTTTGTTCAGCGGCGCGCCCTTTTCTTGTTCATGGTTATGCTTCCGACGTTTTCTCGTTGATCCCTCAGAAAGTAGGACTTCTACAAGAACTATGTAGCACACACCACGTCCATGATTCCATCGAATTTCTGAAGAAGTTGAATCGGAAACTACAGGATAATGCATTATACTGATACTGATACCGATATGAAGCAAAAAGTGAAAGAACAACGAGCATGATGATGATGATGCTGATGATGATAAGAAGTAGCTTTATGCCGGCGATGAAGAAGAAGACACCGTAGGTATTTCGTATTCGTAAATGAAAAAGAACAACTAGTATCATGATACTCATTCCCAGTACTGCGTAAAAGTACTCCAAACCCTCCTCAGCGTTGCAAGCTAGCAAGCAGATCCATTATTTTCGAGGTCTTTGCAATTTGATTTTTTTTTGGATTGGGTATGATATGTTTTTTAAGAACTGACAGCCCACCTGTCACTGTCAGACGGAGCGTGAGAAATCAGTGCAATGGAATTCGCGAAGGCCGTTGTGTAGCGGATGATCCGCACCGTAATTGTGCTTTATAGTACATCTACACGGCGATATCAATCTGTTACTCCTACCTCCAAATGCATAGCTGAAACGCATGGGAACGCTTTCGCGGCACCTCGAAGTAAAGATTTCGGACACTAAAAAAGATGCTAGCTCTCGGTGCGCAACGGGCGCGCTCAGTTCCTATGTTGGCGCTACAGGTTGGAAGCGTGCCTATGCCAGCAGAATTGATTTACCTAAATGCATTTCCATTTCCCAGCGACCACGAGTAAAGTTGTCTTGAGACTTAACTCGTCTAGCGAGCACGAAGATGCTAATAAAACTAGGTCAACTCCAATTCGCACGAATTTTAAACTTGCGGGCAGTTGCCGCCTTTCGGTATGTGGCAGGAGATGTCTTAGCCTAGATGGAGGGACGCGCTGTGATTGCCCCGATTGCTTCGCGTCTCACCTCTTCCGGCCATTCTGTGCCATGAGAAACCTCGGCAAAATGACCTGTCCCCTGGTATGGTTTCTGAAGGACGATGTGGGGTGACGTGTGTAGTAAGCAGCCCATCATCCCATTGCGCGAAGCAGGAATGATGCGCTTTTTTTTGTGTGAGATCGTCCCTGTCCATGTGGCACATAAGTAGCGTCGACAGAGGCACAACCCTGCCCCTGGTGGTGCCTGTAAAAGTGCTCCCATTCCCATGGCCATGGTGAAAGAAGATCCTGACTCAAAGTGGAGTAGGGCGCGGAGCTCGATCGGCTCTTCGCACACAGTCCAACGGGATGGCGTTTCTTTTGGTTCATGCCCTGGGAAGAAAGCGTCTAGCTGCGGGAAGCGTCTTTCTTTCTTCTTGTGTCGATCATTTACATTTTCGTGCACTCGTCGCTTGGCCCTTTTTACTGTTGCATGGCGTTCCTTTTTGTCAGGCCGATGCCCCTGCTTGAGAAATTGGTGGGGGTGTGTTGCCGCTGGTAGCTCCTTGTGACGGCGATAAAAAACCCACATTGCAGCTGCGGCGGGAAGGATTTTCCTAAAGTCCACGTCGCCGCGTTTCGCTTGGTGAATGCCGGCGACTTTCTCCCGCTATATGATCGGCGTCCCCGCCCTTCTTATGTGCTTCTAAACGGGAGCGACTTGGTGCATGGACGTACGAAGTTGCGAATACTTAAAGCATCGATCTACGAAGAGAAACGCTAGGACCCGGAGCCTGATACTGGGAAATATTTGTTGGTAGTTTTTTTCCTCGATGTTCAGTTTTTTTCAACTTCAAAATTCCGACATCGATTTGGAATTGGTCTCGGTACTCAGTTTCCATTTGAAATCGCTAAGAGTCACCAACTCCAACTCAACTTCGAAATAGGCTCGGGAGGCCGATTCTGATTTCGAATTCATTGGATTGGTTCGCCACTTTTGATATTGAAGCTCTTGGCTTCAATTTTGATCCACTGGCGCAGACGTCCGTAGCGTTTCAATTTTGTAGGTGTCCTTGGCGTTGCCGTTGCGCGGCCTACGGCCTTGTGATGCGCGCGGCAGGCTACTCCGCAATGCGATCGATGGAGGGTGGGACCTGCACCGGCGACAGGCGCTACGCACTCAACAAGCTAACAAGCTGCAACCTTCCAGACCCAGACACGTCTGCAATTCACGATAGAACCTAACCGGAAACAAGTGCACCCAAAAGAGGGCCCTCTCCGTCTCGGTTAGCAGCCGAATCGCTTTAATTGACAAGGGCACGCCCCCGAGCGTGTTGGCTCGCTATTATTATAGGATGAAGCGAAAAGAACTCAACTCCCGCATTGCAACGCTGCCCCGGTGGGCGGTGAGAGGGAGAGCCTATCTACAAGAGACTAGTGACCCTCTGCCAAGTTGTGGCGCTGCCTGCGGGGGGAGGCGCACGACTGTCGGCAGGTCGTCTGCTTATGGAAAGGCACTTTTATATATCTGTCTTGTGTTGATCCTCGAAAGACCACTGCCCTGCGCGCCTTTTTTTGTCGGCCATGATTTGATCCCACCTGCGATTTTGCGTCTGTTTTTGGGTAAGATATTCCTGCCATAGCGCTCGGGCGAGGAGTATTCCACACAACAGCAGCAGCAACAGGGGTGTGCGCGATGTTGTTGGGACTCGCCGTACGGTGTGCAAAAGAATCAGCTCCATACTTCTCGTATGTGGAGGCGACAAGCCCACACGACTACCCCACGTTCTTCAAAGCAACTTTTATTTCTGTAAGTATCTTTCTACTCCTCCTAATCCTATACTTTTCTTGAGCGATGAGATTTGCTTTGCCTCCTCTTCCAGACTTTACCTGATTTCATGCAAAAATGCATTTGCATGCCAAATTTTCATTTTGCGCTCGTCCTGTGCAAATGCGATATCGCTATTTTCTATGAATTCGAATATTGCGTTTGCGAGAAGTGCAACACTTTTGCTACATTTCATATTCCTACGCACGCGACAGCTTTCAGGACGTCGAAACGGATTCTGCAAGCCGCTCTCTTCGTCTAATATTGGAAAAACATGTCTGTTTTAGTGTGGCCAGGTTGTACGGTCATGACACCATGTAACAACGTCTTGCGAGACAGAGTCCCATGATTCCTTTTGTGTCCGACAACATCATGTGTGTTTTTATGTGTAGTGAGGCCACCGAACGGCTCTAGCCGGCAAAACGGCCGGCAGTTTGCCATCCAGCCAGCAAAACGGCCGGCAGTTTTGAAGCGGTCGGAAGTAGGGTTTTTGCACAACTGAAAGGCTCAACTATCAAGCGGCCGGGGCTCTAATAACAAACGAGCTCGAGCGACCTCCAATTCTGTCGGTTGGCGCTTGATATAACGACGCAAGAGAGACGGCAAAAGGGGCGCCCTTCTGAGGCGCCCACCGCCTTGGTTTCGGGCGCTTTTTGGCGCCCAAAAGGCTCCGCAAAAGAAGACCGCGCAAAACTAAGTACACCGCGACTTCGGAGCATTGATTGACTGCCGGCGACCGCGAAGGTGGCCGCCTTTTCGCCAGCTGCCAAGCCTGCGAAGCTCTTCAAAACGCACAGCAGAGAAAAGCGAAAACGCAAAAACAAAAAAGCGCGTCACACTCATGGAGCGGGAGCCAGCCCGCACACCATGGGCCCAATTTTTTCCGTTTCCTGGGCCCGCCCCGGCGCACCCGCAGCGAGCCCATACTGTCGGGGTTGGCTTCCGGCCAGAAATTCTACAAATTTCCCAAAATAAATTTGCGACGCTTCTGAGTCGGCCGTCAGCGATTTCGCGCGGCGTAGCGCCAGTGTGGCGAGCCTGCAAAAACCGACTTTGCGGCAGGCCCGCGGCCATGGTGGAGGCGCGAAAATGCCCATCGTCTCATTACCCCCGCGTCCGCCCCGCCGGCTGTAATATAATTTGGCGCGTATCATGTTTTTGTTTTCTTTTTGTGGCCGCTGCATCAAGGCGCGGGCGCCGGGATCCACCGTGCGACGAGGTCTTCGTCTTGTAGACTAGTTTCAGGCATTAGCCACGCTTGAGAAGTCCTCTCCTGATGTCATTCCGAGGGAATTTGTCATGGTGGTCGCCCGATAAGTCGTTCACATCAAAGCAGCCACTTGCTTTCTGGGATTTCACCCTTCATGAGCTCGAGCCGCGGCGTGAAAAGGCAAGAACTTCACCTCTACTACTGCTTCTATGACGGTTTTTTATATATAGCTACTCCTACAACAGCGCTGGTGGTGGAGCTACGATTGGTATTGTGCAGCACTGCGCATGTTGTTGGGCGCACGCGTCTTCTTGCTTTAGGTGGTAGCTTATGGGATTCTCAAACGTGACACTCATACCTGTTGCGTGATTTGTACTGCGGAATTACAATCAGCATTGAAACGATCAAGCTACTCCGCGTGACAAATTATCGAAGGGCCAAACAGCATAAAAATCTGATCCAGATTTGTAAATGCAAGCTAAGACTATTTACTTGACTTTCGCTACTCTTGCGATGCGAATTCCGCCATACTGCAGCTGGTGCACCACAAGAGAGGCTTGCGCTTGGGCTTGGAGTAGTACGAGAACGCGGAGCCCTATTCTACCGAATCTTCAATCGTCGTAAACAAGCCAACACGTCCGAGGCAGTCGACGAAAAAGATGAAAGACAAACACTATTAAGACAGCTACTCATTTCTCTAAGTGACAAATTATCGCTACGACCAGCGGTAGCGGGGCGGATACTGGTGTGAAGTTTGAGTGAGATCACGTCGCTGTGTGTTGTCTCTTCTTATCCTGGTTTCTATTTCGTTTGTTGCCGACGTCGTTGAGGGGCTACATGATGATAGCGGAGCCACAGTAGAGCTTGACACAAGCTGACACGGCTACTTCGGCACGCCAAAAGGAAAAGCTCTGTGCCGCACTGTTTTTGTGTTGCTCTTGGTTTATTAATGAGAGCGAAAGCACATCCTAAGCCTAACAGAGAGCGAAGAGGTCAGATGCCGCTGATTTCGTGAGCGAGGAAATCATGTCGCACGGAGTCCAGGTGGATCGACTAAATTCAAATTGCTAGCAAAATCAATGGGCTTGCCGCGCGATTTAGAATGCGGGCACGGGTACGCACATCAGGAGAAGTTGATCCGTGTCAATCATCGCGCTTGTACGAGTATGGAACACGCTATGGAAAGACCCTGCAGAAGCTGTGACAAGCACGGATAGGGCCGCAGTTTCTTGGAGCGCGCACGGTGCGCAATGTTGCCTTTGCGCCTTCTATTTTGCCGGCGCTGTGTCGTCGTCTCCTGTGTAATCTCGCTCGCGACCTGGACACCCGTGTCCGTGTTCTCGGTCGATGCCGATGCTCAGCACAGGAGCAATCACGTCGGCGGCGACGAAACTAAAAAGCACGAGGAGAAGAACCAAGATCACCACGGCGACGGTCATCACGGTCATCACGATCACGGTCATCACGGCCACACGACCAAGTTGGCCGCTCATCACGGTAATCAACAGGAGAAAAGGCAGGACACCAAAACCAATTTGGCCGCTCATGACGGTCATCACGATCACGGCCATCACGATCACGGTCATCACGGTCATCACGGCCACACCAAGTTGGCCGCTCATCACGGTAAGCAACAGGAGAACAGGCAGGACACCAAAACCAATTCGGCCGCTCAAGACGGTGGTCACACGAGCGACCATCACGGTGATCTTCAACAGAAGAACAGACACCACAGCAAGAGCATCGCCAAAACGCACGACGGCGGCGGCCATCAAAACGGCGACCACGTACACACGAAAAACAAAAATCGCGCCAGCTCTGGTCCACATAGCGCGCTGGCCCGACTCAAGACACTTGTTAAAAAACCTACGACGTCGGCTTCCACATCCGCCTCAAGAAAAGGAAATGTAGCTTCCCGCGCCGCCTCCGCCACAAAAAACGTAGCTTCCCGCACCGCCTCCGGCGCAAGAAATATAGCTCACCGCACCGCCTCCGGCGCAAGACATACAGCTCTCCGCGCCGCCTCCGCCTCAAAAAAAGCAGCTTCCCGCGCCCTGTCGATGGTCGCGCGAGGGCGGCGGGGACTGATGGAACGGAAGGCAGCTTAGGGGGGAAAACCGGGCGTGGCGACGTGGGTTCCGCAGCAATTTTTGCAAGGCCACGCAAGTGGCCCCCTTAGGGCGGAAGGACGCCCCGCTGCTCTGTCTGACCAGCTTGTTGCAATAACAAAGCGCAGCGAGCGCGCAAAGCCCCGGCCGGGAGTTCGGCTCAACATTTCCCAAGAATTGCGAGAGCCGGCGCCGAGGGCTCCGCCTTGGCGCGCAGTGCGTGGGGTCCTTGCCAGCCAGGCTTTTTCGCCAACGTGCGGGCGCCTGGTCGGAATCAAGCAACAGAGAGAAGCAGCTGCGCCAACGCCATATCATGGCCGGCGCGCTCATTTATAAATTTGCAGCCTGTAGTGCTGGGCCTCGGGCTCGGGCGCTCCTGTTTTAAGTACAAATCTCGCAGCACTACAACCATGGTTCGACGGGCTCACCCAAATTGAAAGCGGCGCCCCCGATGCTGCACACAGTGAGGCCACAACACGCAAGGCGCCTCTCTCTGTGTCTGTCGTTGCGTCTGTGTGTGAGCAAGCTATAGCTTCGCCGCTCTGTAATTTCTGACTGAAATAGAACACGGCAACGCAAGAAGAGCCACCGCGCCAAACCTCAGGCCGCTTTCGTTCATGGCCCGGCTGCCTCCTTGCGGATGGTCCTTTCTTTCGTTGCTTGCCTTTCCGCGCGCCCCACGCACCCCGTCCCCGCCCGGATATGTGCCTATGTCGAGCGCCCCGGCCCGGTTGGGCGGTGTTTTTCTTTGTGTATGGCCTTTCTCCGGCGCCCGGCCGGGCGTGGGCCCGCCTGCGGCCCCTTTCAGACAGAAAGGCCCGCCTGCATGGGCCCCCCGCGGATCTTCCGTCTTGTTGGCGAAACAACAAAGGAGGCCGGGAAAGGGTTTCTGTTTGTTTCTAAGGGCGGCGCCCTTTTCTGGCCTCCCCGAATCCGCTTGGTAGGGCCAGTTGCGGGCCTGGCGGGCGCGCGGCCCTTTTGGAAAGTTTGGAGGCTATTTGGGGGCGGTCTAGAAATTTGGGCCTAGGGATGGAAAATGTAGAAAAGCTTCATACCTATAACGTACTAGCTAGCATGGGCGGGCATTGTTCTGAGCAGGATGGCGCTCATTGTTTGCGATTTTTGGCGTCCCCACTAGTATGTAGTGAGGTCACCGAACGGTTCTAACCGGGGAGTTTTTTTGCCACCTACCGTGAAAAACGGCCGGCAGTTTTGAAGCGGGCGGAAGTGTTTTTTGACAGAAAAAATTTTCAATTATCAAGCGGCCGGGGCTTTGATATCAAACAAGCCCGAGCGGATTCTATCGATTCGCACTTGATAAAACGACGCAAAGGAGCCGCCAAAAGGGGCGCCCTTCTGAGGCGCCCACCGCCTTGGTTTCTAGCGATTTGGGGCGCCCAAAAAGGGGCGCGCAAAAAACTCGCCCAAAATCAGAACAGCGAAACAGCATGGCGCGGCCCCGATTTCGGAGCATTTTGGGCGGCCGCGAAAGTGGCCGCCTTTTCGCCGGTTTCAATCAGAGCCTGGGAAGCTTTGCAAAAAGCGCCGGCGCGAAAAATAAAAACGCGAAAAAGAAAAAGCGCCCCAGACGCGCAATACCAATCCGCATGCTATGGGCCCGATTTTTCTTCGCTTTTTGGGCGCCCTCCGTGGAACCCGGATCGGCGCCATAGCATGGGGGCTGGGCTTCGGAAAGGAATTTCGAAGATTTGCCAAAATTTGCAACGTTTCTCGAGCGGCCGCCATACCGTGCGGCATAACGCTACTCACGGCGGTATGGCGGGCCCAGAAAAAGCAAAGCCGCGGCCAAGGCGGCGGCCGGCAAGAAAACGCCCACGACCTCACTACCTCCGCCCCGGCGGCTATATTTGGTACGGTCGGACCGTGCTAGAAATGCAGCCAGCGACCGCGCTAGAAGTGCCTACGTGGGCGAGCAGGTGAATATATATCCAAAAAATGGGCCGCATACTTCCAATTTCGAAATATGCGGCCCAGGCCGCAGGGGGCGCCGGGATCAATGGGGCACGGAGAGAAAGAGCGAGGGACGGCGCCGGGGCCAAGTTGCCTAGCTAGCACAAAGCCCAGGGCGTTCACACGCGGACGGCAGCCCCGGCGAGAGCGGAGGGGCAAAACTTGCAGTGCCTAAAGTAATATACCTCTCGTTCGACTTTACCTGTGGGCGCTTTTCTACTTGATTGAGCTAGCACCCTCGGCAGAAAGTCGCCCGGCAGATTTTTCATATTGCTCCGGCAAGAGTTCAAAGCCCTTGCCCCTGTGCCGGCCCCCATGCCGTGGGCGTGGATGAATGGCGCAAAGGTGTTGCGAACTAGGGAACGCAAACCGGTTTTGGGGTAGGGTTGGGGGATTAATAAATGCCGCGCGTTCGCTTGCAACCAAGAAAGGTTGCTGGCAGGCGGCTGCCGTTTTTTCTGAGGTCTCGCCGTCGCGACGGTATCTCGCTCCCTCCGCGCGCAACCGGCGCACAGGTTCAGGCCTTGTGTGTCCATAGCGAGTGGGGACACCTGAGCGAGGGCGCAGCCGGGGAATAGAAGGCTGCTGCAGCTTGTGCTGCAATTACAAGGCTAAGACAGCTATGCTAAGCCGGGCACTCCGCCCGTCCTAGCAGAACAGCTGAACGCGCGCACATGATGTCGGCGGACAGGGGCACTGCTTTCATGATGATGGAACAATCACCAACATCCGTCGGCCACGAGGATTCAGATAGTTTCAGCTACAACACGAATACAGATAAAATTTGAATTAGAAAAGATAAACATAAAGAAGGGAAAAATAAAGAACAAAGAGCCTCCTACTTCGGCTTCTCTTAAAACCAAAAGCAACTATTTACGCGCGCGCCCAATAGAAAAAGCTTCGGAACCCACGGCGTCGCGCTCGGTTTTCCTCACCAAGGAGCGGTCTGGGACCAGATCACCAAAAACCCAATTGCGAAGAAGGCCCTTGACAAATGGGCCAAGGGGAAAAAGCGTGGAGCAGACATGTTGAAAAAATTGAGGAGGTGGATCATTCTCGCCCGCAGTGACCGCCATCAACCGCCCTCATTTAAAGCGCTCGCCTCGACCATTTTCAAGAGGAAGGGCTCCACTCTCACAGCAAGCCATAGGCATGGCCACGACATCAAACTCATTAAGAGGATGCACACGGCCGCCCAGGTGATGGGGCGCTTTCTGAAGGATGTCGAGCGCGCAGCAAAAATGGCGGCGGAAACCGAACAACGGACCGGCTCGAAGGCGGAAGCCGAAGCGGCGTCACTACTTGAGCTGGGGATCTTGTCAGCGGATTTTATGAAAAATGCCTGCGAGTCCTATTAGACCCGCACTACAGCAATCGCATTGGTCCTGTCGCTCGTACTGGTCGCCCCCTTTTGGCGTGGCGCCAGGGCCCCGCCCAAGATGACCTGCCCAGCGGCCTGCGCCGCTTAGTCTACCCCGCTCGCGTCGCCGCCCCTTCGCATCTTGGAAAGTCGTGGTCGCATCGAGCGACCAAATGCTCACTAGTAGTAGGGGAACACCTACGCTTTGCGCTTTATCAGGCACTTCTTGCACGTTGTGCTCCGGCTTTCGCCACGTGGGACCCCGTGGGCAGAAGAGAGGCACTTATCCACACACGCGCCGCGCCCATTTCTAGCTAGGTACAATCTAGGTTGTCTTCTTATTCATTTTCAATCGAGCCACTCCTAGGCTTAGGCTTAGGTAGGCCGCCACGGCCGCCGGCACGGGATCGCTGTCGACGGCGACGCGTCCGTCTCCCCTTCGATCTCCGACTTCTTCGGCTGCACAAGTTCGATCCGGAAGTGTTTAGTTTAGGTTTCAGGGTTTACGTTTAGGCCGCGCTGATTCATTTTCAATCGACCCACTCTATAGGATGCGCACGCCCACAATGTTCAGCTCGCTACGCGCCCACAATGTTCAGCTCGCTACGTTCGCTACGCTCCTACCCTAGGATTTTAGTTTCCAATATGAAAAACCGCGCCTGTAGTGTGGCTTTCGACAGAGAAAAATAAAAATCGGCGCACGCTAGCTGGTGGTGTGATCGCTTTCAAGTACTTACGCCCGTATAGAGCGCTACTGCTCCAGGGTAGGGGCGCCATTCCATCAATAAAACCGCTTCGCGCTGCATTCTAAGGGAACTGGTCAGTGAATGGAAGTAGACACGTAACAGGATCAGTTAGCGCCGAAATAAATCCGTCAAAGTCGTCCCGGTCAGAGAGGACGAGGATCAGAGCACGCCTCAAGGGCTGGCGCGCGCGCTCGTCTTGCGTCATCGCTGAGGGGCAGGCGAATGCCCTACGTAGATCGCAGCAGCAGGCGCGTGCTCGCGTATCCTCTAGCGGCAGCGTGGTCGGAATGTGTTGAAGGGGGCCGGCAGCAGCCAGCCACTCACTGCGCTCGTATGGGGCTCGTATAGGTCCGACTGCTCGTATCTGTTGGGCGCCTCGTATTGGCCTTGCGTTCTCATAAAATAAAAATCCACTTCGTGGTCACTGGCATCCGTAGGGCACGACTTGTGGAATATGGTCACGAGCGCAGTCCAGGCCATTCAGACTATGACTTCAAAGCTCGCGGAGTTCTTCGGTAAATTGCTTACGTGGGTATTTCCCCCAGAAACGGATGACTCAGAAAAGAGCGGAGTAGCAATGAAATCCTTATCCGCCCCCCCGGCGGATAGAATTAAGCGGGGGGGTGGCCCCTCCCGGTTTTTCCGCCGGCGGGCTGTCCTTCCGGAATAGGCCCTATGAATTGGCTTGGCCCCGGCGCCGTTTTGTATTTGTTGAGGCCGAGGAGCCCCGGGTAGACACACAGAACGTTGCCGGTGCTTCCGACCGGCTTGTCCAACGCGATAAACACACAGGAAACTGCCAAACCACGTCGCACCATGTGGATTGATGGAAGAGCAAGAAAATAAAGAGCCGCAGCACGCCAGTGCCTGCCACGCAAGCAAGCAAAGCAAGGCGTTAGGGCGTGGCTTTGAGAATTATCCACGCGCAGAAACTAGATAGTCGCGCATGTCCTTGCATCCTGTGCAAAAGTATCGCACTCGTATAAATGCTACCGCTTTTTTTGCATGAAGCCACTTAGAAGTTGGTGGGAGGTTGTTGGGAAGTCGGTGGCGAAGTTGGTGAGAAGCAGGCGGCGAAGTTGTTGCGAAGTCCGTGAGAAGTGGCGGCACGTGTTGGCGTCGTCATCGCCTCGGCCGAGTGTCGCGGCACGTCACTCCGCCGCGGCGCGTTCTATCCCCCTCGCTGCTTGCCGCTGCAGCTGCAAGGGCTGGAAAGAGCTGCGCTGTAGGTAAATAGAAAGACGGCCACTGCCGTTTTTCTTTTAATTTATTTGCAACGCTGCTCGACCAGCTCGCGCGACGGCTCCACGCACGAGACCATACAAAAGAGGCGGCAGAAGCTGCATCTGTGATGGCTGCACGCGCAGACGCCTTTCTGATGGTTGTGCGCGCGCGACGATGTGGTGCTGCACGTCGCGCGGGCGCTGAAGTTATCCATTTATATAATTAATTGCTGGACTTTGAACACGCCTGCCACACTGAGTGACTAAAGCCTCTACCTAAGCAGGTCCCTCAATCATTTCGAGCGCTTCAATCTCTCAGCAGACCGGGCGAAAGCCTCTGGCTGCGTTGCATCCTGAGGCAGGGCGCAACGTCATTCAAATTCATCGCATGGAACTGCCCCGATCCTGGTCAGAGTCAAGTGGCTAAAAAGCATGGGAGTACCCCCCTCAATGCTGTCGGTATAGTGCTCAACCCTAACGGGAGCCAACCCCCTTCAGGGTGGCCATTCTGAACCTCTAGACCGAGCGGAGTCCCTTCATTTCGTTACGATCGTGATGGCTTTGCCTTCGTAGTATTTGGGGGACTCGGGTCAAATGGCGAAGAGATTCCTTAGGGATCTAGCTAGTTCAGGCCATTCCGGTCTTGTCATTTCATTGGGAGCAGGCATCTCAGATCGTCTCGAGAAGCTTCAGGCATGGTTGTGAGAGGGTTCTGATCACATGACCAACATTAATTGCGGAGCTACGTATAATCAATTAAAGCTAACGAGTTTCGCAATTAATAACAAACGGGCTTTGTTTTCTTTCGCTAAAAAACGCAGTCTTGCGTGAAGCCTACGCGGTTTATAAAAATTTTTTCACTCGAACTTCTCAACAGCTTCTCAACAACTTCTTCACAAACATCGCCACGAACATCCGACCAGCTTCCCGAATTTTTACAGGCTTCATGCAATTAATTTTTACGAGAAAATCTGCTCTGACAAATTAATTGCGTGACGCCTCCAAAAGATCACTTGCGGGAGCCCGAAAGCTTTCAGCGGCAAGGCGCGGCCGAAGTATGCACAACCAAGCTTAGTTATTCGCGACTGCGCAAGCGGCCACGAATCGAGATGCAGGAAACCCTTGAGACATCGCCTGCAGGCTGGTAAAGAAATCCGCGCGCCTACAATTCAAATCCGCATCAATTCCCCGAACAAACTCAAACCCGACCGCCGACTCCCGCCAACTTCTCAGCATCGGGCTGGGAAGTTGGTGAAAAGGCTGGGGGGAAGTTGGTGGGAAGTTGGTTAGAAATACGCGAGAAGCTGGCGAGAAGTTGGCGAGATGTTTGGCGCAGAAAAAAGGGGGATCTATACGAGTGCGATACTTTTGCACAGGATACCTTGGGCCCTTCTATCTAGGCTATCTACCCGGAAAAGCTCCGACGTGCCATGTCGGGGCTTTTTTGGGTTTGTCAATACATAGATGCTCGGGCATCATCGCGGGGCAGGTAATAGCTATCCACAGATCGGGGTCGCACAAACATCGAGGACGTGCACAGGCTGGGGACTGGTCGCAGGCGCAGGCACCTTGTCGGGGCTGCAACCAAGGTGCCGCTACCTCCCAAAAACCCCGCGCAAGAAATTAATCAGCACCCAGCCCGCAACGCACGCCCGTGCAGGGGCCCGGCCGGCGCTGCTGCCCCATCCCCGGCGCCTAGGCGCAATGAATGTCGCGCGGCGTGGCGGCCGGGGGTGGTAGCGGGGGTGGTAGCGGGCTCGCTGCGGCTTGCCCAGATTGATTCACAATCCGCCGCGCTCGGCCCCGAGGCCTGTGCGGCGGGAAAACCTCACTGGGGCACGAGAAGGGAACGAAGTGAGAAAGCCGGGAACGGGAACCGAGACGAGAAAACGAGACGCCGCACGGGCCTCGAGGCGGGCCCGTTTCGTTTGTTTTTCCCATTTCGGGCGGGCACTTGCGCAGCGTCGGAAAGCTAGAGCACATAGGCCGGCAGCGGCATGAAAAAAAAAAAGCCGGCGAACAAAACTAGAGCGGGCCAGGCTGCCCCTGTCGCCGGCCCACGCGACCCATCAACATCTCAGTGAAAAAACACGGCCAGCAGGGCGGGAGTTATTACTTAGCGCGCGCCGTGGCAAATATGTCAGCAGTACGGCCCGGCGCGGGGGCCAGGAAATGGCTGCCCCCCCCGCCCGAGGGCCTGTCCCGGTAGAATATAAATGAGTCGAGCACACCACCAGGGGGAATTTTACCAAACACGGCGCGCGGCATTTATTAGAGCCGGCCCCGGAGTGCGCACGCAGGCGCGCAGCCTCGGGCGTTGTTGTGGAGCGGCCTGTCCCGGTGCGTGGCCCGATTGCCTGCAAAAGCAGGCAAGCTCATGGCGGGCGGCTTGGGTTTGCGCAGGTGCACCCCTTCGAAGGCGAGCGCGCGCAAACGAAAAACCCTGGGCGGACCCGGCGCCGCTAGCTGCAGCAATGTGCGCCCCAGAGCAAAGCGACATGGCCTAGCAAGTTGGCACACAGCTCGAAAGCGCGAGGCGAGGGAGCCCGTTGGCCCTCGCGTTGCATCTGATAGGATTTTACTGCTGTGGAGCAACTTCGGGCATTGCTATTTGCTTGGCCATTTCTTGCGTGGCGAATTTCCCAAGCGCTTTCGCCTTTTGTGTGGCGGATAAATATCCGCTGGCGTGTCTTCATTTCGCCGAAATCAATCCCGGCAGTGTTGTCACTTCAGTGTGGCCACTTCAAACGCAGCGCCTGCTACTTTTCACAGAAACATCACAAAGGCCGCCGGCGTCATGCCGTCCGTCGGTCTTTGTGGTGCTTGGAAATCTGCCCGCAGCATGCCGCATGCCTTGGGTATATCAAGGCCTGGCCTGGCCTATCCGCCCCTGGCCTATCCGCCGGGGGGGGCGGATAAGGATTTCACTGCTACTCCACTCAAGCGCCGCGGTGGTCATCCGCTCGGTGGTCGACGCCGTGGCTCCCGCGGGTACATTAGAAAGCCTGGCGAAGTCTGTGTTGAGAACCTTCGCGGGCGATATGGCACGGTCGCTGGGTCTCTCGGACGTTGTCGATAATATCGTGGACGTTGTCGACAGTATGCCCCTCAATGTCGGAAAAATCATGCTGAGCATAGCGCAAGACTTTATGAACGAGGTTGCGGGACAGGTTTACAGAGGTGTGCGCGAGGGGCTCACTATAACCGAGAGTACAGAACAAAGCAATCTGGACGAAGCGCAACAGAAATTCGCAGACGAAAAGAAAAGGGAGAGGCAAGGGAAGGGAGACAACGAGAACGACAAACAGAGGAAGAAACGCCAAGGCAGCAAGAAGAAAGAAACGGCTTCCACGAAACCCAGAGGTAAGGCGGACATGCCCGGGCGATGTTTCATTCTATTTGGTAGCTTCAGAGAAGTTCCACCAAGCGATGGAAAGTGTAAAAAAGCAGCATAGAAGCTATAAAGTGCTGGCTAGCATGGTCAGACGCTCTAATAAATAGCAGCAGGAGCAGCGCGGCCAATGTGAATGTCGTGAATATTTTGCATTTTTTGCCGTGCTAGCTAGCACGGTCGAAGCGTGGTAGGATTAGGAAACCCGCCAAAAACAGGAGCGCAGCAGAGTAGCCAGCTGTTGGTGGTTGGTTTGCACTTTTTGCGCAGGTCCGTAGCACGGCCTGGGCGTGCTGCGAAAGAGGCTAAAAGTCGGAAATTTTTCCCGTCCCCGCGGCCGGATCGGATTTTCGCAGTCCACGAAATACAAAACGCCTTTTGCAAAGATCCGCTACCTAGGCCGGCGATTTTCGAAAAATGCACGCGCTGCTAGCGCGACAAATGCCAACGCTGGCGCCTTTGCTTTTCGCAACTGGCTGAAATTCTCGCAATTTTCCCTGCGAAGCGGTTGCCCGGCTTGGCGCCTCCGCCACGTCCCGGCTGGGAGGGTGCATGGTGCTCGGCGCGTGCTGATAGCGCCTATGCGGGCAAAAGAGCGAGCACATGCCCACAAAGCGGAGTATCTATATACTCGAAAAGCCCCACACTCATGCGCCCACTTTTTTGCGCGCGTACGCGCTAGCAGCGCCAGCGCGCGGCGACTGGTATTAAATCGGTTGCGCGGCCGCCCGTTCTCGGCGCGACGCCTTTCGATTATTTCGGGCCGACAGTCCGAAAATAAGTAAAAGCCCTTTCGAGGTCGAGCGAATACGTGTCACCGCGTGACGTGCCTACGAGCGCAAAAAATGGACAGACACAGAGCCACTCCCTCAGCCGCGTTCGGAGGTGCCATGGATTTGACCCCTGTCGTGCTAAAAGGAAATACGTATTGCAGGAATCGCATACGTGTCCGATTTGCGCGCAGGATGTTAAGCGTTTTCGCGGTCGCGCCAATGCGGCCCAGTCGCGAGGGTTGCTGGAATTCCGGAACTTTTGAAGGTTGGGGCCTATTTCTTAGCATGGTTCCTTCGGCCGTGCTAGAAATAGGCCTCAGATTCGCAATTAAAGCGCATGGCCTCGCTTGCGCGACCGCAGTGCCGTGCCAGCTAGTACTTTATGCCATATGACAAGTATAAAACTTTTTGCGGTTTTCCGACCATAGTTCGACCGTAGGTGGTCACGCCCCCGACTATCTGCCCGCGCGCGCGCGCGCCCCCTGCCCCTGCTGGACCTTCTGTGCGCGCGCGGGCGCGATTGTGTGCGCACACAGGACCACAAAAGAGGAGTCTCCGTGCGCGCACGCAAATAAGGGTCTGCGCTTCCGCATCAAGCTCAAATCTTCGCGCCAAATCGCGCGCGCGCGCGGGCGCGTGCAGAACTACCGCCGGCACACGTTGCGCCTTAGGCAATTTCCGCGGCGCGCCTCCGCTTGTGCAGCCGAAAACGGATGCGCAAGACCGGTCCCGGTCGTTGGTGGGTGTGTGTTGTGCCAGACACAGGGCGTTCGATCGAAGGGGGTCGCCCGCGGTCTTCTGAATCTCACTCTCAGCATTTGACAATAAGAATCGAACTGCTTCGCCAAAATCCGGAACGCAGCCACGCACAAGCTAGCAACTAGAAAGAAGGAACGCGCGGGCCTGTCGACCTGACGCTGACCAGGGGTCCTGGCGGTGTTCCGGTTAAGCAACAAAGTGCCGCAGGCTGCTCCGCCAGAGATGGGGAGACGAACGAGCATGCCGCCTGCGTGTTCGTTAAGGACTCGAAAGACACAATCTGCACAAGCTTGTTGGACAACTTCTACGAGAATGTCATCGGCGTCGCTTGGGGAACAATTAGGGACTCCATCAACCAATTCCTGTTGAGCCTCGGAACCATGATTCTGCACTTCGTAGAGTCAAACTTTTTCCAGGGTTGGGAGATCCCTGGCGGAGAAGCTCTCGTGAAAGTTTATCTTGTTGAGACGATCGACGAAGAGGGTTTGAAGCCTGTCGCACACGCATTGAAAGAGCATGTCGAGGAAACAGGACAAGAGTTTTGCGATAAAATGTTCAAGGGGCTTGGCGCAGGAGAGATGCTGCAGTCTCTTCTAGTGCAGTTGATGGTGGCAAGTGGCGACAGCAAGATTCGGGATGCGATTCTGAAAACGAGCAAGTCAGAGGCGGAGAAGGAGGACGCGGCAAAGAAAGCTGAGGCCGAAGCAGAAGAAGAGCAACTGGCAGCGGTAGTGGGAACGTGCGCGGCCAAAATTGCTCACCAGCCCGCGGCGCTGGCGGACGGTATGGTTGACAGTTTCGTGAAGAGTCTGGGCGTCCACGTTGCGGGGTTTGCTCATTCAGTCTACTCTGATGTAATGGACGTGCTTGGAGATGAATTGTACGAACTTATAACGATGGCCGTCGAAAAACTGGGCGTCCAGCTTATTCCAGGGATTGGGCGCATTTATTTCATTCTGGAGCCGCTGTTTTACTTTATGAGCGCCGCGCTTGCCAGATTTATAGCCAACGCGCTCGCCGCTGCCGAGGAGCAAGCGGAAGCACCTGAGAAAGCAATGGCCACGTACATCGCGAAACAAGTCAAGGGCCTCCTCTATCCTACGTAAAAACGTCACCGCCCCAGAGTCGTCATGCAAATCTGCAAGCCTCAAGTGGTCCAGTCCCCTGTCTGAATGGCGTTACGGCTTAGCGGAGAGTCTCGCCCCTTAGCCAAAGGGGTGCGCCGTCTCTTCCGTGAGAGCAAAAGCGTATGGCTTAAAAAGGGCGCGGTCCTGGGTCATCCTGTATATTTGGCTGTCGCACTTAGCTCACTGAAACTTGCTGGGCTTTATTGACAGGGTGTGGTGGGTAGGTCCAGGCCGGTCAGTAATTTTCTCGGGGCGAATTACCGGGTTTGCGACGGGCTTTTGGATGTTGAGGTCGCCGAAAGTGTTTCCTCGCCCACCCCCCACCCCCCCGGGGAGGGCATCCTTGGCCTGTGCCGCTGGGTGCGGGTGCCCACTGAATGATGACGATGCGCAAACCAATGAGCAGCACTTTCTCATGCTGTCTAGTACTTTTTGTTTTCCATGCTCTAATCAGAATAAGAGGGAGCTGGATTTGTGATGCGGCATCACTGCTAGCCAAACTAAACACCACTACACTGGAACAAGACCACCCGAACTTGTCATGCGCAGCAGGCGAAACATGCTGACTTGTGTAAGCAAAGTTCCCATCTTGACTATTGGGACGCTTTTACTCATCTTGACGATGTGTAGGTGTAGCAGAATAATTCCCATCTTAACCATGTTCTCATCTTGGGCACGTTTTTACTCATGATATCCTCGTCAACAGCGAAACAGGAAGGCTGCGGGAAGAGGTAAAAGGAATCGTGATGACGATGGCAAAGATAGGGGCTGAAATTCTCCTCGGTAAAAAACTCTCGTTGTCGACAAAACTCTCGTTGTCGTTCTTGTCCACGAACGACAACAACGAAAACGCTCGGTCGCTGTTGCCGGGACCGGCTCCAGCACCAGCGGCCTCTCTGGTTACAAATTTTGACGATGGCCCGGCGACAGCCGATTATAGCGGTTTTGGAGGGGGAAACGCCACCATTGCCAGTGCTTTTCCTGTTGTCCTTGATTTCAGAGCGCGCCACACTGGGAGGCGATCTCGGATATCGGTCGCGGGGGCGTCCGCCGCCATAAACTTCCGGGGCGAGCCGTTGTCTGCGCTGCAAGTACATGCATTGAAAATATGTCTAGGTCTGGAAACTTCTGATGCAAGGAAGGGAATAGTTAGACCTAGCACACTTTAGTGCGCTCCCCAGTATGACAAGTTTTTTCGTGGCTCACAGTAAAAGTTGCGTACTCCGCATGAGAAGCCGCGTTTTTGCATGACAGACAAGAGGACCTGTTCGCGGGCACGCAACACAGAGCTCAGGAGAGTCTGAGTCATGCCAGACTAGCATGACAAATCGCGCAATCTCCCAGACCCAGTAATATTTGCAGTTCATAAAGTATCTTCCGAGCCCGTTCTGCTCGAGTTGGGTTCCGCGGTGCCTGACAGGTGGGTACCCACCTCGTTGGCACAGGTGCATGACTCACAGGCGCCTGGCGAGGATTCGCAAACGAGCGATTGGAAAGAAGGGATGGAGGGCCTTCTACTGTAGTACTGGACCCCGCTCAAAATACGAGCGGCGGAATAAAGCTGCAGAAACCCTGATGAACATCAGACCGCTTGCCGCGTACTATGTGGCGCCAATTTATGAAAGCCAACCGCAACGCATGCGCCATGTCTAGAAAAAAGCAAACCGCAGCAAAGCCGGCCGCGCTTTGCGCTTTCCAACATTCGGGCCGCGGCATGAATTACTGGGGAAAGCTCAGAAAAGCACCCGCCCCTGTGAAATGTTAGGCGGGGGCCTGCGCTTCTCCTGTTTCGTTATTCGCGACGCCCGGCCCTGTTGATTTGGGGAGCGCCGCAGGCCGCGGGTGCTGGATCCCCGGGCGGAGACGCGGCCAGCGCGGGCTCTTGATGGGAATGCTAAGGGCGGGCGGCACGCGCTTCGGGGGCCGGCGGTTGCCTGCAGGACCCCCCCTGTGATTCCTCTCGCGCCCCTCTGTCCCGGCCGGCTTTGCCGGGCCGGCGACGGCCTCGGCGCGCGCCCGGCTATCCCTTGCAGTTAGTGGCAGGATGCCGCTATGGATCAAGCAAGGGGGGGCCGCCCGAACGGGGAGGCGCGCCGGTTCGGAGCTGCAGCGGGCAAGCATTGCCGGGCCCGGGGCCCGAGAGAGTGTTGCGCGCGTTCCCATCGCCCCCCCCGTCATTAGCGACGGATGGAAATCGTCCAGAGGCTGCTCCCTACATACCAACAAACGGAACGCGCGGGCGCGCCCCCTCCCCGTGGCGCCCTCCCCCCCTGGCTAAGCACGTGAGTGCGTGGAATAGCGATGAAGCAGGAGGCCCGCGCAGCGCAAACGATGACGCTCCGAGAGACGAGAGGGCCCGAGTATGATCCGAGTTGTTCCATCTCGTGGCATGGGTTCCCTGTTGTGTTCACATCGTAGGCCGGCCCCCCCCTTTGTGAATGATTCGCAAAGGGGGGGGATGAGGAATCCATACGACCTAGCCTCCTTGACTAGTAATCTGAGTTGAATTCTTTACATTGCCTAACTTGGCCCGCCGACCTCTCCCGCCCTTGTGGTTAATGGGAGTTTATTTCAATTGCTGGCATTGGCAATTTTGTTTCTGTGTTGTTTCGTCGTAGTTTGTTGGCCTGGAACCCTAGCAGCGCGCGCCTAGGCAGCGCGCGCCTAGTCAGTGTGGACCAGTGTCGGCGCTGTCTTCTGTGTGGGAGGGGACAGATGTCGTCTGGAGACTGGTGCTGCCTACTGCAAGTAGTGGCTTCCGCGTTGCAGTCGGAGCCCATCGCATGTTCTGAGATCCCACGAAATTTGTGCCTGCCGAGAAATTGCGGCCTTCAGCAGGCTCGATGCCGGCATCACCCCGCCGGTGATCAGCTGCGGGCATGCGTTGCGGCCCCTACTTCGTCGCGTCTGCGTTCGTATTTGCACCATTTCCGTCCTCGGCCCTGCAGGCATCCGAGGACACCAATGGAGCGGAGCGAGCCGGGCCCTTCGCCTTCTTGGTCTCCCCGGGGGCCAGCCTTGTTTTGCTTCTGGGAAGGAAGTCCAAGGGAATGCCCTCGGGTTTTGCGCGCTCGCCATTGATTCGCACTCTCGGCCTGCCTCTTAGTGGCCGCGCCAGCCATTTTTCGTGTGCGCCCCCCAATTTGCGAGCCTGGTGGCCACGTTTGCCCCCTTGATGGTTGCCACCTTTGTGGGCTGTTGCGAGTGTGTTTCCTCTGGTGGGCTGGGTGCCCGGCATTTGGATTTGGGCGCGTTGGTTGTGGCTCTGCTGGCTTGGTAGATAGGTGCAGGCGTGCGACTTTTCCGGCGCTGCTCTGCCGGCCGGCCAGGTCGTGTTGCTAAGCAACTTGCTTGCCTGGGCTTACGCTTTCACTCACATTCCGCGACCGCCCGCCCCACCCTGGCTCCGGTCGGTCGTTGCCCTCTGCCGGGGCCCCGTCTTTTTTGGTCCGGTTCGTGTTCATCTCTGTGCGCGGCCAGGTTTTGTTCGTTGCCAGTCTTGGTGTGGGGGTGGGACGGAGGGTTGAACGTTGTGGCGAAACTTGCGGCAATTTGCCTCGCAGGTCTTTCGGGCGGGGCGGAACGGGAAACGCTTTGAACAAGTTAGCGCATGCAAAAACTACCGCAAACCTAAACCAAAAGGAGCGCGCCGAAGTGCCGCAAAAGGAAGCGACAAAGCAGCGCGTCGCCGGGTGCTTCTGGCGGCCGGCGGTCTTTGTTTCGGGGGGCCCTGCGAAAGGCTTGGCTCGGAAAAGCCGGCCGGCCACCGGGTCGTGCGAGTCAGGCAATGGAGAAGGCGCCCGGCGACAACCATGCGCCGGGCCGACCAAGCTCGGCAGGCCCCCCATCCAATTGGCCCCCCAGCGTGGTTTGATTGTCGGTCCTGTGTCGTCCCGCGCACGGCGCAACCCAAAACCGCCCGCCACGCCATTTCCGCCCCCTCCTCCCCGAAGCCCCTGCCCCGGCCGTGTCGGTCGTGGTAGCTTCTAGCAAGCCTCGGCCGGGGCTTGTCGTTTATTCTCGTCTTTTTCATTCTCGTCTTTTTTTTTTGGTTTTGCGCGACCGCACCACCCGGCCGCCTCAGTTATCTTTTTATCTTCCTGCCTTCGACCAAGCAGTTTTTTTCTCCTGGGTTTAGGTTTAGGTAGGCCGCCACCGACACCGGCACGGGATGGCTACCGTCGCGACCGTCTCACCTTCGATCCAGCCACCGCCCTCATCTGCTACTCAAGATCGACCCAGAAAGGGTTTAGTTTAGGTTTAAGGGTTTAGGAACCAATTTTATCTTCCTGCCTTCGACGCCGCGGCGCCCAGAGAACCAGCCCGCGCTTCCGGCTTCTTCCAAATTTATTAGCGAGCTACGCCAGGCCCAGGGAGCCGCAGCCGAGCCGTGGTTGCAAGTAATGGAAGGAAGCGCGCCCGGGCCTATGGCCGGCATGCCAAACTAACAACGACGCGCCGGCGCACATATGGACCGGCCCGCCCGCCTGCGTGCGGGCGGGCGGGGCGGGCGGGGCGCGCGGGCCGGCGCATTGGCCCGCGTCCCGGGCTACCTGCGCCACCGCTTTGGCCCCTGCCTTTCCCCCGACCAGTGTGTGAGTGCCCAGCGAGCCAGCTGGGGCTCGGTCGCGTTGCGTCGCCCCTCCCAACTTAGCCCAGCGCGTGGGCGCCAGCTTCGTGAGGCGCGGCTGGGGCGCTGGGCTATTGCGCCAGTGTCTCACTCGGAGTAAGTTTCCGCCGCCTGAAAATCAAAAAATGGGGTCCAGTACTTCAGTAAGCACGAGGGGAAAAAACAGACTTAATGAAGCGATCGCAAAATTCATGAACGAAACGGAGCTATGAGCTTGAGAGGTCTGCGCCTGCTTCTGGTGTTTTTTCAATATAGAGGCACGCTCCGAGAAATGGCGCGCCACGTACTACGACGGGGCCACACACTATGAAGGGCGCCAGTTGCTCGACCTGGGTTGGAAATAGCTAAGCGTAAGCGCCTGCACTTCCACGTAGTGCGCCCCTGCGAGAGATATGCCGGGGAGCCGCTCCTTCCTTGGGGGAACCGCCCCTCCCCTGGGGGAGCCGTCCCATCCCCGGGAGATCCTCCCCCCCCACCGGGGGATCCTCCGTCCCTCGCCCCGGGGGATCCGCCCATCCCCGGGGGGTGTCCGCCGCTCCCCCGGGAGATCCTCCCTCGCCCCCGGGGCGGCGCAAATGGGGAAAGAACATCCCCGCCGAACCCTTTGGGGCGCGCGGCCGGCCCGCGCATGTTTCTACTTGTTGCGCCGGCCCCCCGGGCGAAGGCGAAGCCAGGCGCGGGGAATAGTCTGCGCAGCACCCCGGCGCCCCGGACCAGGCTAGCTACTTGGCGATCTGCGCGATAATTTGGCCAGAGTCGCCGCGAGGAGAATGCTGCACGCCCTGCCGAAATGTCCTGTGGAAGCGGCGCGGCTTGTAGCCTGAGACACGGCGCGCCCGGTTCCGTTGGTGTTGTGTGCTGGCAAGAGCGCGAAGCCTGTATCGCAGACGCAGTGTGGCCGACCCATAAAAAGCGCCGTCGTCTTGGCAGGCTTGGGTATATGTCGCGCAGCGCGCGTCCTGGTGATTGTTTCTGTCCGGCGGGCCCGTTTTCTCTTCATGCCCAAGCAAGATGATGATCTATGATTATCGGGCGGCCACATTTGAAAAAACCGGACGAGAAGGAGGCTCGTTAAAGCCTCTAAAATCTTTGCAGGAGTTTGGAGGGCGCATTACGAACAGAATATCGGAGACCATCAGAAGCGAGGTACAGGGCGCACTTGAGGCTGTCGTCAGAGATGCCGGAGGAGCACCGCTCGCCTTTGTCGAGAGTTTTTTGGGTGCCGGCGTGGCATTCTTCAGCGCCACCATGGCAGATACCATTTCTACGATGTGCGTCGCCGATGCCAAGGCTGCAGGAATCGAATCCCCAAAAATGCTTACGGCGGTCCAGCAGCATGTCACCCACAAGCTCGAGGAGTTTGCTGAGCAAGCAAAGGACATGCTAGAAGAAAAAGCGAAGGAGCTGCTTTTTTCCTTCGTGAATAAAATAATCAACAAACTCAACCCAGGGGACGATGTAGGGCCGGACTACGCGGGAATGCTAAAGCAAGCCATCGGGGCCCTGGTCCAGAACATTAGAGACCTTATTGACAAGTACAAGGGGAAATTCCAAGAAGATCGCGTCGACAAAGAGAAGGGAAAGGGTCTCGAAGTCTTACACGATGAAGAGAAAGCGTCACTCTCGTCGTCCTCGTTTCTGGATTACAGCAGGCAAGAAGATGGTGAGGCGGCCCCTTCTGTTGGCAGCGGAATTATCAGGGCAGGCAACGCTTACGGTGAGGCGGTTGGCGATGATCCGTCCTTTACCGATGAGCGCGCTGGTCATTATGGTCTTGCTGCGCAAAGTTCTACTTTTGTCCAAGGAGGGGGCGAGCCGCATGGTCGCGCCACGAATGGAGCTACCCCAGTTGGACCCGCGGCAGCGGCCGCGCGGCTTCGCCTGATGGTCGACGCGCTCGCGGAGACAGCTGAAGACGCCGCTGACGAGGCCCCGGCGCAGCAAGGCCATCACGAAGAAGAAGAAGCCGCTGGCGCACCGAGTACTTTTGCGAATGTGGGCGCCTTGCCAGCCGACACTCCGCCCGACCGCGACCGCTACGACGTGACGGCAATCCCAGCGACGCGCGTGCGCATGCAAATGAATGTGGTCGCGGATGGTAGTACTGTGGAAGAAGGACAGCTCTCTTCGCACACTCAGCAGGAGCCGGACGACGCGGCCGCGCAAACTTCCCGCGTAGATGAGTTTCCACCTGCGCCGCGCGGCGAGTTGGAAGGCCAGTGAGGGTTCACGCTACATCTATTGTGCTCGAACTTGCTTTCGGGCCCACGTCAAACTCAAATAGTTGTTTTCTCCCTACGAATAAAAGCACCAACGGAGCCAGCAGCAGAACGCTCTCTAGAAACCAATTTCCGTAGGGGAACCGGAACGAGTGTGATCGGATCAAAAATAGTTCGCCCTAAAGTCTTCCGACAAGCCGCACTGGTGTGGACTTCGTGTTTATTTTGAAGTTGAGTTTTATGCTGGTTTTCGTTTTATTTAACGATGATCTGCGGCAATGCACGGGCGGGGCTCTCGCAAAGAAATATCTCTAAACGCTCGCGATTTTCATTCGTCAATACGCCAGCGATGACTCGTTTTATTTGAGCACCTTCTTAGAAGAGCAGAAAACAAAGGCAAAACTGGCCGGCACAAGAAAAAGGCGAAAATGAGATACGAAGATAAAAAAACAGATCCTGTTTGTTTGAAAGTTAAAAGTACAATAATGGCGGAAAAGGAATCCGGAAATCTGGACCGGACAAAAAGAAGGGAGTCCGCCCCGGGCAGGGGGGGGTCCAGGACGGGGGTTCGGGATTTTCGTTTTCGTCTGTCCATGCTCCGGGTGCGTTTTCTTTCTGTGCGCGGGCCGCGCGGCCGGAACCCCGAAAAAATTAGCCAAAATTTAGCGGGCGAAATCGCCCCGCGCCCTCCAGCTGAGCGGGGGCGAGGCAATGGCGGCAGGCCGCGCCGCCCGCTTTGTTATGTAAGGAGCTAGCCGTAGCGCCACACCGCCGGCCGCAGCCCTAGCCGCCGCGGGCGCCAAGGCGTAGCGGCAGGCAGCTGCTCCGCGGCAAAGCAGGAGCCAGGACAAGCACGGCCCAGCCACACTTCGGGGCGTTTGTTTCGGCACACAAGAGCTGAGCCACAATGCGGCCCCGCCCCTTGATTGAATGCCAAGCCCAAGCCCAAGCCAGCGCGCCCGGGCCGCGCGCCCGGCGCTGCGCCTCGCCATGGGTTAAGGGAGTCTTCACTACTCCCACCGGCAACACACCGCGGAGCGAGGCCCGAGCGAGCGAGTAAAGCCACGGTGGCGGGATAGGACACAGCGCCGAAGGGTTGTCCTGCACGCTCGCACCACCACCCCCGCCCCGTTTGATTATGCAGCCCCAGCGCCTGGCGATCCTCGGGGCCCGGTTGGCGGCTATGGGAAACTAACATGCCCCCAGGACTTCGGTACGCCAGTCGTCATGCCGCACGTAGAAAACTGAAACGAACCTAGAGGACGAGTAGAAGAAACATTTAACTTTAAGGCCGCAAGCTCATTTGTATATTTTTTTCTTATTTGAACAAGGTGCAATAGTATAGCCAAGGCTCCACCACTTTTTCGAGTGGGTTTGGAACAAGGAAGCTCGAAAGCATCCCGAACCGAGACGCCAGCCTTTCGCAAGATTTTTTTTCAGGTGCTAGCCCAAGAAGTGTTTCAAAAACGTCACAAAGTGGCGAGAGTCTGTGCTTCAAGAGCACAAGCATAACAAAAACAAAGTGAAAAGGAAAAAACGCTAATCCTCAAGAAGAGGCAGCTGCAAAACGAAAACGCTAATCCTCAAGAAGTAGGCGCGTCTCATTTTAGTTTGGATGCAGAAAACCTTATCGCGGCGACGCAATGACTGGCGCCGTGCTAAGGCGTTAGCTCTTGAAAAACTCGGCGTCGTGTCCTAGATTTTTTTTTTTAAGTGTTAGAGAGAATGTCAGATTATATAGAGTTACAGGGTTTCAGGGTTTGTCTAGGGTTCCTAACTTTATTTTAAGCGTGTAGAGCAGATATACAGTTACAGGCGCATCTAAGTTGCGTGGTATGTAGTGAGGTCGCGAATGTTCTATCCTCGCGGTTGTTTTTTTGCCAGTCCTTACGCAAAACGGCCAGCAGTTACCAAGCGGCCGGAAGTGTTTTTTGAAGGCATGAAAAGTTTTCAACTATCAAGCAGTCGGGGCTTTGAAGTCAAACAAGCGTCACCCATTTCTATCGATTCGCACTTGATAAAACGACGCAAGGGAGCCGGCAAAAGGGGCGCCCTTCTGGAGCGCCCACCGCCTTGGTTTCTGGCGATTTGGGGCGCCCAAAAAGGGGCGCCAGAAAAAAGCCCAACGATACAAAAACCGCGAGTCCGCATGGTATGGGCACCATTTTTGCCTACTTCGGGGTCGCAAAGCCGGTCACCAGCAAAGTCGAGCACGTGCAAGGCGGGGAGCAAGCCAAAAAGTGCGACCTTTGAAAAAAAAAAAACAAGAAGCGCAAAGGCCGCCAAAAGCGGAAAGCCAATCCCCATGTTATGGGCCCGATTTTGGGGGCCGCTAGGGCCTGCCCTGGCGGGGCCATAGCATGAGTGGAAGGCTTCTCTTTTGGAACCCAAGAGGCCTGCCGCTTTGATCTGTGATGTCTACCGGTCGCCATGCCGTGGCGTATAGCATTATGCCCGGTGCCACGGTGGGCATGCAAGCAGCAGCCTTCTTGCTTGGAAGACTGACAAAAAAGCCGCTTTGACCTCACTACCCCCGCTGAGGCGGCTACTATTGGCAGATCGTTTTCGCGGCTTGGCTGGAGGGATTTTGCCCCCGGGTGTCCTTGTGCCTGGGCTAGGAGGTCCCTAGACGTGAAGGCCTGGAGTTGTTCTTCTTTCGCGCCTCTGAGTGGGGCCGGGGAAGCAGCCAGCACTTACGTAGTCTACCGGATTCATGACCCGGTTGCTTTGCGATGCTTTCACTGATTCCGTTTCATTCCCAGGAGATTGATGCTCCGCCCATTTCAAATGGACAGGAAAGCATGGTAGCTTGTTAGCGCGCTCTTAGTGCACCGCAGTGCCATTCCACCAAGGAGGACACTTCCCAGCGGGTAGAGCTACGAAGACATTTGAGAGCGACGCGCTTCAGGGCGTTTTCGAGTGGCGGGAGTTTGTGGAAGTTAGCCGCACAGGCATGGTGGGGATAGATACTGACCCCTTGACACCTAAAACGTGAGACTGCGCTCCGCCATATTTTGAAAAGAAAGCGCGTATCGAAGCGCAGTAGGGTTTTTTTGGATGGTGCCGGCTTTTTTTGGAAGTTGATAAAATTAGGTTTGTAGTGAACGAGTGCTCCCGATCGGACAGGCACGATCCCTACTATTGCGCAGTGGTGAGGTTAGCCAACATCGTCATCATCTAGTTGCTTCTAGCCCTGTTGCCGCTGATCTAGAGCCACGAAAACAAAGGTAGCAGCCTGCCACGCGCCCTGCCTGATGCCTGACAGAGAGGCCAAGTTTAAACTTTTGAGATGTAGTAATAGTATCCCGGCTCGTTGCGCCAGGTACTATTACTAATCTTCGATTCTCGTAGACTATAACACACCGCATGGAGAACAACCAGTGTGGGATCATGGCCTTGACTTATGCCACCGACCGCATAGCTGGCGGGCTTAGAATACCTACATCCCAAGCTCTGCCGTTGCGCCGGTGGTTGCGGTGCCGGCCGGGGGATTTGTTGGTGGAGCAGCAAAGCTCGATGATCGAGCGTGATGATCGAGCTCCGGTTGATCGGATCAAAATGTAATTTGGTCCGACGCCAGTGCCTGGACTGGTGTTGATGTACGATCGAAAGCCCCTAAACCTGCAACGCAGCATAGTAGCCCGTGGCTCCCTTTTAGTTCCGTGCACTGCGTAGAAGCGCCCCCTTAATAGATAAAATGCGTAAGTATGAGTGACGATAAGAACAAAAAGTCTACCGCGCGGATCGGTAGGAGAAGCAACAGCTTTTGTATTTTTTCGGTGCAAATCAAACCTTTCGTTCCTCGGAGAGGTATTTGCTTAGTTTTCGATCAAAGGGGAAAGATAAAATCCGAAATCGCTTGAGATCCGAAAATCGCTTATCATAACAGTTTCGCTTTATTGTGGTTTTTGTTCAACGAAAAATACAGTGTAGTTTATCTGGCGGGCTAAGCAATTACTGCAACCGAGCACAGGCACGCTGTGCCCCCTACCGGCCTAGTGGAAACGTCTTATGACCGTATAACCGTAGAAAGTTGATTGCTTCGGTTTGTACTGAAGCTGACCGGATGCTCCCGGTCGGACTGGCGCTGCCCCTATGGTTACCTAGTGGCTTGGGTTAGGTATCATCTAGTTGCTTCTAGCCCTGTCACCGCCCGGCTAGGGTGATAGACCCCCCACCGGCGCACGACGCAAGTCTTATGAGCCCATAACCGTAGTAAGCTGATAAGTTAGCTTTGTACTGAACCGGTGCTCCCGTTCGGGGTGCTCCCGTTCGGCCACGGGTAGGCACTACCCCTACCATTACCTAGTGGTTTGGGTTAGGTATCATCTAGCTGCCTCTAGCCCTTAGCCCTGTCACCGCCTGGCTAGGGTGATAGAAAGATAGCGACCTCCCACACAGACCGACAGACAGTCGCGATCAATGATCTTGACATACGCATAGTAAAATAAGACACACACAGACAGTGGTCGCGATCAATGATCTTAGCCTACCCATACGTAAAATATGTATATGTAGTTGATGATGACTAGTGCCAAGAATGAAGAATAGCAATAAGTACCGAAGTTCCGTTCGGTTGCGCCTCGCGTGGCTTTTGTTTTTGACCAGAGGATTTGCTGTGTCCGTTCTTGCGTCGTGTCTCTTTTTGCAATTTTAGTACTCCGGATCACGGTGCCTGTGCCTGCACCATGCCGACATGATAATTCAGAAATGGATCGAGATCCCCTCGCTCTGCAGTACTACCAGGGGAAATGAAAGATATTTCCCCCTTGTCGTGTCTGGTATCTATGATACTTTGCAGCACCCTGCTCCATACGTTTCCGATTTTTAGAATATGTGGTTTTCCTGGCACTGCAAGTGCTGCTGTAGCTTCATCAGGCATATAATTTGATGCAAACATAGAACTGAAAGGCGAAGTCCACCAGTCCAGCCCTGTGGCTATAAGTATAAGCAGTTGGGAGACCACATCTTCCGCGGCTACATTTGCACAGCACGAATCTAGGTACTTGCTAGATAAGTCAGTGGATAAAAAACCGAGCAGAATGAAGGCGAGATTTGCCGCGATCTACTGTGCTGCCGCGTCTGCGAGCACCAGTAGCAGCTCTGGCTTTCTAGCACCGTTCTCGTCGACACATTTTTCGCTGCCGGCGCAGCTGCCCATAATTGAGGCTGCAGCAAATATGAGAGCTACAAGTGGCTCATCCTCATCCAGTCTCCTATCCCTTGCAGATGTGTTTGGGTCATCTGCAAGACTTGTCATGGTCTGCTCCTGGCAAGAGAAATAAAAGATCTGTCATGCATGTTGCGCTACAGCGCTGCTTTTTTGCAAAGGACAAATTCACTTTGTTTTCAGGAAGCTTAGGCAAGTCCTAGTCTCGCTCAGAAACTTGTCAGCACTCGCGTTCCCACATTGGAGGTTGTTTGCCATTCGCAAAACAAGGTAGCGTCACAACTTGTTCTCAGACATCCAGAGATATTTGCAATGCATATCTCCACCGTCAGGGATCTGATTTTCATTTCTTCTCCACCCGCACACCTTACCCGGTGTCGGCCTCTGCCGCGCCCGTTGCTTTACGGCTTGGACGGCCATTAGATTTCTGCATGGTGAATTTCAAGTGATTTCAAGCGCTGCAAGATAATATTCATACTTCTTCGGGATATCGTGACCCACGCGATCAGGCAACTCCACAATGCCTCCGGTAATGGAAGAATCTTTCTAGCAGAAAAATGCGGCGTGGGGCGCCACAGTGTGTAGCTGCATAGTCAGCGCCGTACTCTCAGCCCGACGAGTTGCGAAGCAGCGTCGTGGGGCTGTTGCTGTTTTCGGGGTGCTTTGGATGGTCGGCCGAGCTCGGGCGCCTGGAGCTAGCAGGCGCCTTTTGCTTCGGTAAATGCTATTAAGTAGTTTACTGATGCGATTGCATTTTGTGGCCTTCATATTTGCTCGCGCGTACTCCAAAAGTTTGGCACTTTCTTGAGCAGATGCGAGGTCGGCTGTACTGGATTTGGGTTTTTGATTCCGGTGAATTTTAGAAATAGGTGGCAAAATGAGTGTTGGTTTTGTGGCGGTCTGGAATTCAGAATCCACCTGGGAGAACCTAAGTTCATCGCTGGCCGCAATTTACTAAATTCACGAAGTTCGCCGCTAACCTCACCGATCACGGCATAGCGTCGGAAACAGAGGCGCTGTAAACTTAAAGCGTTTTTTTGATACAATACAAATCTAAAGCGGTTTTCTGAAACTTAAACCGGCTTTTTTTGCACACAAGCCATCGCCGCCGTTGAATGGTGCTTGGAGTTTCGAAACAACCCCTGCCTGAGGGTAATGCAGCTGTTAGCTTTTTTGCTGTTTCTCTTTCTGTTTCCAAAAATTGAACCCCGGGGGGTTGAAGGCTAAAAAAAAAAGGAAAAAGTCATGAAGTCACCAGATGACTCACTTCGCCGTCGCCTCAGGTGGCGCAATAAAATTAATAAATTTGCTTTTAGGCCTGATATTAGTATTATGTGGGGGAGTGCCATCCATGTGGATGGATACGCGATCACGCACGCACTTGTGTCATCGCCTGTCTTTCTGCAGACCATTGGCCCGCCAAGCATTATACCTGAATTACCCACAAGATCAGCCCTGCGATCCTACGGCGCCCGTAAAATCACTGTAAATTCGGCAGCCCTATAACTAATGGGCACCTCTGCCGTGGCAGTTTCTCTGCGTGCGGATTTCGGCGGATCCTATTCTAGGGCTGCCGCATTCGGCGCCTCACTTCTGACCAGCACTGCCACGGCCTGCTTGCGGCACACTGGCCGGAGGGTCCGACGCGGAGGCAGTAACAGTAGTCGCGACATCGACTCTGTGGGGGAGAATAGCAGAACGAAAATTATCCGCAACACCGGCGAGCGCGCTCGTTTGCGTCGAGCAGGCGGAGGCAACGACAAGATGGAAGACGACTCCGACTCCGCGCCATTGCGGTCGTTCACTGAAAGGCAAAGACACGCGAGCGCTTCACAGGTTCATATCGTAAGCAAAAACCACCTCCCTCCCCACACTGAATAGGTCTACCACTGAAAATTTGTGCTGCTGATTTGTGGCCATAAATTAAATCGTCTCTGTCTTGCAAGAACAAGGCAAATCTACAGACTCCGCCAGGTTTGTACGCGGGCGATTTGTCATGTTGCAAGGCCTAGTAGGCTTACAGAGAAGGCGTCTGCCCTCTTATGTGCCTACACTGAAAGGCGTCGTCTCAGGCTTAGGAAGATCTGCCTGCGGTCCCCTCCAACTGCAAGAAAATAAAGATGACTGGTGTACAACACGCCTCCCGCATCACAGATTCGTTTCCGTGTGAATATGGAGTACTAGAAGGGGATCTTTCATCTTGATGGCTCACCATATGCGCACACAGCACGAACGCGAACGCGAGGAGAAGGACCCGGCAACAAGCTGCCCTTCCGACTACGCAGAAAGTGGCGCTCACGACGAAGGAGAAGCCACCACCACGTCCAGGAAGCATGAAGATGATCAGGGTCGTTGTATCCCGAGTGAAAACGCCCTCCCCTCTCCAAAGCTGTCTTGCAGATTTGCTGCAACTACAGGAATGCTTCTAATGCGCATCTTCATGAGAGGCACTTTACATCGTGGTTTGGCATTTGTGAAACTGGAAACAGGATGAAGAGGAGGATTTGTGATGCGGGTGCCCTTGCTGACCTGCACTACATTTATATTTAGTGAGGTCCTCACGACGAGCGTTCTAATCTAGCGGCTTTTTTGACGCCTCTCATGCAAAACGCCCGGAAGTTTTCAAGCGGCCGGAAGTGTTTTTTCACAAAAAAAGACTTGGCACCGAATCGCCGGCGGATTCTCTCGGTCGCTGCTTGGAAAAACGACGCAGAGGAGCCGGCAAAGGTGGCGCCCTCTTGCGGCGCCCGGCGCAACTAATTCCGCCGATTTGCGGCGCCAAAAAGGGGGCGCCTTAAAATTAAGAAGAAAGCAGGCCTTTACGCTATGGGCCTCATCTTGGCCTCCATTTGAAGGCCGCCAAGTCAGCCACAAAAGTCAGGCGCTTGATGTAATCAATGCGGAGAGCAAGTTAAGAATTGCGACTTCTGAACAAAAACAAGCAAAAACTACACAAGCCGCCAAAAGCAAAAAGCCAATCCACATGCTATGGGCCTGATTTGGGGCACCCGAGGAGCTTGCCCCGGTGGAGCCCCCGGAGCGAGGGGTCATAGCATGCGGAAAAGTGTTTCTCCTCTGAAGGCAGCAGGGACGCGACTTCTCAACAAAGAAACCAAAAAAACGCATATGCCGCCAGAAGCAGCAAGCCAATCCGCATGCTGTGGGCCTGATTTGGGGCGCCCGAGGGGCCGGCCCTGGTAGAGCCCCTAGCGGGGCCATAGCATGCGGGGAAGGCTTTCGGGCTTTGAAGGCAGGAAGCTGGCGACTTATGGCCGTGATATCTACCGCCCCCGACCCCATGCTACTAGCAGTCAGAAAAGCCACCGTGACCCCACTACCCGTTCCCCCGACCCCGCGGACGCGGCTATTATTCGCACTGACAGAGATTTGCTATGGGTGAAGACTTCCAAAACTTCTATATTTGTGTTGCAGACCACTTCCGATTTGACTCTGGGGTCGTGGGGACGATTTGACACAGGATAGGCCGCCTGTTGTCGCGGTTGCACCGCAGTCGGATGGCGACGTCGCGAGGAGCCGTAGCACCAGGCCCAGAGGAGCTGGGCCACCTGTTTTGCACGGGTGGAGGACTACAGGTGGCGGGCGCGCCGGGGGCAGCTCTTCATATTACCATGAAAATGAGTCTCCCCTCCCCATACCCAAGCGGAGACCTCTTGTGTACAGGAACTTTAGTACGATTTACGATCACAAATCACCTTGCCATGCTAGAACGATGAAAGTAGAGCCTGTAGTGCTCGCTCGTGATCCTGTGGGAAATAAAAAACCCTGCGCTTTCAGCATGACAGGCAGCAACTGGAAGCGGTAAACGGCATGACGAATTTCCTGCATAACGAGGCCTCAACTTCGACGTCTCTTGGTCTTCTAGCAAAACAGCAGGAGGGCTGATTTGTGTTGTGGTCACAAATCTCCATTACTTTTCGATATGGGGAGGGCGATCGTTCCTCTCAATAGAGCACGTTCCCAAATTCGTAATCGCGCTAGATGTATCAAATGCAAAAATGTCTGGGTCTGGAAGACTGCTGGACTTGTCATGCAGGTTTTCCATGGCCCATCTGATCTGCAATGGAGGACCTAGCATGACAGATTCCGCGAGATTCCTATCATGCCCATCCTGCACGAGAAACTGCCTCCCAACTTGATCAAAAGTGGACAGCATTCATGGTAATCATGCAACACAGTTTTTTGTATGCTTCAGATTTAGCATGACAAGTTGCAGAGTTCCAGACCCAGACATATTTGCAGTTGAGAAGATGTGGGATCCATGATGCACAAGATGGCCGTTGTCGTCCAGATATGCATTACAGATATCGAAATCGCTCTGGGTCTGGAAGGATGTAATAAACTTGTGATGCGGAAGATTCTGGAACAGAGAATGAAAAATGCTCTGTCAGTGTCGTATAGTGGTCAGCAACAGAAGTGCTATTTTTGTCTCCAGGAGTAGACGCCATTTCTCGTGCAAACTGCGTCTGGACCTGGCGAGTCTTCCGCAGAATGTGTCGTGCCCAGCGTGGTGCACTCGCGCCCTTTATTCTTGCAGGTGCAGAAATAGAAACTGCATGACAAGTATCTGCTTTGTTCTTCCAGGCCACTCAGACATGTTTGCAATGCATACCAGGCGGACCCCGTCGCCGAAGTGATTTTCGAGAAGGAGCAGCTGCTCTGCTGGGACCAGGGAATGAACTGGTTCCAAAAGCTATCATGTGTGAAAATGTCTCCATCACACAGAGTCAAGATGGCGACTTTGCTACACAAATCAACAGAGTACTAGACGTCCTCTGAACAACAGAAGCAGATCCATCTTCCAAAAGAACTGGGCAAAAACCTGTATACACACATCAACAAGTTTTGGCTGTTGCGCGTGACAAGTTAGCTCGGAGTCGCAGCGTAGTTCTGTTTCAGGTAGTGAAAACGCATCACAAATCGACTGCCTTACCCTGATTCTTGGGGCTACGGGTGAGAAATACGAAATTATTTTTACTCTTTTCTAGGCATGCAGACTTGCATGACAACTGACTCTGGGGTGAGGACTTTTTTACTCAGAAAAAAAGCGATCATATTACAGGAAAATAGTATTACAGTTGCACATTTTTTTGTTGGAATTTCAGCATCAAAAAGTTGCTCACATGGCAAAGAAAGCCTATACATAGTGCGCAGATGACTATAAGGGAAAACACAACTAAAATGACGCTGGCATGCATTTCCTGCATGACAGAGGTTGTCCCTGTCTGTCTTGCTTGTCTTGCATCAGAATGATGTGTAACTGTAACAATTTTCTCGCGATAGATCAAAGCTGTCCCAGAACGTGATGGAAAAGAGCGCGGCCCTTATCAACTCGCTCACCGCGGAGTATGCATTGCAAAAGTTTCTGGGTCTGGAAGGTTGTGACGCTGACTGGTGAACCTCGGGGACGCCAGCAATGACGGCGCAGCAACATGGCAAATTTCTGAGTTCCTACGTGTTGTGGTCTATCCAGCACGACAAACACAAACTGCGTTTTTGCATCAGAAAGAGAAAGCTGTGCGTGTGCTGTGGGCTTTTGGGTAACGTGCATGACAGACTTTGGACGTATGCTAGAGAAGAAATTAGCACCAACCCACATCGTGTTAAGAGGAGGCTTCTTTGTCATCGCCAATGATTGCACCCTCTTGCTATTGCTGGGGTTCACTGTCTCCGGGCAGTTGGGCGGTTCCTCCCTACAAACACAGAAACGGCCATCGTCGGGGTCCCGGGTACATTTTGCACACCATGTACCTGGAGGGCGCAAGCCTCATTCTCATACCATACCATACCATGCTAGCCAAGCAAGACAAACTTGGAATTTTATTCCAGACCCAGACTACATATTTGCAATGCATACGGAGGGTATGGACATGATTTCCCGTTATGTCCTACGAAATCAAAGAAAAACGAGATACGCAGGGCCAGAACCAGGAGTCATCCGCAGTCGAGCGGTCAGGGTCGGCGATGAACAACCATCAGAGCGACAGCATTCATCTTTTTACGAGGTACTTCCTTATAATTAATGGATGGGCTGGCCACAATGTTTTTTTTTCATCTAAGATGAGAATACCAAGCCACTATGAATATCCTGTCCTCTGCGCTTTTTGTTGTCTCGTGATTTTCTGGAACGTTTTGAAAAAGCAGCAACATTGCATCTCCAGCGTTCGCTTTATGATTATTTTCTGTTGGAGACTGACGAGGAGGCTGTGATGTTAGTATTTCTTTATTAAAATTAAAAGTCTAATATCACTTTTATCGTCAATGCACCTACTCAAATTATGTGAAGATTGAAAACAAATGAGTCGAGCGAAATATAAAACAATGCCAAACTGAACCTTCCCGAATCTATCGAGCCAGAAAAATTTCGCAGGTGCATGTAATAGCCCGCGGCACAAGTGTATTCCGGAAGTGCGCCCCCGAAAGCGTAGAATATCCACCGCAAAAGTATCGAACTCGTACCAATGAATCACAATCATTTTTCGCATCACGGCCAATACAACGAGGACACGCGTTCACTTTATAATTAGCTGCGTCCTCAGCGTTGAAAGAAGAAACCTGCAAACAATATCGTTGATACGAGAGCGATATTTGGGCAGTTCATATGGAAGCTTACAAGATGATATTGAGGGACCGGGCTGGCGTTGTGGATTTTGAAGTGTTGGACCAACTGTCCGAAGCACGCGCGTATGCACTGCAAATATCAAGACTGAGTCCGGAGCGGGAGGTAGATAAAGGGCAACTTGTGATGAAGAAGATCCCGACTCCTGTCGAGGAGGATCGACGCGAAATAAATCTGACGTCTTGCTTAACTTTAGCTTACTATCCTTCCTCTCGAGTTTGTCAAAATAATAAAAATTAATGCGCAAGTTCAGCCGCGCACGGATTTCGTCGGTAGAGCAACTATTTTGCGCGATGATCGTATCGAGGATTTACATCCAAGACTCCTGTCGAGCAGGATCGACGCGAAAATGTATCATGACCGAGCACGTTGTAAATCGCCCTGCTGCTTATGGCCTCTGTCCACAAGATGGGGCAGGTTTAGGCCGTGCATGAAGAAGACGGAGGAGCAGTCGCCAGACCTGGTTTGCTCTCCTGGTGCGGTCTGTAGTTTTTACTACAGGCACGTGCCACCTGGGGAATTCAAAATTTGCATGACAAATACATAGTATCCGCTGACGCCTTCCAACATGACCAGTGAAAATGTCGGCACACTTCCGAAGGCGGACCGAACATATTTGCAATGGATAGCGAAGGCCAGCGCGCGCTCTTCGTGCAGCATGTCGAGTACCGCGACCCGTTGCCGCCCGCTGTGCTCGATGTTGGTGGACACAGCACACAGTTTTCAAATCGCTACCTCCAGAGTCACTTGTACCAGGGCGGAAGTTGGGAGGTAAGAATATGTCTACACAAATTTTTATAGGTAGAAACAAAGCAGCTTGGTTACAGTGAAGATACACTCGGAATTCAGCTTTTGATTTTGCAGACCCGTGCATCGCGTCGACGTCCTTTTTATTGTGCTAGGTGCTTGCTCTTCTGGTTCTGCGAGACGGACTCTGCCGATTTCTGAGTACAGGGCGAATAATAAATTTTATGAAAAGCTAATCTGCATGGGAAGTCCAAGTGCAAGTTCAAAAACAAGCTAGCCGGAATATATAATATCGAATCAATCCGCGTTTTCTGGTCCTCTTCTCCGTAACATGAGTATAAAGACACGAAAATTTTTGGAAGACTGGTTCTTGAAGACAAAATTTCTACAGGCCTTCCAAGCGCTTATGGGTATCGTGATGTCGGATTCTTGGATGCAGGCCCCGGGAAAACTGGCGGCGATGGATCCCAACCCCGTTTCAAGGGACCAGGCGGAAAACCTTATCGCAAAGCTCACCCAGGATTTTCTGAAGAACAAGCCACAATTTCCGCCTCTCGACGGGGAAACGCAAGTATCAAATGCAAAAATGTCTGGGTCTGGAAACTTGTGATGCTGGGTGGCGTCTCACGATGAGGCCACAAGTGCTGGCTTAGCATGACAAGTTTCTGAGCTCTGTAGGTGTTGCCTATTCTGCATGACAAACTGCGTTTCCGCATCCGAAACAGCCTAGGGCCAAGACGACGCCGTGAGGACGACCACAGGGGGCCCGTCTCAATGATGATGATCACAGTAAAACGGAGCTCTTGGGTGACGTGCATGACAGATTTAAAGAGTCATGCCAGACAAGCATGACAAACCTGCATTCTTCCAGACCCAGACATTTTTACATTTGATAGCAAGCGATCGAAGACAACCACGTAAGAATTAGTAGAATTGTGAGTGAATTAGCTACTGCATGATGAAAAAATGCGTGAGCATGCTGACGCTGTTATGCGTTTGGCGCGTCGCGGTTGCTGGCTACTCTTCCTGCTAAGCCGCAGCCTGAGACGCAGTTTTCTTGTCATATCAAGGCCGCAGCCGCGCAAGAATGTTGAAAATTTGCTTCTTGTTGTTCCACTTACTTCTTACTTCGTATTCTTCTACTTCATCCGATTCGGCATGCGCATGATTGAAGTTGCTTAGATTTAATGCCAAAGTGGTCTAGTCGAAATGCTGTCTAAAATTCCTTTTATTTTGAATTTATTTCAAATAAGAAACTACCCAGGCTCTGACGCGTTCCGACCTTGTTGTGGGCATCACACCGATGAACAGCATTTTTCATTTTGCGTCGATCCGTATCCGCCGAGAGAAAACAAAGACTGAGTCCTCCTTCCGACTTTGCCATGCGGAACAAAGATTGGTTGAGACGACCAAGCACGAAAGAGTATATAAGAGAGCAGGAAAGAGACAATCAATCTTTGCATGCAGGTGAAAATGGAGTAATATCTTTCGTCACTGCATCAAGGGTTGCCAGTGCTCCCGCTTGTGCTTCACCAAAGTCCGTGGTCACGATGAACGTACAAGTGTCGCTGTTCCTAGTGGAATCACGGCAACCTCCAGACCTGGTAGCGATAAAGTAATCGACTCGTAGAGTAGCCTGTAGCTGTTTTTATATCGGATACGTAAATTATATAAATTATTTCTGCACTCGATTCCCCGACCCCCGACCCCCCTTTGCATCTTTCAAAAAAAACGAAGGGCGCGACGGCCACTCCGCTCGAGAGAAGAACAGCCAGCGCAGCAAAATGCGGAAACTCCTAGCGCGGCCCAGAAGGTTCGGCGGATTCAACAAGGGGCCTGGGGAGGTGGTTCGTTCCTTTTTTTTCTCCATGATCCTCCATGTCCGATAGTATAAAGTTATTCAGTTTTATCGAAAAAAGCCCTGAGAATATGACTGAACGCCTGGTGCCCTGCGATAGTGGGCGAGAAGCAAGCGGCAGAATGAAACGCAGTGACTTTGCTATTAGATAGAAATGTAGCGACCACACTCTCACGGATGCAGGGGACTCGATTTTCTTTTGGGATTCTTTTCCTGGACCGCAAGGATGGAATTACAGCGGACGATCTATATGCATTGCAAGTATGGCTGGAAGGTTGCAACTTGTGAAGCTGACTCCGGCTTTCGAAAAAATCTGTATCGCATAACCAGCACTAAAAGTTCAGCTCCAGCTCGTGCTACCCGGAGAGGGCATTTCTCACGAGGGATAATTAAGCATCAAGATGAAGCTCGGTAAAACTCTGTGATGCTAGGGCATATATCAGAGACATGGGTTATATCATTGGTCATGCAAAAGGTGTATGACAGACAAACGTTGCACTTATCCAGACATAAAAATATTTGCAGTGGATAACCTATATGAAGGCTTGATGACCAAAGTGGTTGGCCACGATAGCAAGTATTGTTTTTCTTTTCGATTTGTTGCCTTCACCCTTACACGAACTACGCTAGATTACATTACAGTTGACGTGGCCCTAAAGAAAAACTGAGGACGCACTTTAGTGCAATTTCTTGATGTATCCAGAGGCTGTTATGAATGCTTTTCAATGCGCATGGCCAGACACGACAGACCACACTTCTGACTTAGTGATATTTCAGAACAAGAATATGCCCGACAACAATCTCAATTGACTAGCAAATAGCCAAAAAATGATGAGATTATAAAAACACCTAATCGAGCACTCACAGTGGTCTTTCTTTTTCGTAAAAATATGCCATGAAGAATGATCGAGCATCCGCGTCCGCGACATCATGAATGTTATAGAAGAATACGTAGAGACGATTGATACCCAAAAAGTCACGGCGAAGTAGTGCTTGCACCAGTCAAGATCCAATATCTTTTTTTTTGGGACCGAACAACGTTATCAAATACAATAGATACCTTGCGTCTCAGCTGGGTTTTGACGTTGTGGAGAAGCCCAGTCCAACGGTCAGCCACTACGTTTGGCAAAAGGAAAAGTGCGTCGCTCGTCCCAAAGATTGAATAATTAAAATAGTTTTGCATGTTTAGATTAAGGATACTGCTTCCCTACTTTTCCTAACCATACGACTTGTCGACCCCTCCATCAGGAGTGTTGCCAAAATTTGTTTTCAAGTACGACTGAAGCCTGAGTGTGAGCACCCGAAGCGCTTTTGCTATCCATTGCAAATATGTCAGGGTCTGGAAGAGTTCCAACTTGTGATGCAGCTAAGTGTAAATCTACTCAGGGCTAAAAAATCTCAAGGACACAGAAATCTGTACTGCATGCGTTCCAAAACTTGGCCATTTCATGATCATGGCGCACAGCGACGCACTTTCTCATGCGGGATAGGTTCATACTAAGAATCCTTCGCAAAATGAAAATCTGTGATGTTTTGCGTGAATTCCAGCTTATCAGCCTATCTGCTCCTCGAGAATATGCATGCATGCATGACAAAAAACCGCAGTCTTCCAGACCACGCAGACATGTTTGCATTCAATATTTGCACTCGCATAGCCAAATAGCGCTGCTGATCGCGCTGATGCGTGCTTGGGAAATCAAGGAAGTGAAATGGGACGTGGTGAATGGTATCCTGTGCAAAATACACATCGTTCTCGTATTGCAATCCAGTTCTTGTATGACAGATCTATTTGTATTATCTTCTTCCTTTACATGAATGTTGTGCATGAAAAATGTCATTTGACATGACCCTAGATCTCCTGCGTCCGAAGCTGCTTGCGGCGACGGTGCAAAGGTTTTTGATGTGGTGCAGTCAGGTACGCATGACAAATGCCATTTGATTTCTTTTCGTACAAAAATATCAATACGAAGATGAACCTATTGCAATTCTTTTGAGAAATACGAAGATCGTGCTTTTGCGATGTATAAAGGGATACGCATTGCAAATTCTCCGTCTAGGAGGTCAGAGAAGTTGTAGTTCGAGCGTAAGTCTCACGAAGAAGATACGTCTTGTAAATAGTGAACTTGCTTCTGATGTAGATCTTCAATGTGCATTACCTGGCAAGGCATTTTTTCATGAGATGCGACTTGTTGCACGATGTGCATTTGCGCACACGTCGACCTTTTGTTTTTGCAGTACTAGAGGGTGAATCTTCACAAATCTCTGCGCCGTCGTGCCAGAGTCTGACCCAGGCTGGTGGAATACGCATTGGATAATTGGTTGGGCCCGGGTATTGCAGAGATTTTTTTACTCGGGAACGCAAAGAGCGACGACGATCATATCAACGATGCAAATATGATGTCGGCCCACTCTGAAAGATTCGCGATGATGTAACGCCCCCAACTACTTCGGTCGCAAGAGTCGAGAAAATTCATGCAACACTGCAATTTTCTGTTTCTTTGCCTGCCAGCAACGAGATACTCTTTATCTTCTATGAGCTTCATGGAAGAACACATCATGAGTACTAGCGCTAGTCCCTCAGGAGCTTGCTATGTCTATGTGCGGCGCTCCGCTTTGGCCGTTGTCTCCTATAATTCGAGCTACGCACTGGGAAATTTCTTAGGTTTTTTTTTGTACAAATTGCCTGGCAAACTCTGTCAAATTACCTGGCAAACTCTTCAAATCGTCCTGATTTTGCATGCGCCTGCGATTTGTCATGCGTACTTGCGTGCTGCCAATTTGATGCGATTGCGCTTGCAATTATGCTTGTGCGCTGGACAAAAGCATCGGCGTCACGACTTTCCGGGGGCAGACATATTTGCAAATAATAGACCGACATGGGGTGGCGTTTCAGCGATTTTATCCAATGCAAGTGCGATGTCTGGGTCTGGACGACATCAAGTTGAACTTATTTGGACATTGTCATACAGATTCAATTCTGCAACCACCAAGAAGTTCGGTCAAAATGCATAGTAGTAGAGAGCGACTCAGTACCACCCCGTGAGGAGCCAAAGATCCGCTCCTGCCTTTTCTGCTGTGGTTCTCGCATGAGTGACTAATTTTTCATGCGATCCCGACGGAGCATGCCAGATGACAAACTTGCAGTTGATAGCTTCTCTGCCACGGATCCCGCCCCGGTGGATCGGTTATAAAAAGCGACACAAGAATATAGCCTCCTCAGGTGTTACATTCTCAACTGTCACATAGCCAACACGCTCGCCATGCTGAACCTGCGTGGTCACCTTTGGAGGTTTGCATTGTTTCCTATTTTGATATAGCAAAATACGCAAGATGAACGTCGCATTTTTACCTACAAAGTTGAGATGCCTCAAGGAAATAGCATCGAGATCTGTCGTCAAAGACTTGCAGTGCGAACGGCACAGGGGCGTTTCTCATTTTTTTCTCGCGGGTTTACCAAAAAAAATGAAAACGCTGTCTGGTATGCAACAGTTGAGAGTGTAACAGCTGAGGAGGCCATAGACCCAACGCCGACGCGGACCAATTTAGGATGAAAACAGACAAAATATAAGAGCGCTCGTCGTACGCATATGCTAACGTAACCTTTCCAGATCTAATAGTACTAGAGAAACATGCTTTTAGGTACCTTGCTGATTTCTGTTTTACGCATAGCTTCCCGCAATAAACATAAAGGGTACGCATCATATAACACAGCAACGACCGGTCTTAAGGTCGTTGTCGTGACATCGAAAAAATCCTCGGCCACGACAACTTATTGACGCACTGCCAAGAATCATTCAACATGATCCAATTTTTCAACGCGGCTGATAGTCACCTGGTCTTGATGAACTAAGTAAACAAGTTGGTTTAATAGATACAGATGTTGCTTCATCTCGAGAATAAAGCAAACTTGATCGAAAAGCGCGGCGGCCGTTCTTCACTCACAGTGCTTGTTTTATTGTATATATATTGTCGAAACCCAGGAGGGGAGATAGAAGAGGAGATGAAGAATCGAAGAAGGGCATTTTTGCAAAAAAAAAAAGAATGAATGCTTAGGGTAAAATAATATCAAAGCTCCCTGTAATCCTGAGTGAACTCTTCTTCCTGTAGATCTTCTATCATCAGTACTATAAATCAGAATCGAGCTTGCTGAATGTCTCCCGAATAATTTCAAGATCATGATCATCTGATCGTGCTAGCTTCTTCTTCCCCGACAAACTACTTGAAGAAGGCGCAGCCGAAGTACATGAAAAACAATTACGAATTGAACGAAGTGTAGTTTCCACCGTTCCTGACTACTTACAAAGGAAGCGCAAAGATGGAAATAGAGACGTCTGATCTTACACAACAAGGTGCGACGTCAGCGTCACCTGCGTTGTATATGATCTGGACGGGTAGTACAGATATCACCTGGTCTGTTCCAAGGTTTTCGAAATGCGGGCTGCTCTCGTACTCGTTCAGGACTAAGAGTAGCATAATGCGCATTCCCATGAGAGGCATTCTTTTCAATTGCCTTTAGCAACAACATTATACTACAATACCCTTCTTTGCAGGAAGTAGATGTGTCGTGTCTATTCAAGTTATCTTCCAAAGCCACAAATAACAGCAATATTATTCAGGCTGGAGGAAGCACCAAGACCTGGTAAAAATCTGAATTTATGCTTACTTCTTGCGAGAGATTCTTGCTTGTCCTGCTGCTGAACTAAGGCTATAAGATTCGCCAAACCGTAAACAATACGCGAAACTACACAGTTCAAATTCTGCACCTGGACTGCTACGGCACACTCTAGATTAACCAAAGTAGCACAGCGAGCTGAAAGTTGAAGACACAGATAAAATGTCGGAGCAGCACCAGCCCCTGCCGACGTTGGAAGAGGCGCAGCGAGCGGCTGTGGCTGATCTTTTCGGAGATGACTTTCCCGAGACTCCAAAAGAGGACAAAGTTGTAGTCGGCCAGGGTCTATCCACGATAAATATGTCTGGGTCTGGAAGCCTAATGCGCAGGGTTGTCATGCTTCTTCCGGATCACACAGATGGTCCGGGATGCACGCAAAAGCCTTGCAAGTTTTTTTCAGGTCGTTTGATGCCTGTCCTGCATGAGCAACTCCCCCTTGAATTGCGTAAGTAGCAGGTAGGGACAAGTTGAAGTTTTGGTGTCTCTCATTCAGAGTCTGCATGACAAGTTCGCATCCTTGAACTTGCCCGTCCAGAACCCAGGCATATTTTTGCAATGCATAAGGTCCGAGTTCCTCGAGCAGCATTCCGAAGCGTGAAACGTCTCGATCACGATCGCGGTCTCCCAGAAGAGAAGGACCTCTCAAGTTGGCGGCCGATCAAGCGACCCCGAGTTTTGTACTCTGAGGAAAAATCCACCCGCCTCATACTCAGACGACCCAGAACCTCTGATAGAGTGCTAATTTGATTTGGTCACGGAGCGCAATCATCTTGTAAGAGGGCTGTGCCTGAGCCTGAGATCATGTCCGCCGCGTTGATTTCTGGCGCTGCGGTTGGGCGCGCAGGGCCGCAGGCACCTGCAATGCGAAGCAGCTGCCTAAGAAACTTCGCCTCGCTCTCTCGTCTACTCTCGTCTACTGCATATGCCTCCAGCGGTCACGAAGCGTCCGCCCGCGCTAGATACCACTGCCAAGACTGAGGGCAAGATGGGGAGGGGCGGGATTTACCGTTTTCATACGTTGATGGCTCTTTAGCTGTACCAGCTCAGCACCAGCAAGGTGGGGCCTCTCCGCAACGTAGTGCCCCCGCGTCTCCGAAACTATCCAGCGGTGCTGCGTCTCCGAAAGCAGTATTATCTCCTGCACTCATGTTGTTTGGGCGTTCATCAACATTTAAATTTATATTTCTGGTTAATTGATTCGTGACCAGCCGAGTTCTCGCTACAGCTTAGGGCCAAGTAGAGTGACAGGCTTTTGTTTCTTGAAGGGCATGCGTTGTTCTTGCGGATTTCTATTTTTCTGCTTGAATGAAGATGGACAAGTGCGAACGACATAGAGCGAAACGAGCACCGCCCCTGGTTGCCTGTGATGTTCATCATCTAATTTTGTTCACAGAGGCTACGGCAACCATGCCCACGAGGGGGCGGGGGGAAAGCACTACTACTTTATTGCTTTAGTAACTCTAACTTTGCAATGTTGCTCGAGAAGAAGACCCGGATTACATATTTGCAACGCATAACTGCTTTCGTCGAAGCGCCCAAGCGTCAGCGGGTCCTCGCCCAAACTTCCCTTTGGTCAGGTATCAACTGTCATCATCGAAATGCTGTTAACAGACGCGCGGCGCCAGTCTCTTCCACTGATTCTTGTTGTACTTAGTATTCTTGCAACCAAGTCCGTCGCCATCTTCGCGCAAAGCCAACTGATTCCAGGGCAGGCACAGGAGCGCTTCTCAGATTGTGAAATCACAACGCGACTAAAAAAACAGGTGGAGAACAGTGAGCAGTTGAATGAAGAAATTCGTGATGTTATCCTGCAGAAAAGTAAGTACACCCATTTGCATTCCCATACTGGAAGAATACAAATACTACATTTGTATGTAGTGAGGTCACCGAACGGTTCTAACCAGGGAGTTTTTTTGGCAGCCAGACAGCAAAACGGCCGTCAGTTTTCAAGCGGGCGGAAGCGTTTTTTGACAAAAAAGATTCTCAATTATCAAGCGGGCAGAGCGTTGCTGGCAAACAAGCCCGGTCGAAAACTATCGACTCGCACTTGATAAAACGACGCAGGGGAGCCGGCAAAAGGGGCGCCCTTCTGAGGCGCCCACCGCCTTGGTTTCTGCCGATTTGGGGAGCCCAAAAAGGGGCGCGCAAAAAACGCGCCCAAAATCAGAACAGCGAAACAGCATGGCACGGCCGCGATTTCCGAGCATTTTGGGCGGCCGCGAAAGCGGCCGCCTTTTCGCAGGTTTTAGAACCGGGGAAGCTTTGCAAAAAGCGCCGGCGGGAAAAATAAAAACGCGAAAAATAAAAAGCGCCCCAGACGCGCAAAGCCAATCCGCATGCTATGGGCCCGGTTTTTCTTCGCTTTTTGGGCGCCCCCCTTGGCACCCGGATCGGCCCCATAGCATCGGGGCTGGCTTTCGGAAAGGAATTTTGGAAATGTGCCAAAATTTGTGACGTTTCCCAAGTGGCCGCCATACCGTGCGGCATAACGTTACTCACGGCGGTATGGCGAGCCCAGAAATAGCAAAGCCGCGGCCAAGGCGGCGGCCGGCAAAAAAACGCCCACGACCTCACTACCCCCGCCCCGGCGGCTATATTTCGTATTGCTGTTTTTCTGTTCCAAAAAACTTTGATGTCATATTGTTGCTCCGCCCCCGGTGGGGCGAACACCTACCATGCAAAAGAAATGCTTAGACAAGAAAAATCCAGTGTAGCACGTTAAACATCGAGCATCCGCCCCCTCCCGCGGGATCGCGAGGGAAGCTGTTGGCTTGTACGGGTTTCACCTTCCAGCTGGCCGCCCCGCATCCGCAAGCCTGGCTGCTAGCGTGCCCAGATTCGAGGTTCTTCCGGGTGCTAAAAAAAACCAAAGCGGCTCTCCCGCTTCAAAAACGCTGCCGCGCTGCTGCTGTGCAGTTAAGTCGTCCCATGAGCAACTACCTCGGCGACGCGTTTCCAAACGAAGCCAGCCACACGCCCGACCAGATTGCAGGAGGCGGCGAGGGGCCCCCCTAGAGGGCTACCTGAAGTAAGTGCTTTCTTTGATCTTTGAAGTCGGCCACTTGCACTTCTCCGCGGGGGAAGGAGCGCCCGGGGGTGGCGCTTTTAGGGGTTGGCTTTTTTTGCAAAAACGGAATCCCCTGCCGTGAGGCTTCCCCCGATAAGACGGCTGCTGCTCACTGGATGCGGAAAGACCTCTCCGCAGCGTGCTGGAAATATGGTCGCCCGATATTTTTTCCCGGGAAAATGACAAAAAACCGAAGCTAAAACAGGCGGAACGGGCGGTAAAACGGCACCAACCGAGGAACGCCGCCAGCTGGCTGAAACACACGCAGGCCAATTGGCACTTGGCTTGCGTGGGTTTCAGAGAGCAATTGAATTGGAATTGCTCTCCCCGCGACCCCCGGCAGGGGGGTGCGTCTTGCTGTAACACAGCAAGACTTTCCTGTTCTAAACGGGCGAAATGGACGAGAGTACTGGCGAAAAAATGATATCTCAATGAGGGGCACCAAGAGGACTGAAGATCCTCAACGGACAGAGCCCGCCTTTTTATTTTCCCAAACAAGAATTGCGACCGACGCAAATACTTTCTAATATCGTATGGGTGCGCTTTTCTGTGCGATAGACATTGGGGGCAGTGAAAGCGTGAAACCTAACATGGAGGCGAACGAGGAAAGCAAGCCAGCCGAAATCGTTATGGAAGTGAGAAGTACCGTGGGAAATTTCAATTTTCCAAATGGAAAAGATTTGCGGTCGCATTGAGTATATCTACTTAACACTACCAGTTTGAGCCCGCCACTGTTTCTGAGCGGCACATGGCATCAATACTCTTAATTTCCCATGGACATCAAGAACATGTCTAGACTCAATTTGTCATGCTGCTTAGCGCAACGACAGAAAAATTTCTAACTACTACCTGGCACTTCCATAATCGTTCCCGTCCCAGTTGTAGAAGAAGTGGAGCCGCCACACAAATACTGTTGCTTCAACTCTCTGTATCGCAAGAAAATAAAAAAATGCTTCACTGTAATAAACTTGTAATGCAGAAAATGTATCTGAGAAGTGAAGTAAAGTGTTTGTATTTTTGCTACTACACGTGTAGAGCAAGAGCGAGCTTGTGATGCAAAACTCGCAAAATCCTTACAGTAAATGCGAAGTGCTTTTTTCTTACGATACTCTGTATCCCGACCAACAGTCTGCGTCAGCACTCAGCTGCTTTGATTGGCTAACGAAGTCATGAATGCGTGTTAAATAAACATTTTGTTCTGCTTGTTAAAATGGAATTTCACTGGCTGACTGGCACTGGGGTTTTTAGCAAGCAGGGGATACTACTTGTTGCACAATCCAATCTGAAAAACAAATTGATAAACTCACGATTGCTTATGTTATGCTCCTCTGGTTCTGTGTTGCATGACCTGCATGCACAGCATTTTTGGATCAAGGAAGATCAAACTCCTGGAGCAGCTTCTTTCCTGGATACTTCAGAAGATGGTGGCGAAGTGAAGAAATTGATCTTCAAGTACCGAAGAAAAGATGTACCCTATTAAACATCTGTGTCCCCTGCCTCCGGAACGAGACTGCAACGGATGCCAATGCTTCGTATATGTATCCCCAGTTCTTTCCCATTCTGATTGTCATGCAATTAGTGCAAACCACTAACCAGAAGCACAACAAGCGCAGTCGTCCCACCATCTACTTATATCTATTCTGTGGATTTGTGCAGACGGCCCATGAATTTGTGTTGCGGAGCGACTTTGGATAGGCCAGGAAATTTGACACCGTGTAAAAATTCTGTAGCATGTTGCTCTACGCGCCAAAAGTGAATTTTCAGGCCAGAAAACATGCCCATCCGCGCACCTCTAGGCGGAATCTTCCCGTAGCTTGTGGCGCACAACTACATGCTGTTCGCTTTTTGCTGTATGGGGAAGCAATTTGGATTTGATGCAAGGAGAAGCACAAAAAGGCAAGAGAGTACATTGACATGTTACTCGTCTGGGGTCGGGGCACATTGCAATATGATACGCCGGGTGGCCTCTTTGGCAAGTCGACGCTACTGCACCCATAAACGTGCCACAAGACTCAGGGTAAGTATCTGTTGTTATTGCCGCCCAGCACGCGGCGCATGTTGATGATCTTACCCTCCTCTCACTACTGAATTCTTGTTCCTCTGAGCGAGTAAAAGTCGCGCTGTTATTTTATCGCAATATTTATTTACAACGATGAAAAACGTATTCGCTTTCAAAAATCAAATTTTTTTTTGCCCCCCTTGAGGGTGGGTCCAGATAGGACCCCGTCGGTGGCCTCGTTGAACTGGAAGGCGTCGGGCAGGTGAGTCGCGGGACATTTTTTCGTTACCTGAATTACTGGAGTATGTTGATGATGTCACTTGAGTAGTCTTATTATCTAGCTAGCTTGTCGCGGTGATAGGTAGTGTAAATTTGAGCTCGCATTTGAAGACGTTTTTTTGCATAGTTCATTGTTGCCGGCGCCGACGCCCCGGAGCTGCGTATCGTCGTGAGTGGCATGCTGGGCACCACTCCAAACGCCAAGCCCCGCAACAGAAATGAAGAAGGACAAACTCTGGCAGAAGATAGCTGCGGCCTGAGAACGGTGGAGACTAGTGGCAGCTGGCGCTCATACAAAAAAGCGACGCTCTTTCACCTGCCTCGGGTTGTTGCGGTGTGTCCGCCCAATTTTGAGCACTTTTGGTCTGGGCCCAGGAAAACAGTGGAACCGGCTCGGGCACGTGCCAAAGACTTGAAAAAGCTGCAAGGCCACGGCCGGCCTTGATTTGCGCGCATTTTTTGGTGCAAAACACCCATACGGCCGGGGCGCTTCATAGAGGCCCGCTTCTGAGACGAAAGCGGCCGGCCGCTAAGTTGGCCGCTATGTCGGCCGGCTAGAGTTCGCCCCTCGCGGCCCACCACAGCGCAGGGCCTTTTTTGGAAAATCTGGCGCCAAATTTCCAAGCCCCACGCGGCTTTGGCCCATCACGCATGGCCGAAGAATGTGCCCGGGTCCGCCAGACAATTTTTGCCCGTGCGGATTTGCCAGAGATGGCGCGGCGAAGGGGGGGCGCGGGAAGACCCCCCTACTAGGCGCAGGGGCTTTCCTCATTTGGGGTTCTGGCGCCCCAAAATAAAAGACGCGACAGAGTGGCGCTCTCGCGGGCGCGCGAGCGGATAGTTTTTCTTATCACCTGTGGCGGCAGTGTTGGCATGCTTTCACACTTGCCACAACGCGCCGCACCCACCCAAAAAGCGGTAGCGCGGCCGTTGCCCCGCCTGGGAAAACGGGGAAAAGCGTCTGCGACCGTTCCTCTCCCCGGCCCGCCATGTAAGTCGGGAGCCCCACCAAATGAAATGGGCGCAAGCTTGGCCAAACAGACTGCGAAGCCGACGGGGCCCGCTGCATGCTTTGGGCAACCGCGGGCGATGCGCTTTTCCGCAAGGCGTTCGCCTCTAGCAATGGTTGCTCCGAGTAGAGGCCGCATTCGCTCGCCCCTCGGCGGGCAGGTCCGACTGGGAGATGCGCAGTTCCGGGTCGGGCGCGCATGGGCTAGTGGTGGCGCCGTTTTTTTGCATGCGCCAGAGGGGCAGCCGGCACGCCAACAAGTGCCGCAAGCGGTCGCAAGTCGCTCAAGGCCTGCGGCCTTTCACTGGGGGGGAAATAAGTCGCAAGCGCTTGTGGGGTGGGCTGGCTCGCGCGGCCAACCCCCTGGCAGCCACGAAGGCGACACGCAGGCCTTTCAAATACGAGGACAGACATGACCGCGATGTGGGCTGCCAAACCGCCGAGATGCCGGGCCAAAGCATTTACCACTTAGGCGGCATCTTTTCTCTAGGCTCGGGCGCAGAGCTGTTGGGTCCGTGGCAATGATTATTTCGGCCTCCCGGGAGCCCGAATAATCCTCGCTCAAGGCGTGCCCTTGACCCTCCTTTATGCCCCCCCCTTGAATACCTTTTTTTGGCACCCAAAAATCGCGAATACCTTTTTTACAGGAGCGGAAAAAGGTATTCACTCGATTTTTATGCCCCTTCCTATTATGTGCGGCCAAAGCCCTTCAGATGACCGACGCAAATGGTCACGGTTTTGGTCCTTCTGATGGTCAAGGTTTGGCCATGTCGACTCAGGTTATCAAAATTCTGCAAAACTCTTTTCCTGGTACAAAGATAGCGAGCATCGCCCGAATGCGGTGGCTCGGCGCGCAGATGGTAGTAGGGTGGTTTCCAAAAAATTCCGGGCTTCTGCTGGCGTGCTTGCATGAGCTGGCCGCTATCCGGGACAAAAAACACACCCACAGTGGGAATTCACGTCGCAGCCTTGTGCATGGGCATTAGCGTCGCAGCTTGAGCATGGCAAATTGAGTGGATGCGTCATGCAAGGTAGGGAGTTTGTCACGCAATATAGAGGATTTGCAATGCAGGAAATGCGACGCGGTCGCGATTTTGTCACGCAAGGCTTCATATTTTGGCAATTGCAACGCAGCCACATTGTGGGTTCGTTTTTCCATACGATAGGAGATCCACAGTCTGGCGACGACGTGCAGCTGCTGGCCGTCCACCCCGAAGAGGTCGACCCCGAGATGTTTCCACCTAACGAGGACGTCGAGCCGCCGGGGATCGACGGTCTTTATGCTGCTCCGCCCGACACGGCTACGACGGTCCGGAGAACCCATTTGCAGCAAACGCAGGAATGGATGAGGACGAGCAAGGGAATGACCACGCGGAGAACCATGGGAGTGGCAAGCTGTCCGGCCTGCAGATATGCACTGAAAAACGTCACCCCTGTTGACCGAATTTGTATTGCTGATTTCGTGGCATGGCGCAGATTGCCCTGCTGGATTTGTCATGCATGCCGGGGAGCTGCGACTCCCTATCGTCCTGGGCTAAAAATGGTCCCTGCGTTACAGGCTGCACATATCGCGCGTGACAAGTTTTTTGGTATATCTAACTGCGCAAAAGTGCCGCGGTCTTGCGAAGATTTGTAATGCAGTTTCGGCTCGGTGTGTGAATTTGTCACGCATAACTACGACGAAAGAGCAATACAAGTTTGGCAGGGGGTGATTCGTTTTTCATGGGATGGCGAAGGATCCGGAACGTACAGCGGTGTCTCTTGAATATTTCGAAGGAGTGGGGCACATTCTCGGGGAGCCTATCCATTGCAAAAGTATCACATCAACATAAATTGCAGCAATGCATCTACAGATCCGCTGTCCTAACGTACTACGCATCACAAATCCCGGCTGTCTCCTTGAAAAATTTATTGTCACACAATTTATAACAGTGCGATACTTTTGCAAAGCATAGAGCCTCTACGCCGCCAATTTCTCCCTTGACAAGCTGCACCTCGCGACGACATTCGACGCCGAATATTGAGTCCCGAAGAGATGGCGGGCGTTTCACCGGAACCAGTGGGAGAACTGTTGTCGAGTCTGGGCGTGGTCGATCACTAGCCGCGGCGCTTCGGACTGGTGCCCAGACCGGATGGCATTGTTGGGAGGCTCCTGTCGCTGATGAGCGTCTACCTGCTGCCGACATCTGTCACAAAACGTCTCAAATGCTATCTACTTTACACTAGCTATCACCGCGACAAGCTACATACTTTCATTCGCATTCTCATTCATCACTATCAGACTACATCTCAAAAAAAAGGAATTGATAGGTCGGAGAATCCGGAGCCGCTTGTGGGGCCGCTGAGCCAGGAGACGCGGATGAGGACAATCGGGCCGGATGCTGCAAGGGGGCTTCAAAAAAATTTGAATTTTGAAAGCGAATACGTTTTTCACCCTTGTATTATTTGCGATGAGTTTATGTATCTATAAATCTTGTGTCTCAAACATTGTTACTCCAGCTTTTCTTCTCATCCGACTCCGACAACATCATCGATGCCTAAAAATTAGAATTGTCGATAGAATCTGCAGAAGCAGAAACTAGCTGGGCGATAGAATTCTTGAGACACCGAGGATGATGTTGTGTCAAAAAGAATTGAAACACGAACACGACAGGCGATTCCACTTGCCGGTGTGGGTTGTCGGCACGGACGCAGAAGGCTATCAAGTGCCAATATATCTGGGTCTGAAGCGTGGCAAATGGTTGTGATGCTCTTTTTCTTTTGCATGACGACCGAGAAGGTTTTGAGTGCTACGCGCTGTCTCCTGACATCATAACATACAAGTGTCAAGAACGCTCCTCGAACTCCTCGTCAGTCCTCGATGCTGATCTCGCCTAAGTAGTAAGAAATGTCGTAAGTCTCCAAGTATATGTACTATAGAGAAAACCCATAGCGGGTGGCTTTTGCAGTTCAACATGCAATGCAGATCTTTGCTGCAACCACAACAAGCAAAAGGAAAAGCATCGCTTCCGGACCCAGACATATTTGCAGCGTATAAAGGCAACGAGGAGATCAAGGTCCACGAGACGCTTCACATATCGTGTATCCTCCTAAAAAAAAACGTCCCCACCAGCGAAATGCGAACTTTGCAACAGCTATCAACAAGGTTTTGCTGTCGGGCGTGAGGACAATTTTGGAGCTGTAGCGTAGTCGTGGATGCCTAGTTAGGCCTCTACATAATAAAAAAATATAGAGCTCTACCCTGAAGATTACTAGAGCGTGACAAATGAATCTCAGACAAGGATAAAAATTGCTCCACATGACGCTGCGCATGAGGACCAACTAAGGATAAGGCTTGCAGATTTGCATGACAAGTCTGGGGCGGGGACGTTTTTGCGCGGGATATCCCGCAGCACAGAACTACAGGAGAGTCTGATGAAAGATATGGCAGGAAAGTCGCCTCCAAGAACTGAACCAATCTCAATCTCACCCGCACAAAAATTTGCGCCGCACCTTTGTCTTTTTTGAAAACCGCTGCGAGCGATCTTTGCGAGAAGCCTGCTTTGTCTTTTTGAAAACCGCGACAAGGCAACAACTTGACAACGCAGAACCAGAGCTACAAATTTTGGATGTGCATTTTTGTGCCAGTAGTTGAGAATGAGACTGTGTCACCTGACAGGCCATAAAGGAACTCGAAAACTTCGAAAACCCGCCCTCACATCTTTGCGCGAAGGTTATGCTGTATGACAAGGAAACCGAGGAGCAAGTTGGGCTAACAGTTCCAGATCCAGAGGTGACACTAAACACAAATCTACTGACATTGATTTTGTTAGTAGTTTGATATTATTTCTTCCAGCAGCTGCACAGGGGTTCAGCTTCAGTGGACATAATTTTTTTCATACAACATACGAAGATACAAGATTATTTATTTCGGACACGCAGCAGTATGTATGATGATGATTGCGAAATAGTATCTTCGCTCAACAACAAGTAAGTAGATTATCTCAAACCACCGACAGGAAATTTACACGGCCATCGAGCGACAAGACCGCAGTTATGGGTGGATCGAGCACATGCTGGAAAAGGATAAAGAGATTCTGAGCAACCGCTATCATCCAGAGGAGTACACCCATGCCAAATACTATCGAGAAAATAAACTATATCAGTGGCAGTGGCAGTGCTTCAGCTACTTTTTTGATGCAACTTGACGTCTGTGCTGTATCTTCTCTTCTTGTTGCCGCCCTTATACTGCCTACCGCAGGCGGGGGCGGCCCCTCCTTCGCTACTGTTTGGCTCGACCCACTCAACGACCCGGGACTCCCAATCATTAAGCTTGCAAGACTGGTGACGGCACGCGCTTCAGGTCCGAGGCGTGAAAGTCACAAAGCCATCGCGATGACTGTAGACCCTCAGAATATAATCACAGTGCGCATGGGGACTGCGCAGCAAGAAAGAAGCAGGCTTTCTATTTTTCTTCGGGATTCGCGTGCTCGGCGGCTGTCGTGTCAACTTTTATTTTTCGCGACATTGAAAATTTCCAACGGAAAAGAAATGCTTCAGCGCGCGCATTTAGAAGTTGAAGAAAATCCGCAAAATGAGAACCGAAAATAGCCGCCCACGGATGTTGTTTTGTATGGTTTTACCTGGGCGGGGTGTCTCATGGATGTTTTTGCTTTTCGCCCGGTTTTAGGAATTGGGGTTTTGTCTTGCGGGAATTCATCCTGTCCGAGATTGCCGTCGATGCCGTGGCGGCCCACATGTAGATGGTGGCTGTCTCCTCGTTGGGCCTTTTTGATTTTGCTGAACGAAGCCCCTTGCCTGATTACTTTGGGACCAATTTGATTTGGCGAGACCCGGCCAGTCGTTTTTTCGGGCTTGGGCCGGCCTTCGCCTGCTTTCCCGGGTTGCGGGGTTTGGGGAAATCCCGCAAGAATTGGGCTGAAATTAGCGGCCGCCGCCGCCCCGGGCTTTCTGGCTGAGGCTCCTCCTTGCCCCTGTGATCAGTTGGGCGGGTTCTGCTCGTTGATCAGTGCGTGGCGAAGTGCTCCGCTTGCCTGCTCCATCAACTTGCCGCGCGCGCCTGCGCCGGCTGTCGGAGGCGCACTAATTCAGGAGAGGTAGGCCGTCGTAGAGGCGAACTTACTCCCGCGGCGAGCCGCCTCCCGTTTGGCCCGCGTTTCCATTTATTGCGCTGCTTCCATCACTAGTGCGCGGCCCAGTTATTTATACTTGGGCATCACAGGAGAGACCGTCTCAGCCAGTTACAGCGCCATCGGGAGAGACCCGCGAGGTTGAAAGCGGAGTCACGTTTCTAAGTTGGAATCACGCTCGTGGAGTCACGCTTAGACCAAAGCCAAGCTGTCGGAGTCAGGTTGGCAGTGTTTGGGCTTCGGGTTTGGGGTCTAGGGTTTGGGGCTTCTGGTCGTCGGCCGGTGGCGGCTGCCCTGGCCGCGGACTTTCCCTGGACGCCCTTGCGGCAGTGCGCCCCCGCACCCTCCCCGCCTTCGTGGTTGTGCTGTCGCCCCCATGGAGTTCTCCTGGCCCTCATTGGCCGGCCCCTGGGCCGGCGGCGGCGGGGCGTGTCATTGATTCCGGTGGACCATTGGGGCCGACCGGCGTTCGTTTAGGTTGTGGGCATTTCGGCGTCTAGGTTGCTCCCTGCCCCGGTCTATCGAGCTTTGAGGTAAGAGGCCACCGCACCCGCAACGCAACGCTTCCAGCTGAATCAACTTGATTCGGCGAACGCGATTCGGTCGCAAACGTGACTCCGTTAACGCGATTCCAGAAATGTCAAAACGTGATAGCGCCGCCTTCCGCAAAAATATTTGCAGTGTCGAAAAAGAAGGAAGCCTAAACCGATGAAAATAGCTTGGAAACACTTATAGTACAAAGTTAAAAACACTTGCGCAAAGAAAGCCTTCCAAAGTTAGAAACACTTCTGCAGATGGTCGGGCTATCGGTGTGCTTTTCTTGACGATAACCGCTGCAAAATGTTGATGCGAGAAGATATCAAGGAGTGGCTCCTTGAACTGTTGAAGGACGGAACCAAGCAGAATATTGTAGGGTCTTGTTTGCCTTCTATGGTTTCAAGTAGCTCGAGACGCTGACTCTACAGCGAAGCTTTGACGGCAACATGAAATTCAAGCGCTTGAATGAAAATGAAGTCAATTATTGCATCTGCAGCAACGACGTCGCTGTAGCAGTATACCTACTTAATACTTATATATACTCTGATGGCATCTACAACTACATCGCCACCTTCCTCTAGAAAGAAGAGCTTTCATCATACCCTCCTTCATGTACCGACACACAACACAACAGCTGATGACCAGCAGCGCGAAGGACAAGGCGTGTTTTAAGAAGCGCTTTTTTCTGGACATGTATGACGAGCAGAAAGGCCCATCGGAATCTGTATTCTACAGTTTTTGCAAGGCGAGCAGAAACTTCTTCGGATGTGTGGCGACGGAACGTTTATTTTCTTGCTCTTTTGTATTGGATTGCTGCACGAGCACGAACTCGAACACACATGAGACAAATACGAAATCACGGTACGTACGCGAGTAGGGGGTCGCACTGAGATGCATTTGCGCACGATGAAAGACATACCATGCATGGGAGATAGTACATGATAAAGTGAATCAATACATGCCGAACAGTGATTGCGATAGCAGTGTCTTTCTCTTGGATAGTATCCAAGGAAAAAGTGTGTAAGAGCAACTTTTTTGGAGGAAAAGAATTGGCATGAAAGCAAATGCGCAAGTAGGGACTGAGTGAGCTCCTGGAACCACGGATGACCAGCATGACAAACGCAGCCATCTTGGATGTTGCGCATCACTAAGTGAACTCACTTCACACTTTTTTTCTTGCATAGATGACATGCCCGAAGGTCATAAGAGACTCCCCCGCGGAATGAAGTTTCCCAGTTGCTTATCGGAAAGAAAATGAACGTACCGATTCCGATCCCAGGCGTGTCATGCAGCAGATACGTCGTAATATGCAGGAGGTCCTCTCTAATGCGGCCGCATTGCATGAGAGCCATTTTGTGCTGGTGTTTGGAAACGTGTCAACATGATGCTCCAATGACAATACAGCACAAGAAGTGAGTGCGTTACGCGGGCACGCTTCCGGATAGCACCATGTGTATGCACGACTCTGCTGGGTATCCAAATTTGTCATGCGTGGTGACTTTCAAACGTTGTGACCTTACCGTTGCCTTGCAGAAATTCCATCTAGATATGTTTATGGGGATCCGGAGGGACGTTTTCGCAAATCATATTGCCTAACACAGTGAAAAATCATCCTTCCCGATGCTCGAGTTGCGAAGATTTGTACTGGAGAGATTTAATTTCCTGAATCGCAGGAAAGAGGGAAGGCGATTTTTCCGCATCATAATGCCCGAAATTTATGGAGCAGGAGGTGACGAAATGCTTTGCTGAGCAGCCTGTCGCGATCCAGAATTTTCTCGTGGAATTCGGAACCGGCAGTCCAAAAAGCTTTGTGGTGATTATCAACAAGGAGGCATGGCAACGTTACGTCTCACATTGCGGGTACTTACAACAGTGAACTTTTTCATGAATGCTGCTTGTTGTCGTCGTGGTGTCCTTTCCGTCAGTGCCCTCATCGATCATCTGGGTAAAAGATCAAACGTCTATGATTATGTGCCGGGGAGAAATCTAAGTTGCAGAGTGGAATTCAACGCATGTATGAGAAGTACGAGTAGTGCAGTTTTTCTTTGATACACTCCACATCCCCGTAATCGCACGTTGCTTTTTTTGGTGCCTAAGCATATGTAAATACGCTTCTCAAGCTCGTCGACCTATTCATTGGCAGGCACGAGTTGCATGATAATGAAGATGATACGAATAGACTTTTATTGAGAACGTGAGCAACCGAGGCTGAAGCGGTACATTCTTGTTGGAGACTTGTTTCATAGAATAAGCTTCTGCTGCCGTGGCAGCGGCGGAGGGTGCGTATGGTCTGCGGGGCCACGTTGGTTGCTGACCCTGGGTCGCTTTGAACGGCCTGATTGATAAGTAATTGTATCTGTCTAGGCCAAGAAATGACGGTGGCGGCCAGGTGGCAGCCGTGAAACGACGGTGGCGGTCATGCAAAACGGCAAAAATTTCGAGCGTCCGGAAACATTTTTACACAGTGAGAGTTTCCATTTACTTCTAAGCGGCCGGGGCTTTCTTGTCAAACAAGCCCGAGGGAATTGCATCGATTGCCGCTTGATGAAACCGGCAAAAGGGGCGCCCGTCTGAGGAGCCTACAGCCTTGGTTTTTGGCGGATTCAGGCAGCCAAAAAGGGGCGCCCAAAAAATGCCAAGGAAGTAAAAGCCGCGAATTCGCATGGTATGGGCACCATTTTTGCCCACGTTTGGGCTCCACAAAAACCGCAAACAAAGTCGAGCACTTCAGAGGCACGACTGCTGCTCTAGCAGCACGATAGCAGCACCAGGCGCCAGCCCTTTGTCATCTACTACGTCAAACTATCTAGTCGTAGTCGAAGAAATTCATTGCCATAGCCATACTGTGAGGAAAAATCCCCCTCCCCATGCGCAAGGGGAGCCCTTGTGGTTGTGATGCTGCAAAATTGTGGCCACAAGTTAGCTCGGCCTTATAGGAAGGCAAGTGCAGAGGTGTTGTGCGCCGCCTCATGGATGCGATTTGCCATGCTGCTGAGCCTACTACAGCGCAGGCGTTTGCCATGCTAAACACCTACAGCACACCCACAAGCCGAGAACTTGGCTGCACTTCCTTACAGCTTGGTGACCACAGGCCTCATTGTCATTTGCCTATAACACAAATGCAGCATCAGAAGCTTGTTTGGAATATGGTGGGGAGTGGGGTGATTTTTCATTTTGATATACCAAACCCAACTAACAGCCTCGACCAGAAGGTAGAGTTGGTCCGCGTAGAGGCAACGGTGAAGCGTATCTGCGACGAGTTGATACCCTGTGTAAAAACGCCCCCACCCCAGATTTGTAACGCCATTCTCCCTTTGTTTAATTCCAAAAAAGTTCGAAGCTTCTCTGTGCTTTGGTCTTTTCCAGTACATAAAACGCCCCAGATTTGTAACGCAAATCTGCAAGCCTAGAGTAAGGGGGTTTGTCATGCTGCCGAAAGACATTTGAGGGCTTGTCAAGCCGAAAGACGTTTGGGGGTTTGTCATGTTGCGCTCAGGACAAGACGATCAATCTGCGACTCTGTTTCGCAGAATGAATACGTAGGATAACTACACTACAAGCCCAAGCTTGCCGCGCACAAAAGTCAAAACTAACTGGTTCAATTGTCTTGCAAATTCACCACCAGCTTGACTTTGGAGCGGGGACGTTTTTACACAGGAAAGTTGACCAAGTCTACCTACGACGCTCCGCTAGCGCATTGGAAGCAAGCTCTGGGCTTTATCAAACGCAAAAATAAACCGAAAATCACCGCCCTGTACTATGAGGAAAACCAATATACCTCGCACTCGCACAGCGGAGGAGCTCTTCACTTGTAGTGCAGACATTGTTGGCTTTCTTGCTGTTGATGTATGATGTGGATCAGTTTTAAGATCAGAAGGGAAAAAAATGATCTCTACGCCCGGTATGATGTTCACGATCACGAGTTCAGTGCGCACGATAGCAGAAGGCATGCGTCTCCCTTTGTTCTTCGAGATCACAGCAGCAGCAGGGCTTGCACTAGGACTAGCGGGAGAGCCACAGCACTTGTGCTCCAAACCAAGAACGTCAGGGCTTCTTTTCGGTATGGGGCGGAAGGATTCCCTTTATTTCTGATGATACCCGACCTGCGCAAACTGGATGACCTGGACTTCACACTGGAAACATTCAAGAAGTGCAAGGTTGCGCCGCTGCTCCATCGATACCGCAAACATGAGGACCGCCAGGTAGTGCAGAAGGCGACGGATTTGCTGAAGAAGTATAAAAAACACGCGGAAGAACTCCTCAAGAGCAGTGCCGTCGAGGACTCCGCGAACCTCGTGGAGGCAGTAGGAGACCGTGATATGGTCGACGATGACGACGACCTTTTCTGAAAGGAAAACATGAAGAACTCACCAAGGCGGGATGAAGAGAGAATGTTGCGGTTGCCTTTGCCAATGCGACTAAGCACTACAGAAGTGCTACCCTGTTGTCCAACTTACACTTCTACCGACTTCGAGGATCAGGCAACATATTTCAATTTTATCATCGCCGTCCCTGCAGTTCAGTTCTTGGTGAATGGTTCTCTCAGTGCCCATTTGATAGTTGTGCTAGAGCTAGTGAGAACTCTAGTCAAGCTTGAGGGACGAGACGTCAACAATAAAATTAATGCTACCGCAGACGGCCTGCATCTCATGGCGATTTTTAAATGCTCGAAAACTTCACCTATTCACCAAAAAAAGCGCACGCACATCACACGCACGCAATTTATTTTTCAACCTTTATGTTTATGGTGCACACCACAGACAGACGTATAAATAAGAATATCAAAAATATGACCCAGCAATGTAATCAGCGAAATGAACGCGCGCAGCCGCAGCGCTTTGCTTTCATTAAAGCTGCTGGCTTCAGGCCAGGAAGCTTACGCCGTCGGAGCAGCTACCTTTTATTTCCACCGATGCATGTACATTGGTTTTGATCGAACAGAAATCTGTAAATGCACACAACGAAACACATTCGAGCATAGCACAGGACACCCATGAGCATCTTTCTATGCCCAAAGAAAAAACGGAACGCCGCACTCTACGTATGCCCGGCAAGCACTGTGGCTTTTCACCACTCCAACTGATTGTGATTGCATCGCCACGAGGTTGCTCTTGTCACAGTGTTAGTTGTTTTCGTTCTGTGCGAGGGATGAGCCGAACATTTTCTTGCAACTCTAATTCTGTTTCTCGGCCATAGTTTCGGTAGATGACGGCGACTTTGTCTACAAACGAGGGATTCGGATCTGGATTGTGCTCGAACGAGATGCAACTCCTGTGTGGATCATCAAGAGCGTGAGAAATCTGTGATAGTTGGGGCGTGAGCAAACCCGATGATTTTCATGGCTGTTCTTTTTTGACCTAGGGCGACTGTGTTTCAAAAAATGTAAATCTCGATCGGTCGGCACATGCTGAAGTTAAAGTGGTCACATCGGAAACACAAATCTGTAATGCAAATTTCGAAGAACCCACAGCAAAAAATCGGAATAGAACTTTTTCACAAATCGTAGATGAGAATGCAACTCGAAGAAATCGGCTCGTAGCAAAGGAAAAAGAGGATGTCGGTCTCTCGTATGAAGTCGATCGTGCAAAAATGAAGTCGTGCAGTGCTACCAAGTGTCGTTTTTTATAGGGTTTAAAGTGCGTTTTCAAATATTTAGCTCTTTGAAATTATCACACAACTGTCTCCCAGGGTCATGCCGTGCGCTTAAAGAATTCACGGTAGGCACGGTTAGACTTTACTACTCGAGCCCGTTTGTTAACAGCTCTCGAGTACATGACCCAAAAAACTGCATGACAGATTGAAAAAGACGGCGATGATGATTTAGAAATTTGGAAAAAGAAGAAAAACCAAAAACAAAACAACAACACGCGATGGGTATTCGAGTTTGAAAGAGATTTGCTTTGGTTTGAATTTTGTGCTCTACCCTTTGTACATGACCAGTAGACAGAGCAAAGGTAAGACTCTCGAGAAATATTTTTGTTTCTTTCTTTTCTTTTCTTTTTCCTTTCGCTACCTAAAGTGTATCCTGTATTTCAATGGCGATTTGCACGCTAACAACATATCCACAGAGCGCGTTGCTGATTAGGTTGGGGGCGCGGCGGGGGTTTGCGACTTCGTCGCGCTGCACTTTCGCCCGGTAGTTGATCAACAGACACGCCAAAAGTGCATTTGCGAACTCAGGCGCTTTCGTTCTTGCACCCGCCACGAAGTACAGAAAAGCAAAACAGATACGCCGGACGCAAGAGATTTCCCGTAAGGTTCTCACTCGCCAAGATCTTAACTGCACCCCTGAAGGCCCCAGATTGATGCTATAAGCGGGCGGACCATCGCGCATCGGCTCCCGCGAAGGGGAAACATTCGCGCAATTTGTTGGGGAATTTTCTGCGCAATTCTCGGAAACCGAAAAAGAACCAAAGCGCGGGGCGTTTTGCCGGGAATTCGAAAGGTTCGCCAAGAAAGAAGGGCGCGAGCTTGTGGGTCAATTCGGGCGCTGGGGATTTTTCGGGAATTCGGGCGGTCGCGCCTCTTTTGCTTAAAGGTCTCCCGCCCGTGCGCTTTTGGTATTCACCCGCCCGGAGGGCCCATTGCGCAAAGACCGCGCTTCGTATGCCTCGCCCACTTAATTGCAGGCGTGCAACCTGGGCAAGGCCAAGGGCCCGGGCTTCGGAAAACCTTGCGCATGGAATCCCACAAAAGTCGCGCGCGGCACCCCGCATGCAAAAGCTTTGCGCGAAAATTGCACAGAAGGGCCCAAGCTGGCGCAGGCGCCCCCGGGTCGGTCGAGTCATGTCGCCCATATCGGGCGCGTGGCCTTGTTCTCGTCGTTTGTTTGACTGGCCTGTGGGGCGGGTCCGCGGCTCCCAATTCTCCCAGTGAGCGCGCCGCCAAGGGGTTGCGCGCCCGCGGCGTATCTATGCAGCCGGAGCGCGGGCCCGGGCGTTGTTCCGGCGGGTGCGCGGATAGAGCCACGGAAGCAGGGCGCGCCGCTTTTGAAAATTGCACGCGCTAGCTTTATTGCGCCACCGATTTAGCGCGTTGCTCACTTAGGCGCGCTGTGCCAGCCTACGGCCCCGCTGGCCTGAGCAGGATCGCGCGCACCGACAAGATGGCTGCCCGCTGCATAGTGGTAGCCTTTCCGATAGATTGGTCGAAATTGAGCAGCGCAATGCTATTGGCGAGATTTGTCACGTTTGTAATTGTAGAGGATGACGCAGGCCAATGAATTCTTCGATAGTTTGAGTTTCTGATGTATGTTTTCTACCTCGTCGCAGGCCCTAGAGTGTGCGTTGCACCGAGGAAAATGATGCTGGTTCTGTGAAGTCGTGTTCTTGCTTGGAAAATCTTGGATCGGTCACGCGATCTATCTTCATGTCCGATTTCTCACATCTGTCTGTGTTGTCAGTGTCTTTGCGTGATTTCGCGGATTTTGCCGGGAAGCGAAATACCCCGCCGGCCAGAATCTTTCTCTGTCCTAGAAAAAAGCGAACGCGTCTCATTGTGTGTGGAAGTTTTGCGCCGACGCTTTTGCTTTTAGTTGCGTCAGGGATTGAAACACCGAGAATTTTTGTTTTGTTTTCGATTTCGAATACAGATTCAAATTCATAACACCAGAGCGTGTGGTGTCAATTGTTTCTTTGTTTTAAAAAATATAAGAAAACCCATCCTGATCGAATCTCTTTAAATGTAAATGAAATAAATATATCTCAATCTAGAATGAGAAGAAATATTTTAATGATGTCCGGATATGGAAAGAAAGAAAGAAATACATATCTCCATCTTGAATCTGATGATCGGAAGATCCATCATTCTCTTGATCATCCATGAATTCTCATAAATGTGTGATATCAATCATATTTATCTGGATAATCGAAAGAGAATGAATATGATGGTGTCATCCAATAATGATGGATATGGATAGAAAGAAAGAAAGGACTCCTGTGAAGGCCGTCGCCTGAGGAGATCTCCCGGTCGTCGACCAGATCGAGGCCCAGTGGCCGAAAAAATAAAAAATCTATGGCGTTCATGAAAAAAATTGAATCCCTTGGCTTCCATTTTTTTAAAATTTTGCCTCCGGGGGGTTTGTGGCGAAGCTTTGGGCCCGTTCATGTTCCGGCGCCTTGTTGTGCCGGTGGGTGTCCGGTTCTTCGTTTTCGGGGCAGGTGCGTTGCGTGTTGCGCCATGTGGTGTGTGTCGATGGCGCCCACCACATGGGGCAAGGCGCTGCAGACCGCGAGAAGATGTCTTGGCGATTGTCTTCACCAAGAGAGGTTGTCCTGGTTGATCCATGACAGCCTCTCCGTTTGGTCGTTCTGCAGCGCAGGTTGCCGAGTCCAACGCGGACCCTTTGCAACGTGTGGCGCAACGGTTTTGCAAAAAAATCAGAAAAAAGCCGAAAAAAAATCAGAAAAAAGCCGAAAAAAAAGCAGAAAAAAATCAGAAAAAAGTCAGAAAAATCGGCGAGGGGAAAAAACCAAAGGGATTTCCCTAATACATGCAAAAGTGGCCACTTTTTATGATTGGAAACTGCTCAGAAACTGCTCAAAAACTGATTTTTTTTCGCCCAAAAACTGACTTTTTTTTGCCCATTAGCTTGTCCCTGGTCAGCCGGCGATCGTGGTTTCGTGGATGGGGCAGGGGGAGTGCCTTGTTGTGTGCCCTCATGGTGTTAGGTCTCGATGCCTCTCTTTCTTTGTTTTCCTCGAGAGTGCCTCGGGCCAGGGGGCGGGACTGCGCCTGATTTCTCTTGTCAGGCAGACAGGCCCGGGCGAAGTCCCGCCCTAATTGCAGACTAAAAACTTGCTAAATTGAACCGGCGCCCGGGCCCCGGCAGGCTTTGGGGTTTTCCGTGTTTTCAAGGCCCAGCGCAGCCGCGCAGCCGGCTCTTCTCTGGGTTTCCAGCTTTGGGGGCTTGGCCGCATTTTCGGCGGCCTTCCGGACGGTGGGTATGTCGCCCGTCTTGCGCGTATTTTGCGGCACGGGCCTGCCGGTTTGTCTCTCTGGGGTCCGGCTCGGAAATTCCGGCCTTCGGCAGGGTAGGGTTCCGGAGTCCGCTAAATTAGTCCGCTAATCGGGTCGCAAATTTTCAGAAAAGTGCCCAGAACGCAGTTGCTAATTTGCATTTCTAATAGTCAGCTAAAATTTTGGGCCTTTTCCGGAAGGGGTCTGCTAACCCCACTCCTAATAGTCATCTAATTGGTTCGGGCGTTGTGTTTTGGGTCTGCTAACCTGGAGCTAATTGCGCAAGGCAAGAAAACCCAATGGGATTTCCCTGTTGTTCGAGCAGGGTGTGAACAGCAGGGAAATCGCATTGGTTTTTGGCTTTGCTGACAAATTAGCAGACGCATTCGCGCCCCGGGGGGGGCTTAATTAGTAGACAAATTAGCGGACGCATTAGCAGACACCAAAAAAAATTAGCACCCAACTAAAGACCCAATTAGCAGGGGCTTTCTTGGAATCGTCTGTGGCGTTTAGCAGACTCCCGCGAGGGGGTCGGGGGGGTAAAATTAGCAGACAAATTAGCACGGTTATCTCCGAGGTTGGTTTCCGTGCGGACATATTTGGGCTACCTTGGCCGGGCGCTTGGGCGCTCGTATTTGTTCGCGAGAACCGGCCTCCGGTAGTCGTCTGGCTTTGTTATCTGAATTGCGTTAGAGGGCAGGTCGTCGCGTCCTCCTTCGTCCTTGTTGGCAGGCTTCTTGTTGTTGTGCC